CTATATATACTTGCTTCTAATTATTAAGATAGGCCCTACCTTTTTTAAAAACCTTTATATAATTAATAATATCTTATATCTAATCTTTAAGGATGCCTATAGAGCTATAAATTTATTAGAAAATAATTATAAATAATATATAGCTTTTAATAAGGTAAAGATTTATAAGATTAAGTTAGCTTTATATAATCTTTTTATAATTACTTTATAATTTAATAAGTTTAATAATTTATTAGCCCTTTAGAATATATATAAAAATAATATTTATAATAATCTATTATATTATTTAGAGTATATAATAGTTCCTCTAGGTTTTAATAAACTATATCTTAATCTAGATCTCTTCTTTTTAAACTATATTCTTTAGATTTATAATTCTACCTTAAGGTAATATAGTTTGCCCACTCCCTAGAGAGTATAAGATTACAAGCTAGATATAGTATTCTAGTTAGGAGGGGTAAATATTAATATTATATTAGAATAGTCCCTACTAGAGGATCTAGTTAAAATTACTCTATAATTAATAGGTAATCTAAATAATAACTAATATAATTACTTTAACTAGGTTATTATAGCTATTCTTAATAAGGCTATGGCTAGTTTCTTCCTCTAGGGGCTTGGTAGTATAGATAAGATATTTTTTTATTAGGCTATTTATTATTATTTCTAGACTATAGAGAAGTAAGTAATCTATATAATTTCTTTAAGAATTATTATTTTACTTCTCTTATATAACTATATAATCTATTTAATATTCTATATTTCTTTTAAGTTAAATAAAGTATCTATATACTTTATTCTTTTATAATCTAATCTAACCTATTAATTATATAAGATTAACTTAATTATCTAGGATAAAATACTAATATAGTACTATTATAATTTTAAAGTAATAAATTAGATTTTTTAAGATATTTATAAGAATAATTATTTATTTAATAGAATCTTAATTCTTATAAATAGAGACTTTACCTAGATCTTACTAGTAATTATTAAGATATTATAATCTATAATAATAGTAGCTTATTTATAGTAATCTTCTTTCTAGTAATAATTAATAATTCTTTATCTTATTTATAATATATATCTGCCCCTAACTAGTATAAATTATAAATATATAGACTAGCTAGGCTATATATTTTATAATTCTAGTTTAAATAATCTAATTATTCTTCTAGGCTATATTATATAGAGTTATATAAGAATTATTAATAATTTTTATAAGTATATCTTTTTATTTATAGTCTTAAAAGATTTTTTATATAATATTTTTTTTATAAATTAAATTATTTTAATAATCTAAAATATAGGATTAAATAAGTTTAATAATAAAATTATTATTTATTTACTAGGGCTAGAAACTCCTTATTATATAATAAATAAGATACTAATAAATAATATAATAACTAGTTATAAAGAGTTTACTTATAACTATATTATCTTAATTAATCTTCTAGGCATGCTACTATTTATTTTATAATTAAAGAAAAATATATTAATTATAATATTATATAATTTATAATTAATAAAAGGCCTTTATAATAATATTTAGCTACTTATTATAAATCTAGAGAAATATTTAATTATTAATTATATTTTTATAAGTAATTATATAAGGATTATTTATATAATTCTTTATATTATTCTTTATTTAAAGGCTTTAGAACTTTTTTTTAAACTATCTTAATATTAATTTTTAGTCTATTCTTACTTTATAATAATTATTAATAAGTCCTAGAATTAATTATTATAGATTATAAATCTTAATCTATAATTACTAGTTTTTTCTTATAATTAATTATATATAGTACTTTTTTATATTATAGATATTATATAATTAATAATTTTAATAAAATTAGATATAAAAATTATATATAATATAATTTACTTAAAAATTTTATAATTTTTATAAAATTTTATAATTAATTTTTTTTTTTATATATTTATTAGGGGTCCTACCCTTAATTATAGCCTATATTTAGGTTAAAATACTAAAATTAGTAAATTTTATTTATTAAATCTCTTTTATTTTTTTTTCTTATTATTCTTATTATTTACTTCTTTATTCTCTTTTAATATTATATAATTTATAAAGTTAAAATTATTATTTTTATTATTAATTATTATAAACTCTATATTATCTATAAATTTATTAGTTATTATAATTATTATATAAGCTATAAATATAAGATTAGCTATTATTATATTAAAACTAGTTATTATTATTATAAATAATTAATATATATAGTAGGCTAATAAGGCTATATAATAATATATTAGATAATAAATTACTTCTTTATTTATTTTTTTTTCTTTATTCTTCTTTTTATCCTCCTTTTTATTCTTCTTTTTATTTTTCTTTTTATTCTTTTCTTTATTCTCTTCCTCTTCCTTACCTACTTAAATATTTATTATTAGATATATTAGCTAATATATATAATTTATAGAAAGAATAATATATTATAATAAAAGTAATATAAGTTACTATTATTCTAGTAATAATTAGTATATATATTATTAAACTAGCCTGAGGATATTATATAATATAAAAATAAGCTAAAGTTCTTTTAGTAATATAAGTAAGTATTACCCCCTAATCTCTTAAGGCTAGTAACCTAGATTATTATAGCCTTATAATTAACTATATAAGTAGTATTTAAGCTACTAAGATTAGTACTAGTAGCCTGTAGGACTAGCTTGTAGAGGACAGGAAAGATAGATAATTTAATTATATTAGTTAATAAGTTTCTACTTATAGTTATAAGATTAAGGAACTAGATAGCTAGTACTTTAGTATTATTATTAATAGAGATTATATTTATAATACTATTTTAAATATTTTAAATAATTATATAGTTTTATAATCTATAATTAAGAATAAAGACTTATATATTTTTACTAATTTATTATTTTATTTTTTTAAAAATAATTTAAATAATAAAATTATTTTATATTATATAGTTTAAATAAGCTAATTTATAAATATAATATTTATTCTTTATATTTCTTTATCCTTTATAATCTATACTAGGTCTAGCATGGCTTAGTAATTTGCCTTACAGCCTAACCTACAAGACACCAAGCGTAGTGAGGGTTTATGGCTTGTTTACAGTAATATACTTATTTATATAAAAAATATTTCCTTATTATCCTACCTATATATGTTAATCTTAGAGAGTGTAAGAGCATGCGATTCGGGCAACATGTCTAAACCATTGGACCAAAAGGTCACTATGATCAGACCTGATGTCTGATCTACCCGAATCCCACCTTATATACCCTAGTAATCATTACCTTGGCACCAGTGCACCTAGTGCACGCCGTGACACTAGCTTTTTACTAGGCCTCTATGTATAGATATTCTTTATAAATAGTAGTACTTATTAGCCTATATAGTATTTAATTAGGCAGTATTTCCTGTTATAGCTCCTTACTTGCTATTTAGTAGCATGGCGCAGGCTCTCTTCTAATTATTAGTGTTTTACTTATAGGTAGTCAAGCTATTCTTCCACTGCTATAACCGTGCTGGAGCTCCCGATATCAGCAAGCTTGAGTAGCACCGGCTAGTAGCCATACCACGCCTTGTAAGGGGACATTCCTGATAACGCGTTTTTCGCGTTATTGTACGCGAATTCTGCCATGCCCAGCCAGTCTGACCAGTGGCTGACCTTAGAGAGATTCGCAGAGTGGTGGTGGTGGTGGTGGTGGTGGTTGACCTTTTTTTTTTTTTTTTTTTTTTTTTCGCACCGTCTCGGCCAGAGTCAACGCCAGAAAGGCTGGCCAAGACTAGGTACATATATATATATCTCAATCAAGCACAACTTCTCAATGGTTGATTTGGTTTTGTTGCTCTCCAACAGCTAGAGGGAGGGAGTCGGTGAGGTTATTCTTTTTTATTCTAGCTAGGAATTAATACTAGGTACATATTGCTACGAAAAAGTACTCCGTATGTTAGCTATTTCATTCCCTTTCTGGGTCTACTCTCTAGAATGTGTGTAGGTCGTGGGTTGCCGTTGTGGGCAAGATCAGGCAGGGGTGTTGGTGGGATTTCCTAGGGAAGTAAGTGGCTTCTTCTGATCATCAACAATTGTGCTGAAGGTTCCAAAGGGTTGGAATCAGAACAGAGATACGCTCGGGTAACCAAACCAATGATGGCTTTACGCTCTAAGTATCTGGTTATGGCTACAGCTCCCGGTTTCAATTTCAAACTAACCCCAGGGAAGAAATGCAAGGGAAAGAACCTAATGAAGAGTAATTTGAATCGTGTTTTGGCTTTCTTATCCTTAATAATACAAGATAGAACGCAACAAGTGCTCCTACACTCAGGATGGATATCTCACTGAAAAAGTAAAGAAACAAGCAACCAAGCAACACAAGAAATGAAAATCCCAAGAGAGAACAAGAAAGAAATACTTTAACATAAGCTCGAGCATGAGTTTCTCCTAATAAACAAAAGAAATAGGGGGGGGGGGGGGGGGGAAGAAAAAAAAAAGGTGACATCAGGCGTGTATGTACCAAGTACGACGACAAGAAAACAAGAGTCACTGAATGGGATAAAGAACAGAAATAAAAAGCAACAAAATCTCAATAAGCACCTAGACTCCAGCCACATGCAAATAAATGCTTCGAGTGGTCTATAATAATATAACAGAAGCAAAATAAAGCAAACGAAGCAGAGCAAAAGCGTAGTGTACATGTTCTCCCCATGGACGCCAAACAACCCCCCGAAAAAAAAATTCGACCAGTTAGAATGAGGGTATTTCGCAAATGACAAAACAAGGCAGTTCGGTTATGGTGGATAATGCTGGCGTCGGTCGAGAGACTTTTCAATCATGAAATATGTGGGGGGGGGGGTTCTTTTTTTTCGTTTGAAAACGCCGATGAAGGGAGATAAAAGGCTACAGCGGGTATCTTATATCTTGTTCTGCGGGACTTTTGAGCAACTGCCTAGGGCGACGTATGTGTTAAAAAAAAAAAACCATAATTGATGGAGTAGTGGATTATGACTGGCTTTGGCTAGATCGGGAGCGTCGAGATGTAGACCTCCTGCTGCGGTTGGATGGCTCACGAGCAGGGGGGGCATGCTCAAAGAAAGGAAGGAGATCGGGATTTTGGCTAGGAGGAGTTGATGAGGATGCGAGATAATTGGGAACAATATTGTCGTCGGCGGCTGTCTCGGGATGGATCTCGATGCCTTGTTGTTTATTTAACCCATTGTTGAAGTCAACCCTGAAGGGTTCTCCCCCTTCTGTTGTCCTCTCAATAGGTGACCAACCCGCGATGCTACCTGCCACCACGCCTGCCATTGCAGCGGCGGGTCCGAAGGTCGAGTTCGACCGGGAACGAGTACGCCTTCTGGATCGCGACTCTGGAGTTGCGGGTAGCGGAGGAGTGCCTTCGTTATTCTCCCCGATGGGAGTTCCAGGGATTGAGTTTTCTCGGGATCGTGAACCGCTGCGTGATCTCGGGAGCAATTCCTCGGGATGCTGCAACTTGTGCTTCAAGTGCTTCAATCGCCCTCCGCGAACCGTCTTCAAGAATTTCAGCTGGTCTCGGATTTCCTCCAATGCGGGGTTCCACTCGAAGCGTCGGTCCTCGTCAGATACCACAAGCTCCGGGCGCTTCTTGCGGCCTTTGAATGTAGGGATAAACTTGCGAATGAATTCATCTGGAATGAGACGAATTACCACGGCGACTGGCAGTGAGAGCACACCGAGAACGAGGCAGACCCCCCATTGAGCTCCAGTGAGTTTGGTAACAGAGAAAGCGTGTCCACCAACGAAGATGATCAATATCTGGCCACCGACGATGATAACCTGAATTCCAATAAACCATTTGTTTTGCCAGAGACCCTCAAAGATGTTGAAATTGTTATCCAGGCGGCGGGAGCTGGAATTCGGTCAGCCGCTGGTGTCTCTAGGAAATAGCGTGGAATGGATCATGACTTACTTCCATTGATTAAAGATTTGCATCCAGACAAAAGTGTTGAACACCACCGTTTTGAGGACTGTGTCCCCACTGCTATCAGAAAAGTCGATTATGGATTTCAGGATAGGCTTTCCCGCAAAGTTCAGGATAAGCGTGACGACCATCTGATAGATACTCTGCCCAATAATCATCTTCCACATGGTTAGGCTTATAAGAGGTGCGGATTTCGGCTCGGGTCGGCGATTCAGAACGTATGGGGATGGAGGGTCGGTTGCTGGAAGAATGATAAGGGTTAAAATGCATATCAAACCGTTCTCTTAAAATCGAAACTTACCCAGTGCAAGAGCTGCAAAGGTATCCATAATCAGATTGACCCAGAGAAGCTGGACAGCGGTCAACACAGACTCCTCGTCACCACTAGCTACTGCAGAGATAAACGTAAGAAGGACCGCCGTGATATTGACGGTGATTTGGAACTAGATTATTCATGAGTCCGTATATCAATCAACAAAGCTCAGAAAAGACCTACCTGCAAAAACTTCTTCACAGCATCATTCACAGTTCTACCCCAAGCCATAGCCTTGATAATAGAAGTGAAATTATCATCCATCAAGATAATGTCTGAGGCCTCCTTGGCAACTTCAGTGCCGGTGATGCCCATGGAAAACCCAACATCTGCAGTCTTGAGAGCTTGAGCATCATTGGTACCATCTCCCGTTACGGCAACTGTCTCGCCTAGCTTCTTCAGCTGAGAAACGAGAATTTTCTTATCATCCGGACTAGATCTCGCTAGAACTTGGAGCCGGGGGATAATTTGGGTCATCTGTTTCGTGTTGAGTTTTCGAAATTTAGGTCCTTCAATTGCGATTCCTCCAGGAGTAAAAATGCCACATTCCTGTGCAATGGCCTTGGCAGTAATGATGTTATCACCGGTGACCATGCGCACGAAAACTCCTGCGCGTTGGCACTGGTGCACGGACTCTGTGACCCCAGGTCGCAGAGGGTCCTGAATACCAAAGACTCCAAACATGACCATGTCCTTGAAGATGTAGTCGAAAACTGCAAGCGAATGGTCCTCCTCCTGGGTTGGTGCTCCCCGGGGAGGCCACTGGCTGAAATCGCGGTAAAGCAGGCCGATAGTTCGCAAAGAATGAGAGGCATAATGGGTGATAATTGTATCCAAGGTAGAGCGATCTTTATCGGATAGAGGATCCTCAGATAGATCTTGGGTGGGATCTCGAACGATTCGGGTCGACTTCGCAAGCAACACTTCCGACGCGCCTTTGACCAGCATTCGGTATCTTCCATCGTCGAGCCTTACTACCACCGCCATACACTTGCGTTTCGAATCGAAGGGGACCATCTGCACAATGCTGGCATTATTACGGGCTTCGCTAAGGGATCCTAGCCCGAGGTACGTTCTGGCAAAACCTAGTAGGGCGGTTTCGGTCTTGGATCCGATAAATGTCGTTGTCCCTTCCTGTTCTCCTTCAAATGCGGTGGAGTTCAGCACAATCGAGGCAAGTAGAAGCTCCTTCGACGTGGCGGAAAGGCTCGCTGTGAATTCTGAGGGAGACAGTATGTTTCCTGAATTGCTGGTCTGCTCCCCATCCTCGCCCGTAGGAGAGGAGCCAGCGGACTTGTCTCCAAATTTAGAGTCCAGGCCTAGTGTGGCGGCAACCGCAGTCATTTTGTTCTCGGTCAGTGTGCCCGTCTTATCCGAGCAGATAGTTGTCGCATTCCCCATGGTTTCGCAAGCTCTTAGCAGGCGAACCAAATTATTATCCTTCAGCATTCGTGTGGTAGCAAATGCAAGTGCCAGAGTCACAGCTAGGGGCAGGCCTTCCGGAACTGCAACCACAATGACCGTCACCGCCACAATGAATATCTGCAGGAAAGCTTGACCCTTCTGGTCGGCCCCATCAATGCTTTTCAAGGTAGCAAGGAACTTGATGAAGAGCACAACAAACAACAGTAAGCCAGCTGCAAGACCAAGCTTTGCAATGTACTCGGCCAGCACATTGAGTTTGGTCTGGAGAGGGGTCGTCTGGCCCTCGTCATGCAGGGACATCAAGGTCTTGCCATATGTCGAATAAGGGCCCACAGCAGTAACCAGAAAAGTTCCTACGCCCTCCGACACTTTGGCGCCAGAGACAATGAAGGGGTCTTGTTTTGCAAGGTTCTCGTGCTGGTCAATAGCACGATAGACTTCGTGGGCTCCGGTTTTGCGGAGCAGGTCTGATTCACCAGTGGCAGAGGACTCGTCGCACTTGACATTGTGGCCGTCGACAAAAATGCCATCAACCGGAACAAGGTCACCAGGTTCGAGGTACATGATATCACCAACTAAAATATCATGGATAGAGATCTCGGACATCTTCGCGGAGCGGACCACTTTGACCATCCTATCATCTTTCTTTTTGTTGAGTTTCACGAACTGGCGTTCCTTCTGCCAGTCGTTGGCCGCACCGACCACCACCACAATCAGAATAGCGACGATGATGGCGACGCCTTCCACCCATTGTACCCGTGGTTCACCAGGCTTTGCGGAGACGGACTGGTAAATTCCCAAGGCGAGGGAAATGATTGCCGCAATCGTCAGCAAAATCAACACTTTGTCGTTGTAGGCGATCCATGCTAGTTCCAGAATGGTCTTGGTCTTCTTTTCGGGGAGCTTATTTTCGCCAAAGATGCGTCTCCGGTCGGTGAAGGCGTTCCCCGTGTGCTTTGTGGAGCTAGTATGTGTCCTAGTAGGCTCTGGAGGTGCAGGTTCGGCAGCCGACTTGGGTACCGAGTCGGGGCTCATCGGCGCCGTTGCATCTTCGAAACTGATCGTACCGTCCAATTCGGTTTCATCGAGGCTCAACCCACTGCGCAAATCGGTCCGTAATCCTTTTTCAAGGCCAGCAATTCCACCCAGTGCGTAAAATGCTCCCAAGCTCTTCGGGTTCAAGAGCTTATTCAGCTGGCCTGGGGAAAAGGCGAACTTGTTTTGCAGCACCTGAAATTCAGCTTCGCGTCCTGGGTCTGGTTGAAGGGCGTCCTCGTAGTTTTCGATTGTGGCTTTTGTCGAACTGCCATGCGATCCATTTGCCACATGAGTTTCCCCCGAAATCGATCCCGACTGGTACGAGTCCTCCGACTCCAGCGAATTCCCCCGCGACCTGGTACCTGGTACAGCTAAGTAGTTGGAGTTGGACATGGATTCTACCATGTTTGAGGTAGGAGACGAAAAGTTATGCGGTGAAGTCGGTCTACTGTCGTGGTCCCTACCTTCGGACGAGGCAAATGACCGGATGGAGGGTGCCGAACGGACGTCTGAGGGAGAAACACTGCCGCTGTTTAGAAGCGCGCTGGTATCAGTTGTATCGGCATTGTTGGCAGATCGGGGTGCTGAATGTTGGGATGAACCGGAGACCTGAGGCGGCAGGGGGTTGTGATCTGAAACTGAAGTCACGGCCGAGGTATCGATTGTAATTGTAGGCGCTCTTTCACGACGGAGCGGCGCCGAAGCCGGTGGCCTGGCCTCATTTTCATTCGATGTGCGAGGGTCCGACATGGTCGGTCAAAGGGGTAGTAAGAGAAGACCCACCCTTGCTAGTTTGGTCTCAGGAAGCCAGGAAGCCAGGAAAGCAGGAAAGCAGAATGGCGAAGGGATGGTTGATATCAATAAGAATGTGGTCCGGGAAGGAGCAACTAGAAGTTATGCCACTGTTTCATACACCGGGTCGTGGAGTAAATATCATTGATGATGATGATGATGATGATGTCCAACTCCGACTCAAGGGAATTGAATGAGATGGTCCATGTGGACGAAGTGGTGGTTAGCCAGGACGAGGGGTCCTTGTGTTGAGGGAAGCAAATTCCGAGGAAACACAAGGCTTGCTATTGAATGCCCAACGTTGTGATAATACCACCACGCCCATCGACATCCACAGATACGCAAGAAAGGGATATGAATGAGATGGGAGAAAGGTAAAGAGGGACAGAGAGCAATCAAGGGATTGAAAAGGAAAAGACAGCTCCGGTAGAGTAGGTTCCAATGAGAAGGAGATCAAAGAGGAGAGAGAGAGAGAGAGAGAGAGAGAGAGAGACCCTGAAGCCAAGAAAGAAATCATCAAATGAAGCCAATCATGGAGATATTCACGGCCGCCCAATTCAAGCCGTCACCCCCACAAGGATCCACCAAAACTTGTCCAGACTTCCATAAAGCTCTAGTGATCCTTATCTTATAACTTAATTAATTTCCTTCACTTCAGAAAAGAAGAATCCTTGGAAAGTCCCATTAGCTATCCCTATATTGAGAATCTAGAAAACTTCCAAGAGGTCCAGCATACCAAGTGAGAAATCTGGTTGATTCCCACCAAAATGAACCGGACCCCCAATTATTCCCTTTGCTGTAACCTTACTCGCTGCTTCCAGTTTTGCACTGCCTCACTCTTTTTTATGGATTTATTAATTAGTTTTTTTGAATCAGTCTCTCGAACCCCTATTGAACGAATTCTTCTTCTTCGACCAAATTTTTCTTTTTAGAATAATGAATCATCATGCAACAATAAAATCCTCCATCCGTTGTAGTCCTTGGCAAGAGGGCTGTGCAAAAAGACTCCATCCAGCCACATCCACCTTACAGTATCACAGAGTAACTCCGTATCTACTGAAGTTATAATGGAGACGAGGACAGACTTCGCATCACGTATGCATGACCGGATTCGGTATCTAACCAGGTTCTTTCTCGCATAAATAGTACATCCTCTAGTAAATATCACGGCCTGCACCCTTCCCCCCCCCCCCCCCCCCCTTTTTCTCTCAAAAAGAAAAGTAACCGGGCAAGTCAGATGTTCCGCATATGGACTAAATAATCATATCATGTCAATCATGAGGCTGGGACCCTTTGGGGGCATCGTGGAAGATTCCTTGCTGGGCGTTGAGCTCTTTAGTTACTGATATAGTATATCGATCCATGGATTCATTAACTTCTACCTCACGTTTGCTTCCTGCTCCTCAACCCCTGTGCTTTTCACATCGATGCCGTGATACATAGAGGGTGTGTTACCACCAAGCTGAAAGGCTCTGGGAGGAACATCTCTCTGGTACTCTCACTCCTGGAGTCCCGGAATTCTGTTTACTATACATATTCGGTGTTCGGAGGGATTACGAGTGATAATCGACCGTTCCACTCGCCAAAACCACGCAGGTTATATTGATTCCCGGAAAAGAGTCCCAAGGTACTCATGGCATTGAACTTCCTCATCCTTATCCTCAATAATCCCATGTCAAGGAAGCACATATATCCCAAGACACACCGGGTATAGCCAAATTGCACTCTCTACGGCACCGATGCGCAGCGGGAAAAGCCACGCTTTCGGATTTCAGACTTTTGAGATGATGAGATAGGTATCCAATAAGTCTAATCAACAATAGACAAAGTCAATCATTATCCTTCTATCCCCTACTGTTGACTGGCTCGTGAGAAAAAGTCCTCCTTTTGAATCCTGTCCAGATGCAATTACCTCCCAAAACATTAGATAGAAAAGAGACATGGAAGGTGAAACAAGGAAACGAATAAAATGGGTCAAGGAGGCGGTGCTCGTTCGGAATGTACAGTACACGCTGATCCACTATCATTCATGGTACACTTCACTACGCCTCACGGAGCACTTCGTTCTCCTCGTCCGCCGGCAGTTCCACATTCCAGATGCCTAAAGACTCGCCGCCTAACAGTCTCGTATTCGACTTCGCACGTGCATTGACCATGGCTTTGCTGGACAGGGCCAACGCGTCCACCAGCTCCGCCATTCGTTGGGACGACACGAAGCTGCGCGTCAGGTACTCGTTCTCAGCTACCTGCATCGCCAGGTTCATACACTGCACCAGGATATCACTGCTAATAACATGCGCCGAGTAGTATAGAGCGCTGTGGTAGTCGAGGAACAATTCTGGGATGTAGGTATTTCGGATCTCCTCCAGCTCGGCTTGTTCGGCTTCTGGAAGCACCAACCAAATTAGCTTCCTGCAAGACTCTTGAATAGGATCAGTCCATTCTCACCATCTTGAGCATTAATGAGCCACTCATAGAGTACAGCGTCGATATGCTGACTGACTTCATCTAGGGCGTCCTGTAAATCTGCCTTCAGGCCCTTGACGGTGCCAGAGTCCCGTCGGCGTTTTGTTCTATATGCATACGTTAGTATAGACTCTGGGCTGACAGGTACAAAGCACGTACTTGTCAAGTTTGTCGCAGATAACCGCAAACTTCTCTAGAGCATCAAATGCAAGTATAAGCTCTTCGAGATCACGCATGGTCTGTGACTGTTCGGACAAAAGCCTTGTCTGGCTAGTGGATGGCAAGCCACTACCCGAGGACTTGTTCCGCTTATGCCCAAATACTCGTGTTTTGCTTGGGCTCGAAGACTCCGGAGTATTAGGCTCAACTCCATCCTCGACATCCATGAGGAAATCGGCAACATCAAATCCAAACGATTCTCGAGATATGTCGGACAATCGCATGCGCCTGCTCAGCTCTCGGGCTGCGGGGAGTTTGCCGGTGGCTATGAACCGTGTTAGCATTACTTTCAAGATTGATTTATGAGCCCAAAAGACGTACTGTAAAACTTGCGGTAAAGTAGAGCACCCAGGTAGCAGATTCTACCCCACTGTCCTTCAATATACCTGAGCCATTCGAGGCTGCGTATGATTCGTTCGTCTTCCCTCGAGAGGTCTGTTCCGATAAAATCCTTTTTTACCGGCGCTAATTCACGGTTTCCATCCTTGCGACTGATGACTTTCGGGTAGCGCCTCACAGCCCTGGAATGCTCAACAGAAGAGACACTAGAAGTGATCCACGTCCATTGATCTCGAAGGACAGCTTCGACGTCAACATCATGCTTATGCATCAACTTCACCTGAAGCCTCCTCTCCCTAGGGTCAGTGATTTCAATAAGGATTTGTCCCATAACAGAATGGGTCAAATGGGTTGGGAGAAGAGAAGCGTAAAGCGGAATGATTTCAAGAATACCAGCCTCCTCCAGGTTGGCAATATAACCAATGACGTTCACAGATGCGGTATCGAAAAACTGAGTGTCGACGCGCACATAGCCGAGGGAGCTAGCGATGATATAGAGGTGAGTAGCGATCCTCAGCGCATCACTATCCTCAGCGGCGATAAGGAGAGAGTCGTCAACAAATGTTGGCGATAGATCAGGCACAAAGGTAGAGTGCTCCTTGTTCAACGCCGCTTGCGATACAGCTTTAGCCAGAGACGTGAAAAATGAGTCATATCCCTTCCCCAAGATTGCGGCTTGGATTGTGCGATACGGGTTGCGAGCTTCGCCGCCAATTCGATCATTACCCTTGGTATACTGCACAAACTTATTGAAGTCTGCATAGCCGACGGGTTCAGGGGTGAAGCCTACGGACGTCGTAGGAGAATGGTTAAGTTTTCTCTGGAACTGCTTGCAGAACCCTCGGTAGCGAGAAAGAAGGACATTGTTGAAATAGACGTAGAGATAGTCATCCCAACTTTGACAGACTTTGAAGGCTGCTTCCGTCTCACCGCACAACAGTGCATAAACGGCACGCTCGAAATCTTCGGTTTTGGGGTCCCGCGCCAGACTAGAGCAGGCGGCTCGCCACGAATCTTGAGACCGCCAGTTCATCATGCGAGTTGCGCCATCGTCAATGGGTGTATTCCCTCCGCCAGAGTTCCCATCGACGCTCGAGCCGCAAATGCTCACTGCCCGCCAATTCTCAAGCCGCTCTGCCGACCAATCTCTAATTTTAGTCCAGTTTTCTCCCTGTCTTAGCAGCTTCCAGCACGTCATCCAGGTAGCACGCTCATAGAACTGGTCCTGTTTCTGAAGGTTCTGCTTCTGACGAGTGACAGCATCTGGGTCTAGCTGGGTAATTAGAGGTTCAGACTGTTCAGACGTCAGAAGCGAAGCGGTAACCCCGGGGTCATTTGGCTCAAGAGGCTGAGGCCAAGCGCGCAGTCGCTTTTGGCCCTTAATAGTCTCCTTCGTATAAAGCCAGCCATGAGACCAAAGACCCTGTCCTCGTTCTGCTTGTGCCTCTAACTCCGATATTAAAGAATCAATATCTTGGCTAGAGAATCGGGCGGTGTGCTCCAACCATTTCATTGTGACCATACATTCTAGCGCATATTGGTCTGCCTTCAAGAATTGGTCCCAAACTTCTCGATCAGTAGAATATCGGTGAAGCTTCTGAAAGACAGTTTCCTGTGTCTGGCGGAAACTAGCTCTGCTAGAAGGGCCATCGACACTGATCAGGTTCAGGAGAAGCTTCCAAGTGTTTGCTTCCAACTGTAACCGCTGAAGCTCTTCCTCCGTCTTAGGATCATTTGATGTAATGCCATTACCCCGGCTAGAACTCCATCCCATCTTCGCTCTCTTTAGGGTATTCTGCTTCGAAAGGTCGTGGATGGCATCTTCCGCGATGGTTTGGTAGTCTTTCACTAATTGGTAAACGGCTTGGTAATTCCCTAACTCGTTGGCGCGATTGCCCTTTTGTTTGAACCGGTCTAGCTTTTCTGCAAAAGCTTCGATTTGGCGCGTAACCCGGTCCGCAGTTCGTCGAAGGGGATGTAATGCCTGTTGTGCGCCGGCTGAAGTGAAGAATTCCGAAGCAGTCACGTCAAATCCGCCTGAAGCATGGTCAGCCCCGTGTTCATTCTGAATCCCAGAAGCAAACGCACGTTGTCCATTTGTAGTTGCAACTAAATCAAGAGGCGATTCGCTTCCATTCATATCTTCGATGGACTGGTCCTCCTCCTCGTCTCCATTTTCATCCCCATCAGCCATTTCCTCCTCCTCATCACTGTTGAACTCAAGGTCCTCTTCGTCTATTTCCTCCTCTTCATCCTCCATAGGCTCATCATCGTCATCATCAATCTCAATAACCGCTGGGTGGGTTGTGGGCCTTTGGTTACGCTACAAACAACCGATGGTAAATCAGCAGGCGCATCGCCTAAGAATCAAGCTTGAACACAAGAACTCACGTTTAATGAAGTGAAGCCAGAGGCAGGACCGGCTGGGCCGGTAGCTCTGCTCAGTGGAGCCATCAGCTTCCGAGGGAATCAAAAGACGAGATTCCCAGATACCGAACTGGGAAGAAACAATTTCAGCGGCTCGTCAGGGCTCGGGGAATCCAGTCTGTCTGCTGTCTTGAGTTGTCACGGCATGAATTCTTGTTGGCCGGGAGGCGTGTTTTGGGTAACCCGGTGCTAAGCCAAATACGGACTAGCGCATCAAGCGCGCACGCATTAAAAAGAATTTCTCGGATTCCTTCAGCTTCTTCTTTCTTTCTTCTTCTTAATTAATGTCAATAGGCAATCATTAGAGTCTCGGAACGAGCGCTTCAATCTTCGTTCAGGCTAACGGCCTCTCTGCGTGCTCAAGATTGTCTTAGAGCAATCCTGCCAATTCTTATAAATATCCTAGCTCTTCACTTTACATGAGAGCTCAGATTGCAAAGGAATTGGTACACCCTCCTCTCTCAAGGCTCTACCAGCAACGTCGCAACATCCATATCCTGCATAGGTCGAATGAAACAGATATATATGATAACAGCACGGATTATATACATAAGCATAGATATATGCAGAAGAGCAACACCAGCACTCTTAATATAGGGAGCACAATAGCCTCCCTAAGAGTGCTTCTGGTCGCGTTGCTTCATTCGGAGCCTCAGCAAACTAGGTTTAGGGCAGCTAGGAGTTTTCGCATCCTCGCCTCGTTCTATGTAGAAAGCATTACAGCATTCGTATAAGGCATTAATCTGGGACTGGCATTTATCCTCTTGGTAGGAGTTCATGGTCAAGCATGCTGCACCAGTTAACTCTGAAGCTCACAGCGAACCATAGAGACCTTTACCTTGGATGGCGCACTACAGATGTTTCTCAGCACCTATTGGGAAGGGTTCGATAGCATGGATACAGTAACTTACTGCTCGTGGATGACACGGCGGATCGTGTGCTAGATCCCTCTTCAGGTCTCCCTATTGCCTATTACCAATGGACTCCTTGATAAATTCAGATATACATATATATCTCCAGATCCTACCATGATGTGTTGAGATCCTAGTAATGAAACATTTAACGAGCCAGGGCTATAATGAAATTCAACTAATAGTGGTTGAGAAGAGAAATTCTGAGACCAAAAAAGAACTGATTAATGACCGCAGGTGAGGGGATTGTGAGGTGAATTAAAAGTAGTCTCAGGGTTTCGGGCTATAGTCGTGCTGAAGAAGAAGAAGAAGAAAAAGAAGAAGCCTCTCAAAGCCACAACGAACCTGCGCCGCAAAAATAGATTCTCCGCGCATCTTCAACTTGGTGGGGGCTTCGATCACCTTCTCATCGCCTCCGTTCAAATCCATTGACTTCAACCATATATTCAGCGCCCATCCTCTCTTCCTTCCGTCCCCTTCTTATACCCCTCAACTCCTAGCTAACCGCCTACTGCCTCGCATATTCCGCTCCTTCTCAACAAACCGTGAGTCTCCCCTCTTTCGCCCACCTCTCATTCCGTGCTCTACCCCGCATCCTATTAATGAGACTTTAACGCCAACAACGCTGATAGAAACACTCCAAATTAGTGATAATCTGCAACTATTTCCCCCCTTTCCTCCGTTTCGCCAACCGAAGCTATGTCTGACTCTGTCCCCGGCGGCGAAGCCCCTGCTCCGGTCGAGCATCTCAACATCAAAGTCACGGATAACAACAACGAAGTGTTTTTCAAGATCAAGCGCACAACACAGTTGAAAAAGCTCATGGACGCTTTCTGCGAGCGCCAAGGAAAGCAGCCATCGACTGTCAGATTCCTATTCGATGGAACTCGTGTTCGCCCAGAAGATACCCCTGACACGGTATGGCTCTTATTTACATTGTCTCTCTTGTTTTTCTTTCGTTTTACCAACGGCCCGTTGTGGGTTGGTGTTGAAATGAATATGATCCTAACATTCAGTTCTAATTTAGCTCGACATGGCCGACGGCGATACTCTCGAGGTGCACCAGGAACAGATCGGTGGTTAAATAGACTACTACCTATTTCAGATCACGAATACTTTTTTAACTTCTGTTTATTCCCGTCAAGTTCGTTTTTAGTTTTTTTTTTTTTTTTGTCTTTTTTCTTTTCTTTTTCTTTTCATTTATCCATTTATTTATTGTCGCATTCCAGACATAGGCGCCTAGGTGTTTACAATATTTGAACCTAGCTTCGGCTCGGATCCGGGTGGGGAGGAAGGGGCTGTCTTGTGAATTGTGAATTTCGACTTTTTTGAAGGGGACCCAGGAGATACTTAGATAAGAGGAGAATACCAAAGAAGATAGCTGTGAATGCCGGCAGATTCCGAGTCTGCTCTCTTATGAACCTAGTATGTTGCGCTTTTTTACTAGAGAACGATTGGGCTACCTGAAGACTCTTAGGACTCTAGAGCCATATTATATTATCCATTGGCCGGTTCTCTATCGATGGCAATAGCCCACAACGCCGATGTATAATCTTTTAGTATCTCTCTTGCGTCTTACAAGAGGAGCCTAAAAAAAGACAAGAAATCCCCTGTGGCACCCCGGAATTATCCCATACTCGTATAACAAACAATACAGACATACCGCAACACAACTCCGTCATTAAACTCCCCTTCGAAACAATGAAGAGGAAATGTACCACGAGGAAAAAGATAGAAACGAACAGAAAAAAGAAAAAAAGAAAGAAAGAAAAGGATTCAGTCATCCCAAACAGCAGCCTTGGCTTTCTCCTCTTCTTCCTTGGCTCTAGCTGCCTCCTCCTTCTCTTTATTACGCCGCCTAATTTCCTGCTCTTTCACGGCCCGGTCATACGCCCGCTGTTCCTCTGTCCTCTTTGGAGCTCTAAGACCCAAGGCCCCCGCAATCATCCTGTTCGCAACGGCGGTCTGCTTCTCCGGTCGACGAGCCGAAGCAGAAGACCGGAAGTTTGACGAATCCTGCGAAGACGGGACTGGACCGGTGCTAGTGTACGCCGGCGTATTAGCAGCCCATGTGTGAGAGGTCTGTGGAGAGATCGGGGTAGGTGGGGGGTCGAGAGGTCCCTCTGCCCCAACTAGGGCGGACATCGATAGCATATCCGAGGAATTGTCTTGATGGGACTGTGGAGGTTCTGAGTCGGATGCGGAGGAGTCTATCATCTCATCTTCCCAGGAGTCGGCTACGACAGGAGCTTTCTTCTTCTTTGGCACCGAGGTAGGTATTGAGGGACGGGCGATGTCCCGGATCGGGCCTTTGCCTCCGATACATAGTTCACGGATGGAGGATTGTAGAGCTGATGTTGAGGCTGGAATAGACATGGAAGGCGGGGTTAGCAAAGAAAAGGCACTATGCGCAGCAGCAGCAGTATGCGGGTAGCAAGATGAGGCAAGGATGAATAGAAGAGGTTGCGAGAGACCAAGAGAGGTGAAACGAACTCAATTGTGCGAGAGAGCAGGTGAGAAGGGAAGAGAGAGAAAGACAGGTAGAAGAAACGGACCCTTAGCACTCGGATTAGGCTTTGTTGCCATGTTAGTAACGTTGCAAGAGCCCTCAGGCCCAGAGAATGAGCAGAGTCGATTGCCAGTCGATAATACCCTTGTAGTTATTAATAGTCGACTGTGAAATAATGAATGGCGTCAAGTCGTGGAGTTGCGAGTAAATTCCACCCCGCTTTGTTTGGTTGGGTGTCGTAATTGGCCTGTGGCAGAATCCGGATACCACATTCTCCATCGCCGCTGTCTGGATTTTGGAAGGGAGATGGAGTTTTTCTCCATGATCCAGGGAGTGGGATCGGTTGTTTCCTTCGCGACTTGAGGAAGTAGGTAGTCGGGGGAGGAGGGACAGGATAGAATGACTTCTACTCATTTCTACCACAGTTTCCCATTTGGTTATGTAAAGATCCCACCACAACTTCATTGTCTAGAGACCTCTACGAACAACTCCCCAGACTTTTCTTTTATTGGAAAAACTGACGCTAAATACTTTACAGCAGACGAAATAGAAGAAGGGAGGGTTATTCATTCTTTATTCGGCCGCAAGAAAAATCCGGGCCAAACCTCCATGACCACAAGCTCTCCGTTTCCTTGCTGCGAACAAAATAATCCCTGTACCCAAAGTTCATGGCACCTGCTGGGAAGACGGTAGGGTTACGGCCATTATTATGGACTATACACCTGGTAAGCAGCTTGATGAAGCTTGGGATTCTCCGAACCCTGTTCAGAAGCTCACCGTTGCCAAAGAACTTCATGGCTATGTTTCCCAACTACGCAACTTGAAAGGCGAGACTATACTGGGGCTGTTGATCACGGCAAAGCGATACTCGCACAGCTTGCGTCCCTGGAAGGTGTCCAGTTCGATTCCGAGCAGTTGTTCAATGAACTCATCTTAGCAGATATCATCCAGACAGCACCAGACCTCCTGCGGCACTATGCAAAACGTGCCCTTTATTAAATAACCAACCATGAGATTATCTTTACTCATGCTGATTTGGCTCCTCAGAAATCCTTGTCGGCGAAAGTGGCCATGTAATAGCGATCCTGGATTGGGATGATGCTGGTTGGCACCCAGAGTAGGTCCTGGGAATATGTCAAGGCGCTTCAGCCGTCGTACCTGTTGTACCTTGGCTCTACACGAGATAGAAGATAAGCAAGCTATGTACCTAGGTAGGCGTAACTTGTAATTTTAGTTATTTTGGTGTTGTCCTCAGGGGTTCAGCCTAAAGGAACCTCTCACCAAAATGCCTTTTGAAGTTAAACAAATTCTCAATCGTTTTGGCCATTTACATTAAATAATCGAACAATTGTGGCATTCGTGTTGTTTTACATGTAGACCTTTATAAAAACGACATCATGATGGCTCGTCAAGGGTTCACCCTTCCACTTCTTCGGGGTACCACCACATTGGAGTCAGCCCTCGAGCAAGAGGAGGACATGCTCATTGACCTAGGCTATCCCGAGCAGCGGATAGAATTCTTTGTGTCACTTTACAGCAGTCGCGACGATATCGAGAATATAGCGTCATATCACCTTGGCCTATGTCCCTCGGACACCTGCCCTTGGAAACCTAGGGTCCTCTGGTATATCAAACGATGTATATCATAGCTCTTGGGGTCTACCATGCCCTGTTACTATGTTTGCCATCGCCGTTCAGCTATGCTTGAAAACGGATACTTAGTCATGGATTACATTGGTAACTAACCAAGAGGTGCAAACGCTCTCAGAGACATGGGATGAAGATCGTCATCGCCAAGACAAAAGAATCAACCTCTTTAGGGGTCTATCTCGGATTATGCTCTCTTTGAGTCGGACGCCACTGCCTCGTATAGGATCTTGGACGTTAGACACGAATGGGATCTTGCAGCTTTCCAACCGTCCTCTTACTCTTCGACTTCATCAATTAGAAAATGCGGGTATTGCAACCAATATCGGTCGAAGCTTGACTTATTCCACGGCGGACGCATACTACCTAGATCTTTTATCTTGTCATGATAGTCGCATACGATATCAACCAAATTCCTTGAGTGACGCGGACGATGGTCGCGCCCAGATGGCAAGATTGACTATCATGCAAGCGCTTCTGCCACATTTCGCTAACCGAGAGCTTCGCGAAGGACCTTTCTTATACAGACTCACAGACCTCCACCCAAGCAATATTTTTGTTGACAATAATTGGGATATCAAATTTGTGGTTGATCTCGAATGGGCATGTTCTCTACCGGCGGAAACCCTACGTCCTCCGTATTGGTTGACTGGTCGTTCTATAGACGATCTAACAGGCGAGCACCTGGACACCTTTAGGCAGGCATATGAAGAGTTTATGGATGTTTGTAAGGAGGAGGAGAAATCATTTCCACGTATAACCAACACCTGCTTATATCGGACAGAACTTATGGGAAAAGGTTGGCAAATTGGGAACTTTTGGTATTTCCAGGCCTTGGACAGCCCGAAAGGCCTGTTTAATCTTTTCCATCAGCATATCCACCCCATCTTTGCGTCCGCTCATCGTGTTAGTTCGGATTTCTCGCGGGTTGTATCGGACTATTGGGCCGCAAATGTGGAGGAAGTGATAGCTGCCAAGCTCCGAGATAAAGAGGACTATGACAATAAGCTGTCTCAGCGGTTCAAAGATGCTGCTGCTCATATTTGAGATGAGACTTTGCGGTTTTATTCTAACATGGTGATTTTTTTAACTAGTCACAAGAACTTGAGGCTGGTGGGGATACTAACACAGGTCGAATAGTATTTTTCCATGTCTGTTGTCGGTCTCTACACCAGCCAATCTTGCTACACACGGTCCGCTGCATGTAGAACCAAACCTATCACTTCAAACCCCTGGACTTTCTCCAGGTATCTCTCAAAGACATCAAGAGTTTCGGATGGCTCTGACTTTCAGTTGTGAGTAAAGGGGTTTAATGGGTCTAGAACAATACTACCTATTTCCTTTCATTTTGTATGCTTACATGTAAAACCACTATTGTCGTCTATGTATTGGCCCGAAAAAGACTGAAAGGCTTGAATGATGCACTTATTTCTTAGTCTTGGAGTAATTAACCGCGCTACAGCCTTAGCTATGTCTTATGAAGATGATGCAGTAGCCAAGTAAAGGTGCATTGCTTTATGACTGATAGAGGGGGGTATAATTGGTTCCTAACCATTGAACCTTCAATGAATGGAAACCTGATATGTGTTGATGCTGCTTCTCTTTGTTCTATATTTATTCCACCATGATCTGTCTGTTCCAAGCACTTTATCAAGGGCCCTCCAACCTGATAGTTGATTCTATTCTTCCCAACCTCTCCTTCCACCACTCTACTCTCTCTTTTACCCCCCCTTATGCCATCCTCCAAAATTCAGCACCGACAGCGAGAGAAAAACCCTCTTCATCCTCCTCCGGTATTTTGGGATAGATTAACTAGGATACGATTGACCAAGGGCGCGTTGAGAGAAGTTAATCGCAGAAATAATCTCTTCTCTCCAAACCGGGGCTCCCGTTCTTTCTCTCATACTTTTGCTTCTGAATTTCTGCGTAACTGCTCTGCTGCTTGTTTGCGGGAGATTAGAAAACTTTCCCACCGTGGAGGGCCGGATCTATCTGATATTAGAAACGTGGGTTTACTACCAACCCCCTGAATACCTATTCAGCAAACAGATATCATATACTAACTAACTGGTATGTTATTTACTCCTAGTATCCGGAACCACCCCACTGCTACCAGATCTCCATGAGTCCTACAAAGACTAGCTCGAGACGCTCTCCTAGGGATAAGGCGGCTGAGCACACGACGAATTATGACGAGAATTTTCAGGATCATCTAATCAGCCATGGTGTTTATCCTCCATTCTCTAGATACCCCGATAGTACTGGGCTATCCAAACCAGGGAACTTTGCAGACATCCAGAGGAGATTACTGATTCGTCGACCTTCACTTATGTTGCCACCAGACTCCTTGGAAAAGGAATATTCAGAATTCGCGACAATTAATGCAGAGGCTGGTGAGAAACAACTCGTCATGAAGGAAATACTTCCTATTCTTGAAGGCAAGAAACCCCCATTTACTCGAACTGGTGGTGGATATCCATTTAAGAATCTTGCTCCTTTAACTGACGGCACCCTGCCCTCTGCTATACCCGACTTTTACCACGGCGCAGCCCCAAACCAGCTAAACCCTGTCATCCGGAAGCAGCTGAGTGACCAGATTATCCCATCAAAGCAGAGCAACCGTCCAATGGCTCCAAATTTTTTTATTGAAGTCAAAGGTCATGCTGGATCAATGCTTGCGGCAAGAGGCAAGGCCTGCTATGATGGTGCTCTAGGGGCACGGGCTATGCATTCTCTCCAGCAATTTGGGAATGAGAGTAGCACCAACATGCCAGCCAATTACGATGGTAATGCCTATACTATGATTTCTGTCTACCAATCTGGATTCCTCAGTATATACGCGACCCATCCTACGAGCTCTAGGTCTAATAGCCCAGACAATCACCCCGATTATGTGATGACCCAACTTGGACAATGGGCATTATCTGGCGACCCAGAGACCTTTCAGCAAGGTATAACTGCTTATCGAAATGCTCGGGACCTGGCTCAAGAACAGAGAAACGAGTTCATCAAGCAGGCGAATGAACGGTATGCGTCTGCTGCGGGCGGTTTTGATGAAGAATACTCCGTAGGCAGTGAGTGTACGGAGTACGGCAAGCCAATACCGCCAATTAGCTTGCCGTAGTGAGTGGTATCTGACAAAGGTGGGAAAGGTAGTTAGCTAACTGATGAATAGTAAAGACTATTTACGGCGCTGAATTGTGTATCATCTGGGTAAGAAGCGGATTTCGTGATTTCGTTGGCGTGCGAGGGATGATAGGATTGAGCTTGATGGCAGGATTAGATTGTTTTTTTTTTTAGAGAAATGTCATTTTACAGAGAAAACTAGTCGGGATCTACTTTCCTTGGTTTTACATCCTAATTCTTCACCCTGTACGGAGTATAGTGAGCCCAGCAAAAAAAAAAAAAAAAAAAAAAAACCCATTCCGCCGCCAATTTCCCCTCCCCCTCCGCCGACAACGGCGGCCAGCCACGTTTTCTCCCTTTTCTTCCCCCTCTTCCTCATCCTCATCCTCATCCTCTTTCTCGTCTTTCCAATTGCACTTTTCCTGCTCTCCAAATTCCTTGCTCAGCACCACCAAAATGGCCACGTATGTGCTCTAAACCCAGTGCCCTTCCTCCTCTCCAACAACGACCATCAAAAACAAAATGAACTAACAAACAACCCCTCCCCTCCCAGTAACATCACCTTCCACGCCAGCGCCCTCACACGAGAAGAGCGCAGCACGCTACGCAACCAACGCGGCCTCACAATCTGGCTGACCGGCCTATCCGCATCCGGAAAGTCCACTATCGCAGTGGAACTGGAGCACCAGCTCCTGCGCGATCGCGGGGTCGCCGCCTACCGCCTAGACGGCGACAACGTGCGCTTCGGCCTAAACAAGGACCTGGGATTCAGCGAGAAAGACCGCAACGAGAACATCCGCCGGATCGCGGAAGTCGCCAAGCTCTTCGCCGATAGCGCCACCATCGCCATCACCTCGTTCATCTCGCCTTTCCGCGCCGACCGCGACACCGCGCGCCAGCTGCACGAGGTGCCTACCCCGGGCGAGCAAACGGGGTTGCCCTTCGTCGAGGTCTACATCGATGTCCCCATTGAGGTTGCCGAGCAGCGGGACCCCAAGGGCTTGTACAAGAAGGCCAGGGAGGGCATCATCAAGGAGTTTACCGGGATTAGTTCGCCCTATGAGGCTCCGCTGAAGCCCGAAGTCCATGTTAAGAACTATGATTTGCCCGTGCAGGAGGCTGTGAGGCAGATTATTGCTTATTTGGATGAGCAGGGTTATTTGCCTCCTAAGAAGGAGTAAAAAAACAACAACAACAACGAAACTCTTTTTTTTTTTTTTTTTTTTTTTTTTACGTTATGTTCCTTTTTTGGGTGCATTTCTCTTTTCTTTCTCTTGGATATACACTTTTTTTTTCCCTCTCTCTCTCTCTCTCTCTCTCTCTCTCTCTCTTTTATGGTTGTTTTGACATGGCTCATGATACTGGATGACTTGACGTGTTGCTGGGTTTTATAGAAGTGCAGATAGATTGCTATATACCTATCTATGTTTGTGCATACAATAAACACGTACGAAATTCATATACTCTATATATTTGCTGGCATAAAGGTTTCAAAGTAGTGAAAGGAGAAAGAAAACCGGTTCAAAGCTATGTACGCTACCAACATCAATGCAGGTATTCAACGAACCATCCAAGTGGTAGAATTAAATATCAACAAATACAACCCAACCCCAGTATCTTAATTGAACTCGAATTCATAATACACGTACGGCGTATACTCTGCTCCACTGCCCTCGCCACCGGCATGCATCTCGTTCGGGTCATCTTTCTTGACTCGGCCCTTCTTGTCCCGTCCGAACGCATTCCCGGCCAGGTACGAGTATTTCTCGTCCAGGTTATACTTGGCCTTGTCGGCTTGTTTTGTACTCGGGGCCTGGAATGAATTAGTATGCCAGGATTCCAGAACGGTTTTGGAAGAGAAAACGTACGCGAATGAGCGTGCACACAAAGTCCAACGGAAGTCCGTACCGCAGCACAGTCTCCACAAACACTCGCAGGACAAGCACGTGCATCCATACCATGACAGCCTCGCTCCACGCCGTCCGTCCCAGTCGGAGGGTCTCGCCCCAGAGCTTGCGCTCGTCGCCCCCGACCCGCTCGACCTCTTTACGTTCCTCCTCTCTCCCGCCTTCGACGTACTTGAAGTCGCGGGGGATCCACTTTTGTTCACGGCACTTGTGCACGAACTCTGCGCTATGCTTTTTGAATCCGGTGACGGCGTACAGGGTAAACTCATCATCCGAGGCCACGAGGCTTGCCGATCGAGGCACTACCATGGGTGCGACAGTCTCATAGGTCTTGAGAAATTCCTTCACTTGCTGGGCTGGGACCGCGACCAGATGTGTCTCAAGGTACTCTGAGTTTTGAACAATGGTGCGGGGGTCGACTACCGAGGCGAGGGACTTGGTGGATAGGTTTCCTCTGATCAGAAAGTTAGGGAGGGTCTCATAATTTCAGCAAAAAAAAAAGGGGGGGGGGAAAGGCGAGCTCACGTCTGCTTCCGTTGGAGAGTGGCCAATGTATTTTTGACCTGGTTGTACTGAGAGTATTTCGATCGGACGTCATTATCGATGCTAGCTGCCTCCTGCGATAAGTTAACACCCAACACCCACATCACGGATTATATATATATATATATATATATATATATGAACCTGACCTTCTGGAGAAGATCGATTATCTCTGCCAGCGGCTTATCGGCACGATACTTGACTTTGTTCCAAGAAAAGGTGCGCAGATATTGATCCGCAGGTTCTAGCTCAAGAGGTTAATACATAACAGTCCCCCCTCCCCCCCCAAAAACCCGACTAGACATGATCTAAAAAAGAGAAACGTACTATCATTCACGGCCTTCATTTTCTCAATCTGCGCCTCATCTCCGTCCAAGATATTCTTCAACGCATCGCTGACCTTGCCCACGACACCCTGGCAGGCAGTCTCAAGCTTAGCAAGTTCGTCGGCTTGCTGCACCAGAGCATCGAGAGTACCGATCTTGAATTCTGGAATCGGGAACTGGGCTACCGATCCGTTCTCTGGAGCGACGGTGGTGGTGATGGCGTCAAGGGCATCGTCGCGGTGGTGCGAGGGGGTGATGGATGAGGGGAGAGAAATGAGGAGATACTTGGTTGATTTGGACATGGTGGGCGGTAGGAGGGCAAACGAGGGGATATTTCGAGGTTAGAAATTGGAAGATCCAGTTGCCGCGCTTGGGGAAGCGGACATGAGGGCCGTGGCAGGTTGGACGGGGCGAGGTGACGATGTACTTCTTCTTCTACCAGGTGTCACCGAAGCTGCGGGAGGTCGTTGGCGGAGGCGGTCGGGGGAGGGAGGGGGGGGGACTAGTGTGTTTCCCTGCTGCAAACTACTATCTAGGGACCTGACAGATTGTAATCTTTTAATTTATTGGCCCCTTAAGAACTTACTTATGTATATCTTTAATATGCCTTAATAAAAAAGGAAGGTCACTTTCGTCGCCCATTTGCAGCGTGGGGTTCTACACGATCTAGTATAGCAAAGTATATGTATGTATGTATGTACATTACCACCAATATTTCCTTCCTCGGACGCCAGTTAAAAACCCCCAAGAATTATATACCCTTCCCATGTTTGTAGTATTAATAAAGAAAATCAAACACTTCGTCTAATTGGCGATCTTGTAAAGACTCGACATGGCCTGAAACAACCTGTTAGTCCCCTGTTCTAGAGAGTCCACGAGTGTAAAATGTGAAAACATACCGCTGCTTGTTTAGGCTCCACGAAGAGAGCCTTTGCTTCCACCAGAACAACTGGCTCCTGGCCCTCCTCGGGTAAAGTCTCAATGCGGCCCTCCACCCAGGCTTTGCGGCCCTCCACCTTGGTCACCTCGGCACGCATCACCACGTAGGAAGAAGCCATGGCCGGACGACGGTAATCGATGTTCAAGTTAGCGGTAACGCCAACCTTGTTCGGGAGAACAGGGAAGCAGCATCGTCCCATGCCTTCATCCAGGAGCGTGGCCAGAAGTCCTCCGTGAACAATCCCCGGGTGACCGGAGACGTTCGGGCCGAGATACATGATGGAGACCAAGGACTTCTCATCGCAAAAGACATATGGCGGAACGACGATTCCCTCGGAGTTTAAGAGGGTGCCAGCAGTGAGATTGCGAAGGCGTAGCTTTTCGGGAATTTTCATATAAGGCCGCGACTCGACAAATGCAGGATCCTCCCGTAGCGATACAGCCAAGGGATGGTTGTGGATATGGTTTTCGACCTCTCGAGCGAACTCATCGGGAGGGGTGAATGCGGTCAGGGTTTCTTCGTCTGTCAGGAGTGAAACCGTCATTATGCGAGATACAGTCTTTTGTGTTTGGTAGGCTAGTCCGGCAGTAAATGCGATTGCAGCAATCGAGGTAAATCCCACAAAGCGACGGAGACGTGAACGAGGTTTGGGGGAGTGAGGCGGGACAGCAGCACCTAACCCGGGATCAACGCTAATGGTTAGCTGCGCCGACGACGCAAAGAGAAGAGCGCGGGTGGGGGAAACGCACCAGACGTGGAATATGGACGGGGAGGAAAAGATGAAGCTCGAGGGACTGGGTAAGACACGGCGTGTCTCAACCGTTTTGTAGTAGGAAGGCGAGAAACTTGGGGCCTGGTCGCAGTGGAGACAGTTCGAATAAACGTTGGGGATGCAACTCCGTGCATGGTGAAGGAGGGGCTGGAGAGGAGAAAGAAAGTGCACCAAAAGAGCGAATGGGGTTGAGACAAGGTCAGAAAGAGGATAATGGTCCGAAAGCCTGTTCAACGGTTCAATAATGAGTGTAGTTTGCCCCGTTCCTGAGATATCGGTAGAATCGAAGCAGAACAGATTCCTAAGTAAGTTGTCCGGGACCGAGTGATTGGTGCATGAGAAAGCGGAGACCAAAAGAACCTCGGTTGACATTTGATTTTATGCAGTTGATATGCATTGTAGATGTGAATTCTGGGGGTCATTAAAGGAACTGGAATGAAGATATTTGATTAGCAGTGATAAGATTTTGATACTATTGGAGATTCTGTAAGATCGAGATGTTGTGTTGCTATAGTTAGGTAGTACATCTCTATTATCCCCCAATTATGTTATTATAAGTACTGCTATTGGATACTATGGTAATATTAGCATTGAATAACAAATAAAGTGAAGTATGGTACTTAAGTAGGGATTGCTTGTTGTTGTTATTATTCCTGACCAAATCTATTATACTCAGGTGAAGTACTTCAAACTCATCTCTTTCTTCAACTCTCTCTCCTCTTTTCATCATCCTTCCTTTCACTATCCTTATTATCATTTACTTATAACCTACCTCTCCTCATCCTTGATCCTAGTCCTCTTGGCCTCGACTAGTTACTGTGATGCACTTAATCACGTCCTACACTCCCTGCACTGTGCAGCATTTGCTGCATGTCTTAATAAAATCCTACCATGATCGACTCCATTGATCGTCAGGGGTGTCCGCTTGATTCCACATGCCTTCCGTTAACCTCAAATTTGATATGATCCCCCTCGATGGGGCAGCGGCTAGTACCTACGAACCCCAGACATACCTGCCCGCATTCCATAGCAGGTCCTCCCAAGCACAACCGTGACACGGTCATTTTGGCCTCTCCCCCCCCTCGTTGCTTCTTCTTCTATCAGCTACAGTGTTGTTTGCAATGAATTGCTCGTTCCTTGTCGCGCTCCTCCAGGCCCTTTCGGTCGTCTGGGCCGTGAACTCTTCCGATCCCTCTATCATCGACGACTATGATGATGTATTGCAATATGTTAATCCCCTCATTGGCAGTGCGAACGGAGGTAAAATATTCTTGGTTACCTATCATATCACTCACTGAATTCACAAATTCTAACCATTCACAGGAAATGTCTTTGCGGGCGCGTCTCTCCCGTACGGAATGGCTAAAGCTGTTGCTGATACGGACTCCGAGAGCAACCAGGGAGGGTTCACACTGGACGGCAGTAAAATCACTGGGTTCTCCAGCTTACATGACTCTGGCACTGGAGGTTCTCCATCTCTCGGGAACTTTCCTCTATTCCCCTACGTGTCCTGCAAAGACGATGAGGTCAATGGCTGCGTCTACCCCAAAAAAGAACGCAAAACATCTTACGACCCGGGATCTGTAGTTGCGGAGCCTGGGTACTTCGCGCTAACCATGAGCTCTGGTATCCAAGTTGACATGACCACATCTCAGCACACGTCGCTATTCCGCTTTCGTACCTCATCTAAAGAGCCATCGAGTCCTTTGATCTTGCTGGATCTGACTGATCTGTCAGATTCCCGACAAGACAACGGTTCCATACATGTGGATGCAACGACAGGTCGCCTAGCAGGAAATGCTCGTTTCTTACCAAGTTTTGGAAGTGGGTCTTATGTTCCATACTTCTGTGCCGATTTCGAAAGTGATGCTGGAATGCGCGACAATGGAATATTCGTCAACTCGCGAGCAAGCACAAATGTGAAGAACTTGACAGTCTCCCGGAGCATCAATGGCTATCCTCTCCCGGTATGATCTTCTACCAAGCTCTAAACCAAATTTGCGACTGATAATCCTAGGGTGGTGGTTTTGTTCGATTTAATCCACAAACAACCCACACGATCAAAGCCAGAGTTGGCGTGAGCTTTATTAGCACTGATCAGGCATGTAGAAATGCTGAGAACGAAATTCCTACCTTTGACTTTGATGCCGTCCGATCAGCAGCAGTCGAGCAGTGGAGAAAAAAGCTCGCTCCTATCCGAGTATCGAAGACAGGAATCAACTCCTCCGTATTAACCAACTTTTACAGTGGTATCTACCGGACTATGATCAATCCCCAAGATTACACCGGAGAAAACCCACTCTGGAAGAGCTCAGAGCCATACTTTGATTCCTTCTACTGGTATGGTTTTTTTTTTTTTTTTTTTCGGCCGTGTGAATGGGCTGTTTCTAACAAGTCAATAGTATTTGGGATTTATTCCGATCTCAGTTACCGTTTTTAACTCTCGTAGATCCTTCGACAGTAGCTAAAATAGTCCGTTCTCTGATTGACACCCAGCAGCATCTAGGTTGGCTCCCAGATTGCCGTATGTCGTTCTGTAAAGGTATGTTACCACCCTTTTCCTGTGTAGATTGATGCTAACCGTCGTAGGTTTCACGCAGGGCGGTTCTAACGCAGATGTGGTCCTCGCCGATGCATTTTTGAAAGGAGTATCCGAGGGGATTGATTGGGAAGCTGGATATGCGGCTGTCAAGAAAGATGCCGAGGAAGAGCCATATGACTGGTCAAATGAAGGTCGAGGAGGGTTAGAGAGTTGGAAATCGCTCAACTATATCCCAGTGGAAGATTTCGATTATATCGGCTTTGGAACTATGACGCGGAGCATCTCCCGCACCTTGGAGTATTCATATAACGATTTCACTATTTCTCAGATGGCCCGGGGTCTCAAGAAGACCGGTGATGCAGAAAAGTATGAAGGGACTTCGAGATTCTGGCGGAATCTCTTCAGGGCTGATCAGACCTCTTTCCTTTCCGGAACTGATACCGGCTTTAAAGGCTTCTTCCAACCAAAGTACCTGAATGGGACATGGGGGTTCCAGGATCCGATAACATGCTCTAACATCGATACTAGCGGGAGGTCATGCTCTCTCCAGAACAATGCAGCGGAGACCTTTGAATCGAGCATTTGGGAGTACCAATTCTTCGTACCCCATGACATGGCTGCACTGATTACTCTTCTGGGTGGTCCCTCCCAATTTGTCCGTCGTCTCGACTTCCTTCACGATAAAGGCATTACGTATATCGGCAATGAACCGGCCTTCCTCACCGTTTTTCAGTACCATTATGCGGGGCGCCCCGGAAAGTCGACTTCCCGCGCCCACTTCTACATTCCACGCTTCTTCGATCCTAGTCCCACTGGATTACCTGGAAATGATGATTCCGGTGCTATGGGCTCATTTGTTGCGATGACCATGATGGGTCTTTTCCCAAACCCCGGCCAGAACGTGTATCTGATTACCACCCCCTTTTTTGAGTCTGTTCGCATCACATCCCCCGTCACTGGCCGCAACGCGACCATCCGTACCGTGAACTTTGATCCCTCATACCAAAATATCTACATCCAGTCTGCTACATTGGATGGAAAATCGTACACGAAGAATTGGATTGGGCACGACTTCTTCACGCAGGGAAGAGAGCTTGTTCTCGTCTTAGGCCGGAACGAGAGCCAATGGGGGACTGGGGCGCAGGATATCCCGCCGTCTTTGTCAGGCGCAGAGGTGTCTACTTTTTGATTTTCAGGATGGGCGATTCGAGTAGAGCCGAGGATATCAGTGTACTTCACACGAGCGTTCATCGTCTTGGGTGGGTGGTTTTAGGGTCTGGATTGGCACGTGACATCCATGCTTCCAACACCAATCACCGTTATATTGCTAGGGAGAACGATTTGAAGGGGAAAAAAAAAAAAAAAAAAAAAAGAGGTTCATCATTTATTCGCACTTTTATTATGAGTCCGTTGAAGGTAAATGAGTAGTAAAAAACACAAGAACGGGTTGAGCCCATAGATCCAGACAACTTTCATGAGGTAAAAAAAAAAAAAAAAAAAAAAAATGGCGGGGGAATCGTAGTATATACATTGAATATCATCAGCCATATGTGTGATATGCCGGGGGTAGTAGCTGAAATCGAAATCAGGTAAAAAGGGGGACCAAAACAAAAAAAAAAAAAAAAAAAAGAGCTCTAAGCCTTAGGGCGATAGAACTTGCTCTCTATCCAAGGCATACTAGCAACAGTAGCCTTACGAAGCTTGTTCCGCACGAGGACACCAACCTCTGTTCCCTTCTTATGCATGCCCTGTTGAATATATCCCATGGCGATATTGACTCCGCCTAGAGAAGGACTGGGCAAACCCGAGGTAACGACACCGATCGGGGTCCGCGATTCATCGTTCAAGGCGACGATGACGGCGCCCTCGCGTGCAGGCGAGCCCTTCTCGACTGTGAATCCGACACGGCGCTGCGTGAGCGTTTTCCCCGGGGAAGCGAGCTGCGGCAGGATGGTCTCGGCGCCGTTGAAGGAGCCGGCGCCTGTTGCGGACCCCAGGTCGCGGCGGTCCTTGCCGACGACCCAGCCCAGAGCGGCGGTGGGGGGGGTCACGGCGGTGGAGATGTCGTGGCCGTAAAGACACATTCCGGCTTCGAGGCGGAGGGAGTCGCGGGCGGCGAGTCCCGCAAGACGCACCTGGTCTGGGTTGGAGAGGAGGAGCTCGGTGACTTGGTCTGGGAGGGAGGCGGCGCCGGCGGTGGGGATGGAGATCTCGAAGCCATCTTCGCCGGTGTAGCCTGTGCGGGAGATGAGGAGTGGGTGCGGGGTGCGCGAGCCGTCGGGGAGAGTGAGGTAGAGAGAGCGGCAGTTGCCGAAGTACAGGGTGCTCAGGTCGGCGGCTGGGTCGGTACCGGTGCCGTGGATGAGGGGTTGCAGGGCTGCAGCGGCCTGGGGACCCTGCAGGGCGATCAGGGCACGGTCTTCGAGAATCTCCCAGACAAGGGATTCGGGACCGTGGGTGGCCTTGTAGGCGTTGATTTCGGCAGAGAGGAAGGCCAGGTCCTCGTCGCGACGACCGGCGTTGGTGACGAAGTAGAAGGAGTCCTCGGAGCGGCGGGTGATGACGGTGTCGTCAATGATACCGCCGGTTCCGGGTTCCAGAAGACAAGAGAGGGTGGATGAGTTGTTTGTGAGCTTGTCAAGGGATGAAGGGGTGACTTTCATGAGAAGCTCGAGGGCGCCTGGGCCACTGAGCTGGTGTTGAACCCTAATTTATCACATAGGTTAAAAAAAGTGAATTCTCGGGAAAAAGGGGGGGGGAAAGAGGATTCACATTTCGAACAGAAAGCAAAGGGAAAAACATACATATGGCTGACATCGAACAAACTGGCCTTCTCTCTCGTCCACTTGTGGCTTTCAACATGGCTGAGATCGGAATACTGCAAGGGCATGGAGAATCCCGCAAAGGGGACCATTTTGGCGCCCTTGGCGACGTGCAAGTCATACAGCTGTGTCTTGCGCAGAGGACCGGACGGAGCTTCAGAAGAGGCATATCTCACGCCCGCATTGACGGGCACAGTGATGGTGGCAGCAGCAGCAGCAGGAGAGAGCACTGGTCGTCCAGCAGCGGGCAAGCGGAGAGCGCGGCGGGCCTCGCGCGGAGAAGCAAACTGGCGCGGGGCCAAAGCCAGAGAGCCATTGACGCCAACAGGGGCAGATTGAGAGATGGACCTCGATCCAAGGAGGTGAAGGCCTCTTCGCAGGGGTCGTACGGCAGACATTATGGAGGATTTAGATGGAATTGAGAGAAGGAAAGAGGGAGAAAAAGAAGAAACGAAGAACAGCAGATGAGCTCCGAGAAAGCTTCATGAGGGGATCGGTAAAGTCACGTGGCGATAGGGGAATCCCGCGGGAATTTCCCAGTGCTCCTCTGTATACGAAGCCATCGACAGTACTTTACGATTCTACTCGAGACATCAGTCTCTACGACTGTATGGTTCTCTAGTTGAGTTGTCTCTATCATGATAAATATCCACTTGGAGTCTGCAGGAAACCGGGATACGCAGACGGTTTACTGGGGATAACATCCAGTGCTATCGAGAATTTCCTCCTCGGTTCCGCCTTCGGAGTAGTGAGTTCTCCGAATCACATATTACATACAGCCCTGCCGCCGGGTTCGGGGGCTTCTTGCCTGTTGCAATTCTTGTATTTGTTCGGTATATGAGTGAGGAGACTCTGAGCCTCAGAGAAGTATCCGCTATATAAAGGAAAGAAATGTGTGTACTAAGGAGAGGGAAACATAACAAGGGGCCATTTCTAGCACATCAATCATCCTTCAAATCAGTCGTCAACAGCCCCCAGGGCCGTGTATTCACATGTCAGAAACATCCATCTCCGCACGATTTCCATGGCCTAGGAAAGAGAGAGGGGGAAAAAAGCAAAATGTAATTGAACTCAAGGGGTCATAAAATAGATCGTCATTAGAGTCCGTTGTCCGCACAGGAGAAAGCACTTCCTACCGTTCCAGCCTCATAATTCTGGATCACGCTCTCAATAGATGCCTATATATATATATATAAATCCGCCATTAGTGAATCCTAGGCTTTTGGAGAAGTCGATAACTTACGTAAGTTCCAGGCCCCAGGAAATAAAATCCGATGAGAATTAAAGCAACGTTGACAATCGCGCCGATCCAGCCACGAATCCCCCGATTCTTATAAAAATGTGGTCCATGGTCATCATATCTCATGCGGAGGTAGGCCACTCCCCAGAAGATGAATCCAAAGAAAGAATCAAAAAGTGAACTCATGATGGAAAGGAGATCGGAGAAGAACGGAATAACCTCTGCAATGATGAACGCCAAAATCCATAAACCGGCTAGAATGCCAGCCCAGCTCAGCCAGCCGACAACGGTATGGTTACCCTTGTGGCGAGTACCCTCGAAAATGCGGAAGAACAGGAACCGGGCAGAGACCGAGGCATACAGAACACCCAAAAAGATCAAGGTTGGGATCATAAACGAGAATGAGATTTTCTTGTACGTCTCATTACCGAGGGAACCGAAGGCTGGGGCTGTCATGTATTGGTTTCCGGTATAGACATAGACTATGGACCCAACCAAGCTGAACACGATGATTTCTGCGATAGTGACAGCGGTGACAGACTTCCAGAAGTCCCTGGGTTCCTTCATCTCCGCAATAAAACTTGGTAATGTGATCTGGCCGATAAATGTGTAACTAATGTTCAAGAAAGCATTCATACCCGAGACAAATGTGGTCCCTTTCAAGGGGGTTGCCGTGAAGATCGGGCTACCAAGGGCCGGGGTGTAGCCAGCTGGGTGATCCTCAATTGCCGAGAAGATGACAGCCAGCATGACGGAAATGAAGGTAGTAATTGCAGATAATGTCGCGATTTTGGACAGGGTATTGAATGTACGAGGAAGCGAAAAAACCAAGGATATGATTGCAGTCACGAGGGAAAACACGATACTGCAGGTCGAATGACCGGTGATCGTGTTGAGATATTCCGCACCGACTAAGCAATGCAAACCCTAGATGGAAGTTAGGAAATCATCGTCTGCAGACGATGAAGGGGCATTGAGAGATCAAGTACCTGAATGAAAGTGTTATTCAACAAGAACATGACGGCAGTCAGGTACCAAGCGATCTTGGAGCCCCAGAAGAGATGTTGGCCAATGTCGCAGACATCGCGCACATGGGGATGGCGCAGACAAAACCGCCTAGATGATGATGTTAGCGCCTACCCAGTCTCTGCGCAAACACAGTTCATAGGTGACGCATTCCATACCAGACAACAAGTGAAGTATAAAGCACGATGAACGCGATGACCACAGTCAAGATCAACCCGGGAACGAGACCCAGGACGGAGTAAGACCACGGAAACGACATGATTGCCAGACAAATATACTCGGAGAACAGTAAAGCAGCCGTCTAGAGGTACGCAAGTCAATTAGTATATGAAAGGGCCATTTCGTTGACAAAATATGTGTGGGTGTACCATACCTTCTGCCAGCTACAAGTCCGATACTTGATGGAATTCTCAGTCTCCATTTCAATTTGTCGACCAACCTCCCCAGATTCAGAATCAGATAGCAAGCCTGTTGATTGCGGTTGACTTTCAGGGTCCTTCAACTTGGCGGCTCGCTGTTCTGAGGCCAACGACCGACGGTCGTACTCGACGGCCTTTTCTGCTTCGAATCCCGCCATTTTATCGCGCGGACGAACCGGGGGTCGTGGGGAGTTGGTGAATAGAGCAAAAAACAGGACCTAGGGGCCTTCGGATGCATGTACTTGTTTTCTGTTGGTAACTGTGCAGAACGACTATAGGGGGGGGGGGGAATGTCGTAAATTAGTACGGAGTATGTATGAGAGGATGGGATGTAGAGCGGAAGACAGCGAACGGGTCAAAATATCGAGAGATCCACGAGAAACGAAGAAAACGGGGGCGATTTAAAATGCAACTGAATTACCTCTGATGGAAATAACTGGAGGAGCAAAAACTCTGCACGACAAGGACTGGAGAGAGGAGGAGGAGGAGGAGAAAATCTAGTAAGACGGATTGGGAGTGGAGATGACAGAGACCTCAAGAAACCCAGAAGCAACCCCAAGAGACTTGAAAGGCCATCACAAAGAAAGAAAAGAGGAGAAAATGAAAATTCAAATCATGACGTGCTCGGAGAGTCCGTTAGCCATCAATAATAGAGAGGAATAATAATAGGTCTGGAATACAGGGTTTCAGGACAGGTACTCTCGCCCAAAACGAACCCGCATTCATCATCTCGAATGCAGTTTCCACGGTCCAAGTGCGAAGACCCCATTCTTTTGATAGGATATAATTGGTGAATCTGAAGCATTGTAACCCAAGAACCCATGGAAGTTCCCATGCCTCTCTGCCGGGGGGGGAAAGAGAAGGAATTTGGGATTCTTTGAGGCGGATTATCGCCCCGCATCCGGGATGTTCACATACTCTGTACATTCAGAGCTTAATGATACTTATAAAGATCATATCCATCCAAAAAATGAATGAATAACTAATATAGATGTATATTAATCCATACCAAGATCCAAGGGTGGATAATCAAAGGTGATGTCATGTACGCCCAATAAATCTAATCTTAACCTCTTAGTTACCACCAAGTGAAAATGAATAGTCAAGAAAGAGAATATGCACAGGGAATGAATTTTATGATCTATAGGCAGCCACCAACCTATCAAAATAATATACCAAATACTGCTGCTGCTCCTCCTCCTTCCTCTCCTCCTTCCCTTCTTACATCCCCTCATCTTCCCCCGCAAGCAATGCCGCGTAGTCATCCACCGAAGCAAACGTTGGGAGATGCTTGAGTTTACGGCGCTTCTTCCGATCCGACTTGTCCTCGTCCTTCGGGAGTTCCACTCCGCCTCCGACTTCCAGATCCGACGGCAGTTCCTCGTCGCTGTCGAGGAACGCCTCTTCGTCTGAAACATCCATGTCGAAGTCGTCCTCATCCTCGAACTCATCTTCCTTGGTAGCCCGGCCCTTGCCAGCCTTGGACTTCGGAGCGGACTCCTCGAGGCCAGCCCATTCCTCCGCCTCCACCTCGCCAGCATCCTCCATATCTTCGTCGGACTCGTCATTGAAGATGACTTCATCATCATCTCCGCCTTCCTCATCCTCATCTTGATCGTAGGCAGACTCCAAATCGTCCAGATCAACGTCATCTTCACTCTCATCTCCAGCCTCCAGGTCTGGTCGAGAGTCAACGAGAGCTTTCCAGATCTCCGACTCGGCATCGCTGGGCTCTTCTGCATCTTCTTCATCCTCGTCTCCGGCGCCCCCGGTCTTCTTCTTCTGAGCCTTCTCCTTCTCCTTCCCGAGTCGGTTAAAGTACTCGTGGAAGAAGGCATCTTCCACCGCCACGTCTTCGGCCTTCTTCCGCCAAAACGCCTCCGAGTTGAGCGGTAGCTGCTGCTGCTGCTTCGCGGAAGCCAAGAACCGATCCTTCGCATCGCTGCCAGCAAGCGGTTGCATGATGGAAGAGCCGCGGGTAGCTGCCGCCGCCTTGGGCGCGCGGTAAACGAATCGGTCCAGGAAGTGAGTCAAAGTGTGCAATGTCATGTCGGGCTTTCCGCTCATCTGCTGGTGCTCCAGTAGATGTGATGCGTTCACTGACACAGATGGGTGGAAGTGGGACAAGTAAGGTAGCTATTTGTAGCCGAATCAGTATGCAATCGTAATCGACAGTCAATGGCCTGAGGGGGGAAGGAAAAAAAAAACTCACCAATTCCCAGAGACAAGTCTTGTCAGCATTGCTGTGTTCGGGGTCTCGTTTGCGGGGATCGTAGCCGTTGGATCGCTTTTTGGGTTTCTCCTCCACCGCTGGTTGCACCTCATCATCCTCGTCCGGAACATCCCTGAATACCTCCTCTTCATCGCTCTCGTTGTCTTCCGGCTGATCAAAGAGCGACTGGAGACCGATAAAGGTCTTTTCCAGTTCGCGGATCAGATAAAAGACACCGCATATAAAGGCCGGCTGGTGCAATCCAAGGACCTGCACTATTCGTTTTACAAATGCCTTGATCCGTCGGTCATTGACATCATTCTTAAGTGCCTTGAATAGGAGATTAAGGTACAAAGGCTGTTTGGACGAGGTAACTACCCGAGGGTCAAGAAGGGATTCGTAGAGAGTACGGTAAAAGCGGTCGGTTGACACCTGGTGAGATGATGTCAACTGTTGGATTAGCATGAGAGCTTGAATACTCGTGTTGAAGTTGGAAGAGTGCGTAATGCGGAAAAGAGTATCGATGTGCTTTGCCAGCCTAAACACATGTGTTAGCATCAGTTTTGTTTTCTTTGTTCTTTTCTTTTTTTTTTTCCCCTCCAGAGTTTGGTTTCATACCGTTCAGTATCAGAGCTTGTAAATGGATAAGCCCGGTTTACACCAGTCAACACTCCAGAGACCAACTTGTCCTGCATTTCCTCAGTTTGGGCCTGTCCCTTTTCGAGGGCATCTTTTCCTTTGTGGTTTTTCTTCCCAAACTTGCCATGCTTCTTGCCTCCCTTGGATTTAACCTCCTTGGTAGGCTTAAGCAGCGCGACAAAGAGGGAAAAGTAAATATCAAGCAGTTGAATTGCAACTTCTTCCTCCTTCAAGCTCAACACCGTTTGATTCAGAGTGATGATCGCATAGTACTTGGCGTGCTGACTTTGGCCTGGCCGGAACAACACTTCCTCGACTGCCTTGATGACCGTCGGTTTCATCAAAGGATGAGCTTGTTCAAGCTGCAGCAGCAGATAGGAAGCTCGAGACGCAATTTTTTTGGATGTATCGCCCAGTTTGTTGACGAGCAATCGCAAGAGATTGGCTTCCTGCTCTGGCTTCTCTTTAAGCAACTCGTAGACGTAACTCACTGCCCTGGTGCGAGAAAACTCAATCTCGTCATTGCACCACACTTCCAGAATTTTAAGGACCTCGAAATACTGGTCTTTAAGAAAGTGTTCGTACGCCCACACAATCAAGTGGCTGTTTTGGAGACCACCTGGGAGTGGAGATCCCTCGGACCATCTGTTTCCTGCGCCGCTGAAGGCAGCGACAAGAGAGGGTTGGTTTGCAAATGAACGCAATCTGCGATCGTTTGGGAGAAGGGTGCCCTGGGCAAACATATCTTTCAACGAACGAAGCACTTCTACTGCCTGAGCACGGCTACGCTTCTTTCCAAGGGCGATGAGGTTCTCCAATGCCTTGGTGTTATGCAAGGGAGACTCCTGCACGGCCAGTGTCAGTGCTGAAATCTTATCACTAAGAGTTCCGGATGACATGATAGTAGAGTAGAACTTGTAAGACGAAGATGCCGAAGCCTGCTGGGCGTCCGCATACATCTTGTTCTCCTTCTCAAGTAGTGATACAGCATACTTGTAAACCGTATCCACCACATGTCGAGGCAGTCCAGCCGCTTTTTTTGTTGAGACGGGGGCGAGTTGAGCCATATACCAATCGGATCTCGGCCGGACAGTCTATAACAATCTCTAGTTAGCGCCTCGTCAATCAAATAGAGTCAAAAAGCACTCACAAGCTTCGAGAATTCCTTGGGGAAGACGGGCTCAGGGATTTCCTGTTTAGGCGGCTTTGCATTCGACTGCTTTATTTCCTGGACTGCAGTTTCATCATTGGATGTGTCGTTCTCCGCTGAAGATTCCTCCTCTTCCTCCTCCTCTTCCTCTGCTTCATCTTCCTCTTCTACTTCCTCATCTTCAATATCATCTGGGACAATCTGGCCAGCGGCAGCAAGAATAGTCGACAACTCTTTTCGCAGAGAATCCTCACTTGATCGAGTTTTCGATTTCTTTGAAGTATCTGCCACCTCTTCTACCTCATCCTCAGAATCGACTCCGGCGAGGAGCTCAAAGTCTTCCTCGGTCCCCCCAAGAGCCAGGATTTCTTGTCGAAGAGTATCAGCCTCATCTCCATCATCCCCCTTAGATGGCTTGGGGTTGCTAGCTTTCTTTTTCTCTTCTCTAGCAATTACCTCCCCGTTGCGGTCCCGCTTTTTCCCTTTGACGTTTTTGTCGGAATGGGCTGCTGGTTTTTGGCCGGGCTTCGAAACATTTTTGTCATCTTTCTTCGCACTATCATTGGGAGCCGTGTTCGATTTGGTGTTCTTCGATTTCTGTTTGGTTGCACTCTCCTTCAACCTCTGCTCAATCTTTTGGCGGAGACCGGCGAATGCACTCTCCTCGATCTGGAGTGAAGCATCTGCTCCAGGGTTGGAGTTAGTGTCGGCGACTCCACCTTTCACAGGAATCGAATTCGCCCCGGTAGAGCGCTTTCCCTTGCCTTTTGCCATGGTTATATCCTTGGCTACTGGAGTTTGATTGAATTTCATCTCTTTTTTCTTCCTTGACTTTTTTTTTTCTGCCGCCCGAAAACATGCCGCCGGACTAATATACTGCCGAATATCCGACCTCGTTTTCTCCAATGCATCGGACGATTTATTTACATTGTAGATAGAGGACGACCGTGACGGAAATTAAAATTTTAAGGGGTTCAATTCGCCTCCATTTATTTGCTTCTATTGCATTTTCCTCTTCTGAGTGTGATTCAATCCTCAGGTATTAATGATATTCGGGTTTCGCCCAACCCCGGGCCGTTGCTTGCGGCCGTCCCAAACATACACATGGACTTTACGAGTCCATCGAATATCAAGATGTAATTTTCATGTATGGGGATTCGCATTTATCATTTCAGTCCTTGGTGTGCTGATTTCCTATTACCCAAGACCGATGGCAGAAGTCGAGTGTCCAACTTTTGGATCCCGACAGGAGGTATCTCTAAGAAGCCTGTCCAGGGAGAGAAAGGTTCTATTCTATACCCAAGTCTGATATACGGCTAAATGCGTCTGACAAATATCTAGAGGACGTTAATGATCTTTTGGTCAGAGGAGGCTTTTACCGACAGGTCGGACCTCTTAACCTACCGTATTAACTATTACCTCTGACCTTATATTAGGCCTATTCTGGCATCTTTCATATGCTGCCTTTGGGATTGCGCGTACAAGACAAGTTAGAGAAGCTTATTGATCGGCATATGCGATCATTAGGTATGCTTTTATTCTATCCGTGTGCATCCAATTGTACCTAACAGACCTCAAGGCGCATCCAAAGTTTCACTATCATCGATCTCTTCGCAAGAACTCTGGGAGCAATCTGGGCGCCTAAAAGAGGGCTCTGAGGTGAGTAACTGCCCCCCCCCCCTTCTTTTTTTTTTTCTCTCTCTCATCACAGCCACGTACTGATGGGAGCTCGCAGGTTTTCCGCTTTCTGGATCGGAAAGAATCTCGGTTTCTCCTTGCGCCGACTCATGAGGAAGAAATTACCACGCTGGTAGGAAGCCTTACCAAATCTTACCGAGATCTGCCTGTCCGGGTCTATCAGATATGTAAGTTCAGATTTTTAATGTTTCCAGAATTATCCCTAATGACTAGATCTACAGCGAGGAAATACCGCGACGAACCAAGACCAAGGCAAGGTCTACTCCGCGGGCGGGAGTTTATCATGAAAGATCTATACACATTCGACCACAACGTGGAAGAGGCCTTGAAAACGTACGAGTCTGTAAGAGGCGCTTACACTCGGCTTTTCAACGAACTGAAGATTCCATATCTCGTTGCCGTTGCAGATTCAGGTAACATGGGTGGGAATCTAAGCCACGAGTTCCACTTCCCCAGCTCCAAGGGCGAGGACACTGTCATTAGCTGCTCGAGCTGCGGTAATGTTTATAACGAGGAACTTGCTGATGGCAAGGCTCATAATCTCCTATCTCGTGAGGGGACAGCTACCGTTCCTACGCCTGGTTTCGAGACAGAAGGAGGCTCCGTCCAAAAGAGCGCAGCTATTTCGACCGGTCTCTGGACGGCAATCTCAAAAGACAAAAGGACCCTGCTGCGTGGCTGGTATCCTAAATTTACCATGCATGGCGGTAGTCAGGAGCCAGTGGAACGAGAGGTCAACTCCCACGCCGTCAAGGCTATCGCCAACGCCGCTGGCATCGATCTCGACCTCAGCGTAGAGAACCCATTAGAGCAATGGGTTGCGAATGCAAAGTCCACCAAGGCGTCGTCAAGCGACGGCACTGGTCGGCCTCGGGTGTTGGACTTGTACGACTCCCTCGTGCGAGTTTACAAGAGGCCACCGCTCAGCGACCTTCTCCAGGAGGCTGACTGTAGCGTCGAGGATCTAGACTATCTCCGCCTTGACTGCTTCCCAGGAACTGACCACGGGCTGAATCTTATTAAAGTTCACGATGGAGACCAGTGCTCCAAGTGTGAACAAGGCGCTGTGAAAACACACACTGCTGTTGAACTTGGTCATACATTCCACCTTGGCACCCGCTACAGCGAAGTCCTCGACGCATCTGTTATGGTTGACGGAGCCGCAGGCACTTCAGCCACCGTGCCAATGCAAATGGGCTGCCACGGGATCGGAGTCTCCCGCATGATTACTGCGGTCGCCGACAGTCTAGCAGACTCTAAGGGTCTTAACTGGCCGCGAGCGATCGCTCCCTTCGAAGTGATTGTGGTTCCTACAAAGGGCCTCGAAGCAGACGCCGAGAAAGTCTACGATGAACTTATCACAGGGGCCAACGCCGCGGACGCTATCCTAGACGATCGGGATAAGCAAATCGGGTGGAAACTGGGCGATGCCGACCTCATCGGATACCCCGTGATTGTTGTTGTTGGGAAAAGCTGGAAGAAAGAACAAAGTGTGGAGGTGCAATGTCGGCGCCTAAATCTACGCGAAAATGTACCTGTGGAGCAACTTTCCAGCTTTGTCCAGTCATTGTTGGCGCAGTTGTAGCCTGACATCGCTGACCAAGAAATTGTAAAATAGTTAGTTAACTAGTTGTATTTCTAGATGAATGATTTTCTCCCCAAGGCTGACTTTGAGAATTTCCCAGATCAGCCGCACTTTTTTTTTTTTTTTTTTTTTTTTTTTGGTAGCATTATCTAGAGATTGGAATTGATGATACATACATATCCACCCGTCCAGCGCTTAAGCACTCAACCTCATGCATGAATGAATGAGTCACAGCCTCAATCTGAAATCCAACGAACGACCCCATGAAAGAAAAACGCCTTGGCGGTTGATGCAGCCTGGATGAAAAAAAGAGACTGACTGACTACACACTCCTGTATAAAAAAAACCCCGACATCTTACCAGATCTATACCGCACAATATATATATTTTTTTCTCTCTTTCAATTCCAACTCCAATTCTCTTCTCGTTATTGTCGGGTTATCGTCCCTTAATTTAAAACAAACTACTACCTAACTACTACCTACTAGCATCATGAACGCCCGGGTCGGAGTTGGCGTCTTCGTCCTCAATCAAGATAACCAGTTCATCATTGGGAAGCGGATAGGAAGTCACGGAGCCGGTGAGTCTACCGAATCAATCTACGTGCATGATAAAACAAGAAACAAAAGAAAAGTTAACAAACAATGGGGGATAGATACATGGGGTTTACCAGGGGGACATCTCGAATTCAACGAATCATTCGAAGACTGCGCGGTCCGGGAACTCAAAGAAGAGACCGGTCTCGATGTGGAAGATGTGCGCTTTCTAACGGCTACAAATGATATCATGGAGATGGACAAGAAGCACTACGTGACGGTGTTTGTGGCTGCGAGGGTGCGAGGGGATGCGCAACCAGAGGTAAGTTCTTCAATCTCATTAGGTGCTTGTCTGTCTGGCATCGCTAATGGACTGCGTAGATTCTAGAGCCTCATAAATGTGCCGAATGGAAATGGGTGACCTGGGAAGAACTCGGATTGGACCGGCTGAAGCAGGTTGAGGCCGACAGGGAGGGAGTCGAAACCACAGGACGGAGGCTGTTTCTGCCGCTTTTGAATCTGTTTTCTCAGCGGGAGGGGTTTTCTCCTTCGAATTGACGGGTCTCTTCTTCTTGTCTGGTTTTGGCATGATTGCGAAATATGACTGTGATGATGATGATGATGATGGGTGGCTGGGTTTTTTTTTGGCAAAGTAGTAAATTTAGGCTCGTTTTGAATATTGAATCAGGACTGTTAAATGATAGTCATTTCAATCTCCTTTGAGAGACAAGCTATTAGTAGGGTTGTTCTGTCCTATATGTATAAACCTATTCAATATCTATGTTATAATATTGTAATTGTATATAGATGGGAGATACTTCTTCCGCCACTAAATCTGCGGATCCAATTCCCTATTCTCAAGGCACATATACTGCTTGTAGCGCGAGTCATCCTTCGAGGGGATAAGTTATAACGAACTTCTCAATATTCATCAGTTCATCTTACTCTAGGTCCAGTATTATATACCATTTTCAGGTTTCTTCGCTAGAAAGCACCCACCATGTCCATCATCACCCATATCGTCCTCTTCCAGTTCAAGGCAGATGCCAGCCCAGAAGCCGTGAAAGATGTAAGCTGCTGACCTTGCAAGGAATTCTATCGATTCCACCCATTTACAAATCCAAGAGACATTGATGCTCACACTTAAGGCAGGTCTGTACACGGATGCTAGCTCTCAGAGAGAACTGTCTCCATCCCACATCTCAGAAGCCTTATATCCTCACATCGTCAGGCGGGGTAGATAACTCCATAGAAGGGATTCAGGTAAGTACCTCTCCCTATATGTACAATACACAACACACAATACTTAATCGGTCCTTGTTCTCTAACATCATTCTCATTTTGATCATATCAAAAGAATGGAATAACCCATGCTTTTGTGGTTAAATTCGCTAGCACCGAAGACCGGGACTACTACGTGAACAAGGACCCCGCACACAGGACTTTTGTGCAGAGTCTCGATGGGGTAATTGAGAAGGCCCAGGTCGTTGACTTTACTGGAGGAGTCTTTTAAATATGTCGATATATTTGTGTTTCTGTCAAGGCAGCAAAGACAACGAGAACTACATCAGGGGGGGGGGATTCATTCTGCTGGTCTATATTATGAATATCTTCCTATGAACCGCAATGAAAGATGTTAAACCAACAGATATTCAAACAAAGAAACATTACGATGCAAAGAGATATGATATATTGCTCCTAAAGAATGTTGCCTACCTATAAGTACGGAGTAAAACGAGCCTTGTATAGTCCAATCCACGCTAAACCATATCAGGTAAGTTAGATCACACTCTCCCATCCATCCCATCGCAATCTTCAACTTCGAAGATCGACTTACAATCCCAATCCCACCACCCATTCCGCCCAAATCACTATCATATCGAATCCCCTCGATTGTGTGCTCCTCAATAACCCCAAGCATCCTAACAGACTCAAACACACCCTCGAACCGTGGGAACGCGAGCCAAAAAAAAAAAAAAAAAAACCGGCCATGCCCCCCCCTCCAAACACCCCCGCATCCGATGATGCCCCCCCAACGCAGGTAAACGATGCCCACAATCTCTCTCTTGCTTGATACCCGCCCGGACTCTGCAAAAGCAAATTGCCTAACGACGTCTATAGTGAACATCAACTCGCTCTCCGTTCCGCAACTGCGCGCGCTCCAGACCCGGCTCTCAAGTGAGCTGGAGCACTTGACCTCGTCCCATGCGAAGCTTCGCGCTGCACAGTCGAGATTCCGGGACTGTGTGCGTTCTATCAATGAAGGTGTTGTTGGGTCAGAGAAGAAGGGCACAGCCGGGAAGGAGGACATTCTTGTGCCTCTGACTAGCTCGCTCTATGTTCGGGGTAAGCTTGCAGATCGGGAGACAGTCCTGGTGGATGTGGGAACGGGGTATTTTGTTGAAAAGGTATGTTGGGTATATCCATCTATCTATATAGATATATATATTCATTACGTGTCCCTCCTGTCTTGTCTGTGGGGTACCGAAGTAGCTAACTTTCGCTCGTTTTCCTAATAGACAACTGCCAAGGCAATTGAGTTCTACGAAGAAAAGGTCAAGGAGCTAGAGGCGAACCTTACAGACTTGGAGAAGCTTGTACAAACTAAGAGCTCGCAGCAGAGACTCTTTGAAGATGGTAAGCATTAACCCCCTTTTTTTTTTTTTTTTTTTTTTTTACATTTTCCACGAGACGAAAAGAAGCTAATTCACCTCCAGCTCTGAGGCAAAAATTGATGAGTGAAGGTGCTGCATCATCCACACCTGCGGCTGCCGGTGGTTGAGAATACAATCTTAATAGGAGACTTCACAAATGGAAAAAGCAGTATTTAGAAAGTGCTAAACCGACATCGATGTATGACCATTCAAGGCAAGGACAAATACTCACAACCATGCCAAAAAGAAGTACACCAAGTGGGCAAAGTGTAGAAAATCAGGAGGGAACAATCGTTGTGCGAAGCATGAAAACTGGGAGAAAAAGAATAAAATCAATTCACGTCCGCCTCGTTCTCGAACCAACCAATGTGTGTTCTGCTCGCGTAGCTTCCGATGGCTTAAAACAACGTCCCCAGATCTGCATTCAGTAGCCCAGAGGGGTCCGCAAAACTAGGAGTTGAGGGAATGCCAGTCGAATGATAACCTTTTTTCGCCGAATCGGGTCCCATTGGAGACGAATTCTCGTGGGCTGGGACATTTCCACGGGGTTGATGGGTGTTTTCAGGGGGTATGGTCTTTGCTGGGCCGAGAAGTTCAGCGACTTGGTTTACCAAATCGATAAATTTCCAAAACCCTTTTGTTCTATCGTCATCGTTCAATCCAACTTCTGTTGGGGGGAAGAAAGTATCGAGGTTTGGTTTGTATTTTGCCGAATGCCCAACTGACAGATTTGCGTGCCCTCCAAGCAAATTATCCCAATTTGGATGGAAAACAGATGCGCTCCAGCATGTAAAAGGGACATCTGATATTTCCCTAGGTACCGTCGCCGGACTTTGACCTGGAAAAGCTGGAACAACCGAACGGCTATACTCGTCGTAACGCGCAACTTCAAAGATGTACTTTGTGCCCTTCAGCTGATATCGAAGGGCCGATTTCTCAACAAATCTGGAAACTGGTGCAGAGGCAGGGAAAGTGACTTTTCTTTCAGGTTTCGCAGAGATATCTCCCACCCCGGCCGTACGCCGAAAGCCGATGGAATGCGAAAAGACTTTCAAAGCCGCATCAATTGAAGACGTTTCATGAAATTCCAGCGATTTTATTTCGAGCTGCCAATCAGACCTAGCCACTCATCAACTTCGTTAGAGTTCCTTAGTATGCAATCATTTGAGGCTCTCTTACCTCCCAAAATCGATGACGCCAATATGTAACGGGGAATGGTTGTCTCTGAATTGACCACTTGGGTGAGGCCTAAGCCAGCGTCGTTGAGTTATTTCGTAGTCTTGAGCGCCAGGGCTTTTAGCAAATTCTGCCTCAAGACGAAGCATGGACTTGTCGGTACCCAGGAACTCGAAGTTCACGGAGTATGCGAGCTCAGCACTTTTCAGAGAATCCGATGTGCTATCATATGGCTCGAGGAGGTTGGTTGCTTTGAAACATCTTTCGAGAAGCTCTGACTGTCCAATTTTCAACCTTGGGCGTTGGACAAGGGTTAGTATCCCAGACAACAGTGGTCAAAGAACAATGACCTACCCAGGAATCAGCCGACCCTTGGTCTGCTCATGTAGGAGTATTTCTCTAAACTCCTCGAATTCATACCAGTCCTTATCGCCGCCCGGTTTCTGATAGTTCTCAAGGACAAACAAACCAAGGTTAATCCTCATTCGTAGGTGTCCCCTCACAAAAGCAACACCTTTTAGAGACCCTTCAACAGCACTTAGAAGCCGAGAATTGTTCTTGGACCGTATCAAGGTAGCCCGAGTCTTCCAATTTTCCAGTTCAGAGCCCTTAAGTTCACTTCCACGAAGAGCAGGTCTATGTAGCTGCACGTGCTTTTCCACAGCAATCTTCCCTTTCATAGTAGTGGGTGTGGGGGGCTCAACTATATAAACCTTGCGTTTGACGTTACTTTTAGCGACAATCTCTCCCCACCGTGTCCTGATTAACTGCGCAATCTGTCCCATTAAATCATGAGTATACCCCAATGCACAAATGTAACGGGGCAAATCTTTGGGGACAAAAATATGACACCCAAATTTAGCCCGAATAATATCGAGGTCTTCAAGTTGCGGACCAAAACACTCGATCATTGAGGGCCCATCGTTTGGCCAAAGGAAGAGAAGCTAATGGAAGAAACTGCCTTAGATGATGACAATAAAATATTTTAATCACAGGCAACTCACCTGTTCAGGAAAAGTCGTACTGGGGTCTGGCTGCTTTCGAAGTTGCTGCAGCATAATCTCACGCTTCTCCTTCAGCTCAGCGCTGGCCTCTTTATTGACTGAGTAGCTCTTGATTTTCGTCCAGTCGTCTCTTTTCTTCGGCTTGGACATATTGCACTTAACAACCAGCCCTCCAACAATCTCCGCAGCCGCAGCCACTTGAGGTGGTTCGCCCCATATGCGGACGACCTAAATTTCTTGAATTAGCCTATGGGGTGCTGAAAAAAAGATGTGCCACAAACTTGATCGTAATATAATGGAGGCTTAACATAAGCACCAGTCCTTTGGCTGATCTCATCAAAGACTTCATTGCGATCTTGAGGTCTCGTGTACGATTTCCCAGGGAATGCAGACCTTGCTGCACCAAAGAATCTGGTAAAGGTTTAGACCCGTCATACTATGGTGTATACTCTATTTCACTTACTCGTGCTTAAATGTACCGAAAGCTGCAGGTAATTTCACGGCACCTGCATCATTTCACGTACCATCAGCTAGGTACTTCAGTAAAGCAGTATGATTATACTCACCGGTATTCTCTTGACCATTTCTCCATTGTGACTTTGATGGGGAGTCCCGGAATAAATTGTTTGCTGATGGCTGCTCGTTTCCTCTGGGATTGGCAGTAACTTTAAAACCCCCTCGACCTCTAGCTCGAAAATGCCCACGAACTGGCTGCTTTTGCAGATGGGGCTTTACAACATTTTGAGGTGCTCGAATTGGTTGCTGCGTGGTTTGCGGAGCTACCATCCTCTTAGGCGGTGCTCTTCCGTATCCCGGCAGCAGCCATTCTAGAGAGGGTCAGTAATTTCATACGAACACCTTTCTTCCTTATTTTTTCTCTTTTGTCTTCATGAGAGTTATGGTTTCTTCGTCTTACCTTGAGCCCCTGTAGTTTCGTGACTGCCAAAAAGTCAGTCAGCAAGCTTCGAGGAAAAGATTTCTAAACGTACTCCATGATAGCTGCAGAAGGGTCAAAGATGACTCGAAGGGGAAAGCGCGCAAATGAGAATATCTACAAGCTTTTTGTAAAAGAAAAAGGGTACAATGAGTTAATAGCCTGGGGAAGCAGAGTGAGGGGAAGAGATGAGAAATCCGTGAGGTATTAGGAAAGAAGGCAATCGCCGAGAGTAACAGGCAAATCACCTTCTTATTTACATAACAGCAGAAGCGATACCTAGCATTTTAATAAAATAACATTCCCATTTCTTCACTTTTTCTTCAAAGATATTAACCAGATAAGTGAAGAAATAAAGATGGGAAGAAATAGTAATTTCGGTAACATGCAGTCACTGCGTGTTTGTTCTTAAAATCAATAATTGACCGGGGGATATTTCACCAATTGACTTTAGCATAGCTTTAGCTTGAAACTTAGGTACCTAATGCACATATCCACCAGTTGGATATGTTTCTTTTAGGAATACTATTTTAAATATGATGCTATAGGCTACATGATCTTATACATGCTTCTTTACTGCTCAGTTCTTGCATTTTATAGATCCAAACGTTACCTTCCCGTTTAGGTTCAGATTGAACTAAACCCAATATGGATAGGCGCCATGCACGTGACACGCACTAAACCAAAAGCGGTTCAAAGTGGACAAAACGCGGCTTTTCCCCGACGCGTCGCGAAATTTCCAGCGCCAGGGACGAGGACGACGGCCCATTGCCTCTCTAGACTCCTCTCTGGTGGCTACGTCGTTGCAGGATTCTTCCATTATGCCAATGGCTCTCGACAGTGCAGATGAGGCTAGCAGCTTGCAGTCTCGCACTCGCAATGCTCGCACCCGCGCCCAGCAATGGATGACCAAGGGAGGTCTAATTCGAGATGATTCCGATGATGAGCTAGGCCACGAAGACCATCCCTGGGAATGGGTATATGATACTGAATTGGAAGACACTAGCAAGCCTGGAACTGTGGGGGAGGCACCCGAGGATACACCGAAATCAAGCAGGAGACGTTCGTCCCGCCCTACTAGCCGAGCCCGAAAGAACATCATCGGAGCCCGAATGGGTTCTTTCGAGTGCAAATTAGGTCAGGTTGTATTGCTTAAATCCCCAGAGCCTGGGAAGGACTGGGTGGGGATCATCACTGAATTCGTGGAGGAAGAGAAGGACGGGGATGAGGATGAGGGGGTCCTCAAGTCCGCGAATATTATGTGGTTTGCTTCACCAGACGAGTTTATGTCGACAAGGAATAAGCGCAGAGCCGATGCTTTGCCAAACGAGCAATACTTGACAGCTGACTTCAATGTTAACCCGCTGACCTCAATTAGCGGGAAAGCTCGAGTAATGTCCAAGGATGCTTTCTTTGCACAATACCCCAACGGAGCTCCCCCAAAGACAAAAGAGGCTTTGGCTGAATACAACAAATGCATCGTTTGTCGCAGGGGTGTCAACCAGCTTCAGGGACGATATACGGAGGAGTTTATCTGGGAAGATGTATATCGGGAGGATCGAATGTTCGATCTGATTGATATGATTAAGGACCAGTTAAAGGCAGCTAAAAAGCGCAAGCAAATTGACACTGATGTGAGTGCCGTTCTCTTGAAGCCAAGCACTCGGACTATTCTAACATGATGACCAGTATGTTGAAACAAAAGAACAGGATGTACCAAGTACTCCCAGAAAGAAACAAAAAGTAGCCTCGATGAACATTACACCACAATCACGCCGTCAGAAAGCAATGACCACGCCGTCTCATAAAAGGTACCATAGCATCGCTCCATTGAAAGTCCTTGGTCTAATCTTATTCCTTAGAATTATTATCAAGAAGCCTCTAGAGTTCACTCCTCTCGGTACCCGCGTGCTTTCTCCTTCCCATTTTGCATCCCCCTATCGCCAGGCACGCAATCTTCTCCATGTTTCTACCGTTCCCACATCACTTCCGTGCCGAAAAGCAGAATTCGACACTGTCTATAGTCATCTCAGTGCAGCCATTATGGAAGGGACCGGAACTTGTATCTATATTTCTGGGACACCTGGTACTGGAAAGACTGCCACTGTCCGTGAGGTTGTTGCCCAGTTGAATGCTGCTGTTCTCGCTGAAGAGATGGACGACTTTATATTCGTCGAAATCAACGGCATGAAAGTCACTGATCCCCATCAATCCTACTCTCTGCTCTGGGAAGCCCTAAAGGGCGATCGCGTCTCACCTTCCCACGCTCTCGACCTTCTTGAGCGAGAATTTTCCCATCCTTCGCCCCGACGAGTCTCATGTGTTGTTCTCATGGACGAACTTGATCAACTGGTCACGAAAAACCAGTCCGTCATGTATAACTTCTTCAATTGGCCCGCCCTTCGCCATTCTCGACTCGTCGTTCTTGCCGTCGCAAACACCATGGATCTACCAGAACGAACTCTGAGCAATAAGATTTCAAGTCGTCTTGGCTTGACACGTATCACCTTCCCAGGGTACAAGCACACCGATCTGATGGAAATTATCACCACTCGCCTAGCAAATGTCCCAGGAAACATTGTCGACCCTGATGCAATCCAATTTGCCAGCCGCAAGGTCGCCGCCGTCAGTGGTGATGCCCGCCGCGCCCTCGACATTTGTCGACGAGCAGTCGAGATCGCAGAACAGGCCAATGAAGCAGACGCGGATGCTGCAGATGCCGATGATACAGAGTCGCCACCACCAACGCCCAGCAAAACCCCCGCACGGAAAGAACGAGCTGCTGGCAAGAAGGCCTTGTGCCATGATAAACTAGAATCCCCACAGAAAAACGGCATTCAGAAGCAACTACCTGGACGCGTAACAATTGCAACAATCAAACAAGCCATTCAAGAGGCAACCTCCACGCCCCTCCAGCAATCCCTTCGCTGTCTTCCCTTGTCTGCTAAGCTTTTCTTAGCAGCTCTCCTAGCCCGTGTTCGTCGAACAGGCATAAACGAATCTACATTTGGCGATATCGTAGACGAAGCCAAGCGCATTGCAGATGCCGCGGTAGCTGTTGCAGGTGCTGCGGGCACGGGAATCAGAGAGTTCTTGCTTCCAGCGGGTAATGGAGCTCGTGTGAAGGCGCTAGGATTCGCCGCGATGGAGCTCATGAACTCGGGAGTTCTCGCCCTGGAGACAGGCTCGGGATTCAGGGGGCCCTTGGGAAGCGCTGCTATCCCAAGCCGAGGTGACCGCAGCGGGAAAGTGAGACTCAGGGTTGCGGCGGAGGACGTCAGGGCCGCGTTCCGCGAGGATGTGGAGGCAAAGGGGTTGGGGCTGGGTATCGATGTGTGAGTCTGATATGATGCCCACAACTGTCGAAGTTAAGTAAGACTAGTCATTATATATGTGAAGCATAGCTTTTGGCGTTTCGGGTCATGGATTAATTTAGATGTACACTACTCAGAACTAAATGATGATACCCTTTTTGTGTTTCCCAACACTGTGCCCATTGAGTATGTATCTAGATTGAAGAGAATCTTTTTGCGTTGCCAAATGTTTGTATGGTATGATACATGGAAATATGTGATTTAAACGCAACAACAGGCCAGTTGTTTTCGTGAACGTTTTCCTTCCCAACAGGAAATCCCCAGTAAAAAAAAGTCCAGATAAAACAGAAACATAATTTCACACCACAAACGCTGAACTCCAGAAAGTGCATGATTAAGCCGTTACAGTCCCGTTCCGACCCACGAGGCCCAGGAAATGCGGGCGGGTATTGATAATCGATTGATATAAGATGGAAGAGGTCCATCCGAACAGAAAGAAGAAACCAAGGCACTGTTTAGTATCTCTGTCTTCCGAGAGTTGGGGCCCATGTTACAGGATGAGTTTCTGGAGTAGCCTCGTCATCCTGCTTCCAGATTTTGATCGTCTTATCGGCCTCGCCGGTGATCAGACGCAGACCGGTACGATCGAAAGTTGAAGCCATAATACCTGCTTCGGCGTCCAAGGAGCCGGGTTGGGCTGTGGTGTCGATGGACTGGAAGCGGTATCCTGTCTTCCAGTCCCAGAATGACATGGAACCATTGTCGCCGCCAGAGAAGAGGACATTATCCTCATTCGCGGCGAGAGTGTTAATCACGGCATTGTGGCCCTCGAAGTTTTGCATAAATTCACCGCCAGGACACTTCCATTGCTTGATGCTTCCGGTGCTGGCGCTTGCGAAGGTGAATTCCCGTGGATGGGTGACGATACTCCGAACCCCTTTCTTGTGGTGAGTGAGCACACCCATGCTCTTGCCAGCAGCAAGATCCCAGAGTCGGACAGTCGCGTCTAATGAGCCGGTGATAATCTGGGGATCAGCTTCCTGGCATTTCAGGTCTGCAACGGTGCCCTGGTGACCCGACAAAACGTGGATATTACTCCGGGTGCGCATATCCCAAACACGGGCAACACCATCTCGACCACCAGTAACTAAAAGATCAAGTCGGGGATGTAATGCAAGCGTGTAGACTCCACTGAGGTGGCCATGATAGTGACGAATGACCTTATTTGTTTCCAAATCCCAACATTTCACCATCTTATCTTCACCACAGGAGAACAAATAGGGGTGTCGGGGAGAGACAGCCAACCCACGCACAGTCGAGATATGGCCCGTGAGTGTCAAGCGCAACGCACCAGTCGCAAGGTTCCAGATCTTGATTGTTCGGTCACCAGCACCGCTAGCGAACCACTCATTGTTCGGCTCAACAGCCAGACTCCGCACCCATCCAAGATGTCCTGAAATAACCCTCATCAACTTCCACGGTGCATGCCACTCAGGCGGCTGCAGTCGTGTGGCAGATGGTCGCTGAATCAAACTCTTTGGCTTATCTTCCCCTACAGCTCCCCCGGCAGCTGGATTAGGACCCCTTCTCACAAGGGCCGTGGATGCGCCACTGCGATCTCCGGTTTCCGCTTTTGCACTGATCTTCGGTCGCTTTGAGCGGGCGGCAGCTGCTTGAGCTTGCTTCTCAGCCAATAATGGTGGGAGTTCCTTCACATCTTCGTATTCCGCTTTTCGTCTGTAGGAAAGGCCGATAGATCCATTGGCGACAGAGGGCGTGACCATCAGGTAATCGGCGCCGAAAAGCTCAGCAGTCCTCTTTGCGGACCCGCGTACGGCCTCATCCGGTGTAGTTGAGGGGAGGACATCCATTATGACCAGGTAAAAGGTAGCGAAAAAGAGCCTCCAATGGCTCCAGAAAGCTCGGGGTAGAAAACGATCGAGGAATTCGTTTAGATGTAACCTGTCGCAGGTCGCGTCTGGAGCGCTGGGGAACTTGATAGTCGTCCGGTTAAGGGAGAAAAGACACCGAAGCCTGAAGTTAGTCAGAATCCTCCACCAAGAAAGATCCGCAATGACCAGGTTGCGAATGTGAATGGGTGAAACAAGAGAGCGAGAGCTGGCGATGGCGTCGAGCAACGACGGGGGAAGTTTCTCATTAGTCGATTTTCACGGGAAGTGGTTGCCTGAGGACGCAAGGCATACATCAGGTGTCCCTCCCATTCCTGGCCCGTATCAAATACGTTTGCAATACGCGGAATAAATACATCATCGTCATCTCCACACTGCCTCTTTTCTAGCATCTTCATTGCCTTCAGCTTCGCACATAAACGGTCTGCATATTATATTAGGTCAATACCTTACATTGCAGTATCATTCCCATGGATCCCGATCATGATGCCAAGTTTCCCCTTCACGAGGCTGCTCGAGAGGGCAAACGTATGTTCTCCCCCCCACCATGTCAAATCTATACTCTCCCAGCCCGGTTTACTAACTCAGATCCAGTTCCCACGGCAGAGTCACTTTTACACGTATGAATATCTCGTTTCTATCTACCAGGACACGCGCTGCATTCTGCCTCAATCTTAATTCTCACAGGCCTACAGGCAAACCCCAAATTAGCAACAACCAAAGATGCCGACGAACGTCTGCCTATCCACTGGGCCGTGGCATACAACCACCTCCCCATCGTAGAGCTCCTAGTATCTACCAAATCCTTTGATCCAGATGTCGAGGTACGTTCCGAAGTAGAATCCAATTTATTCTCCAATTCTCCCCAAGAAACCGTGCTAACACCTAGAAAACAGGATGGATCAGGATGGACCCCTCTGATGATCGCCGCGAGTCTCAAAAACGCAGAAGGGGACCCTATCATCGATCTTCTACTCCGAAAAGGTGCTGATGTTAATGTCAAGAGTGTCACTGGCCAGGTGCGGCTTTCTCTCTCTCTCTCTCTCTCTTGCCATTCAGTACATGTTACGGAGTACACCACATTGCCTTCCAATACTAAACTACACACTAACTATAGAACGCTCTCCATTTCGCAACATCCAAAGCGAATCTGTCCACCGTCCGCACCTTGGTCGCACATAAATGTAGCGCCAGGGTAAAAGACAAGCGCGGACAACTGGCGCTCCACCGCGCTGCGGCAATCGGCTCTACACCTATCATCCAGGTTCTTCTGAAGGATGGAAAGAGCCCCGTAAACGCCACAGACAGTGACGGTCTCACTGCTTTGCACCATGCCATCTGCGAAGGCCATGGGGATGCCGCAATCACGCTGCTCAAGGCTGGTGCTGAAGCCGACAAGAAAGATTCTGAGGGGAGGTTGGCGATTGATATGGCTCCTGATTCAAAGGTATGAATGACATGGCCACTTGCTGTTTTTTCTCGTTCCTTTTGTATAGAGATTCTAACGGAGATTTCATCTGTTAGGTCCGACTATATATTTTACAGACTGCGGAAAAGGAAGGAATTGAGTTGTGAAAACATTTAACATCATTACGAAACATAGCTAGGGCAAATTAACATGTAGGATTCTAATCTTCAAGGGAGTAGTCCTCCGTAGTAGGCTTCAAACTTATCGCTTCTAAAAGCCTGTCTCGAATATAAAAACCATGTCAATTGAACTCTAAACTCCCGGAAATGCTATTATATACATATACATTCACACATGATAATGCTCAACATTCAATACAGTGCTTCTCACTTCATGGTACTATCCACTAGTTCGCGGTATATTTTCTTAAGATCCGCGATATCAGCTTGGAGCTCCTCCACCTGCTCACTCTTTTCGCCCAGCATCTCCAGTGTAGTCTCGTACCGCCGGTCAAGCCCAGCGAGCTTCTCTTCGAGCTCTTCCACTCGGGTATCGGATACTCTCTTTTCCTCAACCTCCCGCATCAAATCGACGACCTGTTGTCGGGCCTCGTCCCGTTGAGCTGTGATTCGGGCTAATTCATCTTTGGAAGCAGCCCGCTCGCTCTCCAGCCTGCGCACGGTGGCACTCATACGCTCCACAAGTTGTACAGAGGGCCCCGCCCCAGCAGTAGACTCGGAGATGATATCGTTAATGGTGCGAGAATGCTGCGTCGGTGCACCACCAAAGGCGGAAGGGGTTCCTGAGCGGGGGAAGTACTCATCGGACTCGAACATGATAGTGGGTGTTTCGGGAACATGTATAAGCCCACTGCTAGGGAGTAGAGGAGACAATATTGCATGTGAAACAGTAGAAACAGGGAGAGAGTTCTGCCTTGGGGGTGTGCCGATTTCAGGTGATGCACCTGGCATTACAGAGGAACGGCGGCTGGTAGGTCGGTAGTCAGACACCGACACAGCGACCTCTAGATTGCTTGGTCGGCGGTTGAAGGCAACCGGTGATTCGGTTCGTCGGGGGGGATTCATAGGAAGGAGGGCCAGCTCGCGCCATTTGGCTCGCTCCTCTTCAAGTTTTTGAGCCCATGTCGCATCAATCGCCACTTTTTGTTCAACGAGTTCGTTTTGCGCAGCTGCCAGGTCATCTGTGGCTTTTCTGAGCTTCTGCTCCAGTCTCTGCACCTCCCGAGACTGTTCTTCCACTTGGTTCGAGAGATCCCGCTCCGTATCTTGAGCATTCTCAAGTTCTTCCTCGACTTTTTTCACCTTGAGATTCTGCGGCGGTATTAGTCCTGGCGTAAATGAGATAGTTTTGGATAGTAAATAGTATAACACTCTTACCAATTCACGAATTTTTCGTCGAGTTTCCCCCTCACGACGTGCGATCTCATCTCGCTCCTTCTCTACATTCGCGAGACGCGAAAGTAGAGATCCCTCTAGAGTTTGCCAATTTTCACTAGCAACCGCATACTGAGTCTGTAAAGTTTCGATCTGGCGCAGAAGTTTGGCCTGCGTATCCCCAGCAACTCCAGAAGAAGCTTCCTCGGCTCGCGACCGGAGAGACTCCATCTTGCTCTCCAAGACTGACTGCTCGCCTTTCAGCTCCGCTTCTAATACTCTGGCTCTTTCTTTCTCCTGTTCGATCGTCTCTCTCAGACTACTGATTTCCCTTTTCAGCTTCTCCTCGTTGATCTCGCGCTCAATCTTAGCGCTGGATAGCTCCTCCTCCAACTGGTTTGCACGGTACTTTCCCTGCTCTAAAGCATCGGACTGAGCCTTTGCCTCTGCGGTATCTGCACGGGCGACTGCTCGAGCCAGTTGCCCTTTCATCTCCTGTACCGTTTGGCTCAGTGCATTTCGCTCAGCTGTGACGGCTTCCAAGTCTCTTGAAACCTTCATCTGGGCAGAAAGGGACACGTTTGCTCTCTTCTCCGCAGCCTCAGCTCTTTTAGCTCTCGCCTCAACATTAGCCAAATCCCTCTCGAGCCTATCACCTTTCTTTTTCGCTTCTGTCTGAATCTTCGAGTTTTCTACTAACTGTTGTCGAAGCTTCTTCATCACCGCCCTATGGTCCATTTCTGCCTTGGAAAGTTTTTGGCCTTCTTCGAGCAAAAGGGCGATCTTTTGATCTTTTTCTCGAAGCTGCCTGTCTATGCTCCCGGGTTCGGCAGTGGCAGCAGCATTTCGGGCGGACTCGGCAGCTTCTTGAGCCAAGTACTTCAACTTTGACTGTAGAGCATCGATCCGCTCAATATACCCATGAATTTCCTCTTGTAATTGCGACTCGGGGCCGTTATTATCGCCTTCTAGTTGTGCGGACGTGTCATCATCATCATTAGATGATGACCTGATAACCTCAACGGGGGATCCCGTGGTCATTTGCGCAGCTTCCTTTGACGCAGGTAATGGGTCAGGTTCCTCCATGTCTTGCCAATGTTCCGGCACAGGACTAGTAATATTCCTCTCAATCGAAGTTCTCGTGTCAGCATCTACAGAATTGCGCGGTGATCGGGCGGAGTCATAGCTCATCCTCGGGGCCATTGGCGCTATATCTGACAATGCGCCCTGGGATTGGCTTGGGTCTTTGGTAATGGAGTCGAGACTGGACTCAATATCTAGGCTCGAACGCGCATCATTGCTCGGAACGGGGCTAGTAACTGGGGAAGACACAGAAGCAGTGCTACCGGGAGTGTTGGATCTGACCATGGCTCGAGCTAGGCGTTCCTGCAGACGGTCATTTTTCCGCGCATTAGACGAACTGCGCGAGGCATCTAAACTTTGTTAGCCACATAGTTTGTGCATTCGCAGCGCGACATTCATGCAACGACGTACTTTCAGACGGATCGCTTGGTTTTGCTTTTCCTGCCGGTGGCTTAGACTGGGGTTGCTTTGACTCTTCCTCCTCTGCTAATATCAAGTCCAATCGCGACTCCACGCCGGCGACAGCCTGCTGGAGAAAAGAACCAACTTTCCATTTGCTTTGCGACATATTGCAAGCCCTTTGATGTAGACAGAGAAGACCAGCAGAATTCTCAAAAGAAGACCCGAACTACCCCTTTTACCCGATGACCACGATGCGACGTTATGACGAAAGTAGTGTAATCTGCTGCCTGTTTGTCGTCACTATGAAATGAGGGGACAATCTGGCCAGTGATTAGCGACGTCAATCGCGGACAAGAAGATGGGAAAACGAGAGACGGGTTCTGAAGGAAAATCCATGAAAAGAAGCGCTAAAAGGACAGGCTGAAGTAAAATACAAGAGAGATCTGGCCTCCAGGTTGACACAAGTGAGATGAGAGATGCCAGACCAGACGGCGTGGAGTTGGACGAGTGCGGGAGAGTTACCTGAAGTGGCTTGGCGACCTTTGCCTCATTCGGTCGTCTCCTAGACCTTCACTCCTACTGCTTGCTAGGTGTTCTCCCGACGACACCCTCACCAGGTCTCCTCTCTGTCCTCTTTCCTTGTCTCTTCCTTCATATTTACCCGGCAGGCTCCTTGACTTGTCTGGAATCATGTCGGTTGTTTCCCTGGAGCCCCCCACGTATCTCAGCTCCCTGCAGAACAACATTCGAGCTCGTCCTATCCCGTGGGAGGGAGCCGTCCGTGCAGGGAATATCACTGAGGACCATCTGAAGAAGATCAAGGCTGTAGATAAGGTTCGCAAGGAACAGCGCCGTCAGACTATCGATGGCGATCTTTTGGGATACGTGAGTCTGCTGGCGGGAGGTGCGGAGGGGAAGAGTGTGTTGGAATCCGCAGCCAGACGAAGCGATATTGTACAGTACATTCTAGTGCTTGCAGCCGATCTCATCAATGGTTTGTTCTCAATTGATTAATGAAGCCTCTGCTGAGGAATGCACAATGCTGATTGATGTTTGTGTCGTGTTCTAGATGCTCCCTCCTTGTCGTCCGCCCTGGTTGCGCATCCAGACCCTTACAAGCCATTCCTTCCCCTCTTGCATCACTCTACAAATGCCGAAGACCCCATTCCGCTGCTCACTTCCACCTTCTTGACCAACCTGGTGTCTCTCAGCCTTACTTCTTCTTCAAAACCGACAGTGCGGGATGAGGAAGCGCTCCCGCAGCTCTACAGCTATCTGTCTACTCTCACCCAGAATCAAGATAGCGGGCTTCAGGACATTGGAGTCCAGGAACTGTCAGCATTGCTTCGCACATCCAGCTCTCGACAGATCTTCTGGAATGAACGGAAGCAGACGGTCGATCCCTTGATTGAAATTCTCCGTGCGGCTGCAGGGGCCAAGGAGAATAGCTCAAGCAGCAGCCTAGCTGGCAGCAGTTCCCGCGTAGTTGATACTGGGATCTCTGGCGGAGTGGGGCTCCAGCTCTTGTATCGAGTCCTCCTGGTCCTCTGGCAGCTGAGCTTTGAAGGCCGCCTTCTTGGGGAAGAGTTGCAGGCGTATGTGATCCAAAAAAAAAAAAAATATATATATATACCCAACAACTTTTCGCATGCTCTTACTGACCGGCACAGGGACTACGAGATTATTCAGCTATACTCCCACCTCCTTCGACTGTCCCCCAAAGAAAAGACCACCCGACTCCTTCTTGCGACCCTCAACAACCTCCTGTCCTCCAACCGCACTAGTCTCCTTCCCGTCGCCGTGTTTGTCCGCTTGCCTGCTCTCCTCACAACCCTCTCTGGGCGCCATTTAACCGATCCGGACCTTCTGGAGGACCTGAAATCCCTGAGGGAGATGCTCGAGGAGTACACCAAAACCCAGACAACATTCGATCAGTATGCTGCGGAGCTGCAGTCTGGCCACCTGCGCTGGTCCCCGCCTCATCGCAACCCCACTTTCTGGAAGGACAATGCTCGCCGGATTCTGGATGAGTCCAACGGCGCGCTTCCCAAGAAGCTGGCTGAGATTATGTCGAAGAGCTGGGAGAATGACAAACAGGTTCTGGCAATTGCTTGCAACGACGTGGGACACTTGGTCAAGGAGCTTCCCGAACGACGGGGGCAGCTGGAAAAGCTGGGATTGAAGACCCGCGTGATGGAGCTGATGGCCGATAAAGACGAGTCTGTGCGATGGGAAAGCTTGCGGGCGGTAGGAGAGTGGCTCCGCTATACCTTTGATGATTAAACACTTTTCCTTTTTTTTTTTTTCCTCTTTTGTTCTTGTCGAATAAGAACCGACTATACTATACTACCCTGTTTGTTTGTACTCGTTTCTCTTTTCTATGTGGCCAGGAAGGCATATTGGCTGCCTTGAACGGGCTTTGCAGCTATATCAAGACCTTTCTATTGTGTCTTGTACTGAGAAATATAGATAAGAGATTCTCCTCGTGGTGGATTGAAAACGCAGTCAAGCCACTGAATGTGAAGGAATTACTTATGGAGAATGCTTATCGACGGGATCTCTCCGAAAAGAACACACTACTCCATCTTAGTCGGTAGGATCAGCCCCAAGCTATAAAGGAAAAGGAAAAAGAAGCGGGAACTTGTCCAAAATTTATCCAAGGGGGTTCGTGTTGCGAAACAAACTGGTGGCTCTTTGATACAAAAGTGGATGTGATGGGATTGAGGTTGAGGGGGGAAATCTCGAGGTGCAGCTTATCTACAGTCCACTATTTTGCCTCTCACAACAGGAAGGACGACTTTTCATAGGTATATATATAAGACACTGCTTTTTCTCCTTTCGTCCATGATATCCTCTCAATTCCTCTCCCACTATTTAAAAGAGAGAGAGAGAGAGAGAGAGAGAGAGAGATTTCCCGCTGAACCGCAGGAGCGGGGAAGGGAAGGGGAAAAAAAAAAAACCACACACACAGGCATAAGTCCAAAAATTCAGGATAACGCTTCCCAATGTCACGATCGTTTACTGGTTGCAAAAGATGTAAGTCACGCCGGCAAAAATGTGATGAGCAGCGTCCGACGTGTGGTCGATGCAAAACTGCGGGATCACCGTGTCGGTATGCGATGCAGTTGCAGTGGGGAGGTCGCGCTTTTTCGCGGTCGAGGTTTGGAGCCTGCGTTCGGGATGGAGGCATGCAGAGGTTAGGTGAGTCTTATGGTATATAAACTATCTCCTAGGAGGGATGTGTTTCTGACCCCAGATTCTTGCTGTAGAATACTCTCCGGGAGAATTCATCTACACCACCAAATCATCCGCCGCCGCCACCTCTTCTTCTTCTTCTTCTTCTACTTCTTCCTCCTCCTCGTTCTCTTCCGTCGTGTCCTGGACAAAAGCTGTCGATCCGTTTTCTTCGCTATCCTCCCACCAAAAGTCCCTCCTTCACCACTTCGTTCATGATGCCTCCCAGATCACCGCTTGTCATTCGGGGATGCAGCAGGATATATGTCGAATGCTCGTCCCCATGGCCCTGCAAACGCCCTCGTTACTGTACGCCACCATGGCGCTATCGGCCATCCATATCCAGGCCTTACACAACCAATCCGAAAACGTCAAGTCCGCCCCCGATATTGCGCGGTTGATGGCGCTCAGTTTGGAGCATTTTCGCAACGAACTCCAGAGTCCGGGGACGAAGGGGTCGGATGCGCTGCTGGCGACGGCACGTACCCTCTGTCTCGCAGAGATCCACTCCGGCGCAATTCATCCGCATTCATGGCGAGCTCATATTGAAGGCGCGCAGGCGCTCATGATCGCCTCGCGCGAGCAAGCCGGGTGGTCTCCCGCGTCCTCCGAGGGTTTCCACAGGTACCTCAATCGATGGTATCGGTCTATCGTATCGCTTACCGCATTGACGGGGAACGGACCCCCCATCGGCGATGCCACCAGCCAGGCTATCTTACTGGGGCCCAGCTCATCGGGGGAGACGCCAGACTATCTCGACGACTATTGGGGGTTTACCGTGAGTCTGGCGGCGATTTTCCGCGGAATCGGAGCCGCAGCCTGGCAGACCCCCCACGATCAACCGGGGGACGAAACGACAGCGACGGAATTGGAGGCGTCCCTACGCCAACTGATGGACGCGGGGGCTCAGTCCACGCCGGCGTTCTACCCGGGGGTGGTCGAGGGCCTCTCGACGGAGTACATTCGACAATTCCTTCTTTGCAACGAAGCGTTCCAGCACAGTGCGCTGATCCAAATCCACCGTCGGCTCCGCAAGATACCGCCGTCGGGCCCCGCGGTCCAGCAGTCAGTCCAGCGGATCCTCGAGTGTACGGAGCAGATTCGACCCTCTCAGGGACTCAGTCCGTGGACGATGCTCACGACGCCGCTGTTCATTGCGGGCTGTGAGGCACAGGGAGACGATCGCCAACATATTCGACAGCTTCTGTCGTCATTACATGATACGATTCGCATTCCGAATGTGTTGCAATCGTTGAAGTTTCTAGAGCAGTATTGGGCTCATCAATTGGATGAGAATGAAAGCTGGAATGGGTATTTAGGTATTTCCCTCCCCCCCCCCCCCCCAAGAGAAGAAGTTTTCCAGTGCTGACGAGGTAGACCGGATGGGATTTGATTTTATTCCCTACTGAGGAATTGTACGATATTATTCCAGCATACACTATACAGAGATGAAGATTGGTATTTATATATAGACTCAAGAATGCGCCAACTCTAAATCCCGCTCATATCCATACTACTAGTTGGTACTATTTACCCCTGAAGATTAGCGGAGTTTGGAAAGTTGGTTCGCTAGGATCGGCTGCCGCTACTATATATATATATATATATATATATATATTATATTATATTATGCTATTATCTTCTTCTTCTCTTCTTGATCCATTTGGTATCTATCTATCTATCTATCTAGGTACGGCGTAGATTCTGTACGGAGAGACTATTATAGTAACCATTCAGATGTCAAGCAGATAAACTCAGGTCTATATTGATTTTGACCCACTGCTACTAATTTAGTCCTGCTGAACTCCTTTTTCGATGTCTTTCTTTCTCCCCCTGAATCGCTTTCATCCCTTCTCTCTCTCTTTCATTCCGGGTTGGCGCCTTTCTCGCTTTGTGCTTCTCTTTGACTCTCACCATGAGGATCTGTCGATCTCTCTTCTCTGATTTGATCCCCTTTGACTTCTCTTTCATACCTGGGCTGATACTAGTTTCCTTTCCTCCCCAGGGTTCCTACTACTATATTCTATACGACTCGTCGGTCTAGAGTCCGATTATTATTATTATCTTCATCTAATAAACGAATCATGGGCCCTGGCTGGACTTCTCCTCCAGCGCCTGGCGCCCCAAGTTCTCCCCCTCCTGTTACAAATGGCCCTGACCATCCTCATCTTCCTCCTCCTCCTCCTCCTCCTCCTCCTCCTCTTCATCCTCCTCTTCATCCTCCCTCTCCTGCTGCCGCCCTCGTGCGCAAGAAGCCATTGCCGCCCACAGCCCGCCGATCGACTCCCTCTCGAGCGTCTTCTTCGTCGTCTCTGCCCTCCGTCTACTCCGACGCCGATCCTCTCCCTTCCTCTCTGCAGTCTCCCATCTCTCTCCACCGTGCGTCTTCTGGGGGGACCTCACCTCCAAATCAGCTACCCTCTCCGGTCTTGTCCTCTCACACTTCGCCTGCTGCCCATGACGACCCGTCTCTCTTTGCTCGCCGAAGCTTGGATAGGTAAGACTCCTCCCCCCCCCCCCCCTGCTCCACTCCTCTCTCTTCTCCTTCTTTCCTTTCTCCTTCCTCCTCCTCCTCCTCCTCCTCCTCATTCCCCCCTTACGAGATTGGGACGTCAAATGTTCATCGTCCTCTTGGGACGTTGCAGGACTAACCCCCTACGTTCATCTCTTCTATACAGGTTACCCCAGAGAGCTCCGTTTCGGTCCCCTCTCCGCATAGATACATCCGCCTCCGCAGTGAATGTGGACAGCGACGACAGTGACGACGACGACCTCGATATAACCCAACTCTATAGATCCCAATTTACGAATGGGACGCCGGTACATAGTCGTCTTGTCAGTGAACCCTTCATTCCGGTCCTTCCCTCTCCAGTCTCTACGACCCATAAGCGTGCCACGATAATGGCACTACACCCACCATTGAACAGACCCCCTCCACTACACATTGACGCCCATGGTCGAACCGTGTCCAATGGTGTAACAGATCCGCGACAACCAAAAACGCCAGGGAATAAAATTAGTTCTTTCTTTGGCTGGCGCGCGAGCACGTCTCCTGGCGCCGAGTCTTCTAGTACAGAAATCTCCGACAGCGGTCGTTCGCCGCTACCATCCCCCATGCCTCCATCTCTACCCAGCACCTCCTATTCTATTACTCCTTCTACTACCGTACCGTTCGATACGACCGGTAGGGCTCCTGGGCATTACCCCGTTCGCAATGGCTCCCTTAGCAGTGCCAGCATCCTGGAAACCGCCCCCTCCGCCCCCTCCGCCCAGGTGGCGGACCTAGAAAATGAGCTGCGGGAAATCAGCTCTGAGCTGGCGGGGTCGATCCGGCGCGAAATGGAACTAGAGGACTTGGTCGAACGGTTACAGTCGGAAACGCCTATCGATACGCCTGGCCGACGTACCAGTGATTATTTTTCAGACTCGGGAACGAGCTCGATTCGATATGCCTACGAATCCGGTGGGCGAATTGAAGATATCGAGAAGTACCGCCGCGCAGCCGAGCAGGAGCGCGCTCAACTCAAGGTTGAATTCAGTCAGAAACTGCAGGAGGAGCGCGCGCGCCGCATGGCATCGGAGTCGCATGTCCAGATCCTGGAATCGCAGGTTGCGCAGGTAAAGCTCAAGCTCTATTCCCCTCTTTTTGGAGCCCACATTAATAATCCGTGCCCCTAGCTTCGACGGGAGAGAGTGGAGATCTCCGACTTGTCTTCGAGAACTCGAGAACTAGAAAGCGCATTAGACGATACCCGTCGGAAGCTCGTAGAGGAGCGCCAAATCAAAGACAACTTTGAAGACCTCTTGACGGCTATGCGCGTGGAGCTCGAGCAGATCCGTAACGAGCGCGACGGTTTCCGAGATACCCAAGCTCTGCCCGATCCCGCCGAGATCCAACGCTTGACGGAAGAAATCGAGGCTTTGAAGATCGAAAATGCTGCGCTAGCCCAATTACAGGGCAATCGGTTTGCTTCCATTGCGGAAGAGGACAACACGTCAGCGAAGCGACGAAGCGTCGCCTTTGGCCTTTCGCGGTCCAACTCCTTGGCTCGCATGCCTCCCAAGGCGAATGGCTCGACCGGTCTCAAACGATCCGGTTCCCTTTCACGATCCAACTCTATATCAGGCAAAGAACGCGACAACACCCGAGAGTCCCTGGCGGACCGGGTGGAAGGCGCTGAAGCCCAGCGAGACGCGCTTCACCAAGCTCTCCGCCGTCTGCTGGACCGCCAGGCGCATGAATCCCGCCAGAGCGAGAAGCGCATCAGGATCCTCGAACTGGAACTGGCGCGTGCCCAAGAATCGGACTCCCCACGTCGAATGGGATACGAGCGCGAAGTGCGCAACTTGCGGGAGGAGGTGAACCACCTCCGCATCCGTGCAGAGGATGCCTTGGATCAGAAATGGCAGTGCGAAAAGGGCTTAGCCGGTCTGAAGATGGATCTGGACCGCGCCGAGCAAGAAACCACCTCCCTCCGTGTTCTGCTCCAAGAACATGACATCGCAGTCCCCGAGGGCCTGGAAGATGGCTTCGCCGAGGTCATTGCCACCTCTTCCTCGCTCGAATCCGCATACCAACAACTCCAAGCCGATCGCGAATACGCAGAGGCTAGCGTTGCTCACTCGCCTCAGGCGGAGTCCAACGAGTTGGCAGAGTCGGTCGACCGAACGGACATGCTCGCGCAGCATGTGCGCCAACAGCTGGCCACAAACAATGCCCTGCGTAGCCGTCTCGCCGACGCCATTGGCAAGGGCGAGAAAGAGCAACAGCTCTCCGCCATCCGCATCAACGAAATGCAAGCGCACCTCAAGGAAATGGAAGACGTCCTCTTGACGGCCCAGCAAAACGCGGAAGACGAAATGGCTCGTCACGAAGACGAGATCCGCCAGATCCAAGAGAGCCATAACGCTCAGCTCCTGCGCATGAAGAACGGCTCCCGTAGCCCCGTGGCTCTGTCCCCCATTCCCCCGAGCACCCCCTTCACCATCCGCTCCCCGCGCCTGGATAAGACCACCAGCGGTGACGGCATGCCCCTGACCCAGGTCGTGCAGTCCGAGACGCTTGAACTCCGCGTGAAGGAACTGGAGAAATTACTGCGCGTCGCGGACGTGGAAATGAGCGAAGTCGTCAGCCGCATGAACCGTGCTCAGATCGAAGTGGCTGAACTCCAATCTGATCGGTATGTACCACCCACCCTCCCCTCTTTCCCGGGTACTAACTTCCCATAGGGACGAGGCACTCCGCGAAACGCGCCGACTCCAAACCGCTATCTTTACAGAACGTGAGGTGTTTAAAAACCTCCTAGGCAGAAATTAATCCCTTTTTCTTTTCCTTCTCCGGTTATGCCCGAGATTTTCGTCAATCTTGTGTGTGTCTGTCTGTCTGTCTGTAACAACATTTATTACTTACCTTTATATCCCCCCGGTGCCGGTGTCCCTGGAGTTTCCTGTTTCGCATCGTTTTTGCTCTTGCTCACTTCTGTGCTCCTCGGCTGGTTGACCAGCACCCAGAGCGCAGTGTATATATGCTAGTCACGAGCACCACGACGTTTCCCGCGCTTCATGGTTGTATATAACACATCCTACCTATGATCTATCTAGACGAAGCTCCTACTGACGGAGCCTGGTATCACACAGGGCTGTCGGATTTATGGGCTACCTACCAGAGAAAACTCGTAAAATTATATAAATAATTTAAACTTATAATAACTCCTATATTGTTTTCAATTTTATCTAATATAATATAATTAAGATAGTTAGTTTAATCGTCAGTTAGATCAACAGCTGGTTGGTAACAAGTAAGTTGCCCGCTGAGGCGTTCCTTGAAACCGACTTGGTTACCACGGGAGAAGTAACTATGTAACTAGTTAACTAGTTAGTTAGTTAGTTGGTTAACTAGTTAGTTGGTCAGCTTGCAAGCTGCCAAAAAGACAAAGCGATTCCTCGCCGCATCTGCAATCCAGACAGACGACGTCTCCGCTCTCCAGCCAGCCGCTGTTTCGTTGCCTTGGCCTCGCGGAGAAAGGGGGTTTCCAAGGCGTTGTTGTTTCGTAACTACTTGTTGATATTCAGGGTTCAATTCTAGAGGACTCGGACTCTCCTTCTTTGTTCATCAGTTGGGGGGGGGGGGGGGGGACGTATTACGGCAGAGTTTGTATTCTCTGGAATGAAATGCTGAATGTGCCTTTCCCTTAGAAAACTGGATTCGAGAGCATCGCAAGGACGATGGTGTTTGACTAGGAATCTGCCACCTCATCATGAATACAAGTAACAACATTACAAAAACCCGTAGTCGTACACTTCTAGATCACTTCCACCGTACCCGGTCTGTGTCTGTCGCTGGAAGGACAAGACACAGACGTGGGATATCAACAGCTAATCATTTAAAGATCCATCCACTCCTCAGAATTATCAAAAAAGGCTTCGTGGTAGGGATTCTTGTCCAGCCATTCTCCTGGAGGCGTTGACGTGGAAAACTTGCTATAGAAATCGGTGAGAGTCTCGTTGAGAGCTAGGCTGCGTAGTTAGCGATGGTTCAAGAATGTTCCAAATACACGCGACATACCTTGCAAAGTCATAGGCTGCGAGGGCTGAAGGGTAAATCGCGAATCTCGCTCTCGGTAAAGGGTTAAGGATTTTGGGATTGCCGTTCCTTTGGCGGAGTTATTAGGTATCCAGCTCTCACATAACCAACCAACAAGCCTCTTCTAGCTTACCTTTCGAGATGGACAGGTAGCCGGGTCTGCCTGCAGGCTGGCCATTGTCTACGGCTTCCATGTAATTGTCATATGACCCTCGTGTGAATTCCTGCATCAAGTGGGTATTTGGCATAAAGAGTGCCCCGTTTGAAACTGTGTGGTATGGTTGGTGGTCTAAGTTGCCTACCCCGGAAAACATTGGATAAGAGGCATACCATCCATAGATATTTTGGGATAGACCAATCCATCGTTGGCAACTTCTATACCGTCTTCCCATTCCAAATCGTCCCGATCGAACTTCTTGTCAAAAAGTGGTGACTCGGGGCGTACTTGGAATCGATACAGCGTTGCTGGGAAAACAGAATGAGACGACACATATGATAGGCCCCGGCGGTTCTGCCAGTGGGCAGAAGCGCCGGAAATAGGGCGAAGAAGATTTCGGAACATTGCTGGGTATTGTGTGTAAGAATCATTCAAGTCACCAATGCCTTTTCTGTTTGTCCGCCAGTTTTTGAGGTGTCAGAATTCGGAAACACTATTCTACCGATTACATATGTATCAAATAATGCAAACATTTGGGGTTTGCTCGGTACCACCACCTCCCCACAGCAAGGTTTGATATAGCAACAAAGAGCGAATAACTTTCAATGGAATACAATACAAATAATAACGAACGTACGAGTCTTGAAAATCCGTCTGGAAATTTCAAAGTAAAGAGGCAACGCTCTATGATAGATCGATCGATCCACGGACTTCCCTCACCTACGTTATGCCGACTCCTCAGTCACCTCAGGATATTTTTCCAGCCACTCCTCCTTAGTCAGACGTTCTCCTTTCGTAGCCAAGAAGTCTGTAATCCTCGCATTCAGTTCTAAGATGTTAGAGGGTAAATGAATATTCCTTATAAGAAACAGTTAAAAAGGCCACTGGTGTTGATATTTTGGGGTAGAAAGAGCTGGTCGAGGACGGAGGACGAATGGCGGTATATATATGTAACTACCTCTCGATTCTCACCCGCGATATGGGTGTGGGTCGTAGACGCAAACTCTGTGAATAGCGCTTAACCACTGAAGTCTTTAATTCAACAGCAGCCAATCAAATTGACAAAGTCAAACAACAATCAAACAGTAAGTAGGGATCATCAGTATGAACCCCTGGATATCACATCAAATCATGGACCTGGTCGCAAGAGCGAGGTATAATAGGCTGTAATCTAGGCGCCGATATCTATATTTGGCGGCCAGAAAAAAATTTCCAGATAACCTTCTCCTATTCTCATAGGAAAATGGTGTGATATTACCTTCCTAGGTCCTTTATACTAGTTTACCCAGGATATTATTTAAAGATCCCCCGTGACGGAGGTTGTATATAAGATCAGGAGTGAGATATCATAACCCCCAGAAGCCTGAAACTTGAATGCTCTACATGCTTCCCTATTGGTGAACCCATACGCGCTATATACCTAAGTTAACTAGTACGTGGTTATGACTCATTCCCCACCAAATAAAGCTGATTTCTCCTGTCAAGAGAAGCAATTGGTCATGGAACCCAAGAAATCACCTTTAACTAATGTAAAGAACTGAGTAGTGAAAAAGGAAGTAGTGAAGTTCCAGCTCAGAGGCTTGGATCATTATTTTTTATGTACATATAATGTATTCAACAGCCGAGCAGCGAACACGACACTTCGGATATCTCAGCCATTCTTGTATAATTACAGCTTATATTAGGAACATAAACTCTCTAAAGCTATTCTAATATGAATCCCAACTATCTCACAAAACCAAGGTATGCTGATGTTGAATACAGCTACCAGGCTCCAAGTACGGACGAGTTATTTAGAATATCTGGATAACTAATGGACCTGGCTTATCAAAATCCGAGGTACGCTCTATCCATAACCCAATAATATGTTACCTTCAATATGTGTCTAGAAGAGGCAGAATCGTTGAATTTCTCGAGATCAAAAAGAGCCATTTTGTATGGCAATACAGATTCGCCGTTCCATTCCAAATCATCCCGGTCGAACTTCTTGTCAAAAAGTTGTGACTCGGGGCGTACTTGGAATCGATACAGTTTTGCTGGGAAAACAGAATGAGAAGGCACGGGCTGGAGATAGGATGAAGAAGATTTTGGAACATTACTGGGTATTATGTGTAAGAATCATTCAAAACTGGCAGTAACAACTATAGTTGATGACTTCAATGACATGTCGGAATTCGGCAATACTATTTTCCCGATTATACATGTGCCGCCGGCTGCCCCCTGTTGATCTGTAGATGGTTGACATGCTTAACCATAACTCAGTTCCCAACTCCCCTTCCCGCAAGAGGGGCTAAGTTGGATCTGACCCTGCTATCGGTAGTAAACTATCCAACTTCATCTTTCAGGAAGCTCGAACCTGAAAACAACGCGTCAACAAGGTGGGTGGGACATGCTGGAGATAGATGCGAAAAAAACGTTGTATATAAATACTAACATGGAACCACCTCCCCCGTACATATTTCAGCACAAAACCGAACCGTCGCTTCCATCGCCTAGCTCGCTAAGATGGGTTACATCATGAAATTCTATACCGACGGTGGCTGCAGACGCAACGGAAAACCAGGAGCAATAGGTGCGGCCGCCGCCGTATTGGAGAAAAGGTCCGGAGGAACGCTTAGTTGGAGAAAATCACTACCGTCGTATCCAGCACCCACAAGCCAGCGGGCCGAAATCTCCGGCATCATTCTTGCACTCGAGATGGCCCTCCAAAAGTATGACTCACTGAACACGAATCCATACCTGGATGTCACGATATATACGGATTCCAGGTATGCGATTGGGTGTATGACGGATTGGATTTATAAGTGGACGCGAAACGGATGGATCAATGCTCAAGGCTATGAGGTTGCAAATCGAGATCTTATTGAGGAGGCTTCTCGACTTGATGATGAATTAAAAGAGCAGGGAGACGTGCAATATGTGTGGATCCCGAGGGAACAGAATGAGCAAGCGGATAGGATATGCAACCAGAGGCTGGACGAACAAGAGGAGACGTCGTCGTACTACTCGGATTGGTAACCCTGTGGTTTGGCTTGCCTATGTGAAATATTGAACTTTTGAGCTATCTGGAGAAATCTAAGGGGATGCTAGGTTAAGGTCAATCCAATTTGTTCATGTGCCCTCCATAGGTTAGAGGAACTGTTGGAGACGACAAGGTATAAACGTTGAGACAGCAAAGGAGCCTAGAAATCTTCCCCTTAGAATACCAGTTGACTCGTAGTCTTGCCTCACTGTAAATTGAAGCTACGCTCAACGGTGTTCCCACTTATGATCCTTCCCTGCTGAAATCTAGAAATTTGGACTGGGTTGCGCCCAATGGAGTCGATCAAAGTCCTACCTACCCCTTTATCACAGCCAAACTCATCAACGAAAACAAGCTGATCAGACTTGAACCTTGGCAATTTATGCTGGTCTAATGCTCTTAGTTGAGGTCCTTTCAAGAGTGGGTAGTGGAAATGTTACCTGGGCGCCGTTCTGAGGATTTCTGAAATGAGATTTAGAAGAGTTTGCCATGAAGTACACCACCAATGATGATACTCCCAGAACCAGAAGTAGACTTTCAATCTAATCGCTCTGAAGAAAATAAAAGGGTGGTTGCGTCTGAATACAGTTAAACCTAAAATTCCAATTTAGTTTAAAGAATTTATAGTTAGTTAGTTAGTGACGGCTTGCATGTGATTAACCAGATTATTAATGGTCTTGGCATCACATGACAGGGGGTCTACAGGAGAGTACCTAGGTACCTATAATACTCCGTGTATGTCTGATCTTTGAGATGAATTGCATAAACCTATCATGCATTATTGATAAATAACTACCCATATCTGCTCCACGGGAGCCTCCTTCCTCTCTACCGATTTCCGCAGGATAGGGCTGGACCAGGAAAGGAACTCTTACCTACCTAACCTAAGGTGCAGAGTACAAATCAGACTCCGCCATGAAAGCAAATGTTTGCTTTGTTTGTTTTCATTCAACCTCCTCGACTATTCATTCCTTCATTCCTTCATTGTCCTCTCTCAACTTGGTGATCTTCTGTACATACAAAGAAACTAACTGCCCTTGATCTCTTTAAATATCCGTAAGGATCCTACTGTTCTTGACAGATAAATATGCTCATCGTTAGCTGTCTTGAATAACCCAACTATTCTCTTTCTCTCTTGCACACCTCCTCATCCAAGTACACATTCCCACCACCATGGACTATCTCCCAGGTAAGTTCCCACAGCGCAAAGCTTTAATAATAATAATAATACAAGGTGTTGGAGGTATTCACTGACGGAAACCCCATTAGAATCAATAAGTTCCATCATTCAGCATCCAACTATTCAACAACTTGCCTCCTCTCCCATTGCCTCTAACCTTGCCCATCTTCACGCGACTTACCTCGACCCTTCCCTCACCCGTCTTCAAACCACCTACCTTGACCCTTCTCTCGCCCACCTGCGCTCGACATACGTTGACCCTTACGTCGTGCAACCCACCGCCACTCTCCTCGCATCCATGCCGGATCTCGTCTCTGTTCTGGTCCTGCTCGTCGTCCTGCTGCTCTCCCTGAAAATCCTCGACTACGCCCGCCGCATGGTGATGTTCTGGGTGTCGCTCGTGATGCGCCTGCTCTGGTGGGCCTCCATAATCTCCCTGGGACTCTACGTGTACCAGGCCGGCCTGGAGAAGTCGGCGCAGGATCTGGGATGGGTTCTGGGCGTTCTGAAGGCGTTTGTCGATCGCTTTTGGACTTGCATGGAGCCACCCGCCACGGAAGGTAATGGCTACACGCAGAAATTCTGGCGAAACTCTTAACACCTGTGTCGTTCTCCTCGGGTCTCGGGGCTTAGTTGTTTCCCTTGCGCTTGCTTGGTCGGGTTGGTCGACCTATTATCAGCATTACTCATGGTCTGTTTGTCGGCGTTGGGATTGGTATATTCTATTCTATACGAGCGTGTTGAATTTTGGTCGGATGGGGAAATATTTATACACCTTGATTAGGGTTCTACGACTGTTCTTATGACGTGTGTGTGTGTGTGTGTGTATGTGTGCATGAATGGTTATATTCATATTAGCTGGATGACTAGATTATGTTGTTTTTTTGGAGGGGGTGCTACATGTGCATCCATTCTCTTTGGCACGCTGGGAGATAAGATAATAGTTATCTTCAGCTTCTGTCCCTAACTTGCATTATTCCTCTCAGTAAATCGTCTCTGATTTATTCTCGGTTTGAATAGAGTCTTCGAGTTTTGTGTGTATGTGTAGAGACGACAGGTGCAGAAATTGAGTGATGGAATAGATCCATTCGTAGATGATAGGTATAGAGAGAGAGAGAGTGAGAGATGTGTCTATCTCGTAGTCAATAGTTCAGTCTCTCGGTGTACGCTCAATCAGCATCCTCCCAGTCAACTTCTTGGGTATCATTCGGTTCCCGGGGCTCCTGGGCCTCATGGTACTGAATGGCATCATCGATATGGCTCAGCACAGCCGCCACACTATCCTCATCCTGCACATCCAACTGGAGGAAAGAAACCATACTGAAGTCATCGATCAGTTGCGCGACCGCGCGATTCAACCGGTTGAACGACCCCCCACTCATGAGCGACTCCTTGGACATGGGGTTAATAGCCACGGTGGCATGCTGGGCCTCCCCCTCCTCCTCCTCCTCCTTCTCCGCCTCCTCATGATGCTCTGGATCCTGAAGCAGCTGCACATCCACCCGCGCAAAGCGTTTCAATTCCTTCCGGGAAACCATATCGCGGACCTGGTCCATCTTGGTGAGAATATTCACGTGGGGCATTTCCAGCATCAACATAGCCGACATGGCACTCAGCGTCCCCGCGAAGAACTTGGCCTTATCCACCACAAACGTACTTTCCACCAGGTAAGCCGCACACAGATTAATATTCAGAGGCCCAGCCCGAGACAGGAACTGGACTAGTGAAGGGAGCAGCGGCACGTGTGTGTATAGCTCGATTTGACCGGGCATGTCGAAGATGATGAGATACTCCTCGCTCAGCGGGTCCAGGGCCTCCGTCAGGAAATCCAGATTTTGGAGTAGGAATTCAAAACAGTATATCAGGCCTCCGTTGGGGCCTAACCCGAGCTCTTCCATTACATCTTCCAGGGTGATCAGCTCCCGGATGTCCAGGTCCGGAGTGTACTCGAAGTGTTCGGCGGCTGGGTCCAAATTGACGTAGAAACAGCTCCGGCGGGTGTTTTGGAGGTGTTGGATAATTCCGTTGCAGAAGGTGGTTTTCCCTGCTCCGGCTGGTCCCATTACTAGAACTCCGAATTTCGACATTTTTTTTTAGGACTTTATTTCTTTTCTTTTCTTTTCCCTTTCTTTTTTTTTTTTTTTTTCTCTAGAGGGGGAAAAAAGATGACTGGGATAAGTGTGAGGATGGGGGGTCCTTGCAGGTACGTACGCGGGGTTGAATTATTCGGGTTTTTTTTCTTTCTTTTTTCTCTACTCCGCTCGATGAGGATCCACTACCAATTCAACTACTCAACCAGTGGCTACATAGCTACATACAGGTAGTACAGAGTATAGTTATCAAATAATATAAACAGGGAAGAAATACTCGGCCCCGTTAACCCGGACTCTGCCCCCATAACAAATAGCTATTACTCCGGTAGATTCTTATTTTTGGCTGGGTTTTCGGACTTCGGTCTTTCTCTGTACGGAATCTCGTGTATTTGGTATTGGTATTGGGTATTTTTCTTTTCTTTCCACCAAACTTTCTGCCCCGGTTCACCGCCGGAGAGACAGAATTGCGCCATCGGAATCACATTAAAGCGGCCACCAATCAGCCCCAAATCCCCCCTCTTTTTCTCTTCCTCTTCTCGCTTCCCCTCCTCCTTTTTCTTCTCACTCTCCCCCTCTCTCTTCTCTACACCTCTCTACTTTTTTCTCTCATCTGAACTTCTTCTACTCTCCTCTCTATCCTCCTCACTCAATTCCATATTTCTCCTTCACAATGGGCTCCGTCGCCAACACCCCCAAGACTGGAACTTTCCTGTTCACCTCCGAGTCTGTCGGAGAGGGTCACCCTGATAAGATTGCGTATGTGACCGCTTGCTCTTCTTCTTCTTCTCCTCTCTCTGAATGTTCGAAACGTGTCCTTTTGGGGAATTGTATGTTGACTTCTTTTTCTTCTACAGTGACCAGGTCTCCGATGCCATCCTCGATGCCTGTCTCGCTGAGGACCCTCTCTCCAAGGTACGGAACCTAAAATTTGGATCCTTCCGTTCTTGCCACCTTACTCCCTCCCCCTTCATTTTGCACACCGGCTCGTATCTCCGCAAGAATTCTTGCCCAACTTGCAGATAAACTCAATTGGGCGATGATTAACAATCTGCATAGGTCGCTTGCGAGACCGCCACCAAGACTGGTATGTTTTCTTATCTCGAATCTGCATGTCTTTCCCCACCCGCTAACCCCCCCTTGCACAGGTATGATCATGGTTTTCGGTGAAATCACCACCCAGGCCAAGCTCGACTACCAGGCGATCATCCGTGGTGCCATCAAGGACATCGGTTACGATGACTCCGAGAAGGGCTTCGACTACAAGACCTGCAACGTCTTGGTGGCCATTGAGCAACAGTCCCCCGATATTGCTCAGGGTCTCCACTACGATGAGGCTCTTGAGAAGCTCGGTGCCGGTGACCAGGGTATCATGTTCGGTTATGCCACCGACGAGACCCCAGAGCTCCTCCCCCTCACCATTCTGCTTTCCCACAAGCTCAACGCTGCCATGAAGGCTGCCCGTAACGACGGCTCCATCCCTTGGCTCCGCCCTGACACCAAGACCCAGGTCACCGTTGAGTACGCTCACGACAACGGTGCCGTCAAGCCCCTCCGCGTGGATACCGTCGTCGTCTCTGCCCAGCACAGCGATGATGTGACCACCGAGGAGCTCCGTGCCGTTATCAAGGAGAAGATCATCAAGAAGGTCATCCCCGCTGAGCTTCTGGACGACCGCACCGTCTACCACATCCAGCCCTCTGGCCGCTTCGTCATTGGTGGTCCTCAGGGTGATGCCGGTCTCACTGGCCGTAAGATCATCGTCGACACCTACGGTGGCTGGGGTGCTCACGGTGGTGGTGCTTTCTCCGGAAAGGACTACTCCAAGGTCGATCGCTCTGCTGCCTACGTTGGTCGCTGGATCGCCAAGTCCCTCGTCAACGCCGGTCTTGCCCGCCGTGCTCTGGTCCAGCTCTCCTACGCCATTGGTGTTGCTGAGCCTCTGTCTCTCTATGTTGACACCTACGGTACTTCTGACAAGACCTCCGACGAGCTCGTCCAGATCATCCGCAACAACTTTGACCTCCGTCCCGGTGTCATCGTCCGCGAGCTTGACCTGGCCAAGCCCATCTACTACCAGACCGCCAAGAACGGCCACTTCACCAGCCAGGACTTCTCCTGGGAGAAGCCCAAGGCCCTCAAGTTCTAAGCGCTGTGCCTTAGGACTCCTTACTTCTACCACCTCTTTCTCTTCGCTTTCTTTACGAATGTAATGATTCCTTGCTTTGTTTCAACAACTCAGAGCAGCAGCATAGACATGTCAAAACAAAAAGCAGCTTCTGTTTCCTTTTTTAATGTCTTGAATATTTTTCTTTTTTGCATGGTCGTTTGCAAAAGACCAGGGTTTGGCGAGGATAAATTCAACATGATACCACTTTCATCGGCTGGGAGGGATGTATATCGGCGTTTGTTTGTTTTTTTTTGGGAGCGATAGTTTTCAACACATAAGCCTCCATGCTCTGCGTCTTGACTTGATGTCAGACGCGCGCATCTTGGACGAAACGTGTCCGAGAGGCTTTCGACGGTGGTGATAACTCACCCATAGGGGTTTAATCCCTCCACCACCATTGCATGCTAATCTAAACATTAGCAATATAGAGTAATGAATACCACTTGCATTAATTGCAAAAAAAAAAAAAAAGATTCTACCAATCCTCTTGTACCGTAGTTATGCATTCATTCCATGAAAATTGATATCTCTAGTCTATTCTTAGTTGCCATCAAATGTCCAGGCTTCTATCTCAGGCACCAAGGCACCAAACCCCCCCCACTGACGCGTTGCCGTCGCGTCACCAATAATTGATTGCACAGTCCTTCATAGGCTCACTCTTCACTTCTTGCATTAAAATTGAGCCCTGTCGCCATCTTTCTCTTCTCAGACCATCTTTACATGTCTATACATTCGACGTGACTTTCTTCGCCTATTCCCAATCACAGAATGTATGAGTAGCCCTCGACGCGTTCATGGCCTCGCGTGAATCTCTCAATGTCCTCGAACATATCCCGCTTAACCGACTCCAAGATCCCGCTCCTCCGATTTCGAGGAAGCGCAAAATATGCGATCTTACGGATGACTCTGAAGCCCAGAACATCGTGATCCGGGTACGATTTACCTCCGACACGTTAACATGACCTGCGTTTTATTCTCCCTGGATGGATTCCGCTAACTGCTGCTGCCCCATCCAAACAGGCCCACGCCGCGTCACTATCAGATGATCCATTTGTCCTCCAGCCGATTGCTGTCCTCCCTCGGACCCGACTCCCCTTTGACTGGTTGGATATTCCATCGGTATCGTCACCGATTCAGTCCGGCAGTCTGTTCATGGCAAATATCCCTGTCCTCGAGTCGAACCCCCCGGTCGAGCCGATAGTCCTGGTTGTACGATTGATCACGGATGGAGCATTGTATGCAATTGAGCGAGTCAAGCAGGGCGTTTACGCCCTTTCCCAATTGGCGCGCGGCGTGGAAGAGGGGGATATCCGTGTTGCGGTGAAGGCGTCCAGTCGCCCAGTCAGCGCAGGGTTAGGAGGACGTTGTACGCCGTTGAAAGGGAGGAATGCCGGCTGTCCTCGTGGATGGTGGCAAGTTGCAGAGATCGAGGATCCGGCTCCTAACCTCGATGCTCAAATCGCTACAAAAAGGGTTAAGGTCAATTTTGCCTTTGGGGTTACTCCGCACCTGATGGAGCGTCATGAGACACAGGTGAAAGATATGCCCCCAACAGACCCGATGGATAGAAGTTCCAGCTGCGACCTTCATCAGATGCTCTCTGCGCTACCAGAAACTCAAGAGCACCATACGGAGCCTGTGGGGGCCCAGGAAATGGGTGAAGACCCTTGCCCCGCGGCGCAGTCTCCGCAGGAACTCTTAGATGGGTTGAGAGAGCAGTATCTGCAGGCTCTCTATGTCTCTAAGGTTAGTTTGATTTTTTTTTTTTTTTTTTTAGGCTCTGTCTATGCATTTCCACTAACGTGATATAGGCATCTGTAGCGTACTTTGCTAAAGGTCCTTTACCACGCTGTCGGGCTGCGTTTCAATCTCCCGTGTCTAGCTCCTACAGAAGCTCCCATCTCACCGAGTTTTACCGAGAAGCGATTTTGCCAGTGAAGAAGATGGACTTGAAGTACCGGGAAACTCTTCCCGCAATTATCCAAGACGTCATGCTCGCGGTATCCGATGATGAAATGGCAGGACCAAAGAAGCGCCAGAGTAAGAAAAAGAAGAAAACGCTAGGAAAGAACGGACTATACTCTGAAGAGGATCAATTTATCCGGCAGTGGTGGAAGAACCGGCCATTGACTGAGACTGGTGCTTTGGTTGAAACGTCTAGGGAGGCAGAACTCAAGAAACATGTTTCTGACTTACGGTTACGAGAAACCCAGCTCCAGATTCTTCTCATCCTGGAGGCGATGGCGCTGGAGGCCGCAGCGACAGATGCGGCAAAGACAGTCTCCATCGAAGCAACAACCTCCGACCAAAATCCTCCGAAACCAAGGCCAAAGACCAAGAAGCCTCAGGACCTGAACGTGATACTTGAACTCCATCTCGATCGGCTTTGTATTTGGCATGCGGTAGGCTTTGGGGATACGGCTATCTCCGATCTAGCCAACTCTGGGTCCAACCCACCGTCCAGCAAGCCGGCGGGGAATGATGCAATGCGAGACTTCTGCACGGAAGTAATCATTCCATTCTATGCCTCCCGTTTGCCAGACCGGTGTAAGTCGATCACCCGGAAACTTGGGGTTTCGGTCGGCACCAAGTCGCCATTTGCCAAGTCCTCGTCAAGGAAGATATCTCGGGGAGAACCTGGCGCGGCTATCGAGCGACACTCCTCTCAGAAACATCCTCGACGTACATTGCAAACAGACCTAACGACGAACGAACAAACGGCCTCTCAGGGCCGATCACGGCCCAGTCTCAGTCGCTCTAACACTGTTTCGTCACAGCCCGAAGCCGGTCGAAACTCTTTGGCTCCACTGCTCCCGGTGCTTAGCACCAGCGTGCGGGGAGGTATACAAAAGGCCAAGCGAGCAGAAAACCGAGAGGTGGATCTGATTGCCGTAGCGCGTCAGCACGAGACAAAACTGAAGCGGGTACAGCTGCTTGCGGACCAGAAGAAAGAATTGGACGCGGCTATCCTCGCCCTTCGCAAGCCAAACCGCGAACTCGTGGCCCAGGATATTGCCAACGATGCGGACAAGAGGCTGACCACCAGCGGCAGCTCCAGGAAGCCCAAGAACCCAGTGCGAAACCCCTTTCAGCAAGGGGTCCAGGTCATGGCTACGCCCAAGGGAAGTCGAAAAAAGGACGCTGTCATTGGTCTCCCGCCGCTGCCCAAAAGCCTAGTTCGATCGTCACCCAAAGCTCGGGGATCGTCTACATCTTTTTCCTCGCCGTTCAGCGGAGAGCCACAGGTCATCCCGGGATCAACAGTCCGACCCAGTTCCTTTTCGGGCGCGTCGCTTTCTACCGATGTGGGTGCGGTGCAGGAAACGCCGTCCCGACGCCCAGCGCAGCCACCCAACTCCCTCAACGACGCTACTGGGCTTAACGTGGCTGAATCACCCAGCTTCCCTGGCACTGGGAATCTCTTTCGCGTCCCTCGCCGGCCAGCAGCTCCGCCTCTAGCAAACGGCCCATGCACGCCAGTCGCAGCACGGCACGTGAATGTCACAGATGCAGATGCAGACGCAGACGCAGACGCAGACGTGGACAGGCACCTCGACGCCTCTCGTTCGCGCGCACCCCCTCCCCCGCCTCTCTTTTCGCTCTCCGGCATCAAAGCCACTCCAGTGAAGTCCTCGACGGTGCTGGAGACCCCACCCAAACCCGGTGCAGGGAGCTTATTTCACAGCGGTGGTGGTCGACCAGTGGTGCCGGTGACGCCTGAGAAATCCATCTACGCGCATCTGGGCTGGGATGATGACGATTCTTTGATTCTTTAGTTTGTGTAGTTCATTAGCGGGGTTTGGGATTCTCTCTTCCTCGCAAGTCCGGTTGATTATATATGACATGACATGATGAGTGATGTAAAATAGATCTGATTACCATGTATACGTCTAGTATATATAATATATAATAAGACTAGGATTCACTGTGTGAGTAATAACTATGTAATGACTCAATCAAAACCCTAACTTACTACTCTATTACTAGTAGACTAGTAGACTACTAGAGTAAAGCAGCAACAGCAAACAAAAATTGATTCTTTCAATCTATCATGATGTATTCATGTATATATATATATATATACACAATGCTATAGAAAGAGAAAGAGGAGAAAAAAAAAAGAAGCTTTTATTGTTTTTTTTTTTTTTTTGGATCCGCGAGACCTGACTGACACCCCCCCCCCCCCCCCCCCCTAATTTATTCAAAACCCCAGGTCCATGCCAACTCCAAGCTAGGTAGGTCATGTCATGTCATAACCAACCATAACCATAACAATGAGAATATCCAAAAAAAAAAAAAAAAAGTAAAAGTAAAAGTAAAAACATGTGAGAGCATTGCTCTGCTCCGTCCTTGTATAATATAATGCGTGGGTAGAGAAGGGTCAGGGTCAGGATCAGGGTCAGGGCCAAGGGAAAAAGGGAAAAAGACAAGATGTAGAAGAAGTAAAAGATAATAGGGTAGAAGATAATAGTAATAATAATAATAATAATAATAATAATAATAAGTAAGGGAGTAGGAAGAGTATAGTGGAGAAAGAGAATAATAGGGTTAACAAGATTCGTGGACTTCGTGAATTCGTTACATGGGCAGGGAGGGCTGGATTAGATGTGGTGGTGCCCCAGGATGTCCTTGATGAGGGAGTTGGGGGGAGGGGGATTGTCGAGATTAAGTTGAGAGTGTAGACTAGTCGAGTCGAGTTGAGTAGGTTCCAAAAGAGAGAATTCTCCAGGCTTATCCTGTAATGCGAACGGGCATGCATTGTCCCGCAGACGGCCAGAAGGATTTGCGCTGCACGGTCTTCTCGAGACAGCTCCGGCCCTTCTCGAGGAGCCCGTCTTTCTCCTCGCTTTCTTCCGAGGACGGCGGCGGGGAAACCTCAAAGTGGATGCGGATGGCCTGGGCCTGCTGCGGCTCTGGAGTCGACTCCGCGGGTATCTCCTGGACCACGACCACGATGGTGGTAGAATTGTCCTTGGTGGGAGTGGGAGTTGTCGTCATCTCGGGCTCGGGCTTGGGCTGCGTCTGAGCGGCCGCGGCAGGAGAGACATTCTCCGTAGGAGTCTCCGCCGTCAGAGCGTCTTGGCGCCGGATAGGACGCGGCTCGTCGTCCTCGGACTCGGACTCGGACTCGTCATCCTCCAATTCAAACGAGTTGATCTTGGTGGTCATATCGTGTTGGGCCCATTCCATAGAGCGGCAGTGCAGACGGAAATGGCCCAGGCAGCGGCGGATATCCGGGTCTGGCGCGGTGGCTTCGCGGGCGAGTTTTTGCTTGGAGAGGGTGGTGAGTCTGTAGGGAAGCGAGGTCTTGTCGGCCAGGGGGGGCCAGCGCTTATTCATGGAGGACTTATTGGAGGGGAGAAGCGCAGGGGCAGGAGATGGAGGGACAATGTCGACGATGGCTGTGGTTACTGCCATTAGGGTTGATTTTTGATTAGGGCTAGGATAGAGCCTCGAGATGTACTCCGTCGACGGGAGAGAGGGATTCTGCTGGGGTGCACCTTGAACCAACTCAGAAGAAGAGAAGAAGAGAGAGAAGAGAGAAAAGAGAGAAAAGAAAAGAAGAAGAATCGAGACAAGGTTCGGTTCGGTTCTTATTGGGAGGTGAGTCGTGCAAAGTCGTGATTATTTTTGTTGGTGGTCTGGCCAGCGTTTCCACGGGACACCGAAAAGAGAAAGCCGGGTCAGACTCTGCAAGCGGAGAATCCAAGGTTCGGGTCTAGACTTGGGGAACTTTTTCCCAGATTTTTCTCTTCTGGACCTCTTTCTTTTCTTTTTTTTTTTTTTTTCTTTCTTTCTTTCAGAATGATTTTGTATTTCAGTTGTCTTTGTTTTATTTAATACAGAGTAGAATATTGTTCAGAGGAAGAAGGATAATAATCAAGTAGTACTCTGGAAGTCTGGCTAGAATCGATTCCACTCCACACGCAAAATCCGAACAACCAGCTGACCAGGGAGTGGGGCCGGGTCTGGCGGCAGAGCCATGGAATGTTCAAAGGCCTTTTTCTGAAGTTATTGTCTGATCATAAAATAATATATATACATACATAAATATATACATAAATATATATAATATATATATCAATACATATATAAATATATATATCCTTCTTGTTTTATTCTCATATCAGTCCAAATCACGAGCGAAGGGATTCCGAGTTTGATTGGCCAGTTTTTGCGGGGTCACCTGGGCCGGTTAGTCAGTGCCTATCTGGGACTAGCGCGGATGAGGTTACTTCGATACATTATTGTGAACCAATATACATAATACTGTATTCGCTAGAAAGCAAGTTCGACAATGATCAACTGGTATCACAGCGACACTGCTAATACATCCATGGATGGATCTAGATGCCATTGTTGATCTATTGTTTCTGAATCGGACCTATTCTAGGTATCAAATTCAAAAACTCACTAGATTATGTCATGGCTGGTCATGATGTAGTCAGAAGCCACTGTATGACTTCATATTAACAAGGTTTTTGTTTCATTAACTGTCTTGTATCTGAGTAAAGGTTGCATGATATCTTATTCATGGAGATCTAGACTAGGTTATATCTCTCCATATAGAATGACTAACCTAACTTTACTGGTTAAATCATCGCTGATTCATTGACCCAATAACTATACCCTGACTGCTGGAATTGAACTACAAGTTGGAATGCGATACAAGTAGATAGAAGATGGGGGAAATTCTACTTGGAGAAATTAAGAGGGTATATTGGTCTCATCTCCCGTTAGTATTGATCTATATACTCGGGTAATTGCATGAATCCTCCATATTTACTCGGAGTTTTCAACAAACATCTCATTCTGACTGGCTAAATGCTGTGATTAGGGTCACCAGAGATGCAACACAAGTCAGGTTATAATACCTGGTAAGCGCAAAAGATGTCTTTAATTCTCTTTTGACTACAACCTACTACAACCTACTATAGGTGACAAGAACCTAGACAATGATTTAACTTTCCAGGTTGGACAAAGACACTCTCACCCAATCACCAATTGACTCATTCTCAAGAAGAGGGGAAATCTGGCTTGAATCTTGACCTGCAGGTTACTTTGACAGTCCCTACCTGGTGGTTTTGAATATCATTGTCAGACCTCTGTTAATCGCTTTCAAGGGTTTGTCTAGCTGTAATGGTTACTTAGAATCAACCATCCACGGCCCTGATCGTAGTATACCTGGTTCCCGCTCAAGTGACCTCGGTTTCTCATGTCATCTGCGCAACAGAACTACAGCCCTTTTTCGCATTCTTTTTTGATTCAATCTAAAACATGCGGGAGAGGTTGTTCCTGCGAATTGATATGTTGATGTATCTGAGATGCTTATCACGTTGTGCCAGCCAAAGCTATCGTACGCAATGCTCCTACGTGCGGCAAGGGTAGCACTCATATCAACCCCTCATACGACTTCGATTCCTTCGATTCATCCCGTCCAACTGAGTTCCTAGGGCTATCGGTCTTCCTTCCTTACCCAACCCTCCCGCAATTATCCGTGGCTGCATCTACTCAGATTCCTCCCATTCCATCCTGCGGCATGGATCAAGATATTCCTTCCAAGCATACGTGCAGATAGCAACTTGGGATTTGTTAGCCAATCATCGCTCACGTGGCGTCTCAACCTCTTCCTGGCTGCATCTCATTCTTTTCCCCCTCCTCCCGTCTCTTTCTTACTCTTCATCCCCCCCCCCCATCCTGACAATCTTGATCCATCTCTTTTTGTTTCCCCTTTTTCTCTTTAACCTGTGTGTGGTCTCTTTCCCTTTCTACCCCTCCTTCCCTTTTTATGGTCTCAACCCCAGTCCTCGACTCCTCCGTATCTTCAACTTTCGTCCCCACTCCACCTCTCCCCTCCCCTGTCTGGAGAGTCCCCACTGAGATTGGTTTCACCAGTGGCAAGCTGTGAATCGTTTCCTGCTGCTGCTTCGTACTATTTACCGCGACTACTAGTTACAACAGTAGTGGTAGGATTAGTTCTGGGTGGCTTTGCTTTCTGCAGGACAGGGAACCTTGGAAAACCAAATCCTGCCCTGGTTCCTCCTCCAGGCCCCCCGCTGACAGACTTCTCTCCATCTGGAACAGCCTCATGTGGCGGTGGTCGGCACTTTCCATCACCAGCCACACTTTGCCCGAACGGTCTGCTTGTTTTTCTCGCGCAGACTGGTTGCTTAGTCACCCCTTACTTAACGGGATCCTTCCCCCCCTCCTCTCTCTCAAGCAGTATTCCACCACAACCCAGTCCTATCCCCGAAGACCTGTCGCAGCTCTGCTACTGATTTGCTCCCGTCTTACTACCTCTGCATGCAAACCACGACCCGTCTGCCGTTGAACCTGTTGTGAGGACCACTTGTATCGTCACCCCCTTCCGTCCTCTTGTTTCGCTGCCGTCCCTAGTCACCTCGCTCGTCTCTCTGTGACCTGCCAGCCCGCGGCCTTGCGACGTCCTTGGCCCGCCATGTATGGCACCTCCCACTCCGTTTCCGCTCCGATGAATGGGATCGGGGGGGATCTGGTTGATGGCTCGGGCACCATTAACCCTGCTGCGTTGAATAACAATGGTATGTCTGCCCTATCTACTGTCCCGTTTCTCACGTCTCTTTTTCTTTCATCCTTGGAACGAAATCCCTTCACTACTGGAGTCGCGGTTGGAGTGGTGGCCGGAGGGTTTTTTGGGAAAAAATTTTTCTTTTCTTTTCTTTCATCGTCACTTGCATATGTGTCTGTCCGTCGCGACAACCCCCCAAACTGACCCCCGGCTGCTAGTCTCTGTTCTGCCAACTCCGCCGTATGGAGCAACAGATCCCAGCGTTCCCCGTGGTATCAAGCGCGGTCGTACACCGGATCAACGCGGACATTCCCGCGCAGATGGAGACCATGATGACGGTATGTGCGCGTCGGGGGGTCTCGTGCGCTTCATTTTGGGGATTATCCCAGAAGCAACGGCGGCCTCCCGGGCCGCTTCGTCTCATTTTAGATACTATTTTTTTTTTTGATAGCCTTTCACTCTTGCACTACACGCATACACATGTTTATTTTTATTTTTTTATTTTTTCCCCTAGTTTTCCTCTTGCAACATTAGAATATGGCTAACTGATGGGACGCGTTTCGGGCAGTAGTTGCAGATGACCATGGCCGTCGGAAACGAGGGCGCCCCCCAAAGACACCACGACCACCGCACCCAGCCCCCAGCGACCAAACTGCGTCAAACGTCCATCTACAAACCCCCCGGATGCAATCTCAATCATTGCCGCAACACGCGGCAGTTTCGCCTCCATTAGCGTCGCCTCCGGACAAAACCACCCCCACCAAGGCCCCGCTGGTGAAAGCCCTCCCCACCGTGAGAGACCATACCACCGATCAACTGAACGAGGCGCGCGACGAATACATTCCCAAGGAGTTTGATGACTCCGGTGAGAAGAAAGTGGATGGCAACGGCTATCTCCAGGGCGACCGGGAGTACAGATGTCGAACATTCACGGTGCCTCTGCGCGGCAAAAAGCTTTTCATGCTGGCGACGGAATGCGCGCGAGTTCTGGGATACAGGGACTCTTATCTTCTCTTCAACAAAAATCGCTCACTACATAAGATAATCGCCACCCAGATCGAAAAGGATGATCTCATCGCGCAGGATATTCTTCCATACTCCTACCGCTCGCGTCAGATTGCTATCGTGTCCGCCCGGTCGATGTTCCGTCAGTTCGGCAGCCGGGTCATCATCAACGGGCGACGTGTGCGTGACGATTACTGGGAGAGCAAAGCCCGTAAGCAAGGCTTTACTGAGGATGATCTCGCGGGTGAAAAACGCCCGGGCGGCACGAAAGCCCGCGAGGCTGCCGCAGAGGCAGCGAATGCGGCCAGTGTCTTACCCACCCTGACCCACGGCGATGTGATATACAGTAACGCTCTGGAGACGGTGCCCAGCAATTTGTCCCTAGGAGGGGCCTCGGGCGGTTCACTAGCTCAGCCACTTCCCATGATTCACATGGCCACCACGACGGATGATCCGCGTTTGAGGGAATACAATAGTATGCCTCGACCTCGTCAGGAACTGACTGGTCAGCCGTACCAGGACCGATCCCAGCCCAGCTCGGCCGCTGAAATCCTCAACCAAGCCACGCATACGACAGAGTTCAACAAGATTCTGTCCTCGCAGCGTAGCTTCCGTCAGAAGGGTTTAGAGGATTTCTACGCCAAGCAGCGAGAGGCGCCGGTTTCTGCGGCTCAGTCGCAGCCCGGGCAACTGGAGCCCACTGCTGCTTCTGTGGCACAGCCCTTGCAGTCTCCGCGGTTATCGAATGCTGGCGTGCTGGGCTCTACTCCGGTCCAACCCAGCCTGATCCCCCAGCAAGCCCCAATGATGCCTAACCAGGCTGGATTCCAGCCCCCCGTCGTGCACCAACAGCCCGCTGTGGCGCAGTCGCCTGCTCGAGGCATGCCTCCAGTCCGCCCAGATTTGATGCACCAACGGTCCAATCCTGCTCTGGCTGGTGCACCACAGGCGGCCGGACTTTACGGCTACCCTTCTCAGCAACAGCAGCTGTGGGGCCAGCCACCCCCCCAGCCTTCACCTCTGTTGGCTGCCGGACCCCAGGGCGTGGGGATGCAACAGTACGCGAGTCAACTCCAGCAGCAGCAGCAGCAGCAGCAGCAGCAAGCCCAGTCACAGGCTCAACAACAATCTCCTTCTCCTCTCGTTCACAATCTGCCGCAGCATCCGTCTCAGTCTCCGCGTAACCAAGGCCGCCCAACTGTGCCACAGATGCCGCAAGCATTCCAAATGCATCACCCGCAGGCGCCTCAGCAGCAATCCATGGCGGCCATGGGCTTTCCCGGGGGCACTGCTGCTCCATACCCTGCAATGCCCACTGCACGCGCGATGTATCCATCGGCTCATGGGCCTAGTGGTCAGCAATTCATGACTGGGGCTCCCCAGCAGCCAGGCATGGCGATGGGAATGGGCGCAACGGGGACGATTCCCGGCTGGCCTCCGACGGGGCCGATGCAACCCGGGCATCCCCAACCTGGGTGGTCAACCTATTAAGCAAGTTTCGTTTAACAACAGTTTCATAGCCGGTGCTGTCCAGAATATTTATGGCGTTTATGGGATGGGGAGTTGAGGCGGCTGTGGGGTTATTTTTTGTTCGCGTTCCCAGTTGTGCGTTTTCATTTGTGCTATACATTACCTGGCCAAGGAGGATAGCTAATGATAATTTGCGCATTTCCTTTAATACCCTGTTATACCCGATCATGTTTTCATTTAACTTGTTACTTTGGTTTCTTTCGGGGGACTTGGGAATCTGTTCTTGGAATAGCCGAGCAACGGGCAATCACGACGTGGTGCATTCTCCCTATGTCAGCAATAGAGGGACTGGGGTCAGATAATATGGAGATGGGATCTTTCTTGGAAGGCGTCCGTCCTCTGTTGTTGGGGTTCTTTCATTATCTATGGTTTTAGCATGTGGTTCTCCTCTCAGTACGGTATCATGATTGTGTCTATATAACTTGGGGAGTATGCAGGAAAATTGCAATCATTATTTTTATAATATCTATCTAGCCTAGCATACATTTCTTCTGTCAATATGAACAAAGAGAAAGTCCCCCCAAAAGACTTTCTCACTCCAATAACTAACTACACATTAATTAACCTCTCCATTTTTTTTTTTTGTTTTTAAAAAAAGGGGGCAAATTAAGACAACATGGTGGTGACAGGAGCAGCCGACGACTGGCAAACGCAAGAAGCCAGCGAAGTCACCGGAGGCGCAGTGCAGTGGGCACTGACAGCCCAAGGCGCCGTGGTAGTCGGCATAACCTGGCGGATCTTCTCGGCCTTGACCAAGACCGGAATGACGGCGCCAGTCCTCAGCGAGAACGAGCGATGGCCCAGCACCCGCAGCATGGAGGAGATCTCCCCGGAGTGACTCGTCACCGAAACATACAGGCCGGTGGAGCCCTGGTGCTTCTTCTTCTCCTTGTCCTCCTTCTTGCTCTCCTCCTTGGGAGCGAGGAAGAAGAACGAGTCCAGGGCGGTACGGCTGCGCAGGTCCTGCGCCTCGTCGGTCTCCCCCGTGACGCCGTTCCAGAGCTCGTCGTCCTCGGTGAAGCCCTGCTCGATCTCCCACTCCGGGAACAGGGCCTGGATGTAAGACTTGCTGCGGCGGTGGTCGCAGGTGTGCAGGCTGATTTCCTCGCGGATCAGCTCCTTCACCACGGGGACGAACTTGGCCGCGTGCTCCTGTTTAAAGGGGAGCCCCGCGAAGGTGAGGTTCGCGGTGCGCAGGGTGCGGGTCAGCGGGCTGACGAAGTACGAGTCCGGCAGGTGGATCTTTTGGGTTTCGATCTGCGAGGCCCAGAAGTCGTGCGCCACGAGGGCCTGGCTCACGCCGGCTGGGGTGAGGTCTGCGTCCGCCCAGCTGGTTGTGGCGTTGCCGGTGAGGAGGGACCAGTAGCACTTGTCATTCCCATTCCATATTAGCTTTCTTTCTTTCTTTCTTTCTTTCTTTCTTTCAATGCTTGTTCTTGTAAGGGGAAGGAGATAGGAGAAGGAGAAGGAGAAGGAGAAGGAGAAGGGGGATGTACATTCCACGCAGGCGTGCCGTAGTAGCTCTGCGCCGCGTTATGGTAGCCCTCGCCGTGTCTGCCAAAGAAGAAAACCTTGTACTCCACGTTATCGGCGGCCTTTTCATTCAAGTATTTGACCTGCTTGTAGAAGCGCTCCCACTGCGTCAGGTCCTTGTGTTCCTTGTGGTTGTGGTGCTGCTTGACCTCATCGACTTCGTAGGTGCGGTTAATGAGGCCGAAGTTCTCTTGCGTCTGGGGTTTTGATTTCCTCGTTAGATGATATATATATTCGGGTGGTTCATGTAAGATACTGACATAATCAAAGGTAGAGGGGTTGGTGGATTCCTCGTCCTGCAGAAAGTACCCGTGCATCACGGTAAAGTTGGTGTACGAGGAGGACGAAGGAGACGCCTGGGCGGCGGCGGCCAGCCCCAACACGGTAGAAACGCCAACAGTTGCGAACTTCATCTTGCGGAGAGAGTCAACGGTCGTTCTGAGCTACACTCTGCAGATTAACAAGAACCCGTTGCTGCGGAAAACTGCTGCATTTTATAGCTGCGTCAATTCTCCGTAAATTCTCCCTGCAGAACCACCTCCCCCTCTGAAGCGGCTGCGGTTTTCCGCCTACCAGCTTCCCACGTGCGAACTAACGCTCTAGTTTTTAATATCAAATGGTCCCCGTTAATTCCTTGATATTAGACGACGGCTGGAGAGTGTAGACAAGGTATGGGATTTCCCGAAATTATGTATAGCCATGACTCAATACCACGTCGGCCGATTATATAGTTTATGTATTAGTGTAGGTAGTAATATACGCGGCCAATCAACCAAGCCTCCTATGTCCAGACCGCTACCCAGTTCACAATGCAGACCCTCAACACCATAAAATGACACCAACGAATATGCTTGGGAATCAAGAATAAAAAAAAAAAAAGAATTAGTCCAATAATATGTAAAGTCCCGGGCACACAGGCCCCGGAGTCATCGCTGGGGTGAAGTACAATATCTAGCACATCGGACGTAAAGCCCGACTAGGTATCCTTCCGGTCCCACTTAGAAGTTGGTCGGGGTCCGGTTATTGGCGAACGTGTAGGCTTTCGGCTTGTGGGAAGGAAGCTGCCGCGCAACGAAGCGATGGGCCTCCTTTTGATCAGGGAATTCCATGATCTCGAACTCTGTGCGTTTGGAGTCCCCGGCATAGGACCCCGATGGTGTGTGCATATCCGCCTCGCTGCCGGCGTACATGAACGACGGAGATCCCGTCACGCTATCCGCAGAATGGACACTGTGCTCCATCGCCGGCTCATACGACATGGACGTCATGTCATGCTGCGGCACTTGGCAGTGGCCCTGGAACGAAGCCTCTGGAGAAGGCATGGATGTGGCCTCAGTCCAGCTTCGCCCGGTCAGCGAACCGCCATCGCACGCATAGTCAGGAAAAGACGTGTAGTGAGCAGGGGCGGACATGGGGGGAGCGACGTTCTGATATTGATAAGGAGAAATCATTGGCATTGCCAATGGGGTTGCAGGAGGGGACGCAATATTGATCTGCATAGGCTGAGTAGGAGGGAAAAGCGTGGCGGTAGGCTGTGCTGACAGACTGTACCCATCGCTAGGTGTGTTAGGTAGGAGATGGTGCAGGTCCTCGGGGGTTAGAGGGGTAGGCGGGGCCAGCGAACCAGTCGTAACTGGCTGTAGCATGGTGGACATTTCCGCCTTGGACGCTGTCAGGGCGCCAGCTTCAGCAAAGGTTGACAGGTTCAGCGGCGAACGCTGCGCAGCGGATGCTTTTCGGACCCCCGCATACCGCGAGTTGAGACTCTGGGCAGATTTGGACTGCTTCACAGTGCCATAGCTTGGAAGTCTTGTTGTGGGCGACATCGCCGCCCCAGAGAGCATTGAAGACGATCGAGCAGTACCAATAGCGGCCGGCCTTGGTCGCTTTCGGCGTGCGGCAATATCAAGTTCCTTGCTAGCCTCCTTCCAGGAAGCCCTGTCCGTGCAATTTCCGAGCTGCGACATGGCGTGAGAGGTGTTGATTCCAATACCCTCCAGAGAGTCGGCAAGTTCATCCGATGAGCCTCGCCTTGTCACAGCCACATCGGCCTGCAGTGCATATTGCATGGCATTGTACGGAGCCTCGGCATCACTGGTTGAACGATAGCCGGAGAGCGACTTGGTGTGATGAGACCAGTCCTCTGCAGTGGCTTGAAATTGTGCGTTGTCCAGACTCGGTACAGCGAGGGATTCTCCCGCAGAAGTTAGTGGAGACTGGTCCATAGGGTCCCACTCGGAATAGGTGTTCATTTCACTTGAGACATCTGCACTGTCCTTGATGCTAACGGGTAGTGTGGTTGGGGAGACGGATCCGTCTGCACGGGTGACGGGCAGGCCAGTCTTTTCATCCTGGGCATATCGGGCAGCAACCGCGGCATTCAAAGCCCTCTGGAGCGAAGCGAAGGTGGCTTCGCGGGCCGATTCGCTTCGGGTCTTTTGGTGCTTTGATCGGGAAGGAGCGGAAGCTTGTGGGCGGTCATCCGACGAGGATTCTGATGGTTTGGGGGTATCTTTGGTTGTATCATTTTGGGGTTCGTTGGCTTCCGTCGCAGAGGAATCCGACGATTTGGACTTCCCCTTTGCAGCCTCCTCGGCCTCGGCCTTTGCTTTTTGCATCCGCTCAAACTCTTCTTGTCGTTTCTGCTGTTTTGCCTTGGCTCGTCGATTTTGGAACCAGTTCTAGACGAAGAAAAACAACAGTTAGCTGGAGAACAGGGGAAAACAAGGATATATATATATATATATATATCTATCTATCTATCACATCACGTACAGCAACACGGGGCAGGCTCAGGTTTGTTTGGGCTGCCAATTGCCGCTTGACATTGCTGCTGGGTTTAGGGTGCGCCTGAAACTGGGCTTCCAACGTCTCGACTTGCTCCTTGGTCAATCTGGGGCGGGACAAGTTTTCGGCATATTCTTCATAGTCCATGATTGGTTGGTGGTAAAAGTCGACCATATCAAACGGAGGATGAGGGTAGAGGTAGCCGTCCATTGGGTGCATCATCGATGGATGGGCCATTGCTGGGTCGTACGCCACAGGCTGATCCATTGGGACAGCGGCATGGCTGGCAAAAGGATATGGATGGTGTAAATAGTTCATGGCTATGATGTGAAAGCCGAGATGGCTTGGAGAAGAAAGGAGGGGAGGAACGATCGATGAAATGGAGTTCAGGACAGTTGACCTAGTGTTGCGAGACAAACGGTACTTGGGATGAGGAACGGAGACAGTATATTATTCGATGGAGGAGAGGGGGTCGGATTTAAGGACTTGGGGTGATTTATGAACTTGATACAAGAGGGATAGGAGCAGGAGAGAGAGAGAGAGAGACTGGAGTCAACGAGTTGATTGAAGGTATGTTTAAAGAAAAAAAGTCGTGGAGAGGGAATGGAAGGTATGAAGTCCGAAGAGCTGGGACTAATAAGGAAAAAGAAAGGGAGCGACTAAGTAGAAGAAGATCCAAGATGGAAAAAAGAAAATAAAAATATCTAAAAAAAAAAAAAAGTCACAAAAGGAAAAAGAAACAGAAAAAGAAAAGCCAAAAAGGGGAACAAAAAAGGGAAAAGGAGAGTAAAAAAAAAAAAAAAAAAAAAGAGTGATGGAGAGAGAGTGAGAGTGAGATGGAGAAGAGAGGAAGAGGAAGAAAGAGAAGAAAGAGGAGGAGAGAAGAAGGAAGAGAGAGAAGAAAAAAAGGGTGGAAAGCTGTACAGCTGTAAAGTTCAAGTATGGCGTCAGTACGAGTTACGAGTAATTGTTGGTAAGTTACGGGCCACTCCACACCGAGTTTCCACGGTACTTGATAATAGATATAGGCTTTGAACAGAGGGTAGAGGTTAGTGAAGAACTTGAAGATACTAGTAGGTAATACATTACAGTGTCATGTCCCGCCTGAGCGGTTCGGTTTCTGCTACTAATTTCTATTCGAGGGGGTGGCGACAGTGATGACCGGGATTAACCTTCTTCTGCCTAGTTTAACCTACCTAGGTACCTAGGTACTCTCTATCGACATAGATATCCCAACCATTGATTATATGGTATGAGTATTGTATATTATATATCTAATATGGCAGATGAGCGTAGTGGAAAGAGTTGATGAATTAATAGGAAAAACTGGAATCATGACTTGGTCTCTACAGCTTGTAGTTCCTGCATTAGTGCGTCAGGGATAGCACTTGTCAGGTACCCTAGGTACGTAGTATATTGTACGGTTCAGGTTCGTACCTAAACTAAGAACTCGATCGCTGTCTCACTCTGAAGGGAGGCAAAAAAAAAAAAAAGAGGGGCTTTACCGCGTCTTCCTACTGGTTCTTGATTGTGAATCGATCACGGGAGCGTTGTTCTCATGTTCTGATTGGTCAACCCGGAACAGATCATGGATAAGAGATGTGGAGCCACCGCACTACATATTCTAGATCTGGTTAGTGTTTCGGCCCCGTCGCCAAGGTCCCCCGTCCAGTGATCATTCCTGATTGAGTAATTCCATTTTTCCTGGTTATCATGAAGGATCTAAATATATATCATTATACTGACAGGTACCTAGGTAGCTATGTAGATAGCTAGATAAGGATTTCAATTGAGAAAGGGAAAGAAGATGGAATTCAAATTGATGGATCCGCCTGCACAGATCTCCAGGCTGCCTGTCATTTAGTAAATCTGGATTCTGAACCAATCAGCCAAGCCCCACTAAATTCAATAGTCGACAGATCCCGTCAGTCTTTCCTCCACTCTCCGGAAAATACGGACTTGATCGTCCATCCTGTTTAAAACTTCGTTACTGCCGCCAAGTTTTTATGTTACGCAACATTCATTCTCCAAGTCAGCGAGAAGAGATGTACCTAGGTTCGGGATATCATATGCGCTCGTCAAGTGGTCGCAGTAATGAAGAAAGCGGTTGATGCATGCATGCATCTCCCGCCTTTTGCTGTGAGTCTAATTCCATCTGCCTATAATCCATTCACCATCAACCGTTCTTTGCGATCCTTTAGCCCGGAACCGATTATAGGCACTTGGTATACCTAGGTAGTAGAATCCTCCCTCCATATCAATCTAGTACCCCAAGATATATTCTATAACTCGGAAAGATTCGCGCTGTTCACATCCTGGTTCACGTGCCGGAATGCACTTGCGCTGCAGTGAACCCCCGACTTTCTCCATATCTAGACCAATCAGATTGAAAATCACTCGCGGATCACCCACCGAACTCTGTGGCCTACTTCACAAAATGAACACTCAACAGCGACGCACAGATCGCCACCCAGGTCTCAGAGAGGGAGAGAGAATATCACCGGTACAAGACTCGGAGGGATGAGCATCTTGAATATGGGATTCGGATCCTTGAAAAAAAAATTCCCCGAAGATCCCTCTTGAGTCTCCTGAAAGCAAAAGGCTCGAGATGCCCAAAGGACCAATACTACACCCAATTTGGCAAGTGTAGTCAGGGCACACTTCTACGGAGTAAGTTAGTGATCTGTCTCCAGTAACTAGTTCAAGGCTGCCGGTTCTCTAATCCCTTGTTGGTATAAGGTTAGCATTTGGCATCGGAATGATCTGCTCTCAGTCCCATTTCCCCTTCGCATCTCCATCTGCCCACCCCCCTGGGTCTGATCATCGTCAATCACTTTCTCATCACACCCTCGAGAGCCAGAATGATAGGATGGAAAAGAGTTTGTCCAGGGATTCAGTGGAGTACGTACCAGTTACTACAAGAAAAAATTGTACTGGCCTTTGTGCATTTGCCAGCACTCGTGAATACGTACTCCGTGGCGGTGGATGGCGGATGAAACTAATTCGGAGTCAACATGCAGTGACCAGCTACGCCACAGAACGGTCTCCACCAAAGCTCGCGCACTCCAGTTCCAGGATTGTGTGGCGGTGCGTTTGGTATCATCAGCCTGGAGATCGCCCGTCCGACTTTACCCAGTACGTTCATTGCTCTGAACTCCTCCAGAGTAGAGTTTACACAGTACTCCGTACACCCCGCAGGGTCCCAGGCAGCCTTCCAAGCCAAGAAGGACTTGCTGGAATTTGTCATGCCGTGACTATAGCTAGCTAGTTAGTACCGATTAATCGGCGGGGCCCGTCTTGCCGCTCGAGAACTCCTGCCCAACCCTCAAAAGACTCCTCCTGGGTCTGTGACTCTGTACGACAGTGCACGACAATGGCGGGGCCGAAAATTTTTCTTTCTCTGCTGACAATTTTTGTCTCCAAGTTACAGGCAAGTACAGACAGCTAACCTGTGCTTCTAGTCAGAAGCTGACTCGAGGCGCTCATCTCTGAATGTCTGGACCGCTGCTATCCTGGTCTCTCTACCCATGGTTATGGAGTGCTTGTTGCATGCATGCACGACTCTATTATGCATGGATGTGATGTACGGAGTACACTAAAAGAAATCACATCGTTACTACCTGGGCATTCTCACAAAAACCCCCGATCTTTACTTTTTCTCCTCCTTTTTTTTTCTTTTTTTTTTTTTCTCTTTTTCTCCCACTCGAATATTCTTTAATCAAATTGAACTATTGATATACTGTTTAGTGTTCAGGAACTTCACAAAGTTTGCCCAGAAACTGGATCTCCAAACTCAAAAAAAAAATTCCTAATTCTAAAAAGGAGAATATGAAACGCGGCCGCGAAACACAAATTCAGAAGGAAAAGCAAGAGCGGAAATCATCCACATCCACGCATCTTGGAACTTGAAGGATTGCCCAGCTTGCAGCATCCCTTGCAGCATGGCGTTACAGACTGAGATGAACGAGAAAGGTTGCAGCGCAGAGGACCCATCGGACGATCCCATCTCGTCGATCCAGGAAGTCCTGAACTTGAGTCTTGGGACCAAACCTCATCTGATTCATCATCTTTCCAGAACCCGATCGCCTCTTCTCTCAACGAGGGAGTCGCCTTGTCTGGCTCTGCTCTAGGACCAGAGGTGCTCGTGTCTGGGACCATGGCGTTCGAACCAACCCGGGTCACTGGTGGCCCGGTTCTATTTCCGACGGTCTCGAACTTGCAAGAGTGAGATATAGTCCCAGCCGTGCTGAACCCTGGTCCATCTTGATTTAATCGGTACTTTTGATCCCCAAAAGCAACATAATGCCACACCGGGAGTCTCGCTTGCTTCCAAGTTCTTCTCCTATCCGATCACTGCTACAGTTTCCATGAACCTAACCTTAGATCTTAGCAGCTAGCCACCAAGAAATCTTACGTCAAGTCCAAGTGTCGGTGAGCCGTGAGCAATGAGCATGCCACCTCCCAACCGTCCGGCTGCCGACCGTTAACCCTATAATGCAAGCTCCTGCTTTGCCGGTACAACTGGGATGTGATATGTTACTTACTCAGTGTTCCGACCCCAGCCCACCAATGAGATATATCTAAAAAGGGTGAGAGAGCGGTGGACGGTCAGTTCCCCTTGACTTTACAGCAACCGCAACCGCAACAGCATCAGCAATTTGCAATAATAACCACCGCGAGTCAAGTCAAGCCTCCCAGGACGACTTGTCGGTCGGTCGGTCAATTGTCCGGCTACTTTTGGGATCTCGGTCAATCGCATCAACACCAATGATATCGGATGCCTTGCTGGAAGTTGGAACCCATCTCCCGTATCCGTATAATACTATTGTATTGTTGACGGTACAGTGTCACCTACACTTCTACTTTACACCGCTAACGTGCAGTGCGGCCTTGATGGCTGGACCCGTTTCCGGTTGAGTTGTTACCGAAAGCTGAGCCTGAGAATTCCGTTCGGCTCTACCATGCATATCATATCATACCAACACTAGAGCAGTAAATCGCGGGCAGCCTAATAACTACTCTTCTTACCCATGCTTACACAATAGCTCGGTACCTACCTAACCCGAGACTTCTCACTATATCCGAACCGTCAGCACGTAATCTAACATCTACAATTAACTACATACCACCTAGGTAGAGCAGTCCATGTATCAGATCAGCCGGTATGCATACCAACCAGTGCCTTGAATCTAAGTAGGTAGTGAATCCATCCATCCATCCATCCATCCATCCATCCATCGCCGTTTTCTTCCGGCAATTGCTCCAAAGCGTACCGTCCGTACAGTACCGTACCTACTTGGCTACCAGCCCTATCTGTGTTCATTCATGCAAGGCGTGTCCCTAACATGGGATATAGTAATAGCGACTTACTCGTCATATCTCCCGGCCGGATATCTAGAAGGGACTCTAACTCTAGTACGGAGTATTCCGTACCAGTAACTCCAAGACTAGAATATGGTCGACCTACGTACGGTAGGGAAGCTCGACATATTCTATATACAGTAGTAGTATTGTCTATCGATCAATCTGAGTCTATGTGTCTTTCTATGTATATGCCCAGAAGAGTAAATAGTGCGACTGGAATCGAACTCAAACCGCCGCCGCCGCCCTCCCCCACTGAACCCTTTAGCGAATAAAGTAACCAGCTTTAGAGAAAAAGAAAAAAAAAAAAAAAAAAGAGGAAGAAAAGAAGAAACCCCCTTTATTGGCCCCCGAGTTCCAACCCAGTAAGTATAGTGGTATACCCACCTAAACCGGAAGCGAAGGTTGATGAAGATTGAAGGGGAGTCCCCCCCCCCCCTAACAATACGCATCCCGAATCTCCAACTTCACTCTCCCCTCCCCATCCACCTCGAGAACACTGACACTCCTCAAATCCTCCACGACCCAATCCGCGCCGGCCTCCAGGACCTGCGCCAAGGTATGCGTCGTCGTCAACGCCAGCACCTTGAACCCGGCAGCCTTGCCCGCGCGGATCCCCGACGGGGCATCCTCAAACACCACAATGTCGGCCGAGTGCTCCAGGCCCAGCCTCTTGCGACCAAGCAGGTAGCAGCTCGGGTCCGGTTTGCCGGCCTCGACGTCCTCCGCGACAACCAGCATCTTGGGCGAGATGAGGTCCAGGACGCCGAGCCAGCCATTGACCAGGGCACGGGTGCCGGAGGTCACAACGCCCCAGGTGGCCTTGTTCGCATCGAGCGCGGAAAGAAGGGCGCGCGCGCCGGGGATTTCGACGGCATCGGAGCCGAACTCTTGCGGGATTAGGCCTTCGACGTGGCTTACATCTGGGGGGGGGGGGGGGGGGGGTGGTTTCATCTCTTAGCTGTTCATTCTTTCCGTGGAATTGTATGTGTTGGGGGTTGGGTTGGGTTGGGTGTGTGGCAGGGCAGGCTTACACTCCCAGTTGGCCTTCTTGGGGTCGTAGAGTTTTATCATGTCGATGCTTCGACGGCCGTGCGATGTAGCGAGGATGACATTTGGATCGACGCCGAATTCGGCTGCGAGTCTGGCAGAGTATATATCGTGGTTAGCTGACTGGAGGGAAGTAACTAGTTATTAGTTAGTTAGTTATATATTGCTGGGTGACTAACTTGTGCCAGTGTTTCACGATTGCTGTAAGCCGCTGGGTCAGTACACGAGTTCACTCGTTAAGTAGGGGATAATGTATCCCATCCCTTACCTTCCGTAGAGTCAACAATTGTGCCATCAAAGTCAGACAGGATTGCATCGACCTCGAGGATTTGAGGAGCGGCGGAGAATGAGTCTTTAGTCATTTTGATCGTAACCACGGCCAAGAACAAAATCTATAAGCGAGAGAAAAACACCCAGAATGAAAAGGAGTCTATATTCCTCTAGAAAGAACCCCGGATAATAAACGATCGAACACTTCTCTGTCAGTCTGCCAGTCTAGTAGTTAGTTAGTTATCAGAAAGTTGAAGCTGAGGACACTGAGGGGGGAACGGAGATCGGCAGAACAGTCATCCCGGTTATCTTAGCGCGAGAAATAAAAATCCAAAATTGGTTTCCCGATGGAGTTTTCGATGGTAGAATTCAGACTTGAGAAATTGCTATACAGACAAGTCCGGAGTATTTCAAGATGGTCAAGTTAGGTAAGTTGTCTTCTTTGATTCCCCATCCTCCGTATTTTTGTGTTTATGTTTGTATTCGATACATGCCCTGCTAAACCGGCCCAGGGAAAAACTCTAAGCGGGTGCCTGTCCGGCTACGACACAAGATCGAGAAGGCCTCGGCGGCGAAGCAGCGTAAGATGAGAAAGCTTGCGAAAAAGGTACCTTGCCCTAGCCTTTTTGAACCAATGTATGCCAGGTGCTGACCTAATAGAACCCCGAATGGCGCTCCAAAATCAAAAAGGACCCCGGAATCCCCAATCTATTCCCCCACAAGGATAAGCTCCTGCACGAGATGGAGGAGAGGAAGCGCCTGAAGATGGAAGAGCAAGAGCAGATTCGGGAGGACGCTCGTGCAAGGCGCATTGCACAGAAGCAGCAGGGCGAGGAAGGCGGTGCGGAGGACCAGATGGGGGATGCCCGGGAGGAGGATCTGCTGGATGACGACGATATGGATGAGGATTTCGGTGGCGACTCGTCGAACCCCATGGCTGCTTTGCTGGCTTCAGCGAGAGCCAGGGCTGCGGAGTATGATGGAGAGCAGGAGGAGGAGGAGGAGGAAGAAGACGAGATGGACGATGATGACGATGAGGATATGGATGGGATGGATGATGAGGACGAGGACGAGGACGCGGATGGTGAAAATGCCCCCGCGCTTGTGTCGCAGTTTACCAGCAAGGAGAGCTCACGACGGGCGTTTGATAAGGTGTTTAAGAAGGTGACCGATGCCGCTGATGTTGTGCTTTATGTGCTGGATGCGCGCGACCCCGAGGGAACCCGCTCCAAGGAAGTCGAGCGCGAGATCATGGCCGCGGACGGCGGCTCAAAGCGATTGATTCTGATCCTAAACAAGATCGATCTTGTGCCTCCTCCCGTGTTGAAGAACTGGCTGGTGCATCTGCGGCGGTACTTCCCCACTCTCCCTCTGAAGGCGTCCAACGGCTCCGGCAACGCACATAGCTTCGACCACAAGCAGCTCAGCGTCAAGGGCACATCCGAGACGCTCTTCCGCGCCCTCAAGACGTACGCCCAGAACAAGGGTCTCAAGCGCGCCATCTCTGTCGGTGTCATCGGATACCCGAACGTCGGCAAGTCCTCCGTCATCAATGCGCTGACCGCGCGCATGAACAAGGGCTCCAGCAATGCCTGCCCCACGGGCGCAGAGGCCGGCGTTACCACCAGCCTGCGCGAGGTGAAACTCGACAACAAGCTCAAGCTCATCGACTCTCCTGGTATTGTTTTCCCGAACACGGGCGAGAAGAGCGGCGCCAAGAAGAGCCGGAAGAAGCAGGTTGACGAGCACGCCCGTCTCATCCTCCTCAACGCCATCCCGCCCAAGCAGATTGAGGACCCCGTTCCCGCTGTTTCTCTGCTTCTCCGACGCCTGTCCTCGTCGGAGGAGCTTCTCTCCAAGATGCTACAGGTCTACGGTATCCCCGCGCTCTACCCGACCGGCGCAGACCAGACCAACGACTTCCTGATCCAGGTGGCGCGCAAGCGAGGCCGTCTCGGCAAGGGCGGCGTCCCCAACCTCGAGGCCGCGGCGATGACGGTCGTCAATGACTGGCGCGACGGACGTATCCAGGGATGGGTTACTCCTCCTGTGCTGCAGGTTGTGACTGCCGCCGAAGGAGCGCCAGCCGAAGCCGCTGCTGGCGTTGACACGAAGCAGGTTGTCACAGAGTGGGCTGCGGAGTTCAAGATCGAGGGTCTATGGGGTAATGGGGAGGAGGAAGCGATGGAGGAGTAAATCTTTCTCTCTCTCTCTCTCTCTCTTTTAGTTCTATATGGATACCAGAGGCGTTTCGGTAAAAGTAGATTCTGTTTAAGTCAATGCAGGTTTCATGAATACAGTCTTTTAGCCATGACGATCTATATATATCCTGAGTAGGGTGTAGCGCAATATAGAATCGATGAATAATGAATGAATTAAAGACCTCCAAAATCATCATCTAATGTTAAAACTACTGCATTCCCTCCCGCCAACCCTGAACCCGCGTCGCGTCTTTTTTTTTTTTCTCAATCTCATCGCCACACCAGAGACTCTGCGACCTCCACCAAAACCAGCCCAGAGTTTCTTTTCTTCTCTTCTCTTTTCTTCTCTTCTCTTCTCTTTTCTTCTCTTCTCTTTTCCTTTCTCTTCTTTCATTCATTCCTCGCATGACGTCCTCCCGAGATAGTTACCAACTAGTAGGTGCCTAATCAGCCCACACACACCGCCCACTGCACCACAACCAAGACGACTTAATTGAACTGCACTGCAACAGAGATCAAGCAAGCATCCAAGTATCGAGAACAGAGCAGAATGCCCCGAAAACCCACCTCCAGTGCCCCCGGGGACAGGGACGAAGTACCGGACTCGCCTCCTGCGCATTCGCATTCCAGTACGCAGGGCGGAGGAGCACCGGCGGCGCACTCTGTCCAGGCGACGGAGCAGCAGCTGAAGGCTCGGGCGGAGGGTGTTTCGATTGAGGTTTGTTTTTTTTTCTTCTTTTTCCCTGTGTACTGCTGCTACTCTTACTCTTTACTAGTAGGCAGTACTACTACTACTACTACTACTACTACTACTAGAGGTAGTATACTATATATATATATATATATCAGCACCAGCTCTATAGATACCACCTACAACACAACGTGATAAAAACAAACACCAAAAGCTAATGCAAAAAAAAAAAACAGGACTACCTCCTCCCGCGCTCGCTAACCCTTCGCCTGGCAAAGTCCGTTCTCCCGCCCAATACATCGATCCAAAAGGACGCGGTGCTAGCGATCCAAAAGGCCGCGACGGTGTTTGTTTCCTATCTCTCGTCTCAGTATGTGTTTTTTTTTTTTTTTTTGGGGGGGGCCGTTTCCTGTTGTTCGTGTTCTTGGTTCGGGAACCAGGTAGGTAGCAGGGATTCTAACGGAAACAGTGCCAACGAAGCAACCTTGAAACGAACAGTCGCGCCCTCGGACGTCTTCAGTGCGATCTCGGAACTGGAGTTTGATTCCTTTCGGTCGAGACTGGAGAAGGAGCTTGATGCGTTTACGGAGTTGAAGGCTGGGAAGAGGAGCCAGAAGAAAGGGTCTGCTGGTGCTGGTGCTAATGGGGATGGGGATGGGGATGCGGGCAAGGGAGCGGACGAGGACGAAGAGGTGGAGGAAGATGATCGGGGAGCGAAGAGGGTGAAGAGGGACGACGGAAAGGGGAAAAAGAGGAATGATACCGTGGAAGTAGAAGAAGAAGAAGAGGAAGAGGAAGAGGAAGAAGAAGAAGCAGATGGTGATGAGACCCAGGATGAGCCCGAGATGCAGGAGGATGAGAATGAGACGGAGGAAGAAGAGGACGAGGATGACGATACTAGGGATGATGATGATATTGATCGGGTTGAAGATCTGGATCGCGACTCTCGAGCCCGACGGACGATGGATCCCGATGCGGGCGAGGAGACGGAGAGCGACGACGAGGTGGGAAATCAATTACGAGGGGATCTAGGGTTGGGATAGTTACACACACATTACCAAACTTGTTCAGATAGCTCAAAATAAACGTTGTACGCATATCAAAGGTACATAATAATGATATGGCTTCGACACCACCTAGTCATAAATTACTCCACACGAATAAAATTACCCTCGCAGTCGATTAGACTGTGGGAATGCACCGGACTCCACAACAACACCATGCCTGAACGCCGCCGTTGACCTCTCATGATCCAGCACAGAAAGAAAGAAGAGAGAGACAAAGCACACCTACGAGCGAAGTCCGCCAGCTCGATTAGACGAGACACATCAGATAGACCAGAAGCGGCTGGAGGGAGACCTGAACCCCCCCGCCCATACTCAAACGCCAACGTCCCAAATAGTCTATTGGTGGTATCTCGAAATTAAAAGTGGTCTAGTGTAAACATTATGAAGGGGAGTTGAAGAATTCATGCAGTCGCTTGGTTCAACAGTTCGCCCATTCCGTTGGGAATCGACTGGGGAGAAATCGTTTCCGGGTCGCGCCATCGTTTATCAGTGGGCGTTACATCGCCCTGGGTCACTAAATGTGGAAACATCGGGCCATTATTGCGCGCTGCACCCCGTGGAACAGGGTGCATCGGCTTGGTTTCGTCCGTGTCCAGTTTGAACGATTTGTCCCCATCAGGCAGAGTCTTCTGGGCTTTGGTAACTTTGCTGAATGTGGTAATTTTCGATTTCTGGGGTTGTTCGTCCTTCTTGGTCCGCTTCCTGGGCGCGGGTCTTTTGACGGCCGTTTTCTTGGGCGCGTCTTTCTTGGGGGCCTTGAGAACTTCGGTAATTTTCCGCCCTTTGCTGGCAGGGTTGGGGCAACTCTTGGTCGCGGCAGCCTTGAATACGTCCTCGTCCTGGCTGGGCGGAGGCGTGAGCATTCCAGTCTCAGTCTTCTGCTGCTTCTTCTTCTTCTTCTTGGGGGGGTGAATGACAATAGAGACAGATCCTTGCTTGTTCTTGGCCCGTTCGACCTCGGAAGAATTGCATTCGTCAAACACATCCTCGGAAAGATCATCCCACCGTTTCAACTGAGCAAGTCGGGCAACTTCTTCACAATCACCTCGAACCATCAAGTCCCAACAGTCTTCAAATTCCTTTCCAGAAGGCGGTTCGTTATTGATCCACATGGTGATCCCGTTGCGACGACCCCGAATTACCGAGCATAGGCTCTTCACCAGGCGACGAACTCCAGGAATCTTTAAACTGGTTCCAACCACAATCAGAGCATCTGGACGTGAGCGAATGTCGGCGTTCATAACCGAAGTGATTGCCTCCTCATCTGGATTGTGTTCGTTGTAAAGGACAATGCGCGGCCGCATTTTCCCAATACCGTGGCTGCGCTGGCCAGTCTCGATACGGAATTGGTTGTTGATTGAGCACTCTGGGCACTCTGGGGCATCCGGACGATCGAACATGGCGCGATCGAAGTCGCGAAGATATCGACACTTTTGGCAAACCATCTTATCCAGGCTGCCGTGGAGTTGGATGGTACGTGGCCATGGGGCTTTGACGTTCAGTGGGATCTGTGTGGCCAAGGGGGGCATCGATGTTTCAATGCCATCGATGTTCTGAGTGTATAGGCGGGTGAGGCGATTTTCATGGCCAAGTCGGGCAAGCATATGGTGGAAGGCGGTGGGGGAGGTATTGGCGGCCTCTTCGGACAGCGACCGGACCATGTCCTGGAAGGAGGCAGTCAAATTTTCATCCTGGTAGACGGCGGCATCGAACAGTAGCTTTCCCGATGCTTTGAGATTGTGTTTCTTTTGCAAAGATTTGAAAAGGCCATCAGTGGAGCGGAAATCGGGAACTGTCAATTGAGGTACAAGAAGATTAGCTTTCAATCGGAGAGGCACAAAGAAATTGGGATGCATACTTCCGGCAGATGTAGAGATGCCAGCGCCAGCGATGACGACAATTTTCCGGTGGCGGCGGATAGTCTTCACCAGGAGATCGATCTGCGACTGCTGTTCATCGTAGGAGAGCCCTGCGTTGGAGGACAGGTCCAGATGCTGTGTTCGGCGTTCTTTCGGGGGGGCGGCCACACGGCGCTTCTTCCTGGCGGGCGGCAAGTCGTCGTCTTGGCTACGGCCGGCGCTAGACTCATCCAGGTCCTGGGACGGGGAGGGTAAGGAGAAGCCTGGAGGCGCGAGGGGGGAGGACGGCACGGAGCTCAGACTCGAGCAGTCCGTATCGTCATCCATCTCAAAAGAAGCCAACAGACTATCTGGAGAGGAAGAGGAAGAGGAGGAGGAGGAGGAGGAGGAGACGGGAATGGCGATGGTGGTGGTTGCGGGAAGAAGAGCCATGAAGCCGGTCGCGATGACGCCAGGGACAAAGAGAGGAGGGAAAGAAAAGAGGAAGGACGTTTCAGATACCAGTCTGAAGAATGACCATGGAGAAAATGAATAAAAATTCCAACATCAATTGGGATTGAAATGGAGGGGAAATTTTTCGATCTTCTCTGCGTCTTGGAATTGGGAGAGAAGAAGAGTTAAAAGAAAGGGGATGAAGAGGAGGGGAGAGAGAGAGAGAGAGAGAGGGAGAAAGAAGAGTATGAGGATGAGGATGAAAGGGAGCCCCGTGACTGGGATGGGGCTGGCAGTTGGGAGCAAGAAAATTGGGCAAAAAGATACTCTGGAAGAAAAGAAGAAAACTTGGAGCCAGATGAGGTTGAGCCAGTGTTGTGTTTATTTTACGGTACGATATGGAAAAGAGAAAAAGAGAACTCCTTGGCAGTCTACGATGTCTACGGAGTACTCGGGACTGATTTCGAGCAGCAACGGGAGGTATGTGGGAGGAATGCGACGGTAGGTACATAGTAGAAAATGATATTCTATCTCCTCTTTATATAATTGACCTATCTCTATATCAGGGTTTCTCTTGAAACATTCAACAACTCTAAAGAATCATAGAATAAAATAACTATCATAACAATAATGTAAATAAGAAAATACAAAAATGCGAAAAGATTTCATGATACAGGCTAACCTAGATCTGGTTAGGCTCCCGCTCTTTCATTCACCTGCGCATCTCTGATTCGTCCATTTTTTTCTGCCGGCCGGGTGGACCTGCAGCTCTAACCCTAAACCGGACTAGTGTCTCGATATCGCTCTTCCGCATTCAGAACGGTTTAACCTCAACTTTTGAACAGTCCAGGAGGAATCTTTTTATACCCTCAATCGTTTGGCTTTCAGATATTCGTAATCTGGCACTACCTCTTCCACCAAGTTTTGGAGCTCTCGTCCCATTTCCTCTCCAAATTCCTCTTTCCATTTCTGGCACTCATGCTCGATATCAACCACGTCCGGTGCCTTTTCCATTATCACTCCGGATGACTCCTTTAACGTTCTCATGAAGGTAGCCCGGACCAAATTGTTGTCAATCTCTTCCCCCGCTGTCCACGTAAAACGCACCTTCGTCGGGTCGAGTCCCACCATTTGACAGTACCGACGCACGACTTCAGGTTGCCGGATCACATCGTCAGCGTCGAGGAGGACTGGGGTTAATGTTCCGGCGTCGGACTCGAACCAATCAAAGAGCCGTCGAATGCGCTTTAAATCCATCGCGAATTTGGTCAGAATCAGGACCTCGTCTTGGCTGAGGTGCGGTCGCGAGTGGGCCACCGCGCGGAAATACGAGGGAGCAGACAACGCCGGGTGTCGAATAAGAAAGGTCGACTGCCATTGTCGTAGATATTCGTCGGGGATAATTGTGTCGTTGTACTCCACTCCATCCCCGGCGAATTCGCTGGGAACTTGCAATCCCCAGGGCTCTTCTCCTTCCACCGCGCCCGCGCCATACATCCGCTTGTTATGGAGGTAGGGATCGACCACCATATGGGTGTGCTCCTTATTGAAAAAGATTTTCCCCTGGCTTTGGGCCTCTTTCAAACACGCGTCTAAATTGTCAAAAGCCTCTTGCAGGAGTCGCTTCGCCTGGCGTTTATCGGCTTCGGAACACTCCTTCATGGGCTTCGTCAGGATTCCTGCTTCGTGCAAGAAAAAATGTGATCCCATGAAGAAATAAGCTGCCAAAGGGAACTGTTTGTGAACCATTGGTTGGTCGTCTAACCCGAGAACCCTGATAAAGAGGTTCGACGCCGAACGAGGGTAGCTGAGAAAGAATATTGGCCTGTTGGGTCTTGTCATCTTGACTGGACTAGAGATGTATATGCATTAGCTTGTGCCTTTGCGCCGCGCACGGATAAGTACCTCTGTGGTGGCAGATGGAAGAAGAAGATTGATTTATTATTACCTTGACTACGGACAGTATAAGTGATGTGATGTCCTCAGATCTAGGGTTAGAAAATTCACCAACAATCCCTTGCAGGTATCGGAATTTCCACGAATATTTATCAATGGGGGATTCAATATTGACAGTACGGAGTGGCTCTCTTTAATTCAAAATCAGCGCCTCCGCCCCGCAATGCCATCGATTCCCGTGTCGCGTATTTAGTACTGCCAAGGGTAAAGCCAGATTTTCTAACACGAGCAAGAATAATAGGCTATCCACTACATCCGAGCACCATGATACTACCCACCTTATCTGACGATGTAGAAACCTGACTCAAACATGCAGCCTTGTCTCTACCCTTGGCCTCTTCTCTAACGTGTATCTCCAAACGGGGAAGGGGGTTGCAGGGGTGCTACTTCAATAGGAAAATAATGGCCGATTGGACATGAATTGTAATCCTAGTTGATTTCTTGCTATAATATCATCTTAACCGTGAGGTGGCATGATCCTGCATGTGTTATAGACTAGGGTGTGGAGCAGTTGGGCAGGTGTTTCTGACGATTAGGAACTGTACGGAGTAGATGTTGTATCCCCAGAGTCTGGTACTAGACTAGGTCTTTAAACCCTGCAAGGTCAATATAATCCTCGACTCGGGACTCCGTACTCACTGTGGATCTACTTCCTTTTTGTTCATTGACTGAAGGGGTTCTTCTTGGTGTCTCATGTCTGTCTCAAGGTCGCAGATTGTTGTGACTCGTGGGGCGTTGGCCGGGTTACCACTAGCACCTGACCACACGTGATGCTGACTCAGCCAGTTCGATGGGTTCGCTTCAGTCAACTATTATTTTGGTGATAGATTGGGAAATGCATCACTTTTGCACAAGGAAAGAGAAGTCGCAGGAATCTTGATCGCTGGACCGGGGCCTAATTGAAGACGGTGCGATTTCTCTTTGGCTGTCCTTCTTCCCATATGAGAGACTTCTGTGCTGGTTGCCGTCATTTCTGCGCGAGAAGTGTTTGATCTGCCTCGGATCGCAACCACTATAATATGTTGCAGCGCTGACAATCCTATTCTGTGGCGAGGTCGTATATAAAAACATTTAAAAAAAAAAAAAAAAAAAAAACCACCTTCTATTCCTTTTGTTTTGCATTATAGGATGCCATTGATCATGGAGGATGGTATCAATGTTGACGATTTGTTCGGTGAATCCGCCTCTCTGGAGCTGGCTTTGCCGACGACTACTGCCCCTCCAACCACCAAAGGACTAGCACAGCGTCTGGATGAGATGAGATTGGTGGGATGTTGTCAGTATGTTACTATATGCGAAGCCCTTTTTTTCCTTTTTTTCCTAGCTAATTCCGTCTAGAAAGATTGCTTGGTCGAAACTTGGGTGTATTGCATATATCTCGCAGGACTCGTCAAGGGTGAATGTGCGTCATCTCCAGTGTCGGCCCTCAGATGGTAAGTGGGTGCTCAGTGACGAGACACCGTTACCACAGGTGGCAGAGGCTCATAATGGGCATACTATCGTGCATCTTTCGTGGAATGAGCCCGGGTCGGAAATAGCCGTTGTCGATTCTTCTGGTCGGGTTTCCATATACTCCATCCCTTTTGCCCTGAATGGTGTGAACGGAATTCGTCAAGCGGCATTCGATCCGGATGATGACGGAGCGCAAATTGTTGGGATGATGTGGTTGAATCAACATCGCTCAGTAAGTCGTATACTTCTGCGCCTTGCGCTTTTGGAGTGCGGCGTGCTAACAGTTTGCCAGGTGCACTCTTTCTATCAAGCCGCTAAAGTGCAGGGTCGCTGGGCATACTCACCATTCAGGCGCCGGCCAATCGGTCCATTCCATCCGGCTAATAAGGCAGCCCTGCTTTGTGTGACAAGATCTGGCATCATGAAACTTCTCTACCAGAATCCCGATGCCAGATGGGCCGAAATAACAGTAGAGCTGAATAATACAAATCATTCAGATAGGCTTCTCACGCACGCGGCTCTGGTAGCCACTCAAGCTGGCATTCTCATTGCTACACACTCTTCATGTCAAAAGATTTCACTCTATCGAGTAAATATTCAGTGGAATCCGGCCCAGTGGGACCCGGCCCAACAGAAGCAAGCTCCCCAGCAATTCCCTGTTCCAAGCTTTCGTCTCGTGCACTCCAAGGTTGAGGTTCCTTACAATATCCCGTCGGCGAACCGCACTGCGGGAGAAAATCAAGATGACCAGCTCCCATTTACGAATTCTCTTTACTGCCTGACGTCCTTGCAAATCATCCTGCCCGCATCCGACAACTCGGCAGGGTCTGCGCCGAATCCTTGGATTGTCGCGGTTTTCTCTATTCCTCCTCATGCTGTACTTCCCCATCAGCAGCCTCAAGTACCCTCAAGTGTTATTGTTCGGTGGCAGCTCGACTCTGCGGCTCTTATTCTTCACCCAAAATTCGATGAAGTAACCTCAAGAAAGGGCAGCCTGCAGATGAAAGTATGGGACTATTCATATCCAAAGATTTTTTTTTGGTATTCGTTTGCTAATATTCAGTAGCCAAAAACGGTTCTGCGTCGACTAGATGACATTATCTCTGACCGGCATGTCGTTTCGATAGACCAAATGGAGTATGGCAACGTACTTGCCATATGTTATGATGATGGTTCAGTTGCTTTTTATGACCCAAAGACTATGACAGTGTTTAACGGCGTCGATGATGCAAATACTGTGACCAGCTTAGCCCAGGCAGGGTTTCACTACCCTCTTGAATCTTCAGGTTCGACTACCTATTCGACAATGCCTTTCCGTATCTAACTTGAACGATAGGATTGCACATCAGCTTTTCGCCCAGCGCTTGTGTGGCCGTAAGCCTTGATAGCGAAGGCCACACCCACCTTAGGGTTATGGAGCACTCTTACGGAGCAGAAAGTGGTCTTTACGATGAGAGTATGTTACAATGTTCTTAATTCAGAAGTCTTTGGCTAACTGACTTACCGACAAATTTTCCGCCGCTGTTGCCTCCTTGACCCTCGCATTCTGCCGTGGATGCGGTGGCGAGGTTAACACCGATGATATCTTGTTGATTTTGATACGACAACTGTCTCCGGGTCTGTCCTTCATGATAGATTTTGCATGTAGGATGCTTTTATACTCATTGTTTCACAGATGCCCAGACTGCGTTCATTAATGAAGTATATCGCGCGCTTTCTATCAACTGCAACTTTACCATGGAACAGGAAAAATTAATGAACCACCCATATATCCCGCGTGCCCTCAGCATACAGGCTGCTCTGGGGTTTAAGAGCAAGTACAAGCCGCGGAACTTCGCGTCCGTTGCCCCTTGGGCCATTCTTCAGCTTCGCCAAGCTGCGATCCTGTATCCATTTTTCTTTCAATACAACAAAGGGGTGCAGACGGCAGAACCACACGACCCAGGTAAGATTTCCGAGATGGATGTTTGGCAATGATTTCTAATGACGAATAACTCCCAGATGTGCTGCGGATGGTGCTTGGAAACACCAAGTGGGCTCTGGACTTTGCCTCGTACATTCTAAACGAACTCTTTGATCTTGCCGATGAATTCGAAGGTCTATCCTCGGACCAGGAAGCCTTTACTCAAAAACGTTCGTCCCGCAAAGCTCTACACAAAGCCGAGAGAATCTCGCTAACCGAAACTTCCCAATTAGTGAAATCAACCACCTCGCTCCCCCTTATCATTCTCCTGTCCAGCATGTCCCGAGCATTCCTCCGCTTCATCTGCCGCGGCCTCCGAGGAATCCACGCCGGATACGCCAGCGCCCCTCTCACGGGCGACGCGCGCATCTACTACGCAGAAATCTGCCAAACACTCGACACTTGCCCCGTGCGCATCGACGTCTACGAGAAATTCCTCGCCAGCGTCGACTCCGCCGTGCGACACGCCTACCACGGCGCCGGGTTCGGCGACAACGAACGGCCCGGCCCCGAAAAGGAGCTCCTCATTAGCAGCCGCATCCCGCCCGTCCTCATCACCGCGGTCTCTGCCATCCTCCGACAAACCATGCCGGCCCTCAAATCCGACGTCGATCGCATGGCGATCTACATGGGCGACTACAGCTGGCTCGGGCTCGGCTCTGACCCGCGCACAGAACTCTATAAAAGGTCTCGAGATGTAGACATAATCAAGAAGATCCCGCTTAGGGCTGTCTCGGGGCCGTCAGTGGCGGAGATGAACCAGTCCAGTAAGCATGGCAACAACCAGGGCTACCTGCGGAGACGGTGTGTGCGGTGCTGTGAGATCTCGGATGGGACGTATCCGCCCCGCACGGTGTTGGCGTTCCGCATGATTTATAAACTGGGTCATCTACGGGCTTGTATCTGTGGTGGGATGTGGACTTTGGAGTCTGTTTCTGATCAGTAACCGGTACCTACTACCTAAGTTAGGTAGGTAAGAACGTGTTGGTTTGGTTTGGTTTGGCGAATACTTGTTGCACTGTTTTGGATAGAATGCTCACCATCCACACATACTTATCTGTGTGGTAAACTGAAAGCCCTTTTTCCTTTCTTTCTTCCTTTCCTGTGCCTAGGTATATTCTAGGAGTTTTGTTTTGGATAATATATGTACCTAGTACTTACTACCTAGGTAGGGACCGGAGATTGAACCCAACCATGGTGAAGTTGGTTATATCCGTTCTGTGGGTGGCCTAGTAAGTAGGTAGCTAAGTACCTAGAAATGCGTAGCGTAGCGTAGCATGTCCAGAAACCACATTGTGTTATTATGTCATGGCAAGTAAAGGATTCATTTAAGATCGACCTGCATCTTTCTTTCTAAGATACATAATCCATTTGTCTTTTTATACCGACCGGCCCCCTCCCTCAAAAAGCAAGGTTAGGTCGACCCCGTCATCTCTTTAGGGAAAAAAAAAACGACGTTCCCGTAACTCCATCATCCAGATCCAGACACGCTTCGGGCTTTTTTTTTATTTATTTAAGCCTAGAACAGAGAGAAGAGAAAAACAGTTAGTTGTTTATTCAAACGACGAATGCCATTGTTTATGTTGAGTGTGTATGTGTTTATGTGTGGGTGTGTATGTGTGCATACCTTGATGGCGTACTTCCGCTGGGGGAAGTGGATCTCCTTCTTGCGCTGGCGCTCGGTCTTGAGGGTAGCCTCGTGCTTGGTGAGGCGGCGGCGGAGAGCACGGGTGAGCTTGGGGCGGAGGTCAAGAGGAGTGTACTTCTTGTTCTTGTAGAAGAGGCGGAGCTGGGAGCGCTGGTTGGCGTTGATGACGGTGAGAACACGAGCGATCGACTTGCGGACGTCGTGGCTGTTTTTAACAAGATCCATCAGTAACCAATCCTCCTTCATAATAATGTATTGGGTGTGTATTTGTGTGGTCGTTTGAGAATTGAATGCGCCTGGTCGAGTCGAGATCTCTGCTTTGTCCTTTTTTATATATGCATATTTTCCTATGCGACTTCCTTCTCTTTTGCTTGAGTTTCTCATTTTTTTTTTGTTTGCCCAGTCGCGTCTCATTGTATTGTGTGGATTGTTGCGATTCGACCGTTGCACATTCTCTCTCCTCGACCTCCCCCCCCCCCCCCAAAAATTGTAACTGAACTGGAAGGGAATAATTTTCAAACGCACATTCTCTGGGTCTTGGAAGAAGCACCACCGGTGATCTTCTGGACACGGAGCTGGTTAAGCTCGGTCTTCAACTCCTCCAGCTGCTTAGAGAGATCATCCTTGCTCTTTCCCCAGAGCTGACCAGCCTTGACCTTGGACGACTGTACAAGAGAACATGTCAATCAGTATTTTCCATTCCATTCCCAAAAAAAGAAACGTATTTCCATCCAGCTGTACATACCATGGTGGGCGGCTTCTTGTCGGAATCGTTGGTTGTCGGACGTGAGGATTGAAGATGGACCGGCTCAAATTGGGGATGTTTCTGTGGGACTAGGGCTTCGTTTTTTTCCTGTGTCGTGCGGCGTCTAAGCGGGCACGTGATTGTGGCTGGTGTCTTCCTTTTTTTTCTTGTGGCTGATGCATTGTGCTGACTAAGCCGGGATGACGCCGCTGCCGCGCCATCAGCCGAAACAGGAAACCAGCCAGTGGGAACATTTGGGGGGCACTGAGTTATAGTGGACGTAGTCACTGCCCAAGTTGAGTTGCTCTGTGTGCATGTGTTCCGCTGGACGGATTGACGATTTCACCCTTGCGCTTAATTACGACTGTTCTTCTCTGTTTGTTTACCGGACTCTCTTTCTTTCTCTCTCCATGGCTGCTTCAACCGGCACTGGATGGGCGCAGCTCCGCCAACAGGCCCGATCTTTAGAGTCTCAGGTATGGTATTTACGCCACCATGTTTGGCTCCTAGAGATATATACCTAATGCTAGCAAAAGCGATGCTAACGCTGAACCCTTCACTTTTTGGCATAGACCGAGAACCTCTTCCATACCTACTCGCAATATGCCTCCATGGCCAAGCTGCCTGCTAGCCCATGCGAAGACGAACTCCGCACCGAGTCGCAGCTGAAAGACCTCTTCGAAAAGGTTCGTCCTTGATTCTTCCCTGGCTGTTCAATTTACCCTTTTTTGGGGGGGCGGGGGAAGGGGGGGGAAATATACTAAACTCTCTCGCTCTTATGTAGAGAGAATCCCTGATCGCACAACTATCCCGTCTCCTCGACTCCGAGGCCACGCTCAGCTCGTCCGCCCTGAAACAGAGCTACGTCTCCCGACACCGTGAAGTGCTCCAAGAACACAAGCGGGAACTGCAGCGTCTCACCGCTGCCATTTCGGAATCCCGGGACCGCGCAAACCTCCTCTCCAACGTCCGCTCCGATATCGATGCCTATCGCTCGTCGAACCCCGCCGCTGCCGAGGCGGATTACATGCTTGAAGAGCGAGGCCGGATTGATCGGAGCCATAGTGTGATGGATGGCGTGCTTAGCCAGGCGTATGCAATTAATGAGAACTTTGGCCTGCAGCGGGAGACTTTGACCAGCATTAATCGGCGGATTGTTGGGGCTGCAGGCCAGGTGCCGGGGGTGAATGCGTTGATTGGGAAGATTGGGAATAAGCGGAGGCGGGATGCGGTGATTCTGGGAGCCTTTATTGGGGTTTGTTTTTTGATGTTGCTTTTGCTCCGATGAGGTTGAGGGGGTTGAGGCGTCCATCTGCATTTATTTTATTTGTGGTATTGAGGAGAGGCGTTGGGAGATTTTCTTTCTTTCTTTCTTTCTTACTTGGTCATTTCCTATCGTACAGGAAGCTAATCATGGTTGATGGTGTTTGGACTGCTAGCATATCTTACACGCTCACTCCTGATATGTATATGTATATATATATATATATATATATATATATATATATATACACAAATATATACATGCACACTCGACCGCTATGTTCTCAAGGCCTCATGACAACTCGGGGTTTCTTGTTCTCGTCTCTTCCTGTCCCTTGCCAGTCCTGCGCGGGTAACTCGGATTCCAAACTAATCGTTCGCTCCTGGATCAGTTTGCGAACGCCATTGTTCAATGCCTCCAGCTCCGCTGGTTCGGCTGGCCCACTCCCAGCCCAGCGGATACGGCAGTTCTCGTCCAAGAGATATACGTATCCGACTTTGCTGTTCATCATGCCAATGGCCTCCTTGAGGCCGTCATCCAAGCCCTTGCGCACTAGGAAGTATCTCTTATGTTGCTGCTCGGGCAACTTGCCGCGCATCCGCCACATGAACATCCGGACCAGGTTTGCCTTGAGGGCATTCTCTTCGAGGTTGATCTCAACCCTTTGGACGAGCTGCCCTCCGCTCTCGATAGCCTCGTAGAGACCCGGGTTCTGTTTGGGGCCGGTAAAGGTCGCAACCTGGGACTCGGCCCACACGCTTGAGAAGAGGGCCACGATGGACACCTTGCCGCGGAGTACGGATGTTGTATTCTGGGGTTCGCTGGGCGACGCGAGTGTGGCGCCGGACAGGTTGGGGAAGTAGAGCGCCTTGTCGCGCTTAAATAGTCGGGAGTTTGACTTGAATGTCTTACCCTGGTTATAGCGCATGTTGGACCATTCCCGGAAGTAGGGTTTTGCGACTTGTCTCGTCCTGTAAGAGTGAACCCACGTCAGTCAACTGGCCCGCATGGTAGAAGATAAAGAGTCGTACAATTCCTTTCGTCGCTCGAGATGTCGTTCGTAGTTGACAAAGTCATCGCGTCTTTGTCGCAATGATCGTGAATCAATGCCTGTGTTCTGTCCTTCCTGTGGAGGGATACCCGAGCCAATTGGACGGTCGAGGGTCGGGATGAAGTCGGGGTCGGCGGACTCTGCAGATTCAGGGGCAGAGGGGCCATTCTGCTTGAACTCGATTTTATTGTTTCTGGGTGTGCTTATCGCGGACGGCTTCTCATTCTCGTTGGTGCTCTGTTTCGTGGTAGCGTAGGAGCGTAGATTGGTTGTCGCGGTAGCACTGCGCAGCTGACAGCTAAGACAGCGGCTGCCCTGGAGGAGTGAGGGCTCTAAGAGGGACGAGAGGAGCATAGACGAACGCTTCCACATCGTGACCCGGCTATATCTGTTCAATACCTGCTTGATTGGTTGCTTGTCTGGACCTTTCTACTCTTGTTGCAGTTTTACTTCGCCGAAATAAGTTTTAATTATTTGGATTCTGGAGTCCCGTGACCTGGTGGCATTTTCGTGCCTCAGCATCACGTTACGTCTACCTATTTTCGCGTCACCAGGCCTAGACGAGGACTGAAGAAGCAAGGGCCAATATTTGTTCTTTTTTTTTTTTTTTTTTTTTACATCAGATCATTTTGAGACCTCACAACCGTCTAGGCAACTGGCAGGATTACTCATGGCTCGATTGCTCTTGGATGGAAGCCTGGTGACCCTGCAATTGCACCCCCGAAGATGTCGCGGGTGACGACAGATAAAGAGGCATTTTTTAAAGGCCTGGAGCAGTTGGATTCTATTACCGATGACTCGGAAGGGGAGTTTGACCGTTTGATTTCGGCCTCACTTCCTAGAGATAGAAAAGCCGTCTTGCGTCATTCTCGCTCAGTGACGGATCCCTCCCCCAGCGTTTCTGCTGCCGGGAATGCGACTATAGGCCTCAGCAAAGAATCCCCAATTGATATAGAGGGGAACCGACCTAAGGCCATGGCAGGATCCTCAGAACGTCGTCCAGTAGGAAGTAATGCCCCTGGGAAAAGGAAACGGGGTTCCTCTGGGCCGGTAATCCCTGCGCGGCCGCAGATCTTCAAGGGTCTCGTCTTCTGTATGTAGCCTAATTTTATTCTATATTTGCAATGCTGACTGCGCTAGTCTTCTTCCCGAATAACGATGTGTCGCCTCTTCGACGTCTGCGCATCCAGAAAGCGCAAGAGTATGGCGCTCTGTGGGAGAAAACATGGGGTGATAATATCACGCATGTTATAGTTGATAAAGGCTTGAAGTTTTGCGAAGTCCTGAAGCATCTAAATTTGGATTCGTTCCCGGTTAGTCGGAGAAACCGCAGACCTTTTTTTTTTGTTTCCCTATACTGACGGTATAAAGCCGAACATCGCTCTAGTTGATGAAAGCTACCCCTCTGAGTGTATCAAATTTCGATGCGTCTTGAGCGCGTCCCATGTGCGATTCCAAGTCAATGGTGCGCCGTCTGAAGCAAAGGAGATATCAGCCGCAAATCAAGCTCCATTATCTCGATCTTTGTCTCTGAAACCGGCTCGAAACCGCGAGACGCAACCGTCCCAAATCTCAGAGCATCAAGAGCACTCCCCTGCGCCGTATTTAGAGCTAGCTGGTCTCTCGAAAGATCCTCGCGATCAAGTTTGCGAGCCCTTGCCTTCGAGGGAACGGGACGTGCTGGATGATATGATTGAGGAGGCCCAAGCCGCGAAGCATCTGGTAAGGTATACGAAAAAAAAAAAAAAAAAAAAAAAAAAAACCTGTCAGGACAGTGTTAATGAAGTGTCTGCAGCCCTGGGACCCGCTGGACGGCTTAGAGTGTGACGCTGCTGTCGCGGCCTCTGATCTCTCGGAAGACTCCGAGTCCGAGACTGCTGCAATGCAGAAAAAGCGGAAGCGATGGGACGATGAGCAGCAAAAGTTTTTGTGCATGCAGAAACATGATTCGACGTTCAATTCCGGCAACCCGAACCTCAGGACCATTGAAGTGCTGCAGCAGATGCTGGATTATTATACTCGAACGTCGGACCACTGGCGCACGCTGGCGTACCGCAAGGCCATTAGTGCTCTTCGAAACCAGTCGACGAAGGTGGCTACCCGAAACCAAGCCCTCTCCATAGCTGGAATAGGGCCACGGTTAGCGGACAAGATCGAGGAAATTGTGTTTACCAATCGACTCCGTCGGCTGGAGAATACGAACAGGACCCCCGAGGACCATTTACTTCAAGAGTTTTTGGGCGTTTATGGGGCGGGCGTCTCCACAGCTTCCCGATGGATCGCTCAAGGGTACAAATCGCTGGCGGACCTGCAGGCCAGGGCTTCTCTTACGGCGGCGCAACGCATCGGGGTCGAGCGCTACGACGATTTCTCCCAGAGAATCCCACGCAACGAGGTGGCAGCACATGGGGAGATTGTCCGTCGGGCGGTGCACAGGGCGAACCCGGAAATGCAGGTGATTGTCGGGGGCTCATACCGACGCGGTGCATGCGACTCGGGCGACATTGACCTCATCATCACGAAGCCCGAGGCCACGATCGAGGAGATCCGGACGATGATGACGGATACAGTGGTGCCTCAGCTTTTCCGGCAGGGGTTTCTCCAGGCCAGTTTAGCGACCACGTCCCGAGACGATGGGTCGAAATGGCATGGGGCGTCCAAACTCCCGGGTCGAGCGCTCTGGCGCCGGATCGATTTGCTTTTTGTCCCCGGGGCGGAAATCGGGGCGGCATTGATCTATTTCACGGGGAATGATATTTTCAACCGCAGCCTGCGACTGCTTGCCAGCAAGAAGTCGATGCGCCTGAACCAGCGCGGGCTCTACACAGATGTGCTACGGGGGCCGCAACGGACGAAACTCAATGCAGGGCGATTGATTGAGAGTCGCGATGAACGACGGATTTTTGCGATCCTTGGAGTTCCCTGGCGACCTCCCGAGCATCGGATCTGCTGATGCCCAACGAAGGATTTTCTTCTTAATATTAATTTCTTTTAATATGATTGCATCAGATCGTGGGACTGCCCGGTAGTACAGTAGAAAAGAAGCGGTCACTGAGCAGATCTCAGTGCAGAATAGTAAGACATAATCAGTTCTCTCTCTCTCTCTCTCTCTCTCTCTCTCTTTCTCTTTCTCTTTTTTTCTTCTTCTTTCTCCTTCTTCCTCTCCATCTAGTCTTCTCTATTAGAGTCACCGATCTCATCACCGATCTCATCACCGCCTTTCATGCGGTGAAGCACATCTCCAACCCCAAGTCGTGAATGTGAGGCGGCAACCACCAGACCGCCCGGTCGCGACTTGTAACACTCTTCCTCCATCCCACTCTTCGTTCATCAGCCTCTTTGCTCTCTTCCTGGGCTTCTGTCTATCATCCATCTGTGCTCTAGAGAATCGCTGACTCGGTGGAATTTGCTCTCTTCAGAGACTTCACCAGAAGGTGTTGACTCAGCTGCTCCCTGCAGACCGTATTTTCCTCGTCTTTCTTTTCTGTCTGTCTTTTTTTTTTTTTTGCCATCCCCTCGATTCTCGCCTGTGTGCGTCACGTCACTCCCTGTCGCTCTCTCGCTCTCTCCCCGTCGAGGCAGATTCAAGTATCGAAAATCCTTTCAGATCCTAGCTTTCGGATTCTGACCGCGTAACATATTCTTCTCACCCCCCTCAACCCCTGCTCTCCTCCGCCTTGATCGACTCGGGTGCCCTTTTTTGTTTTGGTTGTTTTTCTGCCACCTTTTCCCACCACCATGGGTCGCAAGCCCAACCAGCTCATCCTCGAGTTCTTCATTCGCGGCCAGAAACTCGAGGATGCCAGTAACCGCTACCAGCATACGTGCAAGGCCTGCGGTGAGAAGTTCCCCAAGGGTCGCATTGACAGTCTCACCAATCATCTGGTCAAGAAGTGCCAGGCGATTCCGTTGCGGGACCGACAACGCGTCTTGTTGCGACTCCATGAACTCCCAGACCTCGCCGATGGGGACCAGAATAAAGACCCCAATGCCGCAGGGCAGAATAGAGGAAAGTCGGTGGACCTGCCGTATACGACGCGACCGAATTTCGATGGCTTGAATGTGCTGGCCGAAGCCTCGAGGCAGGTGGGTGCGTCCGACCAGACGAAGCGGGGAGGCCCTGCATATACCCAATCCGTGACCGTCGGGGGTAAGACGGTCGTCGTGGACCCGGCCCTCGAGGCGGAGGGCTTCCAGGGTCATCCTACCCAGCCGGATCCAATGGACGAGGATGTGAAGCCACCAGGTAAGTATTGGTTTTCTTGGCTTGTCCAGCTCACAGAGGTGGGCGCTGACAAGGTGAGATTTCTTAGGGTCGCCTCAAACCCCGACCAACGCGACGGTGATCCCTTCCCTCCCTACAACCGGTCAGATGGACCCAACGGCCTCCGTCTCGCCTCCGCTGCCAGAGACCTCCTTAACCCCCGATCCTACCGCCACGTCTCGGCAGTCGCAGCTGTCCCTGATCGCCGCATCTGCGAGTGAAATGGTACCTCACGGCCTCCCGATGGATCATGATCCTACCACAGGACTTTCTGACGGTTTGCCCAAGATGGGTTCCGCATGGAACCACCAGCTCTCAACACAGGAACAACTGCTGTTTGACAGCCTTCAGGAACATGATCCAACGCTGACCGCCGCGACCCAACGCGCCGCCTCCTTCCCCCGTCCGATCGCCATGAACCCCAATTCGCAGGCCAAGGGCTTTGTCAACGAATTTGGCAACTCCACCAAACCGACCAAGCCCAAGGTCCGCGGTCGATTCTCCGCCGCCAGACGTCGCGAAGTCCAAGAAGTGCGAAAACGAGGTGCCTGTATTCGGTGTAGGATGCTCAAGAAACCTGTATGCCTTTTTTTTTTTTTTTTTTTTTTTTGCTTTGCTTTGCTTTGCTTTGCTTACCGATATTTAGTGTTCTGGTGATAGCCCGTGTACCACCTGCGCCAGCGTTGAAAGCGCACGTCTCTGGAAACATCCATGCATTCGTACCCGTATTGCCGAGGAGTTTGAGCTATACAACGCCAGTATGTGTATCCGGATGGGAGTTTTTCGGATGAACTTGCTGACCACGCAGATTTGCACGCTACACTGGCCTACCACGACGTTAGCGGGATCCGGAACCAAGTCAAATTCGAACACTACGCGGGTCGTATTGAAGTGACACATTTCGAAGAGAGCATGGTTTTTGTAACGTTCAGTGGGGTTCAGGGTCACAAGGCATCGGCATCCACATTAGATCCCCAGCTTCAAGCCCTTGGCGATGATACACAGTTTCAGGGTCCCCTTCACGAGCTGTACCTACTCGACAGCGATGCGGATGATCTTCCCGGGAAGATTGAAATGTACATCAAAAAGACGGCTCCCTTTTTCTACGAGCGTGAGACGTCAGATATCATGAGACCTACTTTGATGCTTGCATCGGAGTTGAGCCAACAGAAGAAGGTTTTACTGCTCCCTCTCAGGGGTTTATTTTGAGAGCCATTTGCTGATATCACGTAGGATTTGCTTTTGGAGCGAGTGCTGGAACTGTGGGTTGCCACTCATATTCTGGTCGACTCGGAGCTTCACTGGAAAACGTACTGCAACCCGACCCTGCCACCGACCTCGATGCACTCCCTCGCGCAGTCTTCGGATGATGGACGTATTCCCATTGACGAAGTGACAAACGCCGAGTCGTACGCGCTGCTGTGTGGCCAGCTGCGCTCCGCCACCGAGAAGCGTGCGTCACAGCTGAGCAAGTCGGTGATGAACGATTTGGAGCGTCGCCTACTCCAGCGGCAGCAAAGTGGCTGGTTTGAGACCTTTTTGGTTTCTCTGATTCTTCTAAACTGTGTTGAGAGAACCTGCTGGCTGTTCCGCTCGTGGGATGACGAAAACTTTGCTCAGCGGGTATGCGCCTTTTTTTTTTTTTTTTTTTTTTTTTTTTTTCTGGCCTTTTAATTTGACTCGGCTAACCTCTATAGTGGCCCCTCGACAAACGCCCTCCCTACTACGCCAGTCAGGGCGATCGTTTCTCTGATATTCTGCACATGTTGCTGAAGATGCGCAGCCTGCCACCCAAGGCGACGCCTCTCCCGGACACTGGAATCCTGAAAGCCGTCGAGGGTAGTGACGATAATGCTGCTCGTTGGTTTGAGATGATCAAAATCACCCGTTCGTGCTCCCCCCCCTCCCCCCTCCCTTTGACGTGCCTCGAGTCTAACGGACGCAGCCCTTTTCCTTGAACAGCGCCAGGCCGCGGCCTTTGACCCGACGGATTCACGGTCTCTGGATCTCCGCTACGGCGCCAAACTGCTGCCCCCGGCGAATGTGTACTCATGACCGCGGGATGTTACGACCCGACACGAACTTTTGAACCTTCCACAGCTCCTTGCAATCGGTATCGCACGGGCTGCTAATGTGCCTACCGGGATTTGTAATTTACGTTTTCTTATGTTTTAAGCCGTGTGTATGTTTATTGGCGGAACGGTCAGGATGGTGTATCACGGAATTAGGATTACAATATATTCCAAGTCTCCGTACTCCTTATCAACACACATCATGTATGTACCTACCAATGTAGCAGTTACTTACAAATCGACATCGATCTACAAGTACAGTAGTACCACATGACACTCACATTCATCATCATCATCATTCATCATTACAAAAAAAAAAAAAAAAAAAAAAAAATACAAGGTATATTAAACAGATTCACTCACTCAATCAAATCAAATCATACTCCCTTCCTGCCCATGAACAGACCCAGACCCAGACCCACCAGGAATACTACCCGTAGGAATCCCACCAGGCATACTACAACCCTGACCCTGACCCTGAACCTGACCCTGAACCTGTTCCAAAACAACCGCAAAGAATGTCCCGGAAACAGTGGGATCCTTGTACGGTGCAGCGGATACAATTGCCCTACACACCCCTCCAATATATATGAGTCAGTCAGTTACACACATATACACATACACATACACACAGCCAGCTAGCTAGCCAGCTGGATTGCAGGAGGGAAGGCACGCACCACCCTTTATACCGGGGATCGTTGAAAATCTCCGTAAACGCGCGCAGAATCCGCAGCGGCAGGTCGAGGATGGAGGGCATGTCGGGTCCCGCGCCGCAGATGGGCAGGCCGAGTTTGTTGACGGCGTGGTAGATTGGTTCGGTGGGGTTGGAGGGGTTGGGGGATTCTTGGAAGATGAGGAGGCGTCGGCGGTTGTTCATTTTTTTTTTTTTCCTTTTTCCCCTCTCTGGTTTTGCTCTGGTTTTCAGGTTTGTGTGCGGTATGTGGGTTGTGAATACAACAGGTTGTAAAGGGTTGTTGTGTGTTTGTGTGGGATTGAATCAATTAGTTGGAAAAATGAGTATATATATATATATATATATATTCTATTAAAGTAATTATATATTAATTAGAAGGTATTGTACAAGATATCATTAGTGAATCGCGTGGCGCGTCAACACGTGTGCTGCTTAGCGTGTGGATCAAGGTATCAAAATATATACAGTATACATCAAATCATGAAAGGAAGAACAAACAATGGAAATATCAGGGTATATATATATATATATATATATATATGAAGGGTATCATGATCCTCCGCATTCCACTGGGGAAAAAAAAAAAAAAAAAAAAAAAAAAAAGAGAAAAATTATGCATCCAACTCCCCGTCAAGTACTCGTCGTGCGCCTTCCAGTCGTCGTCGGAGTACTCGCGCCTGTTTCATGTCAGGCTCCGGGGATGTCGTTATGGACTGCAGATTCGTGCACACATCCCCAAGACTCTTGAACAGTTGCTCCAGCAGTCGCGTGTCGTCTTCGTTGATACCGAGCTGGCCGTTCTTCACCGAGTTCGGGTGAGGACTGGCCGCGGCTCGAACCGTAGAGACAAGCGATGATGCGAGCGACGTTGGGGTCGCGGATCCGGTCGCGGCAGAGTCCGGGCGTTGTGAGACTGCAAGCCTCCCACCATGGGTGTGTCGCGATGCTCGCGGCGTGCCCGGATCTGAATCTGGGGCCAACGCCCGATCCTCCACGTCGGGCTCGCGGTAGTTACTACGCATTTCTGTGTCGGGTTATTTTTGTCTGTCGTTTACACGAGGGAAAAAGGAGGGGGGGGGGGAGGGTAAGGTAGCTTACCCTTGTTGAATTTCCGGTCCCAGTAAAGAACACTCTCAATATCGTCATTGCCCTCGGCCGCCGTCGCAAAACTCGCAACCGTGGACAAAGACGCGGTGCTGTCCGAGCGAGAGTGGCGCACAGGGTGTCGGTCCTGGATTGGTCGTGTGGTTTCCACCGAGGTATCTGACGCATTGCTCGGGCGGCGTAGTCGTGCCTGCGAGTAGTTGCCCAATGCACTGTGAAGAATAAAGTGCTCGTAGTCGAACGCGTCCTCCCGCTCCTCGTGCGGCGTAGCGTCCGGTCGCGGCACGGCAGGGAAAGCCTCAAGGGCGCCGTCCAAGTCCTCGTCGAGAGGTTCCCGCAGGATCTCCTCCAAAGCCTCCCGGTCAATATCGGAAGGCGGCGAGCTTTCAGAATCGTACTCTCCCTCTTCTGCATCTTCGTAGAGACTCACAACGACGGAGTGATCGTCGTGATCAGCCAATTCGAATGGACGCAAGATGTTGCTGTCCGTTGTGGAAGACCCGCCATCTTGTGGAGGATCGAGGATAAGAGTCGTCTCCGTATGGTTACTGGACGTACGGCCGCTGCTGTCTTGACTTCCCCTGGGCGACTCAGGGGAGGGTCGATATCCCGAGCTTGGATGCAAGTTGCTATGGCGCGTCGTAGGATCAAGCGGATTAGCGTACCAGTGCGTTGCGGCAGTCAGAGGGCTTGGGGTCCGCAGGCTCTGCAGACTCCGGCGGCGGAGGTTGTCTTCCTGCGCCTTGACCTTGAGACTCGAAATCTTGATGTGAAGTCCCTTCATCTGATCCTGGAGGTCTCGCACCTGCAGCTGAGACTGGGATCTGGACGGAGGGTCGTTCGTCGGGCAGGCTGCGTTGAAATCTTCCATACTGGCGGTCCTTTCGTTGTCTTCTTCGGAAATTCCAAGCCCCTGCGGAGAACTAGAGGAGGAGCGCTCACTGATCGCTGGCGGAATTGAGTTGGAAATCGGGGGCTGTTGCATCGATGAAGCCGACGGCCGATGCGTTAGATATGCTCGAGTAGGCGCATAGGGGAAGGACCTCTCATCGCTGCGAAAGCTCCAGGTACTACTAGAGCCCATGGCGCTGAGGGACCGGGACAGACTAGGCTCAATATTATTGCTCAGATTAGATGGCAGGTTTGTTTCACTATAAACGCGCGAGTGTCGGTTGCTAGTCTTCTCCTGTGAGGGATACATCTGGCGTGGGCGAAGGTTCGATGATCGTCGGTCAGTGCGAGATATTGACTGATAAAGACCCCCGACAGGCTGACCCAGCCCCGCTGACGGCGAACCGACGGACAGACTGGGCGACAGTGAAGGCGATGGGGACGCGCGCACCGAAGTACGAGCACGGGTAAGGTTTCCCTCCATAAGCTATCCTCAGTTAGAACCACGCGCCTGAATATTCGCCACCGCTCACATACCGTCAATCTCTTCTTTGCATTTTCCAGAATGCGCTCTGCCTCGCTGCTCAGAATCGCCGACGATAGGTCCTCACCAGGACCCCCTTCCTCCTTAGTTGTCACCGCATTTGGGCTGCTCGATTGTCCGCCATTGGCCGGCAGCTCCATTGCAGGGCTCTCGGTCAATTGGGGGTTGTCCTGCGACACCGCGTATCCGTCCTGATTGCCTTTGGTCCTGTCCCCGGACGAGGTTTCGCTTGCCCCACTGAGAGTCGAGCTCGACGAGCTACTGGGCGTTCTAGCCTCCGTAGGGTCGGTGTCATCCGTCTGACGCATTTCGACTCGCAAGCCCGTTGAGCGATCCCGATGCGACATGATCTGGGAGGCTCCCGTATACCCCGGACGTGACGGCGACGTTGTGTCTTCCTCTCCAATGTCCGAAAGACGGCGACTGGCGGCATCATGACCCTCATGCATCCATGCGCGGCGCGGAAACGGCTTCTTTTGAGGCCTGGGGGCTCCACCTGACATGCCACTCCTCGTCGGATCCGAGGTAGGTTCATTCGCATAATCCGTCCGGCTCCCATAGAAATACTGCAAGTGGGATAACGATGGTAGGTTAAACGGCGGGGACGGGGTTGCATTTTCGCGCTCGTTTTCGTCGAAGGGCAGGATCATATCCGGATTAGACAATGTTGGTGATGGAGGAATAGGAGGTGGAAGCTGTTGGTGGTGTCGGGAATCCTCTGTTGAGAACATGTTGGCTGTGAGGAGGAATAACTGTTGTTTGGGGTCCAGTCCAGCGTACGCGCCGAGGATCAACACACACACACACACCGGATTGTGGGTGCCCGATATATCCAGTTGATGATACACAAAGCAATTCCCTTTTCTTTCTTTCTTTTTCTTTTTTTTTTTCTTTCCTTTTATTATTATGCTCTTCTCTAAACGCAGGCCATTTCCAAAGCAAAGGAGAGCGTCTGGTTCCACTATGAGAAAAGCTGAAGCGGCAGGGGATGGGAAGGGGGTTCTTAAGAGCCCACTGCAAGGACAGGAGAGTCCAGTCAATTGAATGATGATCTACAGGCCACAGGACAGTGTCTGTGCTGAGAGGAGATTGAAATTGACGGCCAGCGAGTGGACGCACTGTGGAAGAGGGAAAGAGGGTCGAGAAGAGTCCAAGTGAAGCAAAAGAGGGGACAAGGGGAGGGGGTCAAGGATGAAGATTCAAGAAAGAGAGGAAAGAAGAATTTCTCGAGTAAAGTTGAATAATAAAGTACTCCGTAGTGACTGCTAATATGATTAAAAATGCAATGTTTTGTTTAGGGGAAGATTTTGATTTTGACTCCGAATTCATTTGATTGGGATTTTTTGGGTTGAATTTCTCTGATGCCACTCAAATCAGGCAGAGATCCCTCTAGGTAATCTATATAGAAAGACTCAGTAATTCTAGTAAACAGAAGATGTATTGTATTATAATAGAAATAATTGATGTTGATTTCAAAAAAAAAAAAAAAGACCGGTCAACCCCCGAAGATCGTCATCAAAGATTCTCTGATAACCACTGGTTATAACTCTAGACTCGCACTACTTGCATAGTACTATAGTACTAAGTACCTTTTCATTAAGCTGGATTTCTCCATGCGGGCCATTTTATCCCTGTCTCTCATCCCCTTTGTCAGTTTCTAGAATCTGATACCACGACTTGGATGTTCTCGACTTGGTCCAATTCATACGGTCCAATACTAAGTAAGGCCAGATCGACACCTGAGGAGCTGATCCCGACGGCCTGAACAGAAATACTTACTTCGTAGTATCGAGGTAGAGCCAATGTCAGACTGTCACTGACTGACTCTCAAAGACAAAAAAGTAAAAAACCAACTGCGACGAACTATCGAAAAACCAACAGCAACCTCGTGTTGTATCCAAATCACTACTGCAAATAAATGGATGAAGGGCTCCCTCTCCCCCGTATAGTGCATGCAACTACATGAAGGATTTGAGGGCTGGTGTTCTCGTTTAGCCGTGGATGAGTCGAGCCTTCTTACACATGCCACTGTGCTGATTCTGAGATCTTTCCATGGGTTTGACCAGAATAAAAGACACTTCATCATTATCCGTATAGATCATAGATTATGGATCTAAACAATTTACCACTTTGGGTGAATTGAGCACTATGATCATATAGTTAAAAATGAGCAGATTTCCCATCAAGGCGTTGTTAGTGTAACGGTTATCATCCTACCCTTCCAAGGTAGGGACCGGGGTTCGACTCCCCGACAACGCAATCATCAAGCAATTCTTTTTTTCCTCTTTTGAGGAACTGAACAGGACTACTGTAATTGTGCATGTTTCAACTTATCCTTTTTATGCTTCTTATTGACAATCGCTTAATTCAATAGTTAGAGTATCCTAAGTTGGAGCTGATAGTCCGGAGTACTACCTATGTTTATAGTTCCTTTTCTTGACCCATACCTGCTGCAAGATGCTACTTTTTATCTTTTCATAGAATCTCCTTCCCAACGACCGGGGGGGAGGAGGCACACCTCCAGTCAGCGTTTAGGCTGGTCCTTAGAGTATTCGACGAAATGCCTCGTGCTTGACTCCATGTCAAGTATGAAGCCATAGCGGTGGAAAGCAGGTTTTATGCTTTCCCCCAGAGCGCAGAGAGGAGAGATACCACATGCAGGATTAATGCAGCATTGTGAGTCAGGATCATGTACCTTATATTAGCCGTGCCTGCATGATATAATGATATACATACCCTGTACATATCAAGGCTCGTTCGTAGTAAAGAGCCCATCCCTAACTGCGGGGCACATTCGGTACTCCAAGTAGAAGAAACCACCCAGTATACAGAGAGTACTTGGAGTCAAAGCGGATATCAGACCCGTTAACAGGATCTAATGTTGACAGAAAATAAAAAATTGAGATGATGAAGGCACTGATATATATATATATATATATGAAGCAATCCTCCCAATAATCGGAAGAGTTTCAAGGATGATAAACAGTGGATAAATGTATGTAAATGCAAAAAGTTATTGCCGCCGGCACCGAACCCGCCGATCGATCATGTGAGGTTTGGGGGATTGTAAAGAACCAGATTTAATTAATCTTTGGAACTGAACTATTTCATTCATTTCTTTTCTCTCTTCTCTCTTGACTGGAATTGCTTTTCCGGGTCCTGTTCGATTCGTCTCAACCCTCTCTTTCGCTCTTTACCTCTCTCTCTCTCTCTCTGTGCCTCTCGACATGCCTCCGTTTCGCAACTTTCTCGCCAGAAAATCCGGCACCTTAAATGGCGGGGAAGTTGATCGTCTCCCCGATAGTAACAATCAGCTCGCTGAAGACGGCCATCGCTCGACGCCTTTGAGTATCAGGAAAAGTCATGAAACAGAACCGCTTGAGTATAAATTGAGCGGTACGTTCTTAATCCCACCCGTAACTACCGACCGCCCTTGACTAAATGTGTGACTTTGAACTAGTCGTCGATGTCAATGGCGAATACCTTCCGGTACAGTTCAACGCTCTCTGGGTTGACCATGCCTGGGGTCGCTAATGATTCATTTGATAGCCATCACCCCCAGAAAAAGAGAGCTTCTGGCGAAAATACCCCGGGGTGTCAAGACCCTCCTCGCACCATCGAAATCTAGTCGATGAAAATGAACCTTTCTCAATATCCCGCGAATCATTTGATTCGTACCGGCGCTCCTTCGTACGCCCCCAATTCTACCCTGGACATAATTGAATGCAAAGAAAATAAAAAAAACTCACTTGAGGACACAGGACATCTCCGCCCGATCCCCCGTAAGCTATACCGACGCTCTCCCTTCCCGAACATCGCTCGACTCCCGCTTCTCCCGTCTTACCTCCCCCTCTGGTCCCCGCCCCTTTGAGAAACAGCCCCAAACCACGGAAGAGGATTGCTTTGAAGACGTCGGACTAGACGACGATGACAACAACAACAACAACAACAACAATAGCGCCAAACCAAAAAAGCGCGGCTTGTTTTCCCGATTTGGCGATCTCACCGGCGACACCCAGACAAGTGGTTCCAAGTCCTCATCGCACTTGGGATTCCATATCCCCGGCCGAAAACGAGGCCAAAGCAATCCCGGATCGGAATTGGGAGCAATGAAATCGCCCCCTCCACCGGAGGTTGTGGAAATGCGCGAGGGGTGAGCTGAGTTGAGTTGCTGCGACTGATGACGATGATGAGTGAGATGGGTTAGATGGGGATGGGCGCTACCGCATGGCTGGTTGGATTTGGGTGATCCATTGATTAATTGCCCTGGTGTTTTTGGCGTTAATTTAGTTAGCACTTGACTAGTTGAAATTCCTGGGGCGGCTTGAGTCTTGACTGACGGACATCTGGCCCAGCGCGCCGTGTTATGTCGCGGCACTGTTAGAGATTCCTTTGGAATTGTTTTGCTGAGATAATACTTAATCTATTTTCTCTAAACAATATTTAATTACATTTTATAATACCAAATTAAATTAAATTAAATTAATTTTTTTTTAAAATATACCTGAGACTCTGAGAGTGCGATTTCTTGCACTGTACAATAAAACCTCTTATCGCAGAGTGCAAACCATGCAAACCCCACCTGACCGCTTCCAAGACAGGCAAAAAAAAAAAAAAAAAAAAAAAAAAAAAAGTCGAACGCCTTCAGTTACCGGCAATTATCTCCCAACAAACCCACTTACATTTACCCATCCTAGCGTTTCCCGGAACTTTGCTGAAGAGAATCTAAAGGCCAAAAAGGGGAAATATTTACTATGGTTGGTGTAAAACGCCGCGTCGACACCGGCGACGACCGCAATGGGAAGCGGACCAAGACGAAAACTACCGCTGTTTCGACGAAGAAGAGTAGCGGCAGCAGCAGCCGCGGCAAATCTGGTCCTGTGAAGGGCAAGGGCTCTTCCAAAAGTGGAAAGAAGGATAAGAAGATTGTGAAGAAGAAGGTTGAGGAGGAAGAGGAGGAGGAGGAGGAAGATGATGATGATGATTTCGATATCGATGATGTTCAGGACTCAGAGATTGAGAGCGGAGACGACGACGACAACGATGTTGATATGGACGAGTTGGATGCTGATGAGGATGAGGAGGAAGGGGCAGACACCAAGTCTCAGCAGGCCAAGACCGCAGATGTTGCGAAGAGTATGAATGATGCCCCGAAATTTTAAATTTTTTTTTTTGCTCTCTTTGGTTTCGAGGCCTTTACACTAATGCGCCTTTGATATAGATGTTAATGCCTCTCGCGAGTCACACGCAAAACAAAAGGCTCTCTTGCAGGAGCGCAAAGCCGCAAAGCCCAATGCTGATATGATCGCTCGCTCGAAGAAATTGTGGGAGCGCCTGCGTCGCAAATCGCACGTTCCTCTCGAGGAAAGAAAGAAATTGATTGCGGAGCTTTTCGAGATTATAACAGGACGCGTCAAGGATTTTGTCTTCAAGCACGATTCCGTCCGTGTCATCCAAACGGCTTTGAAATATGCCAATACCGAGCAGCGCAAACAGATTGCGCAGGAGCTCAAGGGTAGCTACAAAGAGCTGGCCCAGAGCAGATACGCCAAGTTCTTGATTGGCAAGTTGATTGTCCACGGTGATGCAGAGATCCGCGATACTATTATTCCCGAGTTTTACGGCCATGTCAAGCGCCTTATTCGACACCCCGAGGGATCGTGGATTCTGGACGACATTTACCGGACAGTCGCGACACAGGAACAGAAAGCGAACCTGCTACGGGAATGGTATGGCGCGGAGTTTGCCATCTTCAGAGACAACAAACCATCTACTGCTGAGCTGTCGAAGATTTTGGAGGAGAACCCAGCGAAGAGATCTACGATCATGCATTTCCTCCTCGAGCTCGTTAACCAGCTTATTCAAAAGAAGACCTCCGGATTCACGATCCTGCATGATGCGATGCTACAGTACTTCCTCAACACCAAGCCCGGGAGCTCGGAGGCCTCTGAATTCATCGAGTTGATCAAGGGCGATGAGGAGGGTGATCTGGTCAAGAACCTTGCCTTTACCAAATCAGGTGCACGGCTGATGGCTTTGGCCCTGGCTTATTCCAACGCCAAGGATCGCAAACAACTTACTCGATTCTACCGAGACACCATCAAAATGATGGCGGGCGACCTTCACGGCCATATCGTCCTCCTGGCGGCATACGAGGTTATCGACGACACCAAACTTACCTCGAAGCTGATCTTCCCTGAGCTGCTGAACCAAGGCTCTGATGCAGAGGCGCGGGGTGAGGAACTGCTCTACCAAACAACAGACTTGACCGCACGTATCCCCATTCTTTATCCCTTTGTCGGCGACAAGGCCAAGTGGCTTCTGCCCGACTCTGATCACGAGATCTTGAAAGAAATTCGCGAGATCCGAAAGGAGACATCAAAGAAGGAGCCGTCCATTCGACGCCAGGAGCTGATCAAGGCGGCGTCTCCTACTCTTCTTGAATTCATCGCCGCTCGCGCTGACGCCTTGCTCGAAACCAGTTTCGGCTGCCAGTTTATCAACGAGGTCCTGTTCGACGCTGACGGAGATAAGAGTGCCGCTCTGGCCGCGGTCGCCGTTGCCGCTAAATCCAAGGCCGATGCGGACTCCCCGTCTGTGGGACGAACCCTAAAATCCCTGGTGCAGGGAGGACGATTCAACAGCGCGGAGAAGAAGGTGGAGAAGGTGGAGCCGGCCCTCGACTTCCACGGTGTTTTGTACGAGCAGATTCAGGACGATGTCATGTCGTGGGCTACTGGACCCAGTGTGTTCGTCGTGGTGGCTCTCGCTGAATCTGACGATTTCGAGAAGAAGGGGGAGTTGTTGAAGGCCCTGAAGAAGGGCAAGAAGGCTCTTGAGAAGGCTTCTGCCGCCGGGAAGGACGGAAAGAAGGCAGGGCCGGCAGGCAGCGGCGCGAAGCTGTTGCTGGAGAAGATCCGATAGACTTGTGTCTTCAGCATGGTTTACTTATAGGCGTTTTCCCTTCTAATCTTGATTTTTAAGTGTACAGGGTCTTATGGGCCAATGAAGCAAAAGCATTTTATTCTATCTTGATGGGAATTCCACCCGAGTATCTCTCTCTCTATATAGATATTTCCTATATGTATGTAGTCTTTTTTTTTCCCCCTCATACTGCATGGTACTTTCGTATCTCTCACGTCAATCAGACGAATACCAGGATTTATTCAGTACCGTGGTACTGTGTGAGTCACAACGAATACAGTTTATCTCGATGCTTCCATCATAGGCAGTGTGCAGTCCTTCGTCTCTTCTATAGACAAGCTCATGTCTATTGGTTTTTTTTTTTTTGTCGAGTGTCAATCAACTCTTAGTATGTCGAGGTTGCTATTTCGTATGGCTGGTACGCTGATGATCTAGTATATAGAGATATAAAGATATAAAATATATATATAGTTATTGAATTTGGGATGTAGCGCGTAAATCTCACATCATCATTCACATCTATGAACACATAATTGCTGAATTCTGCGGTCATATATCTATCTGTATATATAAAGTTATGACTCTTCTCATCCCAGCATCCCAGCATCTCGTCTCTCAACTCTCAACTCTCATCTACCTTCCTATTTATCCCTCCGTGTCTCTATACCCACCCAAGCAAACCACAACCTCCTCCAAAATGAAGATGATATCCTTTTACTCCAAGCTCGCCCTCACCACTCTATCCCTCTTCTCCATCCCCAGCCAAACAACTGCCCACGCACCCAGTCTCAGCACCCTCGCCATACAACCCAGTAGCTCCAGCGGCCCCAACACCAGTGCCGTGCAAGTTGCTACCTGCACCTGCACCAGCACCAGCACCAGCACCAGCACCAATATAACCACGAGTGCAGCAGCAAATACATCTACACCCACAACACCAGTGGCCACTTCATTCGCAACCAAAGCTGCAACCGGAACACCCACCACCCCGCTGCCCTACCAGCACAAAGACAGGGCCATCGGCGGCGGCAAGCAACCCGACCCAAAGAACGAATGCAACTGGGACCAGGACTGCGATACCGGGTATCTCTGCGATGTCTTCAAGTGCAGGGTCGGCTGCAGACATGACTCTGGATGTCTGGCCGGACAAGTCTGCCGCAGTAACATCTGCGTGCTGGGCGCCAATGAGATGTGTTATCAGTTTGATCGGGAGTGTAAGCGGAATGATCAGTGCTGCTCGGGGAGGTGTAGGCGGAAGTGGTGGATTATTGGGAGGAAGCGGTGCAAGCATGATAAACAGATTGGGGTTTGAGTGGGTTCTTTTTCTTTGCTTTCTTTGCTTGGTAGAACTGTTGTGTTGGCTATGGTAGTTAGGTAGAGTTGGTCCATCTTGCTGGTCTGGTATGTCGAGGTACTTGGTGTTCTTTAAGAGGTAATTTATCTCATCTCATTCTAATACATAAGGTATAGCGATGTAGTTTGTAGTTTGTAGTTGTAGTGGAAGTGGAAGTGAGGTAATAACCCTTCATTTGTTCTCTTTTTTCCCATCTGTGATGGATAGTCGAGTGGGAGGTTAGCCGCCAAGTTAGAGACCTTGCTGCGGTCTTGGCCAGCGGGACTGGTGCCCGGTACGAATCCTGGGGTTGTCGACTGTACTCGCGCGAGTAATCCGCGATCGCTACACGACATTAAGCAATGGAAGTGACCCTTGAGGGAAGCAATTCTGCAGAGACTCTTCCACCCTGGGGTGGCGTCATCGGATTACACCGTCTCGTAACAGGGAATTTGGCTGTTTGGCTGAACAACTACTTTTTTTTTTTATTTTCTTTTTCTTTTTCTTTTCCCAACTCTCCTCCTACTCAACGAACGACGACGCATTTGACTGGAAATTCTGTTCGAGTTACTGGGGAGTAGGCCGTTCCTTCTTACCTCGTCGTCTCGTTCGCTCCTCCCTCACTCTACATTACAACCATCACCCTCCACCATGCATTCTCTACAAGTTCTATGACTCCAGAACCTCACCTATATCGCCTTTACCATACTATTCTTCTTCCCCACCCTAAAGCATACACAAGATTGGAGAAACGCCCACGACATCCTACACAAGACCCACGCATACGCTCACGCTAGGATGCCGTTCTGGATCGGCTGGCCACTATGGCAGAAGTTGAGCTTTGTAAGGAAAGGTAGAAGCAGTCAAGGCCTTGGACTGACCCCCCAAAGGTTCTTGCGATCCTCCTGGCGGTCGTTTTGATCTACTCCTTCTGCGTTCTCGCGTACAACCGGCGCATGATCAAAAGGCACGCTGCGGAAGAAGCAGAACGGCGAGAGGCTGAAAAGTATCCCATTCTGTCCGAATCCAGCGACATCCCGTTCGGCGCGAAAGCCCTGGAGAGAGGTGTTCATGTCGAGGGCATCTGGACCACGAAGCGCCATTCTCTCGTCAAGCAAACTAGTCCATCGGAAGTAGGCAGACAGGAGAGTTTGGGCTCTACGTTGAAACAAAAGTCGACCACGAGCACTGTGGTGGCACCGCCGTCATCGCCTGCATCGCCTGTAGCACCCGTGCTAACCAATGAGTCCGGCTTGCAATGTACCTCAAGAGGGGAGACCGATGCCACTGAAACGGGGGAGCTGGAAAGTATACATATTGACACATTTCGTGCTAGCCGACCACCGCAGCTCGAGATTTACGAGCGTGCTAGGGACGCAGAGAGGCCTCGCTCCCGTGGCTGGTTTGCCTCTCGGAGCTCATGGATGACCAAGCCTTTCGAAGGCCATAGAAGGATGTCTGTGCGTGAAGGTAATCGTAACCAACAACAGTGCGATTTGCATGGGAGATCGAGGATCTGATGATAATCCAGGAAATGAACATAATCGCACTTCCTCGGAGGACTTTCGGCGTCGGTTCAGCAAGCTTTTCGATGAGAATGCGCCAGTGCGTCCGGCTGAGATGTTCCAACTGAAGCCTATTTACCAAGAGTCAATTGCCAGCAAAGGGTCGTTGGACACCAATCCAAGGGACAATGGTAGAGGCCACATCTAGGTACTGGTAACATGTCGGATGCTGCTGGTCTTGGGGCCCAATACTTAGTTAGATGTTGCTTTTCTCATAGCAAGAGGTGGTCTCATGCCGCAGGGAAGCGACAGTTAGCACTCATTATGCTTGTATGTCTATCGTCGAAATTTTTAGCCTCAAAAATGGTGCCCTGCTGGGGGTTATAAATGTATTCAGCAGAAATTCCATGAGTTTTGTTTTGTCGACTTTTTGCCTCTTTCCGCTCCTCAGGCAGCACCCTTCGCGGCTGCCTGAATCGCACGTGACCGCGCGACATGCCAACGCGTCCACCAACATCTTTCGACATCATGGAGTCAAGGGAAAGAGAAGAAAGACACCCAGATATTGCCAAAGCAACAATTCCCAGCCCATAAAGCTTCCTCTAAAACTGCTGTCTGACAGGCAAGCCATACGGCGCTTTCGAAAAAAGGAGTTTGTCACATATACATTCAACTTCTGGCAGCCGAGCTGAGACGCGTCCGCGCGCGGGGGATTTTGCTACTGGCTGAGGATTTTCGATTGAAATGACCGCAGATATGGAAACTCAGAATGAGTACGATGAGAGTGGTCTTCCAGGGCCAGGAGCGCCCACGCCACTGTCGACCCTTGAGGTGAGAATGTTTTGTTTCTTCTTCACACAATTAGTTTCCATTCAACCCTGCCTGGATTGTGAAAGAAACTCATAAATTTCCTAGGGAATGGCGGGCTTGACAGCTAGAGATATTAAGTTGTTTGTCGATGCTGGCTATCATACAGTTGAGTCAATTGCATATACGTGGGTTTACCACTTCCTCACATCCTCCTCTCAACCCCCATGGCCGGGGGGTTTTAAGAATAAAACGCAGATAACTGACGTTTGCTTTTGCCCGGCGTTTCTAGACCCAAGCGATTACTCGAACAAATCAAAGGTATCTCGGAGCAGAAGGCTACGAAGATTCTAGTTGAGGGTGAGTCAATCTACGAAGTGACCCTTGCATTGCAAAAGGTACGAGTGCCTAACAGACCTCAATTGACAGCTGCGAAATTGGTTCCGATGGGGTTCACGACAGCCACCGAGATGCACGCTCGACGAAGCGAACTGATATCGATCACCACCGGTTCTAAACAACTCGATACTCTCCTTGGAGGTGGAATCGAGACGGGATCAATTACGGAGATCTTTGGAGAATTTAGAACAGGAAAGAGCCAGATTTGCCACACACTCGCCGTTACTTGCCAACTACCGTTTGACATGGGAGGAGGAGAAGGAAAATGTCTCTACATCGATACCGAGGGGACTTTTCGACCGGTGCGTCTGCTGGCGGTTGCCCAGCGATATGGCCTTGTTGGCGAGGAGGTTCTGGACAATGTGGCTTATGCGCGCGCCTACAACTCCGACCACCAGCTCCAGCTGCTCAACCAAGCATCTCAGATGATGTGTGAAACTCGATTCTCATTGTTGGTGGTTGACTCTGCCACCTCATTGTACCGAACAGATTTCAATGGCCGCGGCGAGCTGTCGACTCGACAGACCCATTTGGCCAAGTTTATGCGAACGCTGCAGCGTCTCGCCGATGAGTTTGGTATCGCGGTCGTTATCACCAACCAGGTCGTTGCGCAAGTCGATGGTGGCCCGAGTTCGATGTTCAATCCCGATCCTAAGAAACCCATCGGTGGAAATATCATTGCGCACGCGAGTACGACGCGATTGAGCTTGAAAAAGGGACGAGGCGAGACTAGAATCTGCAAGATCTATGACAGTCCCTGTCTTCCGGAGAGCGATTGCCTCTTTGCTATCAACGAGGATGGAATCGGAGACCCGAGCCCAAAGGATCTAGAGAATGACTAACTCTGGAACGTGCTTTTAGATTATGATTCGATGATTGATTTAGACGAGCCCTGTTTCGTTTGTGAGCTGTGTGTTCTTTAGTACATATTCTTCTTCTTCTTCTTCTTCTTCTTCTTTTCTGTATTTAAACAGTAGTTACCGATTCTAAAGTAAAGAATAAAGAGGGATGATATTGAAGGCGGTGGTGTTGCTGGGGGCGGCGCCAAGACCTTGTTTTTTTTCTGAGTTGCGGAAGAGCTTCACTTCCAACTCAGCTTCTGCCCTTTCCACCTCCGGCCATTTGCGACTACCGGCGATGGAGACCTGAACCTGACGAATCCCCGAACCTCAGATTGTGGAAGGTGGTCTGTTGTCAATTCGACATGGCAAAAATTTATAAGGATACCCAGGTCGACCTCCGGCCGTACTCGTCGAGCACCGTCGTCAACATCCCGATTCCCACGCAAACGAGCCCCCAGAACCGCCCTCGATTCTCGATCTCTACGCTCACAGGCCAGGACGACTTCGTTGCGAAGGATGAAGAAGACTTTGCACGGCGATATCTAGCAACGCAGGGGTCGGTGTATTTCCGCAAACGTAGCGTTTATCCCCGAGCGTTCCTGTGGAGAGTTGTCAACGAAGGCAAGACTCTGGAGATTCAATGCGTGGATTTGACCAAGGGTGGGATTGAACATCACGAATACAACGTCACTCTGCGCTTGGATTTCCACGAAGAGATCCTCCCCTCGGGCGTTGACTTTGCAGACTTGGAGGAGCATGATGTGTTGAATGTGTTTGTGATCACAGCCTCCAAGGAGCTGCATACGCTGGCCCTGCGCCCGGAGTTTTTCAGGAGAGCTACCTCAATTGATGAGAACGTTGGGGATTGGTGCAAGTCTTGTGTTCCGGCGCCCCTGTCTTTTTCACACCCGCACCGATTACATGCTAGCAGTCCGTTGGAGTTGTTCATTTCCCTGGATAATGGTTCTCTTCTGCGCTTGACTAGGAGGGCCGCTGATGATGGTAACGATCCTTTTTCTATCCGGAAAAATTTCATTGAAAGCGAAAAAAAAAATCCTTAGCTAACCTGGACACTTTGGCTAGGTTCGCATTGGTCTCCTCTGACCTTTGATGAGAGAACTTGGGGTTCCTCTTTCCGCGGACTGGTTAGGTGGCACGCGCAGCCTTCGATCAAGTATGGGGGACGCACTCTCGACCAGAACGCGGCAAACGCAATTGCTACGACATCCGATCAGACATACGCTTTCGCGGTCTGTTTGAATCATACATTGAAGGTCTGGAACTTGGCCACGAATAGATTGGTCGCGACCAAGGATTTACTGGGCCGCGAGATACAACAAACCGATGCGCTATCGTACTCGCTGAACCCCTCTGAATCGTCTTTTATCCGGGTCTTTAATGTCGAGAGGGCTCTGGAGGGTGGATATCGCTATTATGTGGTTACATATTCTCCGTTTGAAGATGGATGTTTCAAGTTCTGGGCTGTGAAGGGAGGCTTGACCTCTCCCTTGATTATTGAAGATCTCTTCCCCGACGACACGCTCCGACCCTGGGATCCGGATTCCACTGGCAATATGTTCTGGAGTATTGCCGATTTCCAGGTCAAGCCGGCGGAAGAAGGGAAACGCATGGAACTGTGGGTCTTATGGAGAAATAGCGGCCTCTATCAACTTTACACTCTTCACTTTAACTTTGAATCTTTGGTGTCGGATTGGGCGACGAATTGGACCTCGACTGTTTCAGATACCCGCAGACAAGAACCTCCGCCGCGGATGGCGCTAAATGATGTCGTGGACCCGACAGAGAAATGGTTGAAATTCCTCCTGCACCCTAACAGGTTTTCACCAGAGATTCTCGAGACCGCACTGGCGATTTACCAGGAAGCTCTCAAACCTTTGTCTTCCTCCAGCGTGCTCAAGAAAGGCGCCTCTCTTTCGGAACGCCTATGCTCGACAATCGCGGCGACAGTGTCTCTGCGAAAGTTCGCTGATGATGAAATGGATTTCACACGGTATCGCACCGATGCCGACTCTAAATGGCGGCAGTTCTGGCAAATTGCGGATGATCTTAATAAGAAGAAGTTTGAGCCTCTTACGCTTGCGTACGATGCATACTACGAAATCCCATGGATTCTGCTCTCAGATAGCTGTGCTGTGGTTCGGGAATGCAGCTCAACGGAGCTGTTGCTGCACAACTCGGGACCTGTCCTCCGCAACGAAGGCCCCAAGATTGTAGATCGATGGAGGCATCGAAATCTAGAGTCAGAGCTTGGTGACTTGTTTGAAGAAGCGTCGCACCTTATCACCGTTGCTTCTGGGTTCAGGAAGAAATTCTCAGCAGACCTTGAGGCAGCTTGCCAGGGTGCGATCGAGGTAGAAATATTTGCGGAGCCCTCATCCTCCGTCCCGGACAGGATGGATGCCTTCCGTGAGAGGTGTGATTTTGCAGAGCAGATTTCTAACCAGACATACGAAGAACTGGTGGCTGCTATGAATGAACAGCTGAACATATATCATCTAGCGAGCGAAATATTCTACAAGATCCTCGAAACAATCCCGCTCGGCTTCCCTGGGAAGGATTCCGACCTTCTCCCGACCCATTTTGGAGTCAAGGCTACTGTGAACGGCGTCCAGGAGACGATTCTTTTTACGCGCCAGATTCTAACCGATCTCCTTGTTCTTGTTGTCTTTGTGGACGGCGAGGTGCAACAAGAGGAGGGCTCGGCATTCGACGCGGTGGAGCTGTTTGTTGAGTTGATTACTCTTCTCCGCGAATATGAGATGATGTTGTGGCTCAGCTCAAATACCCGGAAGTGCACTGATAAGTCAACAAAGGCCACTGATGAGCCGTCAACTCCGTCCTTCTCCTTGAAGAATACATCCGTGAATGGTAAAGGAAGGGTTGCCACCATTCTAGAGGATCTCTTTGCCACGGACATCAAACCCCGTCAGACGATTGGTTTGCCCCAGAGTTATACCTTGACTCTCGGAATCCAGGATGTACTGTCCTGGGTGACTCGTCCGGGCGAGGTAGCATACCCGAATGCCTTGGTCTACATTCAGTGCGACCTGATAGCGAAGAACAACATTGACCTCGCGTGGGACTTCCTCAGGTTCCAGGCAAGCACCTCTTGGGCAACCTACGTCAAGGGTCGTCTATATGTGGCTATGTCTGAGCTCGACACCGCAGCCTTGTATTTCCGCAAAGCGGCCTACCTTCTTTGTAAGTCTTTTTTTTATGACCTGCACCCGTCATCCCAAGTACTGACTCTTCTAGCGTGTGGAAAACCTCTTGGTAACCTGCACGAGATGTCGTCGACTCTCCTCGACATTGTCTCCGTAGACTGTTTCCATAATGGACTTCCTAAATACTTCCAGCATATCCTGTCAATATTTGAGCAAGCGCGTGCGTTTTCACATGTCTCGGAATTTGCAAGCTTAGCCCTACAGGCTCTCGCTAGTGAGCATGGCAGCGAGCAGGATTTAGAGTCGGCGAGATTGCGGACAGATCTCCTTTCGCGGTTGTTCTATGCGTCGCTCCAAAACTGTCAATTCGACCAAGCATATTCCGCGCTCTCCCGGTACAGAGATCTTGCATTGCAAAAATCAGCTCTCGCCTCCCTTATCACGAGCATTCTCGCAGCCTCTGGGCCCGGCACCGCTGGCCTCGCGCAGATCCTTCACTTCCCTACCTCCCTTATCCCTAACATCACTTCCCATGTGGATGAAATCCTGGTTTCTCTTGCTCGGAGGCAAACCTCCTTCACTTCCCTCACCGACACCGGAAACAAGTGGGCGGAAGACACAGTGAATTACCACAGAATTCTCCAAGCGTACCGCATAAAACGCGGAGATTACCGCGGAGCCGCCGAAGTAGCGTACCGGAACGTCGAACGGCTCCGCCAGGCGCGAGACACCTCATCCGCCCACCTGGTCCTCAGCAAGGCCAAAGCAAACGACAGCCTCCACCACCACCCTATCCCTGAAGAAGACGACCCTGAGAGCAACGAAATCCGCCGCGAGCTCCTGTCTCTGATCAACCTCCTCGCCTGCGTAGATAAGAGCGAAGCCTACATCCTCGTCGAGAAAGACGATCTCTCAAATAACCACCGCCGCAGCAGCGCGACCAGCAGCCACCAGCCCGCCGACGACGACGGAAACGTCTTCATGGACGATGTCGCCGCGTCTCCCGCATCCCACCGCGGCTCTATCGTCGCGCTCACCGCCAGCACGGGTTCCATCCTCCCCCCACCCGGCGCAAAATCCTCCGTATCTTTCTCCATCCCTGCCGCTTCTCATTCCCCACGCCACCGGGTCATCGTCACCCTGGACCACCTACGTCGCGAATACCAGTTGGAGCTGGACAGAGTCAGTAGGATCGAAAGAGGAGACTGGGAGTTTGGGATTTTAGATGACGACGAAGGCCTAGCTGATAATGATGACACGATGCTGCTCGCTTAGTTCTCTCTCTCTCTCTCTCTTTTTCAACTTTGTTTCATGGTCTATCTGGTCGGTATTTATCATACAAATTCCCAAGAAATGAATGAGCTGCATTTAATGTACTTGTACTTGTACCTGTAGGCTTCTTTTTGCCTTTTTCTTTTTCTTTTTCTTTTTCTCTCTCTCTCTCTCTCTCTTAAGTGTTTGCGTGTTTGCTGTGCTGTGCTGTACTGGTATATGTGCAAGTTTCTAGTCTAGGTATTTAGTATTTAGTTTTAGTTTTTTTTTAGTTTGGATTGCCGAAACGGCGCAAATAGGATGCAATGGATGGGGGCGGCTTTTTATTCACTATTCTTCCTTTACTTTCTCTCTCTCTCTCTCTCTCTCTCTCTATGTATGTGTGTGTGTGTGCTATATCTCCTCTGTACGAGTGGGAGATATATAAGTATTCGTAGTCGTAGTTGTAGGGAGTGCCTACCTAGTAATTCTCCATGAGTGAATAAATAAATAGGCTGGATGGATATCTATCTATATATGTATGTATGTATGTATGTATGTATATAATGTAATGTATTTACTTAGGGACCTAGGTAGATATGTTACAAGGTAGGTAGGTAGGTAGGGTAGTGTATAAAGACTGCCAGATGAAATCTGGATATAAAAACATGATCTATATACGGAAAGGAACAAGAATCTAGCGAGAGACACCCCCCAAGCGTAATATAATAATAATATTGAATCGAATAGATTAGATTAGTTAACTAAAGACAGGCACATTATGAGTAAGCTTAATTGCAGGCTAACTAGTTATAGTTAAGTTAGGAAAGCGCTGTGATAGATAAACCTGGCAGGAAGGACAAAACTAAACTAATATAGGATCCTCATTTACATGGCTGGCGTTGTACAATTTAGTGAAATGCGACGTTGCGTCCATGAGAAGTTCATAGGGGTCACCGGATTCGAGGACCCGTCCGGCCTCAAGAACAATCACCTTATCGTAGTCGAGGATGGAGTCGAGCTTGTGTGTGACTGTGAGGATAGTGTGGGAGCTGAATTTCTCGCGGATGATGCGTTGCATGATTTCGTCAGTTTTGGAGTCGACGCTTTTTTTTTTTTTTTTTTTTTTTTAGCCTTATGTTAGTAATCAAGTTAAAATTGATAGGAAAGGGAGGGAGGATGCGAAGGACGTACTTGCTGGTAGCCTCGTCGAGGACGAGAATGTTCCCAGGCCGAAGAGTCGCCCTCGCTAGACAAAAGAGCTGCTTTTGGCCGTGCGAGAGGTGCAGGTCGTCGACGTCGATGTCTAAGCCTCCTAGCTCGTGGACTTTGGCGTGTAAGTGGACGGCTTTTAGGGCGTTGAGAATGGCAAGATCCGAGTTTTGCCCCGTTGGATCGAGGTTTTGGCGAACGCTGCCCTTGATCAGGAGAGGGCTTTGCGAGACGCCGTTTAGGCGTGAGCGGATTTCCTGACGGGGGAGGGTGGTTAGGTCGATTCCGTCAATTGTGATGGTGCCTGTGCGCAGCTCGATCATGCGGAATAGGCTCATTATGAGCGATGTTTTGCCGCTGCATTTGTCGTGGGTTAGGTTTAGGTTCCTTGGGGGATCGTGGAGGAGAGGAGATGCTTGCCTTCCTGTTCGACCGCAGATGCCCATTTTTTCGCCTTCTTGGATGGATAATGTGATGTTTTTGAGAACGGGTTCGGATTCTCTGTATGGAACCCTAACTTAGTATGGGGATGGGATGCGTGAATGAGGTTGGGGACTTACTTGTATTCTGCGGATACGGATTTGAACTCAATGTGTCCTTTGGCTGGCCAGTCTGGTGGAACTTGATCATTCTCTCCGGGAAGATCCTCCGAGGAGACAGTCTCGGTAAATGACTTGACTCGTTGGATTGAGCCGATATGGGTTTCGAGATTAGTCCAGGAAGTCACGAGGAGCTTGATGCTTTGACTGAACATGATGACGTTCAATAGTGCTACTCCGACGTAGCCTGCGCTGATCTTACCGCGTAATGTGACGACCAGGATGATAAGTAGCACTGCGATGCCGGCCACTACCAGATCTAGGGTCAATGTAAGCCAGCGCTGGACAGCGTAGAGGAGGTAGAATGGCCGCTGAGAGCGGTCGAGAAGCTGGTAGTGTTTTTCTTGTAGCCTGTGCTGCCACCCGAATGCTCGTAATGTTACCAGCCCGCTGAGGGAATCGGTAAAATGAGAGAACAGCGGAGCTTTAGCTTCAAGATCCAAGAATCGTAGCTGCCTTGATGTCCGGAGGTAGATTTTTTGTACCGTGTAGACAACCAGAATGACTAGAGGAAAGGAGATGGCTGCGTATTTGGAGGCAATCCCCATCAAAATCATTTGGCAGAGGCAGAGAACGAGGGCTAAATTCATGATTTAGTTGATTATGAAGTCGTACTATGATTTTGTAAGTGGAGAGAGACATACTCGCAAATGTGTTTATAGCAGCAATTGGAAGCTCCATATCAATAAGCTGCAAATCCTGGCTGAATCTGTTGAGGATAGATCCACTGTCTGTAGTAGAAAAGAATAGCATGGGGGCACTGGTACTGTTAACACCTGTCTTAGCAAGATTCGCGTTTCAATACCTTAGGACTGTCCTCAAAAGCGTTCTGTGAAACGCTTCACCTGACTTCGGTACCATTCTGATTATCATTTGCCTGTGAGTTGGTGACTGGTGAGCCATACTGCGGGGGGTAAACCGGATCTAGGAATGCTAACCATGCGCCTGCAATCAGAGACAACATCCCAACTACCCCTAGCATTGCATATATTCCCACGTAATATCCAGTGTGCTTTCCTGGATTGGCTTCGTTGGAGCTGGCCCACCATTTCACCCAAATGCCTGTTTTAAATGTCAACAGAGGGGTGGGTGATGGAAGGATGGTATAACTCACTTGGAAAAGAAATGCAAAATATGAAGCCTGAAATGGATACACAAAAGAATATAGTAGAGAGCCATCCGATAGATCGAATATAATATAAATATACTGAAATATCGCCATTACCCCTATAATTCTCTGTCTCTTCCTCTATGCTTTCATTTACCGAATGGAACTGGGCTATGGAAGATCCCGATAAGTTGGGCGGGTTGTGGATGTTGATGTCTGGTTCAGGGGAATTCAGGCCAAGGCTTGCAACATAGCCTCCTGATGCGTCAAGAGCTGAAAAGCTTCCCTGTTCAATTATATGGCCGTCTTTGTCAAGGACGACGAGATGGTCCGCAAAAGGGACCCGTTTTACTGTATAAAGGGTTAGAAATGCAAACCCTCATGGATCGATTGGAGGACTTGCCAGATGATGATGCGAGCAATACTGTTGCGCTGATTGAACGCAAAAGACCATGTTCACCCAGCAAGTGTTGGAATATATGGTTCTCCGTTTCTGCATCAAGGCTACTAAAGACGTCGTCAAAGACGACAAGTTCCTTTCGTGCATAAACGGCTCGTGCGATTGCCTACGGTGGTTAGCTCTTACTCTATGAAGAATGACAGATGTGACGTACGATTCGTTGACTTTGGCCACCGCTGAGGGAAATTCCTTTGCTTCCGATGTGTGTTTGATCTCCACGCGGTAATTGCTCAAAATCCGTGGAAAGAGCACAGGCGTTGACCACAGTGGCATACCACATGCTATCAAATGGGGACATGGCCACAATACAGTCTTGAATCGACCCATTCATATGCCACGGTGTTTCATCACAGAACGCAATGCTCTCTGTTGCCAGCTGTATAGTTCCACTTTGACATGGAACTTCTCCAAGAACGGCTTTAAGTAGGGTTGATTTCCCGCAGCCAGATGGCCCTATGAACATAGCCAAGTTTCCGGAAGGAATGGTGAAGGTCGCCTTTTTTATTGATGGTTCTTTATTGCTCTCCCATATGAAAGAACAGTTTTGAACCATGACCATCTGGTGAAGCAGGGACGAAGCTGACCCTTTCGAGCAATGGGAGTCTGATCCACTCACGACTCCATCTAACTCTTTTATTTGGGAGTATATTTTTGATTCTTCTTTGAAGGGGCTCAAAGGAATAGGCAAGCATTTATTTCGTGGGTCGAGATGGCTTTCCTTATCTAAAAATACTTGAATTCGTGCAAAGGAGCCAACAGACCCGGCAAACGCCATTAGGGCCATCACAAGGGACAGAATTGGATCTGCTAGGAGGGAAAAGAGTGACAATGCAGTGTACGCTTTTGATGTGTTCAAGGCAGAGTCGTGGCCATTATTATGAGAGATCGCCACGAAAGCGCCCAAGGCAAAAATAGGGGCGAAGATTCGCGTGAGCCAAGCTGTACGTTTGGATTAGACCCGTATGGGAAGTGGTGAAATGTGTTGACTAACCGAAGACCATATTCCAAACCAAGATCTTTCGGAACTTCCTTGATATTTGTAGTTCGTCAATGCGAAAGCCATGGACGCACGCCATGAGACATGATTGCAGGCCCAGCATCTTGATTCCTTTCATGGAAGCTAGCATTGAAGTCGTGGCTGATATGCGTCTCTCAATCGCTTGAAGCCATAGGGCTTGCCTTGCTACAACGAAAGCCATTCCTACCAAGCATCCCGCTAGAGCCACTGTATAGTATGCATTATTAGTGACGTCTTTATTGACAAAAAGCAACTGGGGACAAGTTGGATTTACCGATTGAGACGCCGACTGGAACTACACAGGCGATGCCCAATTGCTTTTCCAGAAGGAAGATTGCCAAAGAGATTTCAATGACGTTCGCCCAAATTTCATGCATGGTCTGCCAGCCTTGTACAATGCGCTCTATATCTGCACTCATCAGAGTAACTGATTCCGCGGGGTCGGCGTCTTTGAGATTCAACGTGCACGCCTTTTTGTACACCATCGAGACTATTGCGCCTCGTACCATGGTGATGGCACGATACGTTAAGTGCTGGTGCTGACCGAGTGTTATCTGGAGTGAGTGCGGTCAGTAGGCTTCTACTGGATTTCAGACCGACCAACTTACTCCCATCCCAGTATATACAAGGATATAAGCCCCAATGAGCCCGTATCCGACATTGTTTGTGTGGTTGTTGACTGGTTCTGTCGAGAATGTGAGAGATCGGTGCAAGAGCAGCGGCTGGCAGAAGTTTAACCCGACAAGGAGGGCTCGTGGGAGAATTACTGCAGAAAGCTCCCATTTGAACGCCTTGAGTGATGCGAGGAGCAAGGTATTTGGGCCTTTTTGTTTCTCTGCAGTTTATTAGCTCGGGCAGGATTTTGTGAACGCTCTGAGAGGTTACCTTTCTTCCAAACATTTTCCAAGATTTGATGCAGTCGCTTCGAGACCATTTGTTTGTCAAGGACATAGAGGTCATCTATAGCGAGAGATTTCAAGTAACCCCGCTGAAACAAAGGGTTCAGCCACCAAAAGAAAACCTTGTTGAATATACCGGCTGTGGCTTCGGGTGGATATCCTCGGTAGTCATAACGGAGAATGTGCCTTTTCTCCACTGTCTCCAGTAGAAGGAGGAGGAGTTTTGTGACGACCACGACGGACGTAAGGATAGCAATTTTTTCGTCAGTACCTCCAACTTGTCGAAGCCAAAGGGTTCTCGATTTTGCAATGTCGAAGAGCAGAGTAACAAAGAGGTATGTACTGAGAAGGAAAGATGGGGTGGTCGAGAAGCTATGTTCCGCGTAGGAGAGGAGACCGAGGAGGAAAAATCCAATGGTCATGGCCGTATTTACCCCGATAGAGGCATCTGTGCGTTGGGCTGATGAGAGCGTCCATTGTATGGTCAATGCGAGTTGCAGAATTGCTAAAGAACACCAAAAAAACTGCGCAATTGAAGCAACGATGAGTGTTCCTTGTATGATGATGCTAGATGTCCTTTCCAAGGCAAATGAGATTCAGGCTCAGGACTTACGATTTTAGAGTATCCCAGAATTGATGGGACAACCTTGCGAGACCGCTGAAATAGATGCCAAATGCGCCATGGTATAAAGGCTAAACTTATGCCCACAGGCAAAGCACCGAGAATTACCTCTTCGAAGAGAAGGGAGAAATCGAATCCTCCTCGACATGAATCAGGAACAATGTGTAGGGAATTGTCCGCTTGCTGGCAAGAGAAAAATGAGTGACTCGCCATACTGCCACTACAGTATGGAGACGGTTTACGCTTGGTGAGGATATCATGGATCTATAATGGCACCTTATAGTGTAAGCCGTGTCTCAGATAGTTACCTAAATCTCTTGTTGAATCTAAGCATTAATGGAAAGTAATAAACATTGGTATTCTTTATAGTTTAATTATAGAATGGGAGAATCCGCATTATGGAGGACTCCCGACTCCGTACATCCAGCGCGAGCCATGAGCTCGTGTTGGGAGGGACTGATCGATCCCCTTCCTCATGAAGTTAGATGGGATGATAGAGGTACTACTTTGAGACACAAGTGGCAATAATTCGTGACCCCCTCGCATCCTATCCTGAACAAAACAAAATCCCCGGTCAACACGAGTTGTCATTAGGGTTTATTTTCCTGGTCGCTTGAAATTTCCGAACTGCACATTGTTTGCAGTGAATCGGGCCAGGCTGACCTGATCATCAGTGGCAGATTACAGTCTAGAAGTCTTTGCTGTCTTAACTCGGTGATTCCCGTCCAGTTATATTCCATGGAAATGCTGATCTTAACATGGAGGATATATGTTATGGGTCATTGCTTTTTTTTTTTTTTTTTTATTTATTCGGAGTCCTAACTCCTAAGTAGTTTATCGGTACTATTGGAATCATGCTTAAGTGACAACCCGCATCACCCAATTATGAATCCTGGATTGGCAGGTTGTCGAGTCAGGTGAGTTTTTTTCTTTTTTTTTGGGTCAAAACAAGTTTTACGTAACATCGCTGGGAATTACTTCTCTTATCTTCTTCTTTACCTAATTCTTTTCTATTACTTAGGTAGAATCTTTGGAGAGATAGGACATTCTTATCGTTGGGTACCTGTATACTGAACACGCCAAATGCATACCGAGGTAATAAAGAATCCAAAGTAAAAAAAGGACAACCATTGGAACGTCCGTCCGCCTCAAGGTACGTATGTATGTAGGCTCCTTACATCTTACCAGTCACAAAGTTTATGAATACTATTAATAGAGTGAGTACCTTGTACCTCTCTAATAAATACCACTTTGGGTAATGGTACGAGTATCTACGTATTAGTGTGGAGATCTTGATCCGGGTTGATAAGTAGGATTATCACCATCCAAGGCAGGTACCCACCGAGACTAGTGCGACGGCGAGGCTTCGGAACCTAGAGAGAGAGGTGGGCCTCGCCGGGTAGAAAGCTGAGAGTACATACATATATACTCTGTATGTATATATTAAAGTGGCGTTATTGTGCGAACGCCAGCTTTCAAAGTCGGTTAACTCGGCACCAACCCCCCCCCTGTCCGATGTCGTCCAATTTTCAATGTGGTTTCTTCTTTTAGCTCTGCATGTTCTGCCGAATTTATATTTCGATGCGTCGTGATATTAAACATTCGCCCATCGGGGATCATTTTAGTGCTTTTTGCTGCTAGCAGCGGCTTAATTCTGTTAGCGAGGGTTGGTTAGATTGGAAATATCATGGAGCTTATCTCAATCAGGAATAATCCGGCATTATCCAAACCTTAGGGCGCAGTGGGGACTTTTGCAGCTTTGCTTCCTCCAGTGCGGAGATCTGACAGAAATGGAATATGCGGGTGAAAATCGGACTTTTAGTTTTCGACCTCCTTACCGCTCGTGTATCGCTATCGAATTTAGACTTGGGCACTAGCTAATACGATGCAGAAGCGAATAGGTAGATCGGGTTCTTTCTTGGTCGAATCTCTCTTTCTCTTGGGCCATCTTCAGTCGTCCCTCATGATTTACGTAAAAGTGATAAGGCTGAGTCTGGGTCCTGCTGCTTATGCCTTGTCTTCTTACTTGGCAAGTACATCAATACGACCTCAGGCTAAAATCTAACTTGCCATTATCTGGGAGAATTTGAATCGTAAAATCCACAAATTTCGGAAAAATTGAAAGCACGATATGTTAATCCCTCTAGGTACCTACCTAGCTGTCAGGTCTCATGTGTCCCAAGTAGCGTAGTCAATTGGATCTCTTTAGTTTGTTGACTTTGACATTGTCCTTGGCATTTGTGATCAGACACCACCGCCTAAATTTTCAGGAGCACGAACCTTGCAATATTGAATCACCATCATTTTATTCGCAATTGGCTATGATGTTAGGTGACGCTCTGCCTCAACACCCTGAGGTGTAAGAAGGTAATCATCCTCAATCCCTGTACATACTACCTATGTTATATCTGACAATGTCTTACTACCTAACAAGTGCTAAAAATTCAAACTCGTGCGTGGGGACATTTACCAATAGCCAGGGAGGGGCTCTTGCGGCGTGTTCCCTCAGGAACGACAGAGATCCATCGATCCCCCCTGGCCAACTTCTATTCTACCAATTGTCTCCTTTTTATGCTAAGCTCACTAGGATATTTCTCTCCATAAGAAAGTGGGTCCCGACACAATCGCAAAATATTGACAAAACCCAGTTCCTTTCTCTGGGCCTTCGATGATGCATCATCCCATATTGTTCGAGACCGGGTTGAGACCCTCAGGGACTCATATCTTTGGCCCGGAACACTGCAGGAAAGGCTCCTCCATGTATCTTCCCAGACGATTCTTTCTGATTCTGGATGGCAAAATACCAGCTATCTTCGAATTCAGGTCTACCCCTGGCCACTGTGTGCACCAATGTTTCTTCATGTCTTTTAGGAAAACAAAAAAAAAAATATCCACCCAGATCTCCCAATCGGTCAACCCGCTCCACCATGTGGCCTGTTAACTTTCGGCTGGAGACGCGCCCTGAAATTACACTAGACATTAAGCCTGCTTGGATGCACCCACCTGTCTCGGGAATAAGCAAGGGAATGGCGAATACCCTTGGTAGTCTGATGACTGGATTCGATCTTGCTTCGGTGACTGGCTGCTATTGGTCCTCAAGAGGTTCGTGTTGACTCTAGCAATGTTTGTGTGCATTATGAAAGCTTTTCGACGAGAACATTGTGAGAACTTTCCGGCTATTTTTGTCCGCTAGGAGTCAGTCACGATGCGATGGCAATGATGGTCCAATTTAAAGATAGAATGGTGTACCTCTGTGGGCTCTAAGTAACTCCCCCCCCAAAATTCTTCTTCCTGTACAGACGATTTTATTATTCTGGGCAAGACTTGTTTGCAATTGACCCTGAAAATGGCTCAGCATGCACGGTGTTGTCTACCTAGCTTTGGTACCACCTCTAGTGGACCTAAACGCGCTGTTTCAATAAGAGCACGAACAACCCCTATGCAAAACACCAAACTACTTGCCGCATTTGACCAAGGCCAACTAGTTTCGCTGCTCAGAACGGCATGGGGATTGCTGCTGTATCGATACACTGGCCTAGAGGATATCTGTTTTGGCTACCAACATGCCCATGCCTCTAGCAGTGATTTGTTACAGTCTAGAAAGTTGTCAATGTGCAGGCTATCTATCACTGAAAGTGATTCGATACAGTCTGTAAGAAGGAGAGTCGAGGGGAACGATAGCCTTGAGGCTGTTTCTGAAATTTCGGAGGGCTTAAATGCCGATCACAATGGCGATTGGCCATTCAATACCATCCTCATGGTACGGACCTGCTGTGATCGCACCAAAGGTTCCGGAGGAACCTCTGTGCGATCAATGCTAGCAATTAATCTTCCATCGGAGGTATGTTGTGCAAAAAAAAAAAAAAAAAAAAAAAAAACCAAGATTTGACCTCCTGACTTCTTTCAGTGTCGCGTTAGACTCCATGTAAAAGTATTGCAGCAAGAAATTTGCATCTTCCTGGAATGGTGGAATACGGAAATATCTGTAGCGCAAATGGACAGTGTCGCCTGCTACTTTGAGAATCTGTTAAATCACACACTCTCTACCACGGATGTTGTCTTAACGGATTTGAACAGCTTTCTCGGACTTGACTGGTCGCGGATCTGCAAGTTCAACTCCGTCCTCCCAGAGGCGGTCAATCGTTGTATCCACGACGTCATACGAGAACGGTCACTTATCCATCCCCAAAATGAAGCTGTGTGCGCCTGGGATGGAAGCTTTACCTATGGGGAGTTAGATTATCTCTCCAGTAAGCTGGCAAGTCATCTTCAAGCCCAGGGTGTTGGACCGGAAGTCCGCGTGCCCCTTTGTTTTGATAAATCAGTAAGTGCTCTACCGTCTCCATAAAGACTGATGGCAATTTTCGCATGGAGCTTGTCCAGTGTCAAGATGAACCTGTCAAAGATTGTGACTGACTTGTTAGAAATGGTATATCGTGGCGATGCTTGGGGTTCTGAAAGCTGGAGGTGCATTCGTTCCCCTGGATCCGACTCATCCAACATCTCGGTTGCGTTCCTTGGTTCAATCGATCAATGCAAGGATTATGCTTTGTTCTAGAAACAGGGAAGAGCATTTGGGGAATGTTGCAGAGCTCTTAACCCCACTGGATGATATCCTGTTGAATGGGATTCAGCTCTCGCCCGGGGAAGTAATTCAATCGCAAGTAAACAGCAGCAACGCAGCTTACTTGATATTCACATCTGGTTCGACAGGGCAGCCAAAGGTAGATGACCGGATAACAACCCAGTCTTTGTCTGGTCGCTAACGCAACTAGGGTACTTTACTGGAACATGGGGCCTATGTGTCAAGCGCGATGGCGCACGGTCCACCGGTGGACATTGATTCTCAATGTCGGATGTTGCAATTTGCGGCACATACATTTGATGCGAGTCTTTTTGAATCTCTTACACCATTAATTCATGGCGGCTGTGTATGCATCCCCAGTGATAAGCAACGCTTAAACGATATCGTTGGGGCAATCAATCAAATGAAGGTCAACGTGGCCTGCCTTACTCCGTCTTTTGTCAAGTTCGTCGACCCTTCCCAAGTTCCTTCTCTCAAAACTCTCGTCCTTGCTGGGGAAGCAATGTCCAAAACACACCAGGAAACGTGGTCCAATATCAAGCTTGTGAATGGATATGGCCCCACGGAAAGCGCAGTCTCTGCGGCACTTAATACAAACATTCGCTTTGCATCTGATTGTCAAGATATAGGGTTTCCGACTGGAGTGCGTGCCTGGATTGCCAACCCAAATAACCATGATCAACTCGTTCCGGTTGGCAGCCCAGGTGAGTTGCTGCTTGAGGGCCCAACGCTTGCCCGCTGCTACGTGAATAACGAAGAGAAAACAAACGAAGTCTTCATCTATAATCCTGCGTGGTCAAGAGACAATCCTGGCTCCGGTGATCGCAGGTTCTATAAGACTGGAGATTTGGTAAGATATAACTCAGATGCTGGCTCGCTGACATTCATAGGAAGAAAGGATACGCAGATTAAGCTGCACGGCCAGAGAATTGAACTTGGGGAGATCGAGAACAACCTCAGCACACTTCCCAAAGTCAAGCACTCTCTAGCATTTCTGTCAGGTTCCGGGTTCTCCAAAGGCAAAATAGTGGCCGTTTTGTCTTTACAGGGCGGACCATCCTCGAAAGAAATGCCACTCAAACTTCTTGATCATTCCAAAAAGTCTGTTGTTATTGCAGAATTTCGTAGCCAACTCTCTTCGCGGCTTCCAACCTACATGATTCCTTCAGTATGGTTGTGCGTTGAATCCCTGCCATTACTCCCATCCGGTAAATTAAACCGGAAGGAAGTGATGAACTGGGTTATAAATATGGCGGAAGATCCTGATAACGAAGCTGTTGAAGTCCGCTCTGTCGCCGTGGTGCATACTACGGACCCAGAAAACACAATTCATGACCGATTGATGTCAGTATGGAGTCGAGTGCTTAACATTCCCAGAAATCAAATCGGTCTTGATCAGGGATTCTTGAGCTTGGGTGGCGACTCTATTGCTGCGATAACCTGCATGGGCTTTTGTAAAAAGCAAGGAATGGGCGTTACAGTGCAGGATATACTTCAAAGCAAGTCAATCAAAGACCTGGCCACACATGTGAAGGAGATCAATCAACCAGTGGTATATCAGGAAGCAACGGACCAGCCCTTTGGACTCTCGCCAATACAAAAACTCCATTTTATGGCTCGCCGGGAGGGGCAAGGACATTTCAATCAAGGAATTCGTACCCGTCTGAATCAACCAGTGGCGGAGGGCGATCTACGCCGCTCTATTGAAACCCTGATTCGGCGCCATTCCATGCTTCGGGTTCGGCTGAGTGAGGATGATAGTCATGGATTCTTTCAACAGCGTATTACACAAGACGTCGATGGTTCCTATCAATTGCAAACGCACAATATCAGACACGAGTCCGATATTGAACAGGCTATTTCTGAAAGCCAGCTATCCATCAATGCAGTCAATGGGCCTCTTTTATCCGTCGATATTTTCCAGCGGAGTGATGATGCCACTGTCCTATCAATGGTCGCCCATCATCTTGTCGTTGACATTGTGTCATGGCGGATTATACTCGAAGATTTGGAAGATCTCCTCTTAAACGCAGATGACAATACGACTTTAAGCAGCTCCCTTCCTTTTCCAACTTGGTGTCGCTTACAGGACGAACGGACACATGTTTCGCTTTCGCAAAAGAGTACCGATTTGGACAGCATGCTGACTCCAGATTTTGCCTACTGGGGAATGGAAAATCCCATTTCAACGTATGGAGACGTGGTTTGTGAGATATTCGAAGTCAGCGCAGAGGATACTCAATCTATATTACTAGAGTGTCACGACAGCCTTCAAACTGAACCTATTGATATATTGTTGGCAGCACTAATGCATTCATTCGGGCAAACATTCAAAGATCGACCTCTACCAACCATCTTCAACGAGGGTCATGGGAGAGAAGTATGGGACTCGACAATCGATATTTCTCGTACTGTTGGCTGGTTCACCACGGTCTTTCCAATCTCTGTGACAGATTTTGATGCCAGCAACCCCGTGGAGACAGTGATACGTGTCAAAGATGTCCGCAGGAGTGTCCTAGATAATGGCAGGCAGGCCTTTGCGGATCGTATGTTCTCGACTACTGAGTCCGGTGATTGCAGACATCCTTGTCCAATGGAAATCACTTTCAACTATGTTGGCCAGCATCGTGATTTACAACGACAAGACGGTTTGTTCAAGCTCATGGACCAAATGGCCGGAGAGACTGGTCAAGGTGGAGGTGCAGCAGACTTTGGCGAAGAGACCCCACGATTTGGACTTTTCGAAATATCTGCGCTGGCTGTGAATGGTAAACTTCGGTTTACGTTCTCCTTTAATAAATATATGAAACACCAGGAAGCTATTCACGACTGGATATCTTGTTGTAGTGACCTGCTTAAATCCATTGGAAAGACACTTCAGGATCTCTCACCAAGACCAACATTGGGCAGTTTCCCCATGCTTCCATTAACATATCAGGAGCTTGAAAACATGGTGGCCCAAAAGTTACCAAGCATCGGCGTCAGCTGGGCCGATATCGAAGATGCTTATCCTTGCTCACGCATGCAGCAGAGCATCTTACTTGCTCGCTCTCGTGACAGCTCTCTATATGCTGTTCATGATACTTACGAAGTATTCGACTCGGAGCACAAGCCTGACGCTACAAAGTTGGGGAATGCATGGCGAATGGTCGTTTCCCGCCATGCGATGCTGCGTACCTTGTTTGTTGAAAATTTGACCAGTCGTGATTTGTTCTGCCAAATAGTACTTAAGTCGTTTGAGCCATCTCCTATCCATTTGAGATGTTCGGATGATTGTGACGTCCTAGAAACATTTGATATCCAGAAGCGAGAAATTTACAATGAGCATCAACCCCATCATCGCTTGACAATATGCGAAACAACTTCCGGGAAGGTGTTTTTCAGAATTGAACTCAGCCACGCAGCGATGGACGGCGTGTCAATTTCGATCATCTTAAGAGATTTGCAGATGGCTTATGAGGGCAAACTCAACGACCACAAACCAATTTTTAGGAACTACATGCAATATCTACACGACCTCCCTCAGGCTCCTAGCTTTGAATACTGGCGTACATATTTGGCTGATATCAAGCCCTGCATTTTCCCCATACTTGACGATGGAAAGCAAATTCTTCAAAAGCAGCTCCGAACCGTGCAGCTCAGTTTTGGCTCTTTCCGCGAGTTGCAATCTATCTGTGAGCAGAGTGGTTTGACACTGTCAACTGCCTTCAGTGCGGCTTGGGGTCTAACGCTTCGTCTTTTCTGCGGCTCAAACGACGTTTGCTTTAGCTATATGACCTCTCTTAGAGATGCATCGGTTAGGGATATAGAGTCAGTCGTTGGGCCCGTCATCAATCTCTTAGCTTGTCGTATGCAAGTTTCTGAAGATGATTCACTCAAAGGTATACTGCAGAGAGTACAGGACAATTACATGCACAGTCTTCCCCATAAGACATTGTCCCTCATTGACATCCAACATGAGTTGAAACTTTCTGATACTGTATTACTCAATACCGGAGTTTCCTACAGAAAAGTTTCCAATACGGACACCGCATCGACCACAGCTGTGGAATTTTCCAGAGTCGGCACAATCCAAGATCCTGCAGAGTTCCCCCTATTTGTGAATATTGAGGTGTCAGAACAAGACGCAAGTATTGAGCTGAACTATTGGACAAATCATTTGTCTGATAAACAAGCGGAAAACGTTGCTACCATTTTCCTCAAATGCCTAAAGGACATTGTCACGCACCATGACGAGCAAATTGCCCAGGTCGAGAACTTGAGTGAATGGAACAAGCGCCAAATACGAAGATGGAATAAACCACTTGTCGAGGAAATCGACATGTGTGTACATGAAGCTTTCCATGAAAAAGTGGCTGCGCACCCAGATGCTATTGCCATTGCAGCTTGGGATGGGACTCTCACGTATGCCAGCCTTGACGACTTGTCTTCTCGTTTGGCAAGTTATTTGGCACAGCTCGGGATATCCACTGGAGATCTGGTGCCAATTCATTTTAACAAATCAATTTGGCAAATTGTATCTATTATTGCTGTGCTTAAAGCAGGAGGCGTCTGTGTTCCAAGGAACGAGGCCCACTTTCCTGGACATCTGGATGGACGGCTGACTGGCACTGCAGCACACATTGTGCTCGCATCGGTATCCCATGCGGAAGTTCTCGAAGGCGAGATTTTGGGTGTTATTGCTGTGGATGAGAGTCTTTTTGATTGTCTGTCGGGTTCAAGCGCAGCATCTCATACGCAAAGGCCTCCTTCAGATGATGGCTATGTTGTGCTTACTTGCGGCGACTCCCAACCCCCCAAAGCAACTATCTTGGATCACCGAGCCATCCTGTCTCGCGCCAATACTTTTTCTTCTGCTCTAAAGATCGGTTCAGAGACAAGAACGCTACAATTTGCGCCTTACACGACCGACATGTTTCTCCAGGAAGTATTCGGCACTTTGATGAGCGGCGGCTGCCTCTGCATTCCCGAGGGCGATGAGCCAAGTCAACTGGTGGCATCTATCAATAAGCTAGATGTCAACTTGCTTAGCGTCACTCCGTCAATGGCGTCCCTCATTCAACAATCTGACGTTCCAAGCATTCGAATACTTTCCTTATTTGGTGAAGCTATCCCAAACAAAGTCATTGAGATTTGGTCGAACAAGGTGGAACTACACGGTTTTTACGGCACAGCTGAATGCTCCTTCACTTGTATCCATAATCCAAATTTGGACAAAATGGGAAATTCACATGTTATTGGATCAAGTGTTGGATGCCGCTCGTGGCTTGTTGACCCTTCAAACCATTCCCGGCTTGTTCCAGTGGGATGCGTTGGTGAACTGGTGATAGAGGGCCCTGGTGTCTCCCATAGTTATCTATGCGAAGGGGAGCTTGCAAAGAGCAGTTTTATCAAAGAGTCAAGCTGGGGTTCCCACCGGAGTCAGGACTCATATTCACTGCTTTCCAGATCGTCTGGCCGGATGATGAAAACGGGAGACCTAGCCCGTTACAACTCAGATGGAACCTTCGTTTACCTGGGGAAGAAAGGCGATATTTCCCGCCAGCTATCCCAAATCACAACTTTTGAAATCGAACGATTTTTGGAACGTTTTTCACTTCCAGGTCACCGATGTGTTGTGGACACGATTGGCATTGACGATGAAAAGAGCCCTTCAAAATCTCTCGTTGTCTTTGCTCTCCCCGAGACAAACGAGTCAACCAATTTCAAGACAGAAAGAACTCTCATCGGTCAGAAAACGCTTGACTTCCACAATACCATGGCAAAGCTACACTCATATTTGTCGAATCTGATGCCGTCAAGCCAGGTGCCGGATCTGTATTTCCCTATACAAGTTCTCCCGTTGACAACACTGGGTAAATTGAACCGTCGAATGCTAAGAGAGGCAGCTTCAGCCTTACCCGAGGAAACTAGGTGTGGATTTAGTATCAAGGCCTTTGGTGACTTCTGGAGAGCTCAACTAGAGAAGCCGGTGACTTCACATGAGTTTCTCTCAGTACCGCAGGCCTTCGAAGGCCAGAAAAAGATGTACAAGAGCACACAAGTTTCTTGGAACAATGCATGGCTGGAGTCTCAAGCAAGAACTGCTCTTATTTGTGCTTGGGCGTTGACAATCCACAGCTATGCACACTGTGACGACATAATCTTTGGGGATCTGTTGCTGGACGCTGCCGGCGGCTCCACAAAAGATATCCTAGCCTCCGCTACAGTTATTCCCCGGCGCATTCGAGTCGACAATACCTGTACCATTGCTGGATTTCTCAAACAAGTCGATTCTGCGTTGGCCGCAGCTAAGCCTTACCAGAAGGCCCCGTTTCGATGTATTAAGAATCTCGGCGCGGATGCTGCTCAAGCATGCAAATTTAACTCTCTACTCTCGGTTTCGGTCTCGGACTTCGACATAAGCCAGCAGAGCGACTTCCTGGAACAGCTAGAGTCCGATTTGCAAGAACAATGTGGGCTGCATTTGTGCCCTCTCGCACTATTTTGTAGTGTTGAGACGGACGGACTACAGTTGAGGGTTCGCTACGATAACACAGTTTTGTATTCCTCCCAAGCTGAACGCCTGACTTCCCTATTCGTGGAATACTTGGAGATTCTGGCATCTAAAACCGTGTTGCAGGAGAAGCTTTGTGATTTGGCAAAGACGAGTGACAGCCTTCGTGATTTCAAAGACAATGTTGCTTATTGGAAAGAGGGTTTAGCCGAGACCGAGCCCTGCCTATTCCCCTCTTTAAGCACGCGAAAGGGAGAGCAAGGCAAACTTCACATGGAAAGCTTGAAATTGAAAAATGTACCACAGATGCAGCAGGAGTGCAGGGGGCTTGGGGTCACTCCAAACTTTCTCCTCCAGGTTATCTGGGGGTTGGTCTTGCGTTGCTATACCGGGTTGGAGGATGCTTGCTTCGGCTACTATGGGCCAAGGACAAGTTTGGCTGACAATACTGGCCAACCTAAAGTTAAGAATGCGCAGCACGACCTCCTGCCTTGCAAACTTAGCTTGCATGATGAAATGAACCTACAGGATTTGATTGCGAAGAGGCGGATTGAGTTGGACTTGATGTTTAACCACCGAATGCCTCTCCACGAGATCGAGCAAGTTGCTGGGTTTGAGAGTTCTCCGCTTTTCAACACGATCTTCAGGTATACTGAGGAGTTCAATAATGAGGCCTTCTACAGCTTCGAAGAAGCCCTCAGCAGGTATCTCATCATTGTCAACGCCAAAGTTTCTGGGTCTTCTGGAGAAATTGACTTTAAGTATCTCCCGGCAAGCTTGTCATCGAACGATATCGGCAGCATTATGGACTGCTTTGAACATACTCTGGGTTCCGTTCTGACCCTGTTGAAGTCGGATGCTCTACTTAGAGATGTTGACTTCTTTGGTCCCCGATCCTGTCAACAAGTATGCAAATGGAATGCAACTCTTCCCGAGCGACCAAGCAAGTGCGCACACGAGGTGATCCAAGAGCAAGTAGCAAAACAACCCTCCGCACCAGCTATATGTTCCTGGGATGGAGACTTTAGCTACAAGCAACTCGATTTATTGTCAACTAAACTTGCCATTCAATTGATCAACAGCGGGGTAGGCCCCGAAGTTTTTATAGGGCTGTGCTTCGAAAAGTCGGCTTGGGCTGTTATTGCGCAGGTGGCAGTTCTAAAAGCCGGTGGCGCATTTGCATCATTGGACCCTTCTCATCCTGAAAGCCGTCTGAAGGGACTCGTTGATGATATTAACGCCCCTATTGTTTTGTGCTCGAGAAAATATCTTGACAAAGTGTCCCGGGTATGCAAGATTGCCCTTGCCGTCACCGAAAGTGTAATTGAACAGATTCCTGATTCTTTTATCCCGGCCTCGATCCCGAAGCCAAGCATCGACAATGCCGCCTACGCCATTTTCACGTCTGGAACTACAGGAAAGCCAAAGGCGACGGTGCTCGAACATATTGCCCTTGGAATTGCTTCTGTTTCTTTCGCCCATCATCTGTCAATAAATTCAACTACACGTGCCTTGCAGTTTTCAAGTTATACATTTGACGTCAGTGTACTTGAAACCATCATAGTTCTCATGACTGGTGGCTGCGTGTGCGTCCCCAGCGATGAAGAGCGGTTGAATAACCTTGCTGGCGCAATTAACAGGATGAAGGCAAATTTCGTCACCTTCACACCATCTGTTATGAGCACTCTTAACCCAGAAAGTGTTCCAACCTTGAGCATCATTATATGTGGTGGAGAGAAGCTAACGGAAAGCCATGTTAGTCGTTGGGTGGACAGACATGTTTTCAATGCCTACGGCCCTTCAGAGGCTACTATCATCGCAACCGCAAGCTTGAAAACAGATTCAACGGGTGTCAGGATTGATGATGACATTAACTGCATTGGAACTGCACTTTGTGGTCGGGCATGGATTGTTGATCCCAAGAATTACAATCGTCTCCTTCCTGTTGGAGCTGTAGGGGAATTAGTGTTGGAAGGATGCAACACTGCTCGCGGTTACCTTAACAACGACAAGAAAAACCAGGAGGTCTTCATAAAAAACCCTCGATGGTGTCCAAAATCAGGGCTTCGAGATGTTCTTGACCATAGTGAGCGGATGTATCGGACTGGAGACCTTGTTCGATACAAGTCCGATGGAAACCTTTGCTTCATCTCCCGGATGGACACGCAAATCAAGCTCAACGGCCAGCGAATTGAGCTAGAGGAAATTGAGAAACAATGCGCTCTATCATTACCAGGCAATTCTCAAGTAGTTGTTGACATCGTGACACCCGAAACCAAAATGATGGCTAAAGGTTTAGCTGCCTTTTTCACAGTCAACGATGCGAAAGAATCTAAGGATGTTACGACATCTAATGCACTGGTTCCGGGGTCCGAATCTACTCAAAGCACTATTGAGAGACTCTATAGATCCCTGAGTGAAGTTTTGCCGCAGCTTATGATACCCAAGTTCTATTTCCCCATGCGATATCTGCCCTTGGGAGCCACTGGCAAACTTGATCGAAAAGGGCTACAAGCTATGGTCCAGGCACTTTCCAAGACACAGCTGAAGGCATACATGATTTCGAACACTGGCCCGGAACAGGCCGTCGCACAAGGAGTAGAATCAACCCTTAGAAATCTTTGGGCAGAAGTTCTGGACCTCGAGCCCAGTTCCATCAGCGCTGAAGACTCTTTCTTCGGATTAGGGGGAGACTCTTTTTCTGCCATGAAGCTTGTTGGAGCTGCAATGTCTCAGGGAATTTCACTGTCTGTTGCCGATATCTATGGACATCCGGGCTTGTCGGATTTGGGCAAGAGGTGCAATATCGCGAGGGAATCCACAGAAAGACCTGTGCTAAAGCGGTTCAGCCTTTTGTCTACTGATGTACCCTTTGAAAATATTCTGGAAGAAGTTTCTGAGCAGTGCAGTGTGCCTGGAGATTCTATATCGGATATCTATCCCTGCAGCGCGGTGCAGGAAGGACTATTTACACTCTCTATTCAGCACCGGGGGTCCTACATCGCACGTCCCATTTTCCAATTGGCTCCAAACATTGATCTCGAAAGGTTCAAGGCATCTTGGCAACAAGCAGTTGATGAGAATGATATTTTACGGACCCGAATTGTGCACACCGAAGCTGCGGGATTCCTCCAAGCTGTTCTCAACCATGAACGGATCTCTTGGAGTATGGAGACAACATTTGATAACTTGATGGAGGACACTCTTCAGAGCAATGGAGGCTTGTTGACTAACTACGCTATTGTTCAACCCGGCCCTTCAGTGCGCTACTTCGTGTGGGTAATTCACCATGCACTTTATGACGGTTGGAGTATTCCACAGATCCTGAAAAGGGTTGAGGAAATCTACCTTGGTACCGTTGCAGAGAATTCCACAATTCCTTACAATCTCTTCATCAACTATCTGCTGGAGCAAGACCCTTCTCAATCAGACGAATTTTGGAAATTACAGCTTTCCAACCTTTCCTCCGTTCCATTCCCGGAGAGCAAAAATTCTGACTCTGGATCTATCCGCGTGGGAAACAGACAAAGCCGCAGTATGAATATTGCACGGGCGACTGGAAGCGTTGATATTACTATCCCTGAGCTAATTCGTGCAGCTTGGTCAATCGTGGTTTCTATCCATACTGGCTGTGGAGATGTCTGCTTTGGGGAAACTCTCATGGGCCGAAATGTTGATATGCCTGGTATCACAGATGTGGCTGGACCGGCACTAACAACAGTACCCATGCGTTTGAAGGTGGACAACGGACTCCAAATACCTCAATTTCTGTATTATGTGCGCCAATTAACAGCGGCGATGATACCACACCAGCATTCCGGACTCCAGAGGATCCAGAAACTCAGCAGTGACACAGCTCTCGCTTGTGAATTCCAGAATCTACTTGTGATCCAGTCCGATTATGGCCAGCTTAACAACGATATCTGGGCACCGGAAAACAACCAGACAAATGGAGAGTTCTTTACCTACCCACTTGTTGTCGAGTGCAAGGTTTCCGAATACGAATTGACCATCCAGGCCCATCACGATGAGCTTATCCTTGGCAGCTGGCAAGTAGAAAGACTACTGGGACAGTTCAGCTTTGTACTCGAACAGCTCCTCAATACCCCGAAGGGTAGTTCGATGAAGGTTGGAGAGATTGATGTGTCAAGCCCTCTGGATAAGGCCGATATTGCTTCATGGAATCAGAGAAATCCTACTTGTGTGGACAGATGTGCTCACGACATTATCAGGGAGCAATCTTTAACGCAACCAAATGCACCAGCTATTTGTTCCTGGGATGGGCAGCTAACTTATGAGGAGATGTTCAGTCTGGCTTCTTCTTTTGCTGCCTATCTCGTATCCTGCGGGATTGGCCCCGAAACCCTCATTCCAGTTTGTTTAGACAAATCCGTCTGGGCTGTAGTCACTATACTTGCTATTTTGATTGCTGGTGGAGCTTTCGTTCCACTTGACCCCTCTCATCCAACATCGAGGCACAAGGAGGTCCTGGCGGAGACTCAGGCTAATATGATCATTTGTTCTCCCCAGTACCGCGGTCGCTATCTGGGCTCTGTGAGCACGGTTATTCCGGTAAGCAAGGATACCATCAAAGCTTACAAGGAAATTAAGACAATTACGAAGCCCCGTGTTTCTGCTACCCCGTCAAACATGGCCTATGCGATTTTCACCTCTGGCAGTACAGGACGTGCAAAAGGCATTATTATCGACCACCGCGCGATTTCAAGTAGTGTCATGGCTTTTGGTCCTATTGTGCATTTGAATAAAGACGCTAGAGCTCTCCAATTTGCATCACTTACCTTTGATGCAGCAATCATGGAAGTGCTCGGTACTTTAATGCTTGGAGGATGTATCTGCATTCCCAACGAAGAGGAGCGCTTGAATGATATTGCAGGTGCTATGCAGCGCATGAACGTCACATGGGCATTCCTCACGCCTTCAATCGCTGCTATCCTTGACCCGTCGAGTCTGCCTTCCCTGAAGGTTCTTTCATGTGGTGGAGAGAAGCTAACAAGGGAAGTGGTAACCAAATGGGCTCACCGTGTGAAGCTGATCAATGGATACGGTCCTACAGAGACAACCATTTTTGCTGTCTTGAATACCGACTTTATCAATCATGAGTTCTCTTGCATTGGTCATGGAATTCGAAGCACACTAACCTGGGTTGTTGACCCGGATAATCACGATAGACTTACTCCTCTAGGTGCTGTTGGGGAACTTGCACTTGAAGGCGCAGCTCTTGCAAGGGAATACCTCAGAAATCCTACCAAAACAGCAGAGGCCTTTATTACCGATCCTGTCTGGATGAAGAACTTCCAGAGCCCTTTACCTTCACCCCGAAGGGTTTACAAGACAGGTGACCTTGTTAAGTACAACCCTGATGGATCAATAGAATGCCTAGGTCGAAAGGATCACCAGATCAAACTTCATGGACAACGAATGGAGCTCGGTGAGATTGAGCATCGTCTCTATGAAGACCAGCGGATTCGACATGCGGTTGTCGTGTTACCACAGAAAGGTCCTCTCCGTCACAAGCTGGTTGCTGTTCTTTCCTTGAACTCGCTGATATCGGGCTCAAGTATCATCGCGAGCGGTGCATGTGAGCTTGTCAGCCAGATGGACATGATAAAGCTAGGACGCCCAGAAACCAGTGCCATTCAAAATAGTTTGGAAAGACAGCTACCTATCTACATGGTTCCGCAGGTCTGGGCGGTCATGAAAAACATCCCAATGCTTGTCTCTGGCAAACTAGACAGAAAGAGAATCACACACTGGGTCGAGGAGCTTGCAGAGGATTCTTATGCCCATATAATGCAGGACTACGATAACTTGAAAGGCGAAGATATCGAACAAGAAAAGAAAGATGAGAAAGGAGCCGTGCTGGAAATTCTCCGGGATGTCTTTGCCCAGGTTCTCAACCTACCTAAACATATGATCGACCCGAACCGGTCTTTCATCAACCAGGGTGGAGACAGTATTACCGGAATGGCTGTCATAGCAAAAGCGCGCAAACAAGGATTAAGTCTGGCTCTCAATCGCGTCCTCCAGAGTAAATCCATGCACGAGCTTGTTGCATACTGTGATGGAAAGCCTCGAGAAATGAAGCGTGAAACCGAGTCGATCGCCCCATTCAACCCTTCTCCAGTCCAGGAATTATTCTTCCGTTGTGTTCAGGCAGCTCCTAAGGGTTGTAGACGTTTCAATCAAAGCATGACTGTTGGCTTATCTCGAAAAGTGAAACCAAGGGTGATCGAGGACGCTGTTCGTGCTGTTGTTAACAAACATTCGATGTTCAGAGCACGATTCAGCAAGGCTCGGGATGGAACATGGCAGCAAAGAATTACAGAGGTAAGCATTAGAATTCATTGTTCAAGGACACCAAATTAATTGTACTGCTGCAGGATATCGATTCGTCTTACAAATTCCGCATTCACTCGGTCAAGAATAATCGGGAGATCCTGCGTCATGCTGCAGACAGTCAAGGCATCCTGGATATTCAAGCGGGGCCCATATTTGCGACAGACTTGTTTGAGTTCATAGACGGACATCAAGTACTTTTCCTTGTAGCCAGTCACCTTTGTGTCGACATGGTATCGTGGCGTCTTGTTCTGCAGGATATTCAGGAGTTTGTTGACACTGGCTCACTGGCTCCTGAAACGCCGCTCTCATTCCAATCCTGGTGTAATTTACAGGCTGAGGATTGCAACAAGGAGATTGATGGTTTGGATATTTCTATGGAGCCACCTAATCTCGACTACTGGGGAATGAAAAATTCCCCTAACAATTATGGAGATGTCAAGATGGAAACTTTCACGCTGAGCGAGCAAGCCACTCGATTCCTCGTTCGCGACTGTCACGACGTTCTTCGGACAGAAACCATTGAGGTTCTGCTTTCTGCTGTGATCCAGGCCTTTGGCCATGTGTTCAACGATAGAGATATTCCAACCATATACAATGAGGGCCATGGACGTGAGGCCTGGGATTCTTCTATCGACCCTTCAAGAACGGCTGGGTGGTTCACTACATTGTGCCCTCTACATATCAAAGCGCTACCAGGTGAGACACATTGTGGTACCTATCATAACAACAATCTCTCTGACTCAGATTCAGATCTCCTTGATACATTGAAGCGTGTTAAGGACTCTCGACGCCAAATCGCTGGAATCAATCGAGCTTTATTCGCTCGAAATATCCTTCATTCCGATAAAAATACGGAGGCTGACAAGTTCCCCGTACCTCTCGAGATACTTTTCAACTATCTTGGACAGCTTCAGCAGTTAGAAGGAAATGAGTCGCTTTTCCAGCACTATGGAGATGTCTTTAATGCCGAAACCTTCGAGCTTGCTGGGGACATGGGACCAGAAACACCTCGGTTCGCCCTATTTGAAGTGTCCGCCCTCATCGTGAAAGAGAAACTCCACGTCTCATTCACTTACAACCGCAATATGCGGCGCGAGGCGCAGATCCAAAAATGGGCCTCTGAGTGTAAACGAATTCTTGAAATCGACTTGCTCCAATTCAAGAATTTAGAGCCTGAGCCTAGTCTAAGTGACTATCCTTTGCTTCCGATTACTTACCAAGGGTTGAAGAATTTAACAGAGAGCACGCTTCCGTGTGCTGGAATATCGCGTCTGAACCAAGTGGAAGATATCTATCCCTGCTCTCCGGTGCAGGAAGGGATCTTGCTCAGTCAACTGAAGGACCCCCAGGAGTATATTTTTAATGCAGTCTTTGAAGTCCAAGGGCATGACATAGATCTGGCCAGGCTCCAAAAAGCGTGGTCAGCGGTCGTTTCTCGCCACTCAATTCTAAGAACACTTTTCGTGGACAGCAACTGCAAAGGAAGCTCGTTTGACCAAGTGGTAGTCAAGGATATCAACGAGAAAATAATCGATGTCGAGTTTGATGATTCATCCGCGCTGGCCAAGATTGACACTATCAGACTTAAAGATGCTAATGCAGGCAAGGATTCTGATTTCTGTCATCAATTGGTCATCTGCAAAACATCTACCAGACGTGTCCTGCTAAAGATTGAAATGAATCACGCTATCATCGATGGGGGATCAATTGACATTCTTCTGAGAGATTTGAAACTAGCCTACAGCAATCGACTTCCTCCAGGTCGGGGACCCTTATTCAGCGAATATATCAGACACATCAAGGGCGTGTCTCAACATGAGGCTCTGGCATATTGGAAACAACATCTAGCGGGTGTCCGGCCGTGTCATCTCCCCGTTTCCACGGGAGAAAGCGGTACTCGTCAGCTTGGGTCCCTCATGATGACATTTGACCGTTTCCCCGAACTCCAGCGTTTCTGTGAAGATCACTCGATGACACTTGCCAACTTAACTCTTGCCGCATGGTCAATTGTGCTTCGACAGCACGCTGGATCAGACGATGTCTGCTTTGGTTACCCGTCCACGGGACGTGATTCACCAGTTCCCGGAATCCAAGATGCAGTGGGTATTTTTATAAACATGCTATGCTGCAGAGTCCAATTCTCGGCCGGTCAGACCTTCCTTGATGTCATTAAAGCAGTGCAAAATGACTACATCCAGGGCCTTCCTTATCAAACCTGCTCACTTGCACAAATTCAACACGCACTTGGCCAAAAAGGAAAGACGCTATTCAACACAACCATCTCAATTCAAAATCACTCGGATCCTAGTATTGAGAAAACGAACATATCATTTAAGTTCCTGAAGGCGTTTGATCCAACCGAGGTAAGCGCTATAACTGAAAATCTAATGACCGTAAAGGAACTAATGTGGTTGGTATCAGTATCCCATCACAGTCAATGTTGAAACCGCTCGGGGTCGAGAAGGCATCTTATTGAGATATTGGACAAATTGTGTGTCTGAGGGCGAGGCGACTACCTTGGCAGATTCTATCGCTAAGGTTTTCACTTGCTTTATTGAGGACCCATCCAAGCCAATTTCAGAACTGTGTCTCTCTGAAAAGGAATCGCTAAGGCGTTCCCCAAGATTCCAAGAGACTGCTTGTGCTGCAGAGACCCCCCCAATCCCTATGCGAACAGTAGACAATGGCTCCCTAGAAGAGATCATTGATAACCGCATCAAGGTTGTCATTAACCAGTTGTTGAAAGAAGGAAAACTTGCTATCCCATCTGTTAAAGCCAGCGACTCAAATTCTTCCCATGCGTCCCTACCTCTTGAGGGTGGGATTCAAGCCTCAATTTGCAACGTGGTTGTTGCTAGAGGAATGACCCCTTCCGATTCCGCACAAACCCTTACCGACGACTACAAGATTCCAGCTGATATGGAAAGACGACTTTGGAGACTTTGGAGCATCACACTTGGGCTCCCGCCGAACCCAGTGAAGCACCACGATAGCTTCTTTAAGCTGGGCGGAGATAGCATAACAGCCATGAAATTGGTTGGTCTTGCGCGAGAAGAGGGAGTAATGTTGACTGTGGCCGATGTGTTCAAAAACCCTGGGTTTGAGGACTTGCTACTCGTCTTCAACGAAAAGGCTAAACTAACGACCTCTGTGTCTGATGCGCAGAAAGTGAATCACATAGCAAAGTCTGAAGAAACAAAGCCTACTCTACCGGAGAGCGGGTCTTCTCGGGAGATCTCGATACTGCAGCCAGTAGAGCTCGATAATATGTCGCTACGAGCTGCAATATGCCCCAAAGTTGGTGTTTTCAAAGGGGGCATTGTTGATGTTCTTCCAGTAACTGATTTTCAATCCCTATCTATTACCGCAACCATGTTTGAATCAAGATGGATGCTAAACTACTTCTATCTCGATGGGAGGGGATCGTTGGATATCAAGCGCCTAAGAGAGAGCTTTTTGCGTGTGGTTGATGCTTTTGACATCCTTCGCACTGTGTTCGTTTGTTTCCATGGGCAATTCTTCCAGGTAGTGTTGCGCAAGATTCGGCCGGATATTTTCATCTACGAAACTGAAAAGAGCCTGGATGAGTATACTGCATCTCTCCAGCAGCGAGACCGGGATCAAAGTCCAAGGCAAGGAGAACAATATACGCAGTTTTACGTCGTAAAAAAGAGGAACAGTGATGAGCATCGCATACTCATCCGCATGTCCCATGCACAATTTGATGGAGTTTGCCTTCCAAGAATCATGACTGCCATCAAGATGGCATATGAGGGAAGCCCAGTTCCAGGCGCTTCGTCGTTCATGAACTATATGCGACTACTGCCAGGCACAATCACTCCAGAACACTACCAGCACTGGACCTCGCTGCTCAAAGGTTCTCAGATGACTGAAATTATTCAGCGAGACACCCCTAATTCCTTCCAGCACATAGGAGGCTTTGCGCAGCAGAGGCGAGTTATCGATGTTCCATCCACGGCAATAGGTGATGTTACCATCGCAACAATCATGCAGTCAGCATGGGCAACAACTCTCGCAAAGCTATCGGCTCAGGACGACGTTGTGTTCGGGCTCACAGTGAATGGCAGGAATGCTACCATACCAGGAGTCGAAAACACAATTGGACCATGCCTTAATATCATCCCGGTTCGGGTCAAATTCAGAGACCAATGGACAGCGCTGGATCTCTTCCGCTATCTCCAAGATCAACATGTCGCAAACATGCCTTACGAGTCCTTAGGGTTCAGGGAAATCATTAGACGCTGCACCGACTGGCCCGATTCAACACACTTTACAACATCTGTGTTCCATCAGAACGTCGAATACGAAGGCCATATGCAACTCGATAGAAACAACTATACAATGAGCGGTGTTGGGGTGACTGACAACTTCACGGATCTTACCCTCGTTTCTAAGCCGGTCGCCGGCCAACCCAACAAGCTCACCGTTTCCTTAGGATACTCACTCAAAGGGCCTATCCATACTGATTTTGCTATCAACGTTCTTGACATGGTCTGCGAAACTTTGCAGAGCCTAGTCTCAAACCCCAACGTTGCCTTGCCGTCCCCCTCCACGCTTCGTTCCATTCCTTCCCAAGTTATAGGGGACGCCTCTAGCACGCTTTGCAGCAACAACGACAACAACAACAACAATCCCCTCCCCGCTTCTTTAAACAATCGCAGTCTCTCTGAAATCCTCACTCATTCCTCCCTCATAACCCAAATCTGGCAGCAAGTCCTCCCTCCCAAACCAAGCACCGGCAAACCCCATGCCTCCTTCCAACTCGATTCATCCTTCTTCCAACTTGGAGGAGACATCGTGAACATGGGACAGGTCGTCTGGCTCTTGGAGCAAGAAACCACTCTTCATATTCCTCTTGAGCATCTTCTACAACAGCCGACATTCCTAGGCCAAATGGCCGTTCTGGCCATGCATACCGCAACACACGAAATGAATCTCAATCTTCCTGCTTCTGCTTCTGCTTCTGCTCCTGCTCCTGCTCCTGCTCTTGCTCTTGCTCCCGCTGTACCGGGTCCTACTACGCCTACGGAACGTGAAATGTCCTCTCTTCCCCCTGTGCAGGGCGGCGGCGGCGGCGAGCAATGGAGCGCGCTAGCGAAAGCCAGGACTTTGGCTAAGAGGATTACGAGGTTTGGAGGCTCTACCAGGGCTTAACCACCACCACAACCACTACTACTACTATTACTACTTTCCTTTTCCTTTCGGATATTGAGATATATATATATATTGGACTTTAATTATACACTCATTTTGATGTACATTGTTTTGTTTTGTATTTAGATACGGATAGCAGTCACTCACTCACCCACTCACTTGCTTTTATTTTTTTTTTTTGTATGCATATATATATATAAATATTCAGGCACTGTTTCGTATCATCATACTAATATAATATTAACTATCGAGCATGTGCGCATGAGAAACATCTGGTAATCTATATATAATATCTATCCATGCAATAGAATTAAAACGGGCGGGGAGCCGTTAGTGAGGATAACAAGAAGCCCTCGACCACTTCCCTCTCGCTCTGATCCTCGGCCCATAGATGTAGAACAAGTAAGGGATCGGAATAAGCGCAACGGCAATAAACCCGAGCACGCTCGAGGCCCACGGCACACCGAGGTTGCGGAACATGGCGGTGGCAAAGAGCGGGAAACAACCGGCAAAGATACTGCGGAGAAAGGTATTGGCTGCGACGGCGGACGCAGCAACGGCCTGGAAGGTATCGATGAGGTAGTTCAGGGCGGCCTGGAAGATGGTGAAAAACCCCAAGCCCGTGAGCACGGCTCCAACCAGGGAGGCAATCCAGTGGATTTGCCTCTGGCCGGTCCAGCCGAAGAGGAACAAGCCTCCGGCGAAGAAGATCGAGCCGAGCATCATGGGCGGCAGGCGGGCTTCGGGGACGGGGAAGTTGTTGTTTGCTTTGAAGCGTTTGATGTAGAATCTCTGGTTTGCGAGGTTGATGGCGGCGCCGAAGAGGATGCCGACGAGGTATGCGAGGAACGGGAGGGCGCCGACGACTTGGTTCCAACCGCGGACTTCTTGGAAGACGACGGGGAAGGAGGCGAGGGAGAGGTAGAGGATGCCGTAGACGAAGGACGCGTAGATGGCGACGAGGAAGCAGATCGGGGTGGCGAGAAGAGCAAAGGGGCGGATCAGGTATTTGTTGCCGAGTTCTTTGAAGGTGACGTCCCATTCTTCGTGGCGGGCGTGAAGAGCCCAGTTGCCCGTTTCATAGCGCAGGCGTTGGGCTTTGTACACGAGGAGGACGGGAGGGTAGCTTTCGTCGACGAAGACGATATCGAGGACCAAGAACAACATCATCATTATACCGGTGATCTATACCCCATTTAGTATCAGTTAATAAAAAAAAAAACCTCGCGAGGTTATTGGTGGGTTGGGAAATGGAATGAGAGGCAAAGAACGGACGTATTGTGTCCACCGCCAGCCGAGATAGCTTTCTGAAATTGCGCCTCCGACTATAGGGCCCAGAACTGGTCCTCCAACCACCGCCATGGCGTATCCGACAATAGCGGCGCCTCGCTGCTCGGGTGTCCAGAGATCGCCCAGCACGCCGCCGGTGTTGGTGACGGGGGCAGAGCCGAAGAAGCCAGTAAAGAATCGAGTGATCATTAGGGTTTGCAGGTCTTTGGATGTTGCGCTACCAAAGGAGAAGATCGCTGCAATAAAGTAGGGTGCTAGCACGGCGGGTTTGCGTCCGTAGACTTCGGAGAGAGGAGCCCAGACTAGAGGCCCCAGCCCTATTGTTGTTGTGTCAGCGCTGCTTCTGTTCGTTAAAACTTGTCGTAGTGCATGCAACTTACCAAATCCAAACAGCAGTAATGTTGTTCCTAGGGTACTGACTTCGTCACTTACTCTGAATTCAGAGCTGATATGAGTAGTACCAGTCGAGTAGCTATCATACTGTTAGTACGCTCTAGGCGCGTTAGAGGTCGGTTCATGTCTTACATAGCACTTGCCCAGGTTGCGCCTATTCCCCAATAACAGTTAACGGTATGGTCTTGCGCATGGCCAAGGGGGGGGGGGGGGGGGGAGCAACATACCCATTGTCGTTAACCCATATAACACCGTGGTGATCGCCTTCTTCCTAAACGACCAATTCATCGGGCGATAAGGATCGTCCGGTCCCTCAAAGTCGACAATTACATCCTCGGCGGTCTTGGTATGCGAAAGCGGATGTGTAAATCGAGCAGTTTGTCCTGGTTCTCGACTACGAATTCTTGAAATAATAGATTGCGCACGCTGTTCAAACACCGACAAGCCTGAAGCAGCAGTGGTTTGTTTCTCCAAGGCTCCTACGTCTTGGTTGCGCTCCTCCAGGGAGTCAATATCGGAGGAGGTGTGGGAAGCGATCTCGTCATCTCTCGCCATGATTTCTTCCGTGCAAGAAGGGAATCGCGTATAGTAGGTGGTCGACTTAATTGACAATCCACACAGTGAACGAAACAATGCAAAAAAAGTTCTGTTGTGAGGTGCCAAACTCCAACGGGACGGAAAAGAATTCGGGCTCAGACGTCACCGAGGAGAAGACAGGCCAATTCTGGGCGTACCGAACATTAAGTAGCCTCTACTCCGGTAGGCTTTGGCACACAGGAACTATAAGTAGCTTGACTAGCCCAATTATATTTTTCCCCTGCCAATTTAGTTAACCCCGAGGCCGAAGAGGGCTTTGAAAGCCGTCTTAACCGGGCCATGACTGTAGAATGTCGGGTATCCGATAGCACAGACCATTCAATTCGCTGCGGCAAACGTTGGTGGAGTCTCCATCCTGCCCTGAATGGATGACTAGTGATACATCCCAATATCAATAATCAGATAATAGAGGTGCATAGAGTAGGCCAGACCCTCTGGAAGAAAGAGAGAAGTCTGAATCAAGAGGCAGAAGTGTATGAGGCAAAAAGCGCCGGAATCTTATCCAGTGCGATTTGAAGACAGAGAAGGTGGACGGTCGCCACCATCGGAAGCATCCGTGGGTGGAGCTACCGGAGGTTGTTTTAGTGCCAATAATGCTTGTCCAAGACGCAGGTCGCATTTATCAAGGTACTCTGTATGACAGTATGTAGAGAGAGGGATAAAAAGATCGCATGATGATGAGTGAAGGTTCAATTTGAAATAACGATGCGGTTGAAAGGAGAGCAATGAGTGAGGGATTTGGGTCTGAAAGAAAAGACAGGGCATGTGCACGTGAGGTGACAACCGCACGCTCTGCATTACTAGCTGCAGATACATATATTTTCAATCCTCTACAGGAGTATTCCGTACAGTATATATATATAGTCCATACAAAAAAAAAGAGATATCCAATGCTAATTAAATAACACCTTCATAGATCAAGATAAAAAAAGATTGACCGACGCAGGGATCGAACCTGCAATCTCTTGATTCGTAGTCAAGCGCCTTGCCATTGGGCCAGCCGGCCTTGTGGTTGCGGGTTGTTGACCTATTCAACATCATAGACCAATTTTTAATTTCAGCTCCAATTTGGCTGTGGCCAGTCCCCACTAACTACTGACTGGTTAGTATTTGCTTCGGTTTCGGATACATCCGATGACGACCCGTTCTAGGTTCTGATGATCATTCAGAATGAGTCAAAAGGTACACTAAATGCTGTCATCTCATGCGGAAATATATCCTGGCGGACGGCTTGAGTTGGGTTTTCTGACCGTAACTTGAACCTGGTTAGCGGACACTCCCCGAACAAGTATTTAGATCCGATACTGAAGCCAAAGCCCAAGTATTGCACAAGAGACGTACTAACTAGAGAGGAGCGAATCAGTTTACCCTAAGCTGATAATCATGAACTTCTTTTACCTTCATGTATATAGCTAATGATAGCCTAGAGTCAAGGAAATACCCTCTAAAAGTCCTTGCACTATCCGTCCAATGCTCATGGCCGTCTATCAAGAAGCAACCGTAAATACAAAAAAAAAAAAAAAAAAAAAAAAAAAAAAAAAACATTACACATACATGATCATGCATCATTCATCATGTCACGTCACATCGCTTGATATCTCACCCTAGAGTTGTGGAATGGGTGCTTTCCCATTTCTCCACAGCCTCTAGTGCAGCAGTGACTTTCAGTCCGACACGTGCGTCTAACTCGTAGCTCTCCCATTGAGCAGCTTTAACCAGATACTCTTTGCACTCACGGACTAGTTCTTTTTCTGTCCTGTAGTTGGATTTCGCCGAATTTTCCTCCTTCAAGGAGGAAGAGGAGGTGGTGGTGGTGGTGGCCGCGTTGGACGACAACGAAGACGGCGCTGGAGCTCCATGCGTGGCTATATATGTCGGGCGCTCCATCCAGAGATTCGCCGCCATTTCATAGTAGGCAACCGGATAAACCCAATCATCCTTGAGGTGGCCCTTGAATGTTGTACGGTCCTGACTGAAAACGCCGGCCTGGAGGATTTTCTTGGCCTCTGTATGACGACGCATGGAACGCAATACGGCCGCACGCAAAAGCTGCAGAATCGCTTTTTCCTCTGCGCCTTCACGGTATTTCATCTTGTTCGCGTCGCTTTCGAACCATGCAAGCTTGGCGAGTGATTGTTCGAGATGCTCCTGTGTCATTCGGCTATGGCCGTTCCAGAAAAAAATCATCTCCTCAATGGGGTCTACCCCGACTGCGTCGACAAGGGGGACTTTCCATTCTTTTGCTCGTGCCTCCCACTTGGCGATCTTGCGGGTGACGAAGACGTCGAAGGGGAGCTGTCGTGCCATAAATCGTTTCTTTCCGGCGAACTGGGGCGCTTTTTGCAAATACTCCTTTGCCTTTTCTGCGTGTGCCGCGGCCTTGGCTTGATCTTTACCAGCGAAATCTCTGTATAAGCTGATATGCGAAGACCCAGCAATATAGTAGTATAGGGAGCGCGACCAGGAATTCAAGTTGGCACACTATAATCATCAGTTTTTCTTAAAAAAAAAAAAAGGAAGGAAGGGAGGCAAACCTCAACGAAAGAGGTAGCGCATAGTTCGTATCTGTGGAGATACATTGCGTTCAAACTCTTCTCAAACACTTTCAACGCTTCGACCTGCTTGAGCGGACTGTGATCATTACCACACAGAAGACTCAACGCCACATCAAGCTTCTTGTTGGCCCCGTTCATTCTGGATTCCTCTAGGAGCCAAAGTTGACTCTTAGGGAACCGTTCTCGCATTTGGGCTAAGAGAGACTCGAGCCTCTCTCGAGGGTAGCCTTGAATATCCCCGTTCTCCCCGGGTATGATGTCCGGCATGATATCACAGTAGCGAACGAAAGCGTTGTAGTAACCAAGGAGGGCGAATGCAGCAATAGCACCAGTTAGGTTGTGGAATTTACTAGCCTGCCAGAGCATTCTTAGAGCACGTTCCTTATCGCCATGAAATCCGATGATACCCAGTAGTTTGCTAAAGGCCGGGGGGACCATTGAAATGAGGAGCAGTAGAATTCCGAAACAGAAATTGGCTCCAGAATGCACAAAAACATCGACTGTGTTCTTGAAAATGTCTGAATCGGGGTCGTGAGTGAGTAGATATGCTGCGTTAGCATCCCCTGGTTTTTCTGCGGCGGTAGAATCGTTGTTGATATTTAGATTGGACAGATCGCCGGACAACTCTGCTGAACCAACAAGCGCGCCCAATTTAGCTGTCGCTTCTGCTCCCGATCCATGACTCAAGGACGGTGCTAGGACAGGTGACGTTGGTTCAGACCTTCTCTTTTGCATGAACTTCTGCTCCATTTTCAAAATTGCGTCCAGCGCTAGATAGGCCTTTCTCATCTTATAGAACCCTTTTATACTCTCTGTAAGACTTTCGTTTAGGACACCAATGACAGCGCCCATCAGTTGGGCCATTGCTTGGCAGAGAACAAACTCGGTCCCTGGCGCGTAGATTTCCGAGTGATAGGAATTTGGCATATGGGAATTATGTTTTGCCCGCTGTTGATCGCTTATGGCTCTCGTTTCCGCCTCGTTGAGTCGATCCGACGCTGCGAGAGATGAGTGAACTGCCAAACCGCTCCAAGATAGAGCAATCACAAACCTTGGCGCATAATTTCCTGTTCAAACCCGAGTGTTGCCCGAATAAATGCAACCACGCCTCTTCCAAGCTGCAAAGAGCGTCAGTACCAAGTGAGGGAGAGAGTTATCGATCCAATTAAAAAACCAAAAGGGAATGCACACAAGATGGAAAGCAGATATCCGTCCAGAAAGGCCATTTTCTGCACCATCAACGTCATCGTTGAGGATCAATTCCGCAGCTGTTTCACAGAGCAAGAAAAGGGTAGGGTTAGTATGTGTCATTACTATACGCGGATCCCGGTCGTGAAGAACCCGCAGTAGTAGGAGTAGTAGATATCAACATATATTACCTCTCATGGCATCGTCCACTTTAGTGCCAACCAGAAATAGTTAGCATATTGATTCCCAGATAGTCGGAAGGATAGAAAAGCCAAAAAAGACGACGTACGATCTTGTAACTCGGATAAGGAGTCCAGCGACTGAGTCGAGGCATTGGCACCTGGCTTCTTGCCAGAGAGCCATGAGCCTACTCCGAACATGATGCGGATCGCAGAGTGAGAGCGACCACAAAGGGGTCAAAAAAAAAAACTCGAAAACCCCAGAAAAAAAAAGAAGAGAAAAAAAAAAAATAGAGAGAGAGAGGGAAGAAAAAGAGAAGCAGTTCAAGGTTCGAGAAATTGAGTCTATTAGAGCGAGTGAGCCGGAGGGACCGAACCCCGAAAGACGAACCGAACGGAATGATATTGGCCGGGAACGTGTGGGATTTCCGGGAGCAGTGAAGAAGATTGAAATAGAAGCGACAACAAGAGGCGGATGAGAGATTAAAGGGACTTTGAAGTAGTTAAATAATAATTATGTTTGTTAGTGAGAGTCATGATTAGAATTCCGGGAGCATCTATCTAGCCGTGTCCACCAGGAGGCGGAGTAGTAGACTGACCTCCTGTGATAAGAATTGGAATTCAAAGCCAGGGAATTCAGTTCAAATAAATATTATTATAAGAAGAAGAAGAAGAAGAAGAAGAAGAAGAAGAAGAAGAAGAAGAAGAAGAAGAATAATAATAATAATAGTTGGGGCGAATCCTTTAGGATTGATTGTTCTTGAGGCTCGAAAATTGGTTGAGAGGCGGAGAGAGAGAGAGAGACAGACAGACGCTGACTGTGTTCCGTCATCTCCAAAGCCTTCTTTCTTCTTCTTCTTCTTCTTCTCCTCCTCCCTCTCCCAAGTCTCTCCCTCACACACTACGACGACCATTAATACCTTCTACTTACTTATCTCCTGCTCCCCAACTCTCAAATCCTATCGTATCCCGAGTCCTCCTCCACAGAGCTACTACCCCCCTCCACCGCTCATCATGTCCAATTCCACCCCAGCCCAAGACAACAGCAACAACAAGGCTGAAGCTTCGCAACAGCCCCAACAACAAAAGCCCACCGTGCTAGAGGAGGATGACGAATTTGAGGATTTCCCTGTTGATGGTCAGGCAACCGTTTATCCTACTCTAACCCTACCCTTAGTTCCCCCCCCCCCCCCACCTCGGACTGGATTTCTGTTGCCTGAATCCCGAATCCTGCACCCTTGTTTTATCTCTATCTTCGTGCAAGACAGTAGCACTAACAATGAGAATTCGAAACCAAAAACAGACTGGACCCAAGAAGAAACCGAGCAAGCGTCTGGATCGGCCGCCAACGGGAACAATGTGCATTTGTGGGAAGAGAGCTGGGACGATGATGATGCCGCTGAGGATTTCTCAAAGCAGTTAAAGTACGTTCTCAGTCTTCTTCTTCTTCCTCCTCCTTTCTACACTATTGGGAAAATCATCGCTCACCGGGGGGGGGGTTTTTTTTTTTTTTCTTGAGCAGAGAGGAACTCAAAAAAGTCGAAGCTTCCCACTAATACCTACCTCCCTACTTATCTCCGAAATACCATAAAATACCCACTCGAAATCACAATACAATACTTAATATCCCGGTTCACATTCATCTCTAAACAATCAAGCAAAGCAAGCAAAGCAATCAGTAATCGGTGAATGGAAGAGAATATACACATACCCTGATACTACGCGTACAGAGACAACGGCCCAAGAGAGAGAGACGGATAAGCGCGATGCCACTCCCATGCTAGATTTCCATCTACGTCTACATCTACATCTTCGAGGTTAGGGGGAAGTTAAGATCTTGTCTAGCTATTGTTTTCGGACGGTTTTCAGCTATGTGTGTGTGTGTGTGTGTGTGTGTTTGTGTACTTGGGATGAGCGGTCAACCCGCTCGGAGCCAACCCGCCCATCTATCGATCGATCGATCTATAATACGATATTCAAAAGGTTCGCGGTCGTTGGTGCTGGTTGTGGGATGCGGGCGTACGCCAAGTCCGCTTCAATACCCTGTATATATCCTAGTACCTATTTCACGAGCATCACCAATGAAATCAATTTGTTATTGACTTGAAGCCATCGAGCTAATTTTTAAATTTATATTATCAACAGGCAAGGAAGAGGATCAGAGTTTAGGTCCCGTAGCTGCAACAACCATCATAGATCAGAACGGAACTCGACAAGGGGGAATAGAACCAGATATAGAAACTTCATCATTAAATTTAACGTCGTAGTACATTACATTCATCATTTCACAACACAAAAGAAATAGTAATAATAATAAAAACGCTTCGCCTGCCTTGGGCAGATTTTCACCCAGCAACATCACATCACATCATGTGAAATCTAGAGAAAACTGACTTCAAGCTCTCTCTCTCTCTCTCTCTCTCTCTCTCTCTCTCTCTCTCTTCGTTTGGTCTGATAATATATTTACTTACTGGATAGAGCAGCAACACCGGGCAACTCCTTGCCCTCCAGCAGCTCCAGCGACGCACCACCACCAGTGGAAACGTGGCTGAGCTTCTCCTCAGCCTTGTACTTAGCAGCAACGGTAGCGGTGTCACCGCCACCAATGATGACAATAGCACCGTTAGCAGCAGCCTGCACAGCAGCATCCAATGTAGCCTTTGTGCCGCTAGCGAAGGGCTCCATCTCAAAGACACCGGGGGGGCCGTTCCACAGGATAGTCTTGGCCTCGGCAATAGTCTCCTTGTAGGACTGGACGCTCTTCTCGCCGACATCCAGACCCATGAAGCCGTCGGGGATGCCCTCGGCATCAGTGGCATAGCCGACCTTCGCGTCCGCAGCGAACTTGTCGGCGGTGACGTAGTCGACGGGCAGGACAACCTTGACGTTGTACTTCTTAGCCTTCTCCATAATTTCAGCAACAGTCTTGCTGCCAGCTTCGTCGAACAGGCTGTTTCCGATCTTCACACCCTCAAGGGTCTTCTTGAAGGTGAAGGCCATGCCGCCCGTGATGATCAGGCTGTTGACCTTGGGGAGGAGGTTGTCGATCAGTTGGATCTTGTCGGAGACCTTGGAGCCGCCGAGGATGGCAAGGAAGGGGCGCTGGGGGTTCTCCAGAGCCTTAGCGAAGTATTCGAGTTCCTTCTTGACCAGGAAACCAGAGGCCTTCTGGGGAAGTTCGACGCCGACCATAGAGCTGTGGGCACGGTGGGCAGTTCCGAAGGCGTCGTCTAAACAGCAGTCAGTTAGTCAATTGTTTATCTCAATATTGTATATATGTTTGAGAGAGAACGTACTGATGTAAACATCGCCCAGAGCAGTCAATCCCTTACGGAACTCCTCCACGGCAGCCTTGTCGGCCTTAACCTTCTTGCCCTCAGCATCCTTGTAGCTTCCTTCCTCCTCAGCGTGGAAACGCAGGTTCTCAAGCAGGATGACCTGGCCACCAGAGGCCTTGTTGACGGTCTCCTCAACGTCCTTGCCAACGCAGTCCTCAGTGAAGATCACGGGCTTGCCAAGAAGCTTCTCCAGCTCGGGAACAACAGGCTTCAAGCTGTACTTGGGGTTCTTCTTGCCATCGGGACGGCCGAGGTGGGACATGAGAATGACGGCCTTGGCGCCATTGTCGATAGCATACTTGATGGTGGGGAGAGCACCAACAATACGTTGGGGGTTGGTCACCTTGGTGCCATCAAGGGGAACGTTGAAGTCAACCTTTTTTTTTTTTTAACCATATTAGCAACTCATCACATCATTGCAGTAGTACCTGTGTAGTTTTTGAAAGAGAAGAAATAAGCGACATACTCGGATCAGGACACGCTTGTCCTTGAGGTCGACGTCTGTGATGGCGAGCTTGTTGGTGAGAGACATGGTGGGGGGAGGATAGATATGTACTGTTGAACGAGAACCAAATTAGCGATTGGCAGAAGAAGACAGATAGAAGAAATAAGACGAACCTTGCACTGGTGCTCAAGAGAAGATGATGAGGGAGGAGAAGGATGAAGAAGAAGAGGAAGAAGAGGAGGAAGATGGGGGGTGAACGACTGAAACAGTATCACGGTGAGTACTAGCAAGAGCAGTGGTCGTGGCGGGGTAACCGTAATCATACAATGATTGTTTTGGTGGGGCAAAAGTTCTTCTCCGGTGAGGACAAGAAAAGTTGGTCATTGATTCATCGGGCTGATGCGGGAGAAACGCAGACTCTGATGTCAACGGGGGACTGGGAACTGGTGACGGAAGCCGTCGGGGGAGAACTTTGACCCTGTTGTTGATTCTCGACTCGATCGATAGCCTCGGGTTCATTCTCGTTGATGCGCTCTAGATCTGCACCGGTGGTTCCATATGGTCCTCACCGCGATATGGGTGCCAGTGTCTTTCCTTTTTTAACCCAATGGGCCCCGGTTTATTCCTCTACATAGATCGATCTAGTCCTCATTGCTGCATTTCGAAATCTATCCTTGTATTCGCTGCTGTGATCGCCTGCAACAATAGCTTCTCCTTGGTTACAACCTATTGAAACCCAATGTGACGACAGAACTGTGAACTCCTCAACACCTCCCCAAAATGAAAGAATCCCATCAAAATTTAAGACGCCCGGTAAGCACAGAATGACACATGAAACCCAACCCAACATCCAAATCAAAGGAGTGGAAAATCCAGAACCTGGTGGACCGTACCGTACGGTGCCAAGAGACTCCCCGGCCTGTTGTTTCATTTACTCGTCGTCCGAGGAGTTTGTAAGAGAGAGGTATGCAGTCCACGCAATACCGATGCACGACACAAAAGGCTATCGAAAATCCATTAGCCAAGGCCAACCCACGCTCTTAAATATTGGGGGAACTTACAATTTGAAACTGGATGGGTACGACTCGGAAGTTCAGGATTTGGACCGCGGGCCATAGGACAAAGTTGGCCTTCAGAGTCGGCAAATATACATCGCGAAACTTACGGGCTAATGCTCGTCTTCCACCACCCTCAGCAATAGTCATAAATGTGAAGAAGCACACTAATCCGATAGGAGTGAAGATGAGCTGGTCTACAGCCACCCGCTTTAACGCAGGGATGGTCTGGCTCTTCTTGGTGAGTGGGAATGCCCTAGACAAGAAGCCAAACCAGTGGAACTGGACTGGTGCCATGAAGAAACCGTACGACATAAAGCGGGTAAGTCGTTCAAAATCGAAGGGTGGCGGCAAGCCCCTTGCGAGGCCGAGTTCTCCTAGCACCGGTGGTTTTTCCTTGTCTAGTTCATGGATTTCGATCGCGAGGAAGTCACCGTTAGATCGTGTGTGTTCAGTTCTTGCCTTGAAGGCTGTGACCAACTGCGCTACGGTATCCGCGATTCCACCGAGAACCTATATCCACGTTAGTCCCATAGCCCAAGAATCGAATGATAAAAGTAAAGCTGTAGATAGTGAAGTGAGATACGCAGACACCTCTCGTTCTTGCGCGCCACTTTGCATCGTTGACACTTGACTACGGACTCGTTACATCATAACTGACCACGCAATCGATCAGAGCAACTCGAGTGCAAGCATTAAGCACGAGGTCAATTCCAAAGCCAGGTGAGGTTCATGCAAATGCCGCAAGGTACAGCGAGACGGTGGTACCATATCGAAACGAGGGGTAGGCATGTCATATCGCATCACAACCACAAACTCCCAGGGCATCTTACCGCGTTCGTAACCATCGTTGTAAGAACTAAATTTAATGACCATGTTAGTGACTGTCAAAAATAACCCCATGTAGAAAATAGACACCCACTTGGTTTCTCAGCATAGTAAGAGTTAAACTTGGCGGCCAGCCGCATCGCAGCCGCCATCTCGATCATAAAAATGATAGCATGCAGCAAAGGCTATCGGAAGAGAGCCAGTCAGTATGAGCCCTTCTTTCGGGGGTAGCACCCGCACGAAGCCGCAGAGATTTTGCAGCGTCCTCGAGAAGGGGCGAGGGCGAGGTGTAACATTACCAAGCGACCGTAGATATATCTCCTATTGAGTCCATCCAAGACTCGACGGCGAGTAACGGAAAACATCGTGCAGGCGTTGAATTAAGAAAGAGAGATACAGAGAGGAAGACAAAAAGAAAAAGGGTTAACCAGGTCGAGAGGATGGCAGCGTTACGGCGAAGGGTCAGTCGGGTCCAGCAGACGACTCAGTATGACGCAAAAGAGAGAGAACCGATTCAGTGAAAGGAGACCCAGCGCTGCTGGGGCCCAGAGGGACGATATATATAACCCAGTTTGGGGAGGTTGACAACTGACTTGCGATGAGGAGGTTGATATTCTTGATGGACGAATATCCCCAGGTCAAGATTCGAGAATAGAATTCCAAGCGGGCGTTTAAAACGTAAGGCAGCAGATCAAATTTGCGATCGGTTGTTCGTCTGCCTGCTTGCCGCTTTAAGAAGGGGAAGGGAGGGGCTTAGATGTCCTGCCACTGTCTTATTTTTATTTTTCTTTCTATTTATTTATTTATTTTCGCTAGATATAATTAGAGGATTCATATGAAAAAGAAATAAAAGCTTCGTTTCTTCATATAATTCTTGTTGAAGGAAATTAACAGAGAATTTGAGCATCTTATATAGTAAATTGTACAAAGGTCTCGGCCCTGGGCTGAAAGACCCTGAATCCGTGGCCCTAAAGAAGCGGAGACGCCACAAAGAAATAAGGAGAGAAGGCAACAATAATCCAAGTTTCATCATCATCTACTCCGTATAGTTAATGGTTGGTATGGATGCTCAGATTTGTACATTACTCGTATCCTCTATCCTAATTTCCTAGCTTCCTAAATGGATAGATACCCCTGCGGCTCCCTTCCCCAAGGATAAAATATCCGGTAGATCTCGAATATCTGTCGTTTCGTTCGTATTGACATCCACAAGTCGGACGCATTCCAGTCGTAAAGAACCCACTGCCAATGGGAGGAATTTTATTTCAGTCGCAAAGCATGTTCCGGGTAATAATGCACTATACCAGGAGGATCAAGTTAGGCGCCAGAATTATCCCTAAACATGCACTTAGAGGATGGAACTTACCCAACACGCACGTCTGTGCTTAGACAGACGAGCTCTGCTTCCTGTCCGGCTACGCTCTTCTGCAGAGCGTGCACGATGTTATCATCGGTCACGGCTTCCGCGACCTGATCGCTTCTGCGATTCGACATCGACGAAGAGGATGGCCGCGCGACATGCCCTCGTGGGTCTGATCTTTTTCGTCGGGGGATAGCAATCATGGCGAATTTTCTCGGGGTTGTAGACCGGTTGACAATAAAAACACTCCACGAGAACGGCTTTCCAACCTCTACACTGGGAGGACCAGAAAGGGATATGGTCATCCCCAGATCCGTCGTAGAATATGCGCGTTCTCGAAGGGAGCTTCGGTTGGCTGGGACCCCTGAACTTGGGGTATTGGCATGGCTGGGTATCATTGGGAGACTTGCAGGGCGGTTGTTCCGCTGCAAAGCCTGGCTTGGGCCTCCAAAGGTCGGGTTCAACGCCATTGAGAAATCGACGTTGGCTGTCCACTGCATTAAAATCCGGGGATTGCAGTTGTCTGATACATTAACAACCGCCTCGAGTGATATGTCCAACATGCTCACCATCGCAGTGGTGGATGGGATGGAATCCAGTCCATATTCAGGCGTCAACCTGTATACCAGGGTTATATCGTCCCGTGGCCGACAGGTCACAGGAGGGAAAACCCCAGGGGCATCAGTTAGGGCTTCAATTAGCCCATCAGACAGATGAAGGTCGGCCTTGTCGAATATTACCTCGCAATTTAGGAAGGGCGTGACTTCAAAATCCAGGTTTGCAATGGTCGTAGGCCTCCCGCTATAAGTGTTTAATCGAGAATATCGTATCCTTGCACTGGCAGCAGGGACGATGCGTGTCGGATGGCCCGACTCTTGATGGACGTTGTATATAGGATCTTCACTATATTGCGCTGGAACAACTCGCAAAAGCCTCGAGGCTGGGAGAAAAGGGTCTTTGTGGTCAAAGGCGGCATCGCTTGCGAGGGGTTGGAGAACATTCGTTGATGCAGGAACCAAGGAGGGGAGGTAAACGTCTTCACGAGAATCGGCCTGGCGAGTTTCTGTAGGGTTCAAGGTGGCAGACGCAATGAAGATCACGGACGGGTGTTGGATGCGGATTCGTGGGCGCTCTAGAGAGCCGTAATTAGTACGCCTGAACAAATCGACCAAAAACACTAGGAGCCATACTTAGGAATGTCTCAATGCTCCATATCACATATACATGATTACCGCCTCCTGTCTCTCCCTCGAACTCATTAACCACCACCAGCGGATCTGCCTGTGAATCGACAACCCCTGAGAAGATCAAGTCTCGCGTGGGCGTCGGGTTCTCAGCGACTGTTTCCGCAGGATCAATAGCGAAGACATCGACGCGGATTTCAAGGTTTTGAAGGTGCGCTTTCAGACTGTTCTGAGAGCAATTGGCAAGTCTCAGGACAACGCGAGCCGTGCAGACCTCATCTGTAGCAAACTGCATGAGTAAGAGATAAAAGCTCAGTGAGGATAGTAGCTTCCCACATACCAAAGAACAAAAGCGAGCGCTGGGGGATAAATGACAGGACAGACGACAGGTCGTCTGCCCCATCTTCGAGTGCCGACGTCAGCGCCGCCTCCAGATCAATATTTGAGGCATGCGGGACAACAGTATCTAGAACCGCATGCCTCAGGAACTCCCCAGGGACATCGAGACTCGGCATAGCGAGAGCAGCAGTCGCATGCTCCCCTACCAGCTGCTGTTAGAAAAATGACACGTCACAACCAGAATGAAGCAAGAGAGAGAGAGAAAAGAACCATGCATTCACCTCACGATGAGCTGGGTTAGCTAGCACCTCTTCTCTGGTCTCTTCAGACACTCCGGGGGAACTGCGCGCTTTGGGAATGGGACACACATGCAAACAGGACAAACACCCGGCGCCCAAACCAAACCGCAGAGCTTCTCCCGACGCTTTAATTTTGAGGAAATCCCCATCAGGCTACACGGAACAAGCTACACTCCTATCATCAGGGGCTCCTTCCTGAATCATCCCTATGAATCCTATGACTGGCCCTGCTGGCGCTGCCCCTCTGTGGCAGGAGGCTCGCAATGCTGAAGGACGGGTCTACTACTACAATGTTCAGACGAAAGCTACACAATGGGCGAAGCCGGTCGAGTTGATGACCCCTGTTGAGGTCAGTGTCTTTCCTAACCTCTTTTCTTAAAGCTGTCTAACTTTTATTTCTTTTTTTCTTATAGCGGGCTCTAGCAAATCAGCCATGGAAGGAGTATACTGCTGACGGGGGCCGGAAATACTGGTATAATACCGAAACCAAGCAAAGCACGTGGGAGATGCCAGATGTTTACAAAAATGCTCTGGCGCAGGCACAAGCACCGCAGCCTCCACCTGTAGCGTAAGTTTGTCGCGTTGAATTCCATCTATCTGCCTTATATACTAATGGAGCCTGCGTCTATAGGGCCCCAACATTCGTTGCTGGTGGTGTTAGCTCGTTCTCATCCTATCCCCAATCGCGCGAACGTGACGATTACGACAGAGGCTTTGGCGATCGTCGTGGAGGATTCGGTGCTGCTGAGATAAATGGTATCGCTGCCGGCGCTGTTTTGGGAACTACGCAGGAGCCGGACTATGGATCCCTCGAAGAAGCGGAAGGCGCGTTTATGAAGATGCTCAAGCGCCATAATGTTCAACCGGACTGGACCTGGGAGCAGACAATGCGCGAAACAATCAAAGACCCCCAGTATCGTGCTCTGAAAGACCCTAGAGACCGCAAGGCAGCTTTCGAGAAGTACGCGGTGGAGGTTCGCATGCAGGAAAAAGACCGGGCGAAAGAAAGATTCGCTAAGCTCAGAGCAGATTTCAATACTATGTTGAAACGACATCCTGAAATTAAGCATTACAGCCGATGGAAGACCATTCGACCGATCATCGAGGGCGAAACCATCTTCAGATCTACCAGCGACGAAGGCGAACGACGACAGCTGTTCGAGGAGTATATTCTCGAGCTCAAGAAGAATCACGTCGAGCAGGAGTCTGTGCTACGCAAAGCCGCGATGGACGAGCTCGTGACCATCCTCAAATCCCTGAACCTCGAACCATACACCCGGTGGTCGGAGGCGCACGCCATTATCCAGTCTAATGAAAGGGTTCAAAATGACGATAAGTTCAAGTCTTTAAGCAAATCTGATATCTTGACCGCATTTGAAAACCATATTAAGTCTCTTGAGCGAGCTTTCAATGATGCTCGTCAGCAGCAGAAGGCCGCCAAGGCCCGAAAAGAGCGGCATGCCCGTGAACAGTTTATCGAACTTTTGAAGGAGTTGAGATCCCAAGGCAAGATTAAGGCTGGTAGCAAATGGATGAATATCCACCCACTGATCAGCGAGGATCCCCGATACCTTGGAATTCTAGGAAATTCGGGCTCTTCTCCCCTGGATCTATTTTGGGATGTGGTTGAGGAAGAGGAACGGTCGTTACGTGGACCACGTAATGACGTCTTGGATGTTCTCGATGTAAGTATTCCCTAACCATCTTTCTATTTCCACGGCCTATGTACTAACCATTCCCCCAGGATAAACGATTCGAAGTTACTCCCAAGACTACGTTTGAAGAGTTTAACTCGATTGTGCTTGCGGATCGCCGCACGGCCAACATCGACCCAGAGATCCTTCAGATCATCTTCCAGCGCATTCAAGAGAAAGCTCTTCGTCGTAACGAGGAGGAGAAACATGCAGCCGATCGCCACCAGCGGCGTGCTGTGGACTCCCTGCGTTCTCGCATGAAGCGCCTAGACCCTCCTCTCCGGTCCAACGATGCGTGGGAACAGGTCAAACCTAGACTAGAGAAGTATGAAGAATACAAAGCTCTTGAATCCGATGAAGTCCGCCAGGCCGTCTTTGACAAGGTCATCCGCCGTATCAGAGAGAAGGAAGAAGACACCGAGAAAGATCGCGAGCCCCGGGACAAGGACCGCGGCAGTAACCGCCGCGAGCATCACCACGATCGCGAGCGCGATCGCGACCACCGCAGCGGTGCCTCCTACCGAGGAGAGAGACGAGGTGCCTCCAGCCGTCTCAGCCGTACTCCCGAACCAGATGCCTATGAGGCAGACCGCCGCAAAGCCCAAGCTGACCGTGAGAGATCCTACCGCAAAGTCAGCGGTTTATCACCCGTCCATGAGAGACGGGAAGACCGCGAGCGCGAGCGAGACAAGGGCGATAGGGCCGACCGAGACCGCCAGCGCGACCGTGATCGCGATCGTGAACGCGAACCCGAACGAAGCTCCCGCTCTCTCAGCCACTATGAGCGCGAGCGCCGTGATCGCGAAGAAGAGCGAGAGCGCCTCTATCGGACTCGTGGAGACCCACGCGGTGGCCGCGACGAGCTCGACTACGGCGGTGACGCTCGAAGCACCGTCAGCACGGACCGTCGGCGTCGCCGTGATAGCGATACCGAGAGCGTTGCCAGTCGTTCTACGAAACGGTATAGACGAGAGAGTCGTGACCGCAGCCGAGGCGCGGCCAGGCGGGATCGGGACCGTCGAGAGCGGACTCCTCCCGCCTCAGGCGCAGGTGCGGGTGCAAGTGTTGTAGGATCGGGTGCCAATGCAGGTGCAGTCGATGTCGCAGTTGACGAAGCAAAGAAAGAAGAAAAGGCGGTTCATTCTGGTAGTGAGGAGGGAGAGATTGAGGAAGATTAATTAGTTAGTTAGACTATGGACGTCTTCACGTTCTCTCCACCTATGACTACTTATGTATTGTATTGTATGTATGTACTCGGAAGTTTACGAACGAAAAAGGGGAATTTGACTTGCCTTTTGATAACGTCTTTTATAACTAGTCAACGCGATGGTTTTATAGCAGAGCTAGCTACCAGTAATGCATGGTTTATTTTATTTTCTTATACCAAGTTGGGGAATGTAGTCTGGTATTAAGCAGAGATAGATGTATATATGTAAAGTTAGGTAGGTACTAAGTAGTTACCTTGGAGACTAGGTCTGGAATGCACATACATACATACATAAATATATATATATATATATATATATATATACAGTGTTGCGTACACCGAACTACTACTACTAGTAGTACTCCATATAAGAAGAGAGCACAATCAATATAAAATACACCAGTTACCACCACTCAACCCTGAAGAATGAAACAAATCAAATACATTCTTGATAAAGCAAACAAACCTAGACCATAAGAGCCCAGGTCTGCACTAGCCTATAATCAACATGTTGGCCAGTAGACCATCTATGTCATTTCATACCAATTGAAACTTTTGAACAGGCTCAACTCCAATGGGACGATCATGCCGACCAAGAGAAAAAAAAAAAAAAGAAAACCGTTACCCATATACAAACCCTGAAGCCACATACATGTCTTCATCTCGTAGCATCGTGAAGACTGCAAAAAGAAAAAGGGGGGGGAAAAATACCAAAAAATGCCTATGAGAACGGAGGGGGAAAAAAAAAACGTGGCGATTTTTACTCAATATAGGCGTTTGTTGGCAAGGCACGGACGGGGCTTTAAGAGGGGATGACGATGGGTAGCGGTTTCCCGGGAGGGCAGGACACACTGGAAGCCTCAACCTAGGAGTTGTCTTAGGTTGAGTTGGAGTTGACAATTGTTGTCCTCAGTTTCGATTTCGATTTCGACTTCGACCTCGACCTCGTCCTCATCCTCGTCGTCATCCTCCTTGGAAGTCCCCACCGCATCACCGCAACGCTCAACGCCACAACGTCGCCGTCGTGAGGCCTTGGTAACGCCTAAAAACGCCCCTAACCGAAGAACTCTCCTGTGCCTGCGACGGTGGTGCTGTCGCTGGTCGGAGTCACGGCCGTCACGTCTGTGAGGCACGCGATCATGATTTCTAGGAACGCCCTTTTCAACTCTCTTCCTCCAGGAAGTACTATAAATGGTGTTAGAATGGACGACGGGCGTCGTCGATATTATGGCAAATGGGGGGAGGGGATGATGGCTTACGAAGTTTCCGCTCAACTTCTGTTCCTGGTCCATCTGGGAGTTGTACTTGTTGATACGAGGACGGTAGCTGTTGGGGTCACGACGGAAGGTAACGTCCAGGTTCCTCAAGAAAGTGTTGCATCCCGTGACCAGGGACTCGGGGGTGTTGGCGTGAGCATCGATGGATGGCTTACCGTCGAAAACGATGACTCGATCGGCGAGATAGGTGGCCATGATGAAATCGTGCTCGACAATGAAGGCGGTCTTCTTGGTGTGCATGATGAAACGCTTGATGACCCTGGCTGCAACAATACGCTGTTCGGAGTCAAGATAAGCACTAGGCTCGTCAATCAGGTAGATATCAGCAGGAATGCCGAGAGCTAGGACAATGGCGACACGCTGAAGTTCACCACCAGACAGGTTCTGAACTTCCTGGTCGATAAAGTCATCAATCTTGAGGGGCTTGTAAACATCGGTCTGGAACTGGGGCGACAAGAAAGCGGCCTTAATACGTTTGAAGAACAACTGACGCACGGTTCCCTGGAACTTAGGAGTGATCTTCTGGGGCTTCATGGAAATGTTCATGCGGGGAATGGAGGCGCCGTTATCAGGCTTCTCGGCACCTGCAAGCATCTTACAGAAAGTAGTCTTTCCAGTTCCATTCTCTCCCATCATCACGATGATTTCGGAATCGGTGAAGTTTCCGGAATCGATCTTCAGATGGAAATTACCAAGGGTCTTCTCCATGCTGGGGTAGCTGAACGCGCGGGCCTTGTCGACTAAGAAATCGTCACCAGCTTCGGCGAGACGGAAGGTAAGAGATTCCTCGCGGAAACGCAAGTTCTCAGTCGGGATGTGACCGTCCAAGAAGATGTTGATACCTTCACGCACAGACGAGGGTAGGGTGACAACACCATAGACGGCAGGCTTTCCGTAAAGGACACAGATGAAATCGGAAAGGTAGTCCAGCACGGACAAATCGTGCTCAACAACAATAACGTAATCGTCAGGGCGCAGAAGATCACGAATGGAGCGGGCGGCAGCGAGACGCTGCTTAACATCAAGGTAAGAGGAAGGCTCATCAAACATGTAGCTAGAAAACGCCATTAGCATGGATTTAGGAGCGTGTCGCTTGGTAGAATGGGTTCCCTTACACATCGGCTTTCTGGACACACACGAGACCAATAGCAAAACGTTGAAGCTCTCCTCCGGAGAGGTGGTCAATATCGCGGTCTTGAACCTGTCGGAGTTCTTTTGAATGATTAGACAGGGAATTTACTCTTTGATACCGAGGTTACATACCGAGAACATCCAGGATGTCCTCCATGTTGTCCATTTGGGAGCGGGCTTTGAGCAGGTCTGCAACCTTCTTGGTTGGGCCCTTGACGGCGCGAGGGATCTGATCAACGTATTGGGGCTTTACGACAGCCTTCAAGTTATCTTCTAGAACCTTTGTGAAGTAGTCTATTGAGGTCAGAACCTATAGTTTCCGAGAGCTGGTGGGGGCAAACGTACTCTGCAATTCAGAGCCACGGAAGTATCGCAGGATTTCTTCCCAATCGGGGGGGTTGTCATAACGTCCAAGGTTGGGCTTAAGCTTGCCACTGAGGATTTTCAATGCCGTACTCTTTCCAATACCGTTTGTTCCAACAAGACCCAGAACTTGACCAGGGCGGGGCATAGGAAGACGGTGAAGCTTGAAGCTGTTGGCAGAGTAACGGTGGGTGACCTCACTTTCCAGATTGGTGGGCAAGTTGATAATGTGAATGGCACCGAAGGGACACTTTTTAGGGCAAATACCGCAACCGATACAGAGGCGCTCGGAGATGAAGGCAATCTTGGACTCGGGGGTGACTTCGATGCAAAGCTTGCCCGTGCGGACCACGGGGCAAGACTTTTTACACTCTTGACGACATTTCTAGATTTTACGGAGTAGACATTAGCCAGGCTATCGAGAGACATGAATGGAATGGGAAATCAGCTATTACCTTGGGTTTGCACTGTAATGGGCGCGAGTAGATGAGTATATATGGCATTTCGTCTGTAGTTAGCGGGGTAAGTTGAAAAACTCACTTTGTCACTGCTGACAATGGCAATACTGATGAAGAAGGAAAATTAGCTATGAAGAACGGATCAGCTCTTGGATCAGGTTATCTCTTACCGGGTCAGCTTGTCAGACATGGTGCCTGATGGTTACAGTAAACGACGACGCGGCAAGAAAGCAAAGTATACTGCGCAGGAAAAAATAAAAAAGGTGAAAAAGATGGGGGATCTCAGCTCGAGAGGAAGGACTATGCCGCAACGATCAAGCCAGCCAGGCGCAGCAAGTACCAGATTCGAGAAGAAGACGAAGAAAAGGAAGACGTAGCGTGGATAGTCGCCAGGGAACTTGGGGAGAGGGGCTCTCAGAAAGAAAACTATGCCGGGCATTCATTAGTTATTGTGGGCATCGAATGCTGGCCTCAGGCATCTCCACGGGCTCCTGCTGAATCATTTATTTCCTGACGCTCTGATTGGCCAGACAGAAACCGGTTGAAATTTCTCCGGAATGCAGAATAGTCCGATCCGAAGTACACGTGACAGGCTGCCACCGCTAGTCCCAAAGAAGGCTCGCTTGTCAGCGGTCTAAGCCGCATGTGGCAATGCAGCCTGGAAGCTCAGGCCCCCCAGCAATCTCTTCACTGTGACTCGCTACTCGCTCCAAACCCCCCAGCCGGATGTTCCAACTCTCTCTTCCTACTCAAGTCTCCCTCTCTCTCATCATTCCTCTGCCTGTTACTCTCCACCGACTCATCCCATCCACCCCCCTCCCTTTACCTCCCCCCACCTTTCTTTTTTCCTTTTTCACGATTCTCTTCCTCATTTTGCGGTGATTCGGGGTCACCAAGCTATGGATTGTAAGTTTTTTATTCTTCGTTTTTAGCCTGTTCGGACGTGTCCTGGACTGGTCGGCTGGAGTACTTCTCTACAATATCGACCCACCCAGGATTCAAGATTTCCTCCACTCTCCTTGAGCTCATGGTCCTCTGAATCATTTCAAGTCAAAGTCTGTCTCAGTCGCGTCGGCTGGATCTGGTTTTGCGCTTGAATTTGCCCTGGCGATCGCTCTGTTCCTGTCTGTCTTGTCCGTCGCGTCTCATCCAATTCATCATCAAAATCATGTCCATGCATCATACCTTCATCTCCTATCACATTCTCTGAGCTTTATAGCTTCTAGTTTTCGAAAACTGGATCGCATACTGCTGCTTCATAGGCCCCTGGGCCTTCCATCCTTCCCCCGGCCTGTCTCGAGCTTCAATGCTGATGCATTTCCTTCCCAATAGCGACTAGCATGGTGATCCCATCTACCTCCGAACCCACGGCCACAACGGCCCTCACGAATGGGTATATGATGTCTTCTGTTCCTCATGCTGTCAGCTTCGAGGACGAGCTAGCAGCCAGCGACAATGGGAGTAGTGTCTCCAATGGCTACGAAAACCACGCCGCGTCCGAGTCCTCGCCCGAGCCCGATCCTGCGGACGACTCATATGATACTGCTTCTCCCGATGCGGAGGGAGATGAAGATGATTCTGGGATGGAAAATAGTGTGAAAGCTAGTAGCCCGTCCAGTGATGAAAATTCTTCATCCTCCGAACACGAGAGAGGCATCAAGCGCAAATCGCCTTCAATCAACGAATCTGACTACATTCGACAGAACCCAGACCTTTATGGACTGCGTCGAAGTGGACGAGCCCGCACGGCGCGTCAAATCGCCCCTTCTGTTTCTGACTCAGACTCCGATGATGTAGCCCCTCGTCCGAAACGTCGACGCGCCGTCCCCTCCCAACAGTCCTCGAAAGTCCCCTCACGGTCTGCCACCCAGTCCACATACTCTGAAGAATCGGATAGTGATGAATACGGGGGCAGCCGTGCTCGTATGAGCAAGGCGAAACGTCGAAGGCTCCTTCAGGCGTCTGTAAACAACGTTCCTTCCCACGCCGAGGTTCGTTTCTCAACAAGAAATGCTTCTCGCGTCTCGAACTACAACGAAGACGAGGATGATTCAATGTTTGAAGATGACGCGGAGGATGTGATGCAGAGTTACTGGGCGAACACTGTGGAAGATGACCGACCGGCCGTAGACGTCGTGCTGAACCATCGTCCCAAGGACGGTGTGGATCCAAGCGAAACTGGTGCTGACCGCCGTCAATTTGAATTTTATATCAAATGGCAAGGAAAGTCCCATTATCACGCGACGTGGGAGACTACTGAAAGCCTTGCGAACTGCCGTAGCATACGCCGCCTTGACAACTACGTCCGAAAGATCCTAGCCGAAGATGTCCATTTGAAATATCATGAGGATGTTGCCCCCGAAGACAGGGAGAAATGGAACCTCGATCGCGAAAGAGATGTAGATGCTATTGAGGACTACAAACAAGTTGAGCGAGTGATTGCGATGCGTGAGGGGGACGAGGGAACGGAGTATCTGGTCAAATGGAAACGACTTTTCTACGACTCGTGCACGTGGGAGGATGAAGAGATGGTTAGTAATATCGCTCAACGCGAGATAGACCGTTTCCTAGATCGCTCCTCTCGTCCGCCCATCTCAGATAAAACGGAATCAAACCCTGCCACCCGAAAGTCTTTCGAGACCATCAAGGGCACCCCTAGCTTCCTGCAAAACGGTCAGCTGAAGGAGTTTCAAGTGAAAGGCGTGAACTTCATGGCCTTCAACTGGGTCAAAAATCGCAATGTTGTCCTAGCAGATGAGATGGGCCTCGGGAAAACCGTACAGACCGTTTCCTTCATCAACTGGCTGCGCCATGTCAGACGCCAACAGGGGCCTTTTGTCGTTGTCGTCCCCCTCTCTACCATGCCATCATGGGCCGAGACCTTTGACAATTGGACTCCCGATCTGAACTACGTGGTCTACAATGGCAACGAAGCCGCTCGCAATGTTCTCAAAGAGCACGAGCTGATGGTGGATGGTAATCCTAAACGCCCGAAGTTCAACGTCCTCCTCACGACCTACGAGTATGTTTTACTGGACTCCGCCTTCTTGAGCCAGTTTAAATGGCAATTTATGGCTGTAGATGAGGCCCACCGTTTGAAAAATCGGGAGTCTCAACTATACGTGAAGCTTCTCGAATTCAGGTCGCCTGCTCGTCTTCTCATCACCGGTACCCCCATTCAGAACAACCTGGCTGAACTTTCTGCCCTGCTGGATTTCTTGAACCCTGGCATGGTTGATGTAGATGCCGATATGGATCTGAATGCAGAGGCAGCTTCCCAGAAACTCGCGGAGTTGACAAAAGCGATCCAGCCGTTTATGCTTCGTCGAACAAAGTCCAAGGTAGAATCCGATCTTCCTCCCAAGACGGAGAAGATTATTCGCGTTGAGCTTTCGGATGTTCAACTGGAATACTATAAGAACATCCTCACGAAAAATTATGCTGCACTGAACGACGGGGCGCGAGGCCAAAAACAATCTCTTCTGAACATCATGATGGAGCTCAAGAAAGCAAGCAATCACCCTTTCATGTTTCCCAATGCGGAGGCAAAGATTCTAGATGGAAGCACTCGCCGGGAAGACGTACTCAGGGCTCTGATCACTAGCAGCGGGAAGATGATGCTGCTCGACCAGCTTCTCGCGAAACTCAAGCGGGATGGTCATCGTGTCTTGATCTTTAGTCAAATGGTGAAAATGCTGGATATTCTAGGTGACTACATGGAATTCCGTGGCTACACGTACCAACGACTTGATGGAACCATCCCCTCAGCCTCCCGTCGTCTCGCCATCGAGCATTATAATGCTCCTGGTAGTAATGACTTTGCTTTCATCCTTTCCACCCGAGCAGGTGGTCTCGGAATCAACCTTATGACCGCAGACACCGTTGTCCTTTTCGATTCGGATTGGAATCCTCAAGCCGATCTCCAGGCCATGGCGAGAGCACATCGTATTGGACAGACAAGACCTGTCAGCGTCTATCGTTTGGTCTCGAAGGACACCGTAGAGGAGGAAGTGATTGAACGAGCACGCAACAAGCTTCTTCTTGAGTTTATCACAATCCAGCGGGGTGTTACCGATAAGGAAGCCTCTGAAATTCAGAATAAAATGGCCAGAGGCGGCATTACGCTTGGAGAGCCGAACTCCACCGAGGATATTTCGCGTATCCTCAAGCGCCGTGGTCAGAAGATGTTCGAGCAGACAGGCAATCAAGAGAAGCTGGAGCAGCTCGACATCGATTCAGTACTCGCAAATGCTGAATTGCACCAGACCGAGCAGGCTGAAGATATCCAAGCCGATGGTGGCGAGGAATTCCTCAAGGCATTCGAGTATGTTGATATTAAAGTTGACGACCTGAGCTGGGATGATATCATTCCCAAAGAACAACTGGAAGTGATTAGGGCGCAGGAGAAAAAGAAAGCCGACGAGAAATATCTTGCCGAAGTCATCGAACAAAACCGACCACGGAAGCGGAACGCCCCCGGGGAAGAGCGAGATTCTCGCGCAGAGCGCAAAGCCAAAAGACAAGCAAGAGTGCAGGTTAGTATGGACGATGGGGATGATTCAGATTCGAATGTCCAAGAAGCGGATCCGAAACGCCCCTTGATGGAGAAGGAATACCGACATCTTCTCCGAGCATTCCTGCGCTTCGGTGATATTGAGGATCGTGAGGAGGATGTTATTCGTGAAGCGCGCCTGCTTGATCGTGATAGAGAAACCGTGCGGTCTGCTCTTCGCGAGATAACTGAGAAGGCAGCTTCATTGGTCCGAGAGGATTTGCAGAAAATTGAGGCTCTTGAAAATGCTGGCAAGATGCTGACCAAGAAAGAACGGAAAGCGGTCCTGTTCGACCTTCATGGTGTCAAGCGTCTTAATGCATACACCATCGTTGAACGCCCCGCAGAGATGCGCGTGTTGAAGGAAGCCACCCTGGCGGTGCCTGATTTCAAAAACTTCCGGGTCCCAGAAGCCACCAAGGCACCTGATTATTCATGTCCATGGGGCGCACGAGAAGATGGAATGCTCTGTGTCGGAATTGCTCGTCATGGGTATGGCGCCTGGACGCAGATCAGGGACGACTCGGACCTTGCGTTGGGGGATAAGTTTTTCCTGGAAGAGCACCGGGTGGAGCGGAAGACCGAACGCATGAATGCGGAAGACAAGACAACCAAGTCTCCTGGTGCTGTCCACCTTGTTCGGCGAGCGGATTATTTGCTATCTATTCTCAGAGACAAGGCCAGCAGCGGTGCCAACATCACAGCCAAGCGGGCTGTTGAGAACCACCATCGCAACAATCGGAAGGGTTCCTCCCGGCCTCACGCGAGTACCAGTGTTTCTGCTTCTCCAGCCCCATCCGTCTCCCGTAAAGGTCACCGTGAGCAGGATCGGTCCCGACATCGGTCCCACACTCACGGCGCTCGAGAGAGTATGGAGCGTCACCATACCCCTAGCCACGATTCTCGTCCAAGATCTGTTCATGACGGTGAACGCCGGCGCCATCGGGCGTCCGATGCTTCGAGTGAAGACGTTCGTCGGCGCAAGAATAATGAGAATGGCCACTTGGGCAAGGAAGATATGTCCCGTCTGTTCTTCAAACCAATCCGCGAAGATCTCAAGAAGGTTGCAGCTGTCACAAAAGAAAACTTCCCGAACAAGGCTGAGCGGGCTTCTGAGCTCCGGCGTCTCCTCAACAAGATCGGCGGCTTTATTGGTAGCAACTTGAAGGGGGAGAATTCAGTTTCCATGTCCTCCCTAGAAACTCGATTATGGTACGTTCAACCAGCCCTTCAAATATTCCATCTGAGGTCATTTTCTAACTAGATCAAACAGGCATTATGTCTCGGTCCATTACTGGCCCAACAAGGATGCTGGCGGAGCCAAACTCCAGGAAATGTACCACAAACTGAGCGATGTTCACAAGAAAGCGGCTGCAGCTAAGGCCACTTCGAATGGGGACTAGGCATTTTTTTTTTTTTTTTTATCGATGTGCAGCAAAAGCATTGCTTGATTTTTGTCTACTATTTTATTTTTCGATCGTTGTCTTCTTCCCATTTCTCCCCAACATTTTCTTGTCATTAACATTGTGCATACTTGGGAAAGCATGGCGACGGCGTCTGGTGCAGTCCATCCCAGGGAAGATTTGAACACCTGAAACTGGACTAAATATGATGTTAGCATGATATCTCTTTACCTCTTTTTTCTCTGTCTTTATATCTTTTGGCTCTTATTCTTTTCCCACTCCTCCATGTGCCCTGTTTGGACCAACGGGCCCTCGAGCCCTTCCTCTGTATTCCATTCATCTCATCTCATCTCATCTCATATCACATCACATCACATCTAGAACCCTCCCTCCGTCCTTCGCCGGTTTCGCTATCTCCTTCATCCATTTATTCATAATGTATCCATCCTATTGCCCGGGTTGGGGGGTGGTGGGTGGAAGGCGCGAGGGATCAGTTCTCTCTCGAGTTTGTTTGATTCCAACTTGGGAGTGATTCTTCATCCATCACCAATAAATGCTCCATCGTGTTTCTGGGAGATATGTATCGAACCTATTTTTCTCTTAGACCTCATCATCTATTGGTTTGCTCTCTTGTGCCTTTTTTTTTTTTTTTTTTTTCGCCCTAATTTCTGAGATTTTTTTTATACCATCCAAGAAGCAAATAGCTAGGTACCTACCTACCTGGCTAACACAGATCTGGGACATCAGAAACTTATCACATCCAAATCGAAGAATTTTTTTTTTTCTTAATGATAGGTAGGTAGGGAGGGCATAGGAATAAAGAAAGAGAAGAGTCGAGTCAACTTCAAAATTGCATTGAGGTTTGTTTCCCTACCAGACTCTCTTGCCATAGTGGGGGTTTTCCTTGCAAATCGTACTCTAGTAGTTACGCGTACTAGTACTTGACTATGGAATTAGTTATATAAGGGAAGCGTAAGATAACATTATATGAATACAGTATGGCGCCTAAGAGGATAGGTAGGGTAGGGTAGGGTAGGGTAGGTACTTTAGTAGTAGGTCTCTGTTTCACCTGAGAGACATGATAGTTAATGTTGCAAGAAAAAGGGATATTCTGTCTGAAAGAAAAGAAGGGGGGAAAAAAAAGGAGACCAGATAGGAAAAAAAAAAAAAAAAAAAAAAAAAAAAAAAAACAAGCTTGGCCCTGGTTTAAATACGCCTTATACAGTACACCATAATTGATAAAGATAGATAGAAAGAAAAGTTGTTGTCTTCAGCCTGAATTCAGGACATGCATGCATGCATGTGGTTGGCTCCATTGTCTTGGAAGGAGAAAACCTTAGGAATAACGCAAGCCCCGAGCCAAAGAGAGAGGGGTGGTGCGTGGAGATTCTACCTGGGTAGGTAGGTTTGATCAAGGTGGGATGGAGCCCGAGTCTGTATTATTTTTATCGTCGCCTTCTGCCTCCGTGGGTTGCTGCGATTGACCGTGTTCAGCCCCGTTTGTTGGTGTAGTCGACGACACGGCAGCTTCCTTGTTGTTGACTAAAGCGCTGAGCAGACGGAGTTCAGCGTCAATCAAGTCATCGAAGATTGCTTCTTTCTCTAGCCATGCGTCTTTCCTCTTTGGTCTGATCTTGTCCCAGTCACCCCGTAGCGTTGACCCTTCTTTTTCTGCCCAGTGAATTTGTCGGCGCAGAAGCCTATACAGCTGATGTGGGTTCATCTCGAGCTCATGGTCATCAAAGCCACCTTCGGAGCCAAATCCGGGTAGCTCGAACTCATCAAGGTCCTCCGTTTCGATCGCGTCCCCGTTGACGCTTTCACTGTAGCGCTCCACATCATCCTTCGGCGGATGTGATAGCTTTAGTCTGATGCGCTGGAGCTTGCTTACTGGGGTTCCGACCGGAGTACCTGCGGCGGAGGGAAGATCGTGGCGCTTGGGGACGGGGTCAGAGGGACGGAGAGCTTCAGTTTCATGGACTGTTCTCATGTGTTTTGCGAGAGCATCGGAGCGGGTGAAACTGCGATCGCATTCTGTAGTAAAGAGCATTGTCAAGTTAGTCACGCCCCTTCGTTAATCGGACGACGGAGGGGGGGGGGGGGGTTTCAGTAAAAAAAAAAAAAAAGCTTACCTGGAAGCGCACAGTAAAATGGCTTTTCTCTTGTATGGCTCCTCATGTGTGCGCGCAGTGCGTAGCCGCTCGCATGCGTTTGGCCCTTCCGAGGACAATCGGACCATTCGCAGGAGTATTTCTTCTGCCGGCTACCGACATGCTCATTGTGAATATGTTGGACGAGACCGTCCATGTTCCCGAGGTCTCTAGAACCGCATCCATCCCACCGACAGATAGTGACCTGGTCGTTGCATTGGCCGCTATAGTCCTCGTCCTGGGTTGCTCCTATGAGGGCAAAGGTGTTGGGCGAGTTGCGAATTTCACCGGACGTGTCGGACGAGATGGAGCTTGATGGCGACGGAGGAGGAAGTAAATCATCCTGGAATGATGCCGAAACGGGCGTGTTGCGATCCCAGGAAGCCATGCCGGTGCGGCGACGCTTTGAAGGGGGCATGTTGGATGCAGAGGGTGAGAAGCCCTGCTTGGAGTCTTCGCGATCTGACATTTCGTCGGAGACGATAGAGGAGAGGGGGGAGCCAGGAGATTCTGCCATTGGCAAATAATGCGAGGAGGGAGGTTGGGCGGGTGGGTGAATAACGAGGTGATGAGTGAATTAGAGGGCTGATGACGAAGATTTCGCTGTGAATCTGGCCCGCAGGAGGGTTAACCTTGGTTGTGGTGGTGCTGGCGTCTGGATTATTGGGAGGATTCGAGTATACAGCCTGCGGGCACGTGATGAGGCTATTACTCTGATATAAAATGGGTTCGTTTCTTCCCTTCTTCTTCTTCTTCTTCTTCATCATCTTCAGCATCATTATTTTCTTTCCCTCTCTTTCTTCTCTATGCGATGGATAATACTTCCATCTCTCTAGCTCAAACTCGGTAAAAGTATGCCAATTCGACTGTTTATTTCCCGTCAATGATGAATCCATTAAGAATTCTGCAATTCCGACGATCTCCAGACTTTGTGAGATTGCATGTTGACCCTTCTACACTTGATCTGATTATACTTCTTATCCATTGATTTTCTTTAATGGTGTTTAGTAGATTGAGCTAACATAGAAGCTTTTCCAGGTCTATACACGTAACGCCTAGCTGCGACCATGTTACTAGGTCACAGGGGTAGATTGTCAGGGAGGATGTCGTTTATTGCTAGGTGTAAACCTCAGTATCGAGCTCCCGTGATCTTGTTTTGTTCAAGAATAGCATCGATCTCTGCCATATCCGCGTCGGAGAGATGAGGGACTCCCTGCAAATTCTGAGTAACTTTATCCGTGGTTGTACCACCGGGGATAGGGATAATTGTGGGCATGCCAGGTTTCCCGCTCAATGTGAGAATCCAAGCCAGAGCAACCTGTATAGGGGCGAGGCCTTTGCGAGCAGCTAGGTCATTAACCTCGTTCAGAAGCTTGACATTCTGGGTCATAGCTGCATCCTGGTACCTCGGCAGGTGCTTGCGGAAGTCACTGTCGTGAAGCTCGGAGACTTTAGTGAAGGCGCCTGCCAATATTCCTCTCCCCAAAGGCGAGTAGGCTACAACAGAGATGCCCAGCTCTGCGCAGGTTTCAGCCACGCCGTTGGTGAGGATGCTGGTATCCCACAGAGATAGTTCAACCTCGACCGCTGCGATGGGATGAATTTTGTTCCTGTAATGGTTAATTAGGTCATGCAAGAAGGAAAGCAAGGAAGAAAGAAAGAAAAAAAAAAGGGGGGGGGTCATACGCTCGTCGAATCGTCTCCGCATCTACTTCACTTAATCCAATCCCTCCGATCTTGCCTTCCTTAACCAGCTGGGCGAGAACAGTAACCGTGTGCTCCACAGTAGTTGTCGGGTCCTGTCTCGCACATTCAAAGATATCAATCGTCTTTGTTCTATCCAAGACCCGTAGACACTCATCGACGCTGCGCCGCCTTGTCTGGATTTTTCGTAAAATACCGCCTAAGCACATGCATCGAATTGTACTCGGGAGTCCCGTAGAGCTCTCCTCCATTCCAGAAATTCCCGCCTAGCTCGAGCGCCTTCTCGAGACACTCGAAAACATTGTTCCAGCGATGGAAGCTGTGGCCTCCAGGTCATTCCTGTTCTTTGTGAGCTACGGTATTCCTTCTGAACTGGAGGAGGAGGAGGAGGAGTAGAAAGGTGTGGTGACATCACCTCACATTGTAACTATTGTATACATACGTACCCATCAACCCATAACCAGTTTCGCCGACCTCACGACCGACAAGCGAAGGCATATTAACGTCCGTTGCCTCTGTGGGATTTGATTGCTCCGTCCAGCTGTAGTGATTGTTCTTGTGCATGGAACGAGGTTTTTTTTTTTTTTTTTTTTTTTTTTCCCCTCTGGTTCGGTGCCACAATAATGAGGGGGTAGCAGCAAAGACTCCGTACGACGTTCTCATACATACATACATACATACATACATACATACAAGGAGATAAAAAAATCTTTGTTGCTTTGGAGTTTGAATACAGATATCTATTGGACTGCTAGTAACTAACTACTCCTAAGTTAGACTATTCAAGAACAAGAATGGTAGGGTATTGTATTGTATTGTCTATATATATATATATATATATATATCAAAAGATTCCTACAATAAAACCTCATCCCCATCATCCAAGACCTCTCGGAAATTCTTCCTCAAGGACTCGAACAACGAATTCATAAACCCCACCGGGTCATCCACGGGGTCCTTCCCACTCTCGACTGCGTTATCCTTGGCCGTTACGGTGCTGTTATTGCTGTTGCTGTCGTCAATGGCACCATGGACGTTGTTGCTGTTGGTATTGCTACCGTGTGAACCGAGATGGTTGTATTCGTCTAGCTTCTCGAGACTGGTGTTGGCGAGAAGAGTGGAGAGTAGGTCTGTATGGCTGGGGATCATTCTCTATTCGATTATTTTATTTTGTTAGATGGGCTGGTTCTTTTTTCTCCGATTTATCTCAAGTGTGTGTGTGTGTGTGTGTGTGTGTTGTTGAGGAAGGACATACATACTGGGTCTGGAGATCTGCTGCGCAGATTGGTTGCTGGGGTTGGAAGGGAGGTGCTGAGTGAGATGAAGATGAAGACAGAGGTTGAGAGGAGGAGGAGGAGGTTAGTCCATGTTGATGAGGGAAGCATTGTTTCTGGTGATTGATAGCGAGTTGCACAGTGCACAGTGCACAGTGCGAGGTTGGAGTTTTATTCTATAGATGGATTGGGGACGTAAAGGTAGATAGGGACTTAATTTCCTAAGGTATATATATATGTATAATACGAACAAGTGAACAATAATCCAAGCTTGATATCACCTCAAGTCGCATATATACCCTACCCTACCCTACCCTACCCCACCCCCTAATTATCTATGAACCCCTTTGGATTGCTTGCCGTCATGTGGAATGGAATGGAGACGGACGGATCGCGTCGGCTGGTGTCGGAGAGTGCTAGCTGGGGCTGGTATTAGTATGATGCACTTATTGTACTCCGGAGAGAGAGAGAGAGAGAGAGAGAGTTGGGTTCCCTTAACTTGATCAAGCACTATTAGCGACCATCACTTGGCCTCTGCGCCGTGATGTTCCCCGAGGGAACTTGTTCGTGGTGACGTCGTGGTGGAGATGAAACAAGGGGTCCCAAAAATCAAGACACGGTGAGACACGACGACATTCCAATTGCTTCAAACATGCTGCACGAGCTTGTCCGCCGGCATGGGGAGGGGGGGGGGGATCAGGCCTGCCACCAGTATTCCGTTGTCTGAGGGCAGGCTATCTGTAACCGAGAATGTGTTAGCATTGATTTGAAGCAATTGGGTATGCTCTTCTTATTGCTATACTAGCTATACTATTTCACAAGACGCTTCAAGAGAGAAGGTAGTTCCCGATAATGTACACCTCTTCCCCGCTGCCACAAACTTAGTTAAATATCATCATCATCATCATCATCATCATATCATATCAGTAGAACCCAAGTGACTTCAATCTGGACATAAGAAACCCACCCACAATGCCTCAACAACAACAACCACAGAAACAACAACAACAACAACAACAACCCAAAGAACACCCCCGAGATCAAGACCAAGGGCAAGACCAGAAACAAAACCAAAACAGAAACCCCCACACCCCCAAACAGAACGCAAACAGATCTCTGCATCTAAGACCTTCGAACCCGCCGCGCCGTTCTAGGTGACGCGCTCCCTCCAGCTCCATGCAAATAAGCCATGATCACGAATGACCCAGCAGCCTGCTGGATATCAGGCTGGTGCTGGTGCTGAATCCGCAGCCAGCGCTCGGGATGCATGTGATGCTTATCATGTGCTGGCGGGATAGAGGCAATGAAGACTTGATGTCGTTTTGGTGGAGAGGGAGATATCTTTCTCTTTTTTTTTTTTTTGTGTTTTCACTGTGGTTTCTTTTCGGGTTGCTTTGTTTCTGTTGCTGTGTTTTGCTCTGTTGAGTATTTGATTTGATTCGATTCGATTCAGTTCAGTTCGATTGAGTTGGTTGGACTGGGTGACTGGTGAGATTTGGCCTGCTGTGGGTTAGCATTGGTGTTTGGTTTGGCTGTGGGATATTACATGGAGACCAGGAATGAATTGAAGCTGAATCCTGGAGGAGAGAAGGTAAAGTGTAGACTTGTCATGGGGAGTTACTAGTAGTTGTCTGTGGACGAGAAAGCTACAAGTACATACATACATACACCTACCACATCTTCATCCAGTCCCTGTAGTCGGACGCAGCAGCTGAAGGAGTTCTCGGCGGCCAGCAAGCATCCATGAAAATGAAACAACGAATGTTATGAGCGTTCTCAGCAACAAGTGCCCTAGTTAGTTAGCCTCTTCCTCTTCGTCAGCATCCGTACTCTTAACTAACTAACTAACTACAAAAGTTACGCTCTTGTAAAGCGCTTCGTTTTTTCCTCTTGGTTCCAGAAGCTATAACGATGCCCGATTAAGGAACTACCTAGCTAGCACCCGTGAGTCGTGACTCCTGGTCGTCGAGCAAACCACACGTCTTTGTGCGTGGAGTATACATACGCAACTCTAGTATTCTTGATCGTCAAACAATTCAACCAAATGCATGGATACGAGAGGTTAAAGCGGATTATGGATATCGATATTCTTAAGGGGCAAGACTAGGGCATTCGTAGGTGTCTACGTAAGTTACTTCCGGTAGAACAGTTGGATTAGAAGAGGGTGTCCAGTGAAGCCCCGGGAAAGCCGATGTTGCGATCAAACGACGCTTGGTGGTGTAGAGTAAGTAGCTTACGTATGTTCAACTCACATTGCCTATTCCGTAATGGTCATCCGCCATACAGGGTAGTTAGTGTACGGAGGTGCGAGTAATTGACCGGCAAGTGGCTTGAGTCGGTACGCTAGAAGAAGGGGCGGACTGACTACTGAGTCCGTGGTCGAGCAGGTACATAATCTCTAGCCACAATTCCAAGCGGAGTTGGACCCTCAGGGTATCGAAAAAAAAAAAAAAAAAAAAAAGAACTCAGTGCTGAGTGCTGTCGGCTCCCGAGTAGATCAAACCCAAGAGAGACTTATGCATGTCCTATCTATATTATATGCATCACTCTGGTGAATTCTTTCTTGACGTAGAGTCGTCTGTCGGACGGGTTGAAGCTGGTAGTAACGCGGTAGGTATCCTACTAAGAACCCCACCGAGTGACGTCTCCGCTTACGCAGCTTGATGTGACGAGGCTGCAGTCGAGACCCCGATTGCGCTGAGATCGGGGGTGATTGTTATTTATCTGATAGCCAAGCCGTGGAGCGAATGTGTTTATTTTCCTGGAGTCTGGAGAAATGCATGAGTGGCAGCCGAGGACTTGGATGAGACTCGAGTGAAGAAGTTACATAGATGTTTTTTAAAAAAAAGGGTATTAGGGCATAGTTCCGAGAAGCGAGTCGGGTAGGAGATTTCGGAAATCTTTCTGCCTGTGCCAGTAAACTGTAAGTGTAACGGTGCGTCAGGTCCAACAACTCCACTGACTGCACCGGAGAAAATCCAAGTAATTAAAAAAAAAAAAAAAAAAAAAAAGAGTGGAACTGGATTGGACAGAGTACTAGTAACTCCTAGTACTGGTTTCGATTATTCCACTCAAGAGTCAAGACTCCCAGAGTTGGGAGCTTGCAAGGTAAAGCCAAGTTCAATACCGATGATAGAGGGCTACAGTTGTACAGAGTCCTGTACTCTGTCAATCGGATACGCCTCGGTATGAACATGTGCAGCCTTTAATCCCTTTAATCCCGCTGGGTCGCATCGCTGTTCCAAGCTTTTTTTTTTTTTTCTCCCTCTCGGACCCTGAAGATCCCACCACCACGGGTTGCTACGGACCTTACTCGGCGATACAATACTACTAGTAGTAGTAGTACTAGTATCTGCCACGCAATGCACGCGGAAACTAATCCCTAATACGGGATGGAACTCGCCTACCGGAGGACTCGTACTACTAGTAGCTAACTAGTGAAGGATCTCCACTCCGGACAAAGTTGAAAGAGTCCCCGAATGGCTTAAATCTAGATTGTCCAGTTGGTGGTTCTGTCTTGGATGGCCTTCCTCCTGAGCAGCGAGCTATCTTTGGAATGGTATCCCTGGAAGCAGGGAAGATCTGAGGGACTGAAAATAGCACTACTACTAGTATCCGTACTCCGTGACACCGTGTGAAATGTGAAATGTCTTAATTTTAATTCCTTAGTGATCTTGGCCCCCAGCCACTACGATCTCTAGTTGTGTTTTCCACAAGAGGACACGTAGAGTAGAACTAGACTAGAGACTCTGGAGAAAGGCTTAACAGAGAGAGAGAGAGAGAGAGAAAGGGGGGTTAATATAATTAGAGCTCTGGAAACCGCGCGGACGGCTGCCGGGCTAAATTCAACAGGGTTTGGCTAAGAAAGTTTTATGCTAGAGCCGTAAAGCCGGAAAAAATCAACATTTCCCCCCTACTCCGTAGGGTTCGGAGTGGGAAATGGCACACATCCGAGATCAAGGAGAAATGAAATCTGCTCCAAACTCCAAAGTACAGAGAATGAACGAAGCGAGCAAGCAAGCAAGCTAGCTGCTAACTAGGGGTCTTCCGGGGATTACCTACTTCGTAGACTAGGCGTAATTATGGGCCGGTTCTATGGCTCTTAGTCTTCCGTCTGGATTATTCCCCCGCTCCACATGGCGTTTATGGATCTAGCCAATTCTTCTCTTGTACGTACTACTCACTAGTCACTACTCAGTCGGGTCTAGCGGACTGGGATTATGGTAGTGAAAATCCGTAGGACTGAGTGAGGCCGCCCTGGGGCCTGAAGATATGTGAGCCCGAAGGACCCTGATTTTTTTTTTTTTTTTTTTTTTTTTTTTTTGGGACAGGGACGCGTATGTCTCGGGCGTGGCTGTTAGCATTTAGTAGTAGGTTCACAACTGAATACTCCGTACTAACTTCATCAAGACAAAGAACACACCTCTCTCCTGACAGAACGTACACAGCCAAGCTTGGCTTGACAATTCTCAGCAATCTAGGATACAAACAGTACCGAGGAGGACGGAATATGTAGGAGGATTGGTACCCTTAAGAACCTGATCCAGGTCATTACTCCGCTTCGAGGAGTTGGGTAGCTGTCTGGCCCTGAAAGAAGTGATCAGCGTTCAGCAGCTGTAGGGGAATCTTGGCGTCTCAGTCTATTTTCTCGGGAAGTTAACCGTTGCTGTCAGGAGAGTCTGGCCCTGAGTGATATAGGCCGGCTCCGTACATACTACAGTATACACACGTCTGTACTCGGATTGGCGTATCCGTAATCGTACTCCGTACTCTGTATTAAGCGGTCATTTTTCCGGAAAAGAAACAGCAATAATCCGCGGCAGAGTCTGTAAGTCCGACAGAGTTGTTCTTGCGAACATCCAGAGTAGAAAAGAAAAGAAACCTGATCATTGAGATTCAACGGTAAACTGAGGGTTCAAGTTTGATTTCGATACGTCAGCAGCAATCTCAGGGCTCTCGTTGGTACCATTTTACCTCTACAATGTTCCTCGACTCCGTACTATGCACCCACCATGTCTTGATCATACTATTTCATGGGGCCTACAGCAGCCGACGCAGGGAACGGAACGCCTTATCATCGCGTATACTAGCCTCCGGAGGCGCAGGGCCCAAGCAACAAATGATAATTTCTCAGGGAGTAACAGCCACAATCACACCCGTTCCACCGGCCCGCTTACATAGTCTATAGAACTGCACTTGCACGGAAATGGAGACGCAACGTCAACCAACACGTATACACTACCTGGATGTATTCCATGCCGTGCCCCTGATAATAAGTATAAGGTGGGCAAGTGATTGAAAGGGGGCCCTAATTGAGCTAAGACTGGCTGAGCATGAATAGGAATACTTTGTCGGGGAGTAGATACCTAGGAAGCCCTAGACATACGTAATGCACATCATGGTTGGTTGCTTGAGCCACAGGGTTCGGCCGTAAAGTTATTATCCGTAGATTACTCGTCCCTAGTACGTATTTCCTGTTATACTTCAATCCGAGTTTGGCTTCAGAATACCTGTCTGAATGGAAGAAATAGTCAAAGCTTGTCCTGTTCTGATGGGACAGGGAATATAAGACCTTGAGAAATAAGAATAATCTATAGTTATCCATATCCTACCTTTATAACAATACCATAAAGTTTACGCCGGCGCAGGAACTAAAAGTCCGTTATAGCTTGGTCTTTTTTTTTTTTTTAAAATTACATCCCAATTTTGGCCCCTGGTGGATTATTTGAGGCCAAGGGAGTTGGGAAGAGAGAAGAAGAGAATCTCGAATGAATGAATAATGTTAAATGATGCTGCCTAACTCCACTGAAATGAACTGCTCCAGAGTCCAGTCTAGTTGGAGTCCACAGTGGGCTCCCAACGTACTACCAATGTACTAAGGACTGGCTTTGGCGATGGTCAGAGCTTCTGGAGAGACCCTGGACCAGTTTCAAGATGCCTTGGAATAAAACTCTTGCCTCTTCTTCATTTCTTTCAATTCCCATCTCCCTTCTCTTGAATCCATCTTGAAATTATCAATCGCCTTCTCTCCCTGATCCGCACTTCTCTGGAAGAATTGTTGCTCAAGTTTAATCTCTCTCTCTCTCTCTCTCTCTCTCTCTCTCTCAATTTCCCGTTTCTTGAAACCTCAAGACAGCCCGATTTGCAGTATTCCTTGCGCTATCTGGCTTTCGCTGCCACGCATCCCTCATTAGAGTCTACCCGGCTGGAAAACGACGCAAGGCAGAGAGACATCTCCATTCGTCTATCCGTTCTCTGTCAGATCTGCGCGCCCAGGTGCCTGTCTACAGATCGAGGGGCGTGTTACACGAGAAAAACCACAAACATCTTCGAAGGCAGCTGCTGGTGTGTGTTCTCTTACCCTTTCCCCCCCCCCCCCCGTTTCTTTTCTTTTGAAGATTTTTTACGACCTTCCTCCTGTTCTTTTCCCCGTCTCAACTTATAGATCTCCACATGAAATCGCCCCTTGGATTAGGCTATCAGAGGCGTTTCTAGTGGGAGGGAGGCTAAAGTTGATTCATCAGATTGTTTTTTTTTTGCTTCTTCTTTAAAACCAAAAAAAAAAATCTGCTAACTGTTATTTCAAAAGATCTGAAGTTTTTTTTTTTTTTTCTTGCTGTGGTAAGGGAAATGTCCAGCTGCAGGGCAAGTTTTGTGTCGATCTTGAACAATGATGATAACCCATCATTTGCTGTTCGATCGGCTCACGGGATATCCACCTCCTCACATCCATACCAACTAGAGCAACCGTCATCAAAACCGCCATCCGATTATCATTTTGGCAGAACTTACTCCGACTCTCCATCGCCGAGGGTAACACGACACCCGTTTGATCCCGTTACAGAAGCTGCTCAGCCAGCATCACCCGGTTCCTCCGATTGCTCATCTTACGACTATACGGCCACTTCAAGCGCAGGCTCCTACCACCAACCCACCCGTTCAGACCCCTACGCTTACCGACTGCCTTCTGAGAAGCGCCTCAGTGCCAATTCTGTGGGCGACCCTCCATCTCCCCAGACCTCGATTGCCAGCACGTCTAAAGAGTCTGTCGCTCCCAAACCAGCTCGCAAAAACAAGTACCCTTGTCCATTCGCGGCTAGCCATGCCTGTACCGCTACATTCACAACTTCCGGCCATGCTGCACGACACGGTAAGAAACATACGGGAGAGAAAAGCGTACACTGCCCGATCTGCAACAAGGCTTTCACGCGGAAAGACAACATGAAACAACATATCCGCACCCACCGAACACATTCCGACGACATGTCCTCCAACGCCACCGAGCGGGACAGTGACGCGAACAGCGGATGGTCAAGCAGGAGAAAACACCCATACGATCATTAGCCATCGCACGTTCAGTCCGGGAAGGGGGAAATACGACTGTCTATGATAGCATGACGGCAAATGATTTCGAAGATTTGAAGTGGCAATCACCGTTCACCAGTGTCCTTTGGGACCATGTCATCACTATATAGTTGACGAGCAACGGACGCCCAAGGAAGAATCGACCAGCCTTCTTTTGGAAGCCTGTGAGGGCTTCCCGTGTGAGAGCTAAGGCCTCACATTTTCTTTTATCATCGGACGATTCGTCCCACAGTGTCGAAACCGGAAGGTTCGAGCCCAAGACGTCCTCAGAGCGACGCCAAGGTGACTGCTGGGCAGCACTCGCATTATGCCAAATTTCTTTTACTCTTTTTTTTTTTTTTTTTTTTTTTTTAATTCAATTATCTGCCGCCTGAAAGCGACAAATAGAATCGGATAGACATGTGCATCCAACACCGTTCGGGAATAGACTCTTCCACGTACGAGTTGGATATACATTATTTTCCCTCCTGTTAGATTATTAGTGATTGTCATGAAGGGCCTTGGGAAGATCGACTCGGAAGCCGAATCGAATGTACAGTACAGATTAAGCGAAACGATGAGAGTTCACCGTGGTGATACCCAGATTCAACCACAAATTCCTCCGTAAATGGTACACGCGATAAAAGAACCACGGAACGAGGCGGTGCAGACTCCATGGTACTGTACTCATCTCGAGTCTGGATCAGGGACTCACTAGTTGGCCCTGATCTGGCAGCGCAGCTTGATTTTAGTTACAACACGTTCGTCTTGAATCCTGTCCAACTTCCAGGCTGGTGACCTCATTCGCCGCTGGCACAGGCAGGAAGATTCTAGATAGTCTCTGGATATTTGGAAAGAAACGTTAACTGTATGTGTAGTGTGTCTGGTGAGCAGCCACCGTTATAGTCCCACAGCCACTTATCTCCAAATACGTCAGAGGATTGCGGCTGCTGCCCCGCTCTCTCTCTCTCTCTCTCTCTCTCTCTCTCTCTTCTTTTCTCTCACTTAAATCATCATCATCATCTTCTTCTTCTTCATCTTTTCTTAAACTGATACCGTTCTTATGACTGCTTCGCTCCTTTCCTAACTCTACTACCACATGGCGTACTACGACAACCGCCATTCCTCTAATGATCGCTATGGAGGTACCCAGCAGGTAGAGGTTGCTAGTCATACACACGGTGGTCGCTCTGGAACCAGAGACAAATATTACCGTGACCATCCTTCAGGAGATTATGGTTATGACTATGGTCGTGACCCTTACTATAGGCGATCCATGGATGGTGTTTATAGGTCACACTCTGCGGCTGGGTACCATGAAGACCCAGGCTACTATCGATCCCATGTCCGACGATCCAGGCGTTATGACGACCGACGTGCGTATTCCGTCCCCAAGCAGACAATCAAGGTAGAAGAACCATGTTCGACTTTGCATGCTAACGTACGCAGGCGATCGCGACAATTACTCCCATTCTCGATCAACTAGCCGCTCACCCCCACGCCGTCACAGATCCTCGTCAGACCGTGCTCCTGGCGCGTCGGGCTTAGGATCAGCGGCGGTAGCAGCCTCTAGGTCGCATGGCAGTGGCCGTGGTCGCTCGCGTGGCCGAGACCGTCGCTCTTACTCGTACTCGCCATCTCCATCCCGGGCAAGTCGTCCCCACAGCGACAAGGGTGAGCAGCGCATCACTCAGGCTGTCAAGGCAGCCTTGACTGCAGGAGCGATTGAGGCTTTCCGTGTCCGTAAGGAGCCTGGCGAGTGGACTGGAGCGAAAGGCCGACGGGTTCTCACGGCTGCGATCACCGCCGGCGGGACAGATGGGCTCGTTGACCGTGACCCAAGCAGACATTCCAAGCGTCATATCATCGAGTCGACGCTTACCGGTCTGGCCACGAACCGGATTGTGAACGGCTCTCGATCCCATTCCAGGTCCCGAAAACACTCATCGCGTTCCCACTCGCACGGACGCAGTGGAGCTAAGGATGCCGCCCTCGCCGGTATCCTCGCCGCTGCTGGTAAGGAAGCCTATGATCGATTCCGCTCCAAAGATCAAAATCGGGACCGTCACAGGTCCAGCTCTCGGGACAGCTATGACCACGATTCCACGCGCCCCCACCGATCCAAGAAGCGCAGCAAGAGTGTGACCGACTACCTCAATGAAGGTATAGAAGCATTGGGATTCAAGGAAGGGGACAAGGGCAAATATCAGGACAGAGATGATCGGTCCCGACGGCATCACCGATCATCGCGTCACGTCGACTCCTCGGATGATGGCCGCTACAGCGACAGCGACTACTCTCGCCGCCAACCAAGCCCATCACGGGGAGGCAGGCATTCCAGAGAGGTGAGTCGATCTTTCAACACCACCTCAATGGGGAACAGAGGCGATGAGGGCTACGGCTACGGCTACGGATACGGGCACTTGGACACCACCCTCAGTAGACCGCAGTACTCTCGCTCTGACTCCCGAACCCTCCCTAATGCCCGCTCTCGTGCCCGTCATGGAAGTAAGAAGAATAATAACCCTGACTCTGACTCGGAGAATAGTACCGATGAGGACAAGAAACAAAGAAAGCTCAACAAGGAAACCCTCTGGGCTAGGGGACTTGGCCACAGCCGCCACCATCCATGCCGCACACACTCGCTCGCTGAAAACGTGAAAAAAAAAATAATAATAAAAAAAAAAAAACGACGAAGGTGAAATCACCCCGGAAGAAGCCCGCCGCTGCGAGTATCCACGGCGCCGTCTCGGAATGGAACCATGTCGATAAGAAACGACGCGAGCGCACATCATTCCAGAAGGAACGCGAATCGAAGAAAACCAAAATCCGTTAATGGTGGCAGCAGCAGTGGTGGTGGTGGCCCAAAACGCACCCCCCAGAGCTTGAGCCATCGTCATCTTCCTCGAAAAACAGTATACCCAGATGAAATTGAAGAAAACGGTTCGATAGCGGACCATCAGACCAGGTCGATGCGAAGGTTCCGCTTCTACGAGGGCTGTTTGATTTCTTTTCTTTTCTTTCTTTCCTATCATTTTCCCACATAAGAACCGTCCCCCACCCGCATGTCTTGCTTGGTTTATCTGCAGTTTGACGTGATATGATATCAGAGTTACGAATAATGAATGAGATAACGAGCTACTTTTTTTTTTTTTTTTCTGTAACTATGGCACCCGAGCTCTATCTGTTACATTTTCCTTACCTCTTTAGAACTACTGGGCTTGCTCTCTTGCTTGGTTTTTGCCGTTTTTTTTTTTTTACACGAGTACGAGAACGAGAATGAGTAGGAGAGTACGTACGAGTTGTGGTTCTGAGAGTTGGCTTGTGTAGCTTGCAGGGTTGCATGCTTCGCTATGTATACGGTATAACTAACTAGTTACTAGTTATGCTATGCATACATACATACATACCTGTGTATGCTAGATGTAGTGCAATCATAGTCCAAGGTAACTAACTACTTTACCTCTCTTACTCGCTTGTAGAAACCAGCTACGGAGAAGAAGAAGAAGAAGAAGAAGACTGCCCTAAACCAAGGGAGGAGGGACAAAATGAAAGCAGAAGCCAAAATTCATTCCAGCCACACAATCAAGCGTGGAGAGATAGCGTAGCTACCTGATTAAGTGACCTCCGACCCAAACCAAGTCGAGTCGAGTCAAGTCGAGTCAAGTCAAAAAGGGGAAAGATCCAAGCGAAACACAAACACAGCACAGCAGCGATCTATGTTCAATATACCCAACCAAGACCACAAAAAAAAAAAGCAAACACCGGGTTTTCGAATTAGGCCGTATGAGACAGAACAGAGAAATCGACAGTGCACGAAGTGATGTGGGAATAATACAGACAGGCAGATACAGACAGATGCATACACACACATAGAGACACACAGAGAAAGAGAGAGAGAGAGAGAGAGAGCCAGCATGGTACAAGATAAAAGAGTGTAGGGACTCTTCAAAGTTGGGCTTCAACGTTCCTTCTTTTTGGACTCCTATTTCAAGTCCACGGGTTTGATATGTTACACAATAGGAAGTGTAATAAGATGTATTGTGACAGCAACTCCAACTAATGGAGCGGATTTTTGGACCCTGGATTTGGCTGATGTGTCCAGAGGCAAGGATGGCCCAGGGTAAAAGGCAAATTTGCTGTCACTCCTCGCTAATAGTGGGGGAATTCCAAAAAAAAAAAAAAAAAACCTATCACAGAAGAATGAGAGGCTTCTACCTAGCGCCACTGATGTAGTGATCATGGTAGGAATGCTGGAATTGCTTTACGAGTAAATAGATATGACTGTCGTTGGATCAAAGGATTATCGATCGGCTTTAAGGTTAAGCCAGCTCATGTCGGAGTTGATGTTGTTCCTCGGCATAGGTTCGCCATGGGGAATGAGGATACTGGATCCTCGGGTGTTCGTGCGAGCCGAGTCGTGTTTTCGATAGTCAATCGTTGGAGACAGCCCGGCGGAAGGCAGATCTCGGATACTCTGGGTGTTGTGGTAGCAGCTCCCGCTGTATGTACTGCTGGGAGGGCGGTTGATCCAATTTTGGGTTGGCCAACTCGGATCATTCGACCCCATCCGCCCGTCATGGTCATAATCGTCGTCATCGGAGTGAAGGCTGATCGAGTCTGCACTAGAGATTCGAGCCGACTGGCTTTCCGGGATTGCGATGTGACGGCCATCTTTGATTGACGAGGCGTGTTCCGTTGTCGGGCTGCCGCTGAGAACGCGGCCCAATGGCGTGGGTTGTTCGAGGAAGCCCATGTTTAAGGGTGGAAGGGCATTACCACCCGCAGGCCACAGAGTGCCTCTCTGACCCCGTTCAAAGCCCGCACCGGCTTGGTGGCCTTGGGGCTGCAAGCCTGCCGAACTAGCCGCACTATTATTGTTTTGGAAATACTTGCTCCAGCCTTCATTGGACCTTCGATCCCCCGGGCGTGGCAAGGATTCTTGGGCCTCCATAGCTTTATCGTTGTGTCTATAGTCAGTGGCTGGAGTCTCATCTTCACTGGATTGGATAGTGATCAGGGGACTGGACATGACGGGGTGAGAATTTGGCATATAGCCCGGGAGAGCGCGACATTTCTCATCCCCCACCCGGCCTGAGAAGATATCAAGCGAATCCATGGACCTGGCCGCGAGAGGTGCTGGACTTTGCGCCATTGGATAGGCGGAGCGGGCCAGGGGCTCTACACCCTGATCCTGGAAGCTCAACCGGTCCTTATCGACATCTTGGCCTCCGTGAGCCCTTTTCTGTTTGTCCTTCCTACGTTTGATTAAGAACAGAATTATCAACAAGACTGCTGCAATACCCAAAAGGGTACCCAGAGTTGCTCCGATGATCGTGCCAGTATTGCTACTCCCTGAGCTGCCACCTGATGAAGAGCTGGACGTAGAAACGGATCCGGCTGTGGAGTTGGTGGTGTTAGTAGTAGTAGTAGTAGTAGTTGTCGTGGAACCGAGAATGTCTTGCTCCGACTGATCGCCGTAAAACAGTTTGGTTGAGTTTACCCAGCTATTTGAGGTCTGGTTGAAGATGGCCAACGAATCAGTGCCACTCCCGCTCGAAATGACCACCAGGGAGTTGTTACCCTGAGCCAGCGAGTAAGACTGCCGTGTGGTCGAAGAGGCAAGGGTACCATTGTACTCCGGATAGCTGTCCCTTTTTCTTTTCCTAGAGGATCGAGTCGTCTTTGGTGAGGGACTGACTAGTTCTGTGGTTGTGACGGTGTTGGGTGAAACGCTCATATCGAATACCTGGAGGATTTTGCTTCCATCGGATCTACGGATAAGAGCACACTCAGAATCACTGGGGACTTCGTTTTTCAGGGTAATCTTGGCGTCAGCCCATCCGTTCGGTGGTTGATAGATATGGACTCCTTTCGTCGACGTTAGGCCTCCAATCAAGGCAGCTGCATTGTCGGCCCAGGGAACCAGAATGGGGGAAACAGCCGGGGAAGCATTCTCTCCAGATTGGGATGTTACCGTATAGGGCGACGCGGTTTGTAGAAGAAATGTATCGGAAGTAGCGCCAGACCCATCTACTTGGCTACCACCATAGACCAATATCGAGGAGACCGATTTGATGTAAATGGCGCTGTGCGAGGTCCGGTTGGAGGTAACCGAGCCTGTCGGGAGAATGGTCTTCCATGTTTTGTCGTTGAAAGAGTAGCGCTGTAATCCCGGTTTCCTCTGCAACGAGGATGTGCCTCCAACTACGTAGAGGGCGGGCTGATCTTCATTCCCATCGATTCCACCGGTAACACATGCCGCATCGGAGACCGGCTCGCCCATGGTTAGATTCGACCACGTCCCATTGCGCTGGAGAGGGATGGCGAGGAATCCAGTGGAAGAGTAAGTATAAAGAGTGTTGTCGTGTATGACGGAGCAATGACCCTCCAGTGGCACGGGGGGGTTGGGCACAATCATATCGATACCAGAGAAAAGAGCGTCACTGGAAAGGAAGTCGAGTCTTCGAGTATACCAGCCACCCGACAGGAATCCGGGGGGAAAGGAAAAAAAAAAAAAAAGGAAAGAAAGTTGACTGCCAGAGCACTATCGCATGGTCAATGAGGACACATTTGGCAGAGTGAGTGACAACGAATGGAATGGCGGTGGTCGCGATCGATCAACGGAACGAGAACCGGAGGAGCACAGAAAGCGAAAGAAAAGAAAGCGAGAGGCGACCTGAGTTAACCTGGTGGCTGTCAAGGGGGAAATTTCAGAGGGAAAGTAAGTGATAGACTGCTGCACGATGTCAAATCGGCAGGGAGAGAGAAGAAAGAACGCAACACGGAAGAGAGAGAGAGAGAGAGAGAGAGAGAGAGAGAAAGATAGGGGAGGTGACTGGAGAGAAGAAGAAGAAGAAGAAGAAGAAGAAGAAGAAGGAAATTAATTAATTCTAGGATGGAAACTATGGGCGAGTAATGGGAAGTGAAACAATGGCGGCAACTTAGACCACAACACCATCAAATAAAACCCCAAAAAACACTCACTCACGGACTAGAGAGAGAGGAGAAGCAAAGAGAAATGAAATGGAAGAAAAGAAGAAGAGATGATAGAATCATAACATGAAAAGGGAAGATGGTTGGTAAAGTGAGGAGGGTTGGAGTCTGTAAGGGACCCATTCAGGGGTTTCTCTAGTATCTTGATCTTCATCTTCATATTCATTGATATCCGATATGGTTTCACCCCGAAACTTCTGCTCATATAGAAAACTAACTCTGCCCCTGTTTCCACTGGTGCGCCATCCGTAACAATTTCGACAGATTCGCTGCAGACTGGTCATCCGCCGGGAATACATAATCCATATACTCTTCATACCGATCATCATCCAGCTTACGCCGTTTCTTCACCCGTCGAGGCATCTGTTGCTCGATCTTATCGATATCCTCGGCCGATCCATGCGTATGCTCAAACGACCGCCATGCATTCAGTAGTTCCACTCTCTGTTTTTTTTTCACGTTAGCTTCTAAATTTATTTTTGGAATAGAAAAAAAAAAACTTACGTCTTCCTTCAGTTCCTTCTCCTTGAATAGCTGGTGTGCTCGCTCAAACACCGCCCGAGCACGTCGCTTAGCTTCCTCGCTGACCGGTCGCTCTGCTTCCTCCTCTTCCTCTTCCTCCTCGTCGGGGATATTGATCTCGAAGCGGGCGTAGTTAATCCACACCTTGACATGATCCGTCTTCTCGAGCAGCCGCTCATACAGTTGTCGCTCTCGCTCATACTCGCCTTCGTACTCTTCAAAGTCAATGTAAGCCTTCCACACAAGTTCCGGCATATCTAGGGTCGCCTGGTCGATGCCAAGTTCAAAGATCGCCCGCACACGCTCCGTGTCGTCGAGCCCGCGCTCCAGTTCCGCGTACTTGATCCAGGATTGACTGTTGGACGGGTTCCACTCGATCTGCTTCTCGTATAGTGTCCGGCACCGTACGAACTCAAACAGCTGCTGTTCCAGATCCACGTAGCCCCGGAACAACTTATCCTTCGGGCACATTCCCAGGGCCTGGCCCAGGGTCTTGCGCGCTGCCTGTAGGTCCATCTGTCGGACGTCGAATTGCGCCTTCATCAGCCAGATTTTCGCAAACGTAAACTTCTTGTGAGGGACGAGTTTGAGGCATTCCGCGTAGATCTGGCGCGCCCGGTCGATGTCCTTGGCCTCCATTTCCTCCCAGATCGCATAGAAGATCCAAAGATAGATATACCGTCTCCAGTGTCGCTTCTCTTGAGATGGGGGGATCTGGGCAATCGCGCGCTCGTAGATATCGCGAACCCGTTCGGGGTCCCCGGAAGTCTCTTCCAACCGCGCAAAATCGAACCAAACGTCGTAGTTTCGGGGGTTCTCCTTCAGCTGTTCCTCATACTGAACTCGGCGCTTGGAGAGAATGACATCCTCCACCCCTTCCCGGTCGCCAAATTGCTTCTCGAAAGTCGTGTATGCTTTGTGTAGTGCAACGGATTTGGAACGAGGCAACCGATCCAAAGCATACTTGTAGATGGCTCGAGAGCGCTCATACTCCTTTAGCTTTGCCTCGAACTTGGCGTAAGCGATGAAGAGTTTCTCGTCCATGAAATCCTCCCCTAGCGTTTCCACAGCCGTGCCGTACACCTCCCGGACAAGGTCGCCAGTGCCATACTCTTCCTCAAAGCGAGCCCATTTGATCCAATTCCTCGGCTCAGGATGCACAATCGTGAATCGCTGGAAGATGGCCCGCGCCCTCTCAAACTCATTATACCTCTTCTCCAGCTTAATATAAGCGCTCCACGCCCCCTCCTCCGGCTCCCAGGACATCCACCGCTCAAACACCTGCCGGGTTCCCGGAATATTCCCCAGGGTCTCCTCCATGTAAACATACTTGTACCAGAGCTTATCCACGCGCGGCAGAATCGTCACGGCACGATCAAGCAGGTTCCTCGCGTGGTTGATATTTCGATTCCGCATCTCCGACTCAATGTACCGAATCCACAGCACCACAGAGGTCGGGTTCACGTCCAGCGCGCGCTCAAATATCGACCGTGCCCGTCGAAATTCCTTCTGCTCAAGCTCCCACACGGCATACCGCATCCAGTTGTTCATGTTAATCCTGTTGCGTCGCACATAGTCCTCGAACTCTTTGCGCTTCCGACCCTGATATTCATGTAATTCTTCAAGATCCGCAAATCGCTGCGTCGGCGCCTGTAATGTCTCCTCCTGCCGGTCAACAGCCTCGCGGAGCAGCTGCTCCGCTGAGATCTGGATTGGGGCAGGAGCCTTGTTCTTGACCCTGGGCGGGCCGCGTGACGACTCCATGGCGACGTTAGGACCGACCGAATCAGTGGTCGATGGGGTAGGGAAGGTGTGGGAAGCTGAAGCCTAAGTTGAAGGGTATGTATGAGGTTGACGCCTTTCGGGATGGCCAAAAAATGCTGCGCTGAAGGTCTCTTCCGCCTCCCGAATCAGCGAACAGCTTGGATGACTCAGCAAATCAGTCCCTCCACCGTTAACTAACTAGCTACCATGATGAAATAAATTAATGATCCATTTTCAAACCCTTCCCTCTTCTCTCCTCCCCCCTACCCTTTTCCTGCGATATTCTCCCTAGATCAGGTAGCTGCATCAGTCAGCTAGAGGATTCCACTATGTCTAACGCTGAGGACCTTTTGAGGGATTTCGAAGAAGATGAAGATTTCGAAGGTGTGGATGGCCTCGAGGAGGAACAAGAGCAGGAAGATGAGGAGCAGAACGGTGACGAGGAACAGCTCGCTAACCCGGAGGTCTCAAACGAGTTCGAAGTCGCCCTATCGACCGCGGATGAACTCACACGTCTACACAAAAACCTCCGCGATTACTACTCAATCCGATTTCCGGAACTAGAGATTCTCGTGTCGAATTCTATTGACTACGCGAAGACGGTGGCTATTCTCAAAAATGGACCGCTCAACGATATCAAAGCGCTCTCGAACTCTGCAGATAATCTGGTCGGTGTGCCGTTGAAATCTATCTTGGATGGCCCATCGCTGATGGCTGTTGCAATGGAAGGCACAACAACGCGAGGCCGGGAGATGACGGAGGCGGAGCTCAAGACCGTGCTAGATACTTGTGAAAGGATTCTGAAGTTGGATCGGGAGCGCACCGCCCTTACTCAAAGTATCCAGTCGCGCATGAGCCAGATTGCGCCTAACCTGGCGGCGCTGATCGGACCAGAAACAGCCGCTCAGTTCTTGAACCAGACCGGTGGCCTGCGGGAGCTTGCAAAGATCCCCGCGTGTAACTTGGCTGCGCAGGGTTCGAAGAGAAAGGAAGGTCTCGGCTTTGCTACGAACATTGGTATTAGATCCCAGGGGTTTCTCTATAACTCCTCGCTCATACAGGATATTCCGAACGATCTGAAACGGCAAGCGATCCGGATCGTTTCCGCTAAAATGGTGCTTGCGACTCGAGCGGATGTTTCAAACTATAGCCCCGATGGATCCTTGGGCGAAGAACTAAAGCAGCAGTGTTACACCCGTTTAGATAAACTTACTGAGCCTGCCCCCAATGCCAATACCAAGGCTCTCCCCGCCCCAGATGACAAGCCGTCCAGAAAGAGAGGTGGTCGGAGGGCACGAAAGGCCAAGGAGGCGGTTGCGATGACGGAGCTTCGCAAGGCACAGAATCGTGTGGCGTTTGGCAAGGAAGAAGCCGAGGTTGGCTATGGGACTGGTGAAGGGACTGTCGGGCTGGGCATGATCGGCCAACAGAATGACGGGCGCATTCGCGCCACCCAAATCGATCAAAGAACCAGGGCGAAGCTCAGCAAATCCAATAAGGGCTGGGGCGCCGCAACCCCAGTCAGCGGCACTGCTTCATCCTTGCGCGGATTTGGCCAAGGCACAAGCGGCACAGCAAGTGTGCTACAGGCAAAGGGTCTTCGAACTTCTGGTGTTGGAACTTCCTTCGGCGGCGCAGCTGGTACTGCAAGTACTATCGCCTTCACTCCTGTGCAAGGTCTCGAACTCGTTGACCCTAAGGTGCAGGCCGAGCTAAGCCGCAAGCGCAAGGCAGAGGAAGACCGATGGTTCAAGTCAGGCACATTCACGCAAGTCGGGGGGCAGAGTTCGTCAAATGCCTCGGAAGTGAACGGAGGATTCAAAGTTCCCGCGCTGCCCAACAAGAAAGTTGACATTGGTTCAGGCAAGATGGGGCCTCCTCCTCCACCTACGCGGTAGTTATTTTTCTCTCTTCTTCTTCTTCTTTTTCTTGTTCTGGTTCAAATCCGGTTATTGTGGGCATTAAAACGGCGTTTTAAGATAAGATGATCCTGGACCAGCATGATACCATAAAATAATGTATGATACTCTTTTTTTTTTTTTTTAACTCTTAAGTTGGGCAATCAACCAATCCTTAGATTTCAATAATTGCAATCCAAGGTTCGGCACGAAAACTTTTTCCCGGTTCCATGTATGTAACTCAATTAGCAGTTATACTACTAGACACCAACTTCCGCAGGAAACAAAGACAACCCTCACCGACATTCAATCGTCCACTAACGAAGAATGAAATCCTCCGTAGGAAGTAGGAGTCCGACTAGATAGGTATCTAACAGCCATACCATACCCCGGTCTAATGCAGGGGGGGTACGGATACTTCCTAAGCTCCCAAGCTCTGAGGCACGCGGGAACGTTGCGGTGTACCGACATTGCCCAGTGATTGACGATACCATCGCGGCCCGGTATGTATGTATCCCGTCACCGCAATTGCGTGCTCTGGAAGGAATTTTCTTCATTTTGGTCTGGGTCTGGGTCTGGGTCTGGAATTCGACTCATTATATAAGATAGGGTCGTATAATGTATCCGGTTGCTCTGTTATTTTTCTAAGGTAAATCGCACCAAGTCCAAGTTTGTGTCAGCGTCATCGCGATACGATCAGTCAAGTTGATCCTCATCTTGTCGGGAAGTCGAGTAGCAGTACATACCTAGGTAGAGATGACGGCTGCTGCTGCTGCTGCTGCTCCGGTTCCCGTCCCCCAGGCGATCAACGAAAATATTCTCGAGGAGGACGAGAAGGTCTCGATTCCAGGGTGTTTCCCGGATTCTACGACAATCTTAGTCTCACCTAGTAGAAAGCCAAACACCACGACCACTACCACTACCAACAGCAACAGCAATACATCCCATAAGAAACCCCTCATCCAAGCCTCGCCCTATCCGGAACCAGACCACCTCCTGGACCTAACAACCCTCGACCGCCAACCACGACTTCTCGCAAAAGCCCTAACAACCCTCACCAACACCCGCGCGGACTACGCCACAGCACCTTACGCGGAGTCCTTCAATTGGGACACTGTATTCCAGACGCTCCAGGACCTTGCCAATTCCGATCCCGATCCCGAGCCGGAAACAGAACCAGAAACAGAAACAGCACCCCCAAAGAAAGCCAACTGGACCCCGCAAAGCTTCTACGTGGTTGTGTTCCGGTCTGTCCTCCGCGAAACCGCGGACCTGGACCTCCTGTATAGATTGGATTTCGAATCGCATCGGGAAGCGGTGGAGAGTGGGGGGTTGTTGAAGTATTGGTTTGGGGTTCGGAACGAGAGGAGGGAGAATTTGGCGACTTGTATGTTTCCCCCCCCCCCCCCTGTCGCTGTGGAATTGGTGCTGACTTTCTTTATAGGTATTTGGAGGAGTAGGCATGATGCGCGGGTGGGAGGGACTGGACCCTGGCATAAGAAGGCTCGGGGGGCCGCGAGGGAATTGTATGAGGGGATTGAATTCACCACGTTGGAGTTGGTGGTGGGGGGTTCTGTTGGGGAGTGGGAGTTGAGGGATTGGGTTGAGCATGCGGTTTGATCTGTCTATCGCTAGATATATAGATATAGATATAGATGTATACTGTAGATATATGAAACTTTGGAGGTTTATCTTAATTAGGGCCTCACATATCAGATCACGAGTGCAATTTACCCATTCAATGACAGCTGCGCAAGGCTAGATTATATATGATACTTGATGTATGCAACTTAATGCAGAATGCAGTCCCCTCAATCTAGTCCTCTTCCTGGATATCACATCCGCCTCAAAACGTACAATGACAGATTCTGTAGCCAGGTCAGTCTTCACATCGCCAATGAGATCCAAAAAAAGTTGCCATACAACCCAGCATCACAATACCCGCCTTTCCACCCCCCTCCCTGCAAAAAGCACTATCACCCGTCAGCATCTCACCCGGACCTTGGACTCGAAAGAAAAAGGTACATTATTGTTGCAAGCCAGATTAGCCGCAGCAGAGCCGCCGGCAACATTACAGGAGCCTTGGACTGCGGCAAGTGCATCGATTATGGGCATTGGAAGCGCCATCGCAAATAGAGAAAGAAGAGAGAACAGAAGGAGCCCAAGGAAGTTCATTTCAGCTGCCGGAGGAGATCAAGTTGCTGGTGGATGGTGTATTATGATCGATACTGGTATTCTTGAGAAAAGAAAAGCACGAACCATCCCTTGAATTTATATAAGCTGCTCCAACTACTTAGATACCTAGAGGTATGAGGCAGTCTCTACCTATGTAAGGTTGGTTAGCTGTTCAAGCGAGGGATAACGCCGCTTTCTTCCACCTGATGAGGCTCTGGCAGTTCAGTGGAATGTAGAGTACCCGAAGCCTTACATTGTTTGAATCTTCGAAGCAAGGGTGGATGAGGAAGAGCTAATCAGAAAGGTCATATAATCATAGATACGATTCTAGAGTTATTTCTACAATTCGCGTCCGATTCGATTCAATTCATCAGTCTGCCTCTGAGTATGGTAGAGGAGCTGTCTTATTCAGCCCCAGAATGATGCAATCAAATCTTGATCTATTTTGGTCCAGGTAATCCAGAACGATAGCTTCAGGGATAAGGAACTGAGCATAGACTGGCGTGGATATTTTCCACTTGGTCTGAGATGCTGACTTGAATCTTGGGATAGTTATGGAGATGTGGCAGTTATAAAGCGGGGTTATACATAACAAGTTAACTATCTGCACGAAGAATTATTCCCCAGCACTATTCAATTCAACTGATGGGTTTACTTACTGAACAGGTTTCCCTTGGTGAATTGAAAGAATAATTGATATCAGTATTCAAGCATTCATACAATTGTTCTCCTTCATTTACCGGGAGGGTGTCGAATGTGGGGGCTGGACGGACTTGACAACAAGTGAAATACTCCGACCCTCTCGATGACCGGAGTATCTTGAGCTTCTTTCCCTCAGTTCGGGTTCATGCTCGGAGCGTTGTCTTACTGGATTGGATGCCTACGTACTAGCACTATACAGAGTGGATTAGCTAGTTGTTACCTGGTACTTTGGAGGACTGTCTTGGTGTTGTTGTTGTTGTTGTTTGCGAACCTTGAGTCCATGATACAAACCCGAAATTCTCTACTGATTGTTCAATTTACCACCAGAGAAGAGGAAAACAATGTACTTTTTTATATCCCAAAAAAAAAAAAACAACTAAAATAAAATATTTACTAGTTTTAAGAATGGAAATCTCTTTGGAGAGGGCTTACTTGGTAAATCCTCCTCTCCTGCATCGCGCCCCATTTTTTTTCCTTTTCTCTCTGCCCCGCCGCCTCAACCACACTCCGGGCCCCGAGCTGATCTGCCCCTCTTCTTCTCTTCTCTTCTCAACTCCTTTTCTTTTCTTTTCTTCCCTTCTTCTCCCTCCTTTCTTTTGATTTTCATCCATTCTTCTCTCATCCATCCCATCTCCTTTTAGTGAGTAGATTCTTCTGTCCATCTCCTTCATCTCTTCCCAGTTACTAACTCTCTCTCCACAGTTTTCTCTTCATTCACACTTACGTGTAAATACACAACAATGGCTGCCCCCGCCCAGACGTTCAAGGTCGCCGATATCGTACGTGTCCTGTTCTCCAGATACCTCTCAAGTCCAACAATTGCTGACACGGACTTAGTCTCTGGCCGCCTTTGGCCGCCGCGAGATCGAGCTCGCTGAGATTGAGATGCCTGGTCTCATGGCCATCCGTACCAGATACGCTGCCGACCAGCCCCTCAAGGGTGCCCGCATTGCCGGTTGTCTTCACATGAGTATGTTTGCTTTGCGTCCACGAAGGTGCAAATTGAACCCCGCCTGACTCCTCCTAGCCATCCAGACCGCCGTCCTCATCGAGACTCTCGTTGCCCTCGGTGCTGAGGTTACCTGGACCTCTTGCAACATCTTCTCCACCCAGGATCACGCTGCCGCTGCCATTGCTGCTGCTGGTGTCCCTGTGTAAGTCAGCCAGCCACCCAAATGCGTTACCACCCCGCTAATTGTGAATAGCTTCGCCTGGAAGGGTGAGACTGAGGAGGAGTACGAATGGTGCTTGGAGCAGCAGCTCTCTGCCTTCAAGGATGGCCAGAAGCTCAACCTCATCCTCGATGACGGTGGTGACCTGACCTCCCTCGTTCACAAGAAGTACCCCGAACAGCTCCAGGGCTGCTACGGTCTGTCTGAGGAGACCACCACTGGTGTCCACCACCTCTACCGCATGCTGAAGGACGGCAAGCTCCTCGTCCCCGCTATTAACGTCAATGACTCCGTCACCAAGTCCAAGTTCGACAACCTCTACGGCTGCCGTGAGTCCCTCATCGATGGTATCAAGCGTGCCACCGATGTCATGATCGCTGGTAAGATCGCCGTTGTTGCCGGTTACGGTGATGTCGGCAAGGGCTGTGCCCAGGCCCTGCACAGCATGGGTGCCCGTGTCCTCGTTACTGAGATCGACCCCATCAACGCCCTCCAGGCCGCCGTTCAGGGCTTCGAGGTCGTCACCATGGAGGAGGCTGCCCCTCTTGGTCAGATCTTCGTCACCACCACTGGATGCCGTGACATCCTGGTCGGTTCCCACTTCGAGGTCATGCGCAACGACGCCATCGTTTGCAGTAAGTCATCTCAATTCCGTCATGGTTTTTTTTTTTTAAAAAAAAAAAAGAGAAACTAAACAATGCCCAGACATTGGTCACTTCGATATTGAGATCGACGTTGCCTGGCTCAAGGCCAACGCCAAGTCTGCCCAGAACATCAAGCCCCAGGTTGACCGTTACCTGATGCCCAGCGGCCGTCACATCATCCTCCTCGCCGAGGGTCGTCTGGTCAACCTTGGCTGTGCCACTGGCCACTCTTCTTTCGTCATGTCCTGCTCCTTCTCCAACCAGGTCCTTGCCCAGATCGCTCTGTTCAAGGCTGAGGACAAGGCTTTCGGCCAGAAGTACGTCGAGTTCGCCGCCATGGGCAAGAAGCCCATTGGTGTCTACGTCCTGCCCAAGGTCCTCGATGAGCAGGTTGCTCTGCTCCACCTTGAGCACGTCAACGCCAAGCTCTCCAAGCTCACCCCTGTCCAGGCTGAGTACCTTGGCCTTGATTCCAACGGCCCTTACAAGGCTGACCAGTATGTTCCTTTCCTTTCTAGTACCAGGAGCCACACTAACCCGTTGCTGCAGCTACCGCTACTAAATGTTTTTCTTTTCTATTCGTTTGGGATACCCTAACAACTAGATTTTTTTCAACATGATCATGATGTGACGAATAACATATGGGGGTTCTTTATCAACTAGGGCTCAAAAGCATTGTCCTTCAACGGAAATAAAAATGGCATATATGGGGTTTTTTTCTGGGTAGTTTTTGGTTGCAATGGGCCGGCCTAGTGGAGTATTTGCATTCAACAGTGCGTCCGAAGGATATGTCTTAATGTTTATCATCGATCAAGGAGATGGGATAGTAGCTCCCATGCAGATACCATAATAAATTGAACTTGATCCATATGACACTGAGCCTAGAGTCTTTCTGTACATTTCACGGCATCCATCCCTTAATGACCGACTTAGCTGACTAGTAGAGGCAATGCCCACTGGATAATTTTACCGCGAGTCCTCAGGCAGGAACTATCTATATAGTGCTGTCTCCCGTCCCGCCGGATCTCCCAAAATGGAAATTTCCCGGGGGTGGGGATCACCACCATTTCGCGACGGAGTATATACCACAGCATCCCGATTATTTAACCGTACTCTCGCTCTTGTTCCTTTCTTACCTACCTACCTACAAATTCTACCCAGACCACAATGTCTCGCCCACTAGAAGGAAAGGTTGGTATCATCACTGGCGGATCGCGGGGTACGCTCTCATTCAAAGGATATCAACCCTCCTACATAACTAATGGAGAACCCCCTTACGGATTGAACAGGAATCGGCGAAGCCATCGCCAACAATCTCGCAGCAAAAGGATGCTTCCTCCTCCTAAACTTCACCTCCGAGTCCTCGCGCGCGCCAACCGAAGAGCTCTGCGCCTCCCTCTCCACCACTTACTCTGTCCGCTGCGCCTCCGTGCAAGCAGACCTCTCGACCCCCACCGAAGCCGTGCAAGCCATCCTGTCCGCATTCAAAACACACTTCCCCGACCGACACCAAATCGACATCCTGATCAACAACGCCGGGGTCTCCAAGGACCGCACCCTCAACGACCCCGTCAAGGGCGCCATCGACGCCGACTACTTCACCTGGCACTACACGATCAACGTGCTCGCGCCCCTGCTGCTCACCCAGGCGGTGGCCCCCTACCTCCCCACCGATCGGACCGGGCGGATCGTGAACATCTCCTCGGTTTCGGCGTCGATGGGCTTCGAGGGCCAAAGCGTCTACGGCGGCACCAAGGCCGCGCTCGAAGCCATGACGCGCACCTGGGCCCGGGAATTGGCCGACAGGGCGACGGTGAATGCTGTCAACCCGGGCCCTGTCATCGGGGACATGTACTTCCAGGCTGGCGAGGGCTTCTGGAACCAGATCCAGGGATTCCAGGATAACACGCCCCTGAGTAAGCTTGTCGAGGCGGATCCGTTGGTCGGTGGGTTATCGGGGGAACAGGTGCGGTTGATCCAGGAGAAGATGGGAGGGAGGAGGCCCGCGTTTACCAGTGAAATCGCGGGCGTGGTGGCCATGTTGTGTACGGGGGATGGGGGGTGGTGCACGGGGAGTGTGGTTTGTGCGAATGGTGGCATGAGAATGGGTTGTTAGTACTAATCTAATGTCTTTTGAGTCGGGTTGGTATGTATATAGATGGTCATGATTTTACACTAGGATGTGTTTTGACATCCGGAGTACTGTAGTATATATATCACTCACCTCCGTATAGTTAGTAGATTGTTATCCCTCCAAGTATATATACTTCATAGTTCATACCATCCCCCCGAATAAACTCTTCAATTTAAACAAAGAAGCTACACTACACTACACATCCCATAACGTATATACATATACACCTTCCCCCACAATAAATGAATATAAGCAAGCAACACCTCAACGCGAGTAATTAATTAGGTTTGCAGAGAGAAACACGTGACGTCATCACCCCCATTGCATTTCCGATCCACCCATACATACATGTCGACCTCATCATTTCCAACCCCAGAGTTATCTTCCCCATTCCTCTCCTTTTCGCAAAGAAGAACAAGTAGAAGAAGAAGAAGAAAAAAAAAACAAAAATGCTAGCTCGATCCAGAATACCCCTAGCCCTGCGCTCCCTGCGCAGCTCCCCCTTAATCCAGCTGGGAGCTTTCTCTCCAGCGCAGACCATCACCATACCACCACCCGCTGTCGTGAGCGATGCGCAGCGACAACGACAACAACAACAACAACAACAACAACAACCCGCTCCTGTCCCAGCTCCGACAAGCACAAGCACAATCGCACTCGCAGGCACACGCGCGAACCGAATGCCCTACTCCACAGCTTCAACCGGGAAACCACAAGCGGACGAGATCATCGAGGAGATCCAGGACCTGTATTACACACCTCACACTACACAAACCAAAAAAAGAGAAGGGAAAACTAACAAAACCCCAGATACGAAACCGCCAAGGACGAATTCGAAATCGCATCCGAAAGCACCGACGGCGCAACCATCTACGCTGCCTCGGACCGCGAGTCTGCGCGCGACGCCCTGGACCAGCTGCTTGCCGTGTACTCGATCTACACGAGTCCCTTTGCGGAGGCCGAGGCCGAGGCCGAGGCCGAGATTGCTGAGTTGCGGGGTGCGACTGGTGCACCGGGTGCAGCAGCAGCAGCAGCAGCAGCAGCAGCATTGGGGGATTCTTCTCCGTTGCGGGGGAGGGTGAGTTCTAGTGCGGGGGTGGAGGAAGCGCTTGAAGAAGAGGAGGATTTTGAGGACGGCGCGGTTATTGAGTTGGGGGTTGATCCGGAGGAAATTACAGAGGAGGTTCGAGAGGAGGTCAAGAGGAGGATTGGGGGGCGGATCCGGGAGTTGCAGAGTGCTGTGGAGGCTTTGGAGGGGAGGGCTAAAGCTGATTAAAATTTTTTTTTTTTTTCTTTTCTTTTCTTTTCTCTTGCGTGTTCAAGGTATGTTCAAGGTAAGGGGTTGTTTTTTACTATGTGGAGTGTATATATCTATGTATGTCTTCGTCTCATTACTCATTCATATCCATATTCATATCCATATAAACATGTATCCGTCAGCCATTTTCTGGTGATCCTTTATGGTATCATCAACGCCGTACTCCGTTCTCAAAGTATTATCAATAGTGCCTATACAGCTGCGCCAAAAGAGAGCGTTAATTGGTCACTTAGTAATGGAGACTGGAAAGCCGAGTGCTCCTTATGCGTGGACTTCATGTGTCGTTTTAATTGGTCTAATTCGTCAGTCGACTGTCTTTATTTTGATTGGATGCGAATGCGGGAAAAAAAAAAAAAAAGGCGTACCAGGCCGTGTAAAGCTTTTGTTGCACCCGGGAAATTGACATTTATGTCTTCGCTCGCCGTGGGCTGGTTGTCATGTTAGTTACTAGTTTGTTTGGGCAAGGATAGAGAAATAATACTAAGTCTGTGGCTTGACATGTTTGATGACTGCGATGCGTTAGTTCAATGTCTTGACACGGTACACGCTAAATTATCGAGGATTAAGAAAACGTACATCGCCAGTTTGGAATTTGCATCCAGGAAAGGTGCATTTGAATGGCTTCTCGCCCGTGTGCGTGCGGGAATGCGTTTCTACCGTGGTTAGAAAGCTACTAGGGTGTATTGGATTGGATGAAAAACATACTCAGCTCACTGCTATCCGTGAAGGACTTTCCACAGTCGGAGCATTTATACGGTTTCTCACCGCGATGGCTCCGTTCGTGTCGCTCTAGGGTTGCTTGTCGGGCAAAGAGCTTGCCGCAGACCGAGCATTGGAAGTTTTTGTCTGCAACGCCGGTCAGCTTTGAAGTTCCATGTCATAATATGCATAATATGGTGGATGAAAACCTACAGTTGCTATGTGTGAGGAAATGGCCTTGGAGTTTCGACTTTTGCGAAAACGGCTCTGCGGGACGACTGCATCCTTCCCAGCAGCAGTAGTATCCGGTTCCCTTTGCGCCGTGCACTGGTCCCATATGCCGAGAAACAAGGTGCTCCTGGAGAGCGCAGGCACTGGGGAAGGTTGCTCCACAGGTAAATTTAACGCCTCGGCAGTTTGTGACCCATTTGCAGATGTGGATTGCGTTTTCGTTTGGACAAAACTCGGGGCTTGCGAGGACTGATGAGCCACCGTCTAAAGGAGGCGGAGTCTCGCCTGGGCTGGGGAGCAGCTGGGAGCTGAAGCTGGACCGGGAATGGCGGGAGTAAGGTGAGTATGGATGGACGTGTGGGTGGGAGTGTGTTCGACAACGGTGGTTTGAGCGGCAAGGCCCTCTGGCGGGAATGCCATCCAGGTGGAAGGAGTTTTTTATCAAGTTGTTCACACTGTCTTCATCGAGATGGAGACATGTGAATGAATTTGGGGCGGAACTGTCGAGTTTGGTCTCCAGGTTTTCCGGGCAGTTTGAGGCTTCATGTACGTGGAAATGGTTTGAGAAATCCGGACACATTCCTAACATGTGGAACACGTCTGCGGGGTTGACGTTCTGAACAGGGAGCGACTGTTGTATTAGACTATCGGGTGTTGTCTGCGGAAGGGGATGAGAATGAAGGTCGTCGAAGTTGTGAGGATGACAGTGAGTTATGGCTATCGCGTCCGGCGTGAAAAAAGGACCGGTGCATAGCTGGTTCTCTGAGATATCAGGTACAGGATGTCCAACGGCTTTGGACAACTGGTCCTCCTGCTCAACAGGAGCCGGAAGCAAATCATCCTTTTCGGAACTCATCGGAATGCCCAACCCAAATAAAGACTCTAAGGTAGGATCCGTACCCGTTCCATCAAAGCAATGCTCGTCAAAACAGACGGGGACAACGTCATGGCAGTTTGTATCTTCACAGTGAGCTACAGAGCACGGCGTCGAGTCGCTACAGTCAACAAAGCCATCGCATACTGATGGACAAGTGATAGAGCAGTTATCGGCATCGCAGCATGTTTCATCGACATCGCAATGAGCCTCGAAGGTATGATGGTGTTCCCCGTCGGCGCAATCCCAGTGTGACACCGATACAGGCACCTGCACCTCGGAGGAATCTTCCGAACTTTTGCCGTCGAGATGGAATGACTCCCAGTGGCATTCGAGACAGAAGTCGTCCTGTTTCGTGTGAGAAGCCATGTCGAACGGCGGGTTTCACCACGTATTTAACTCCCACGGGGCCAGATATTTAGACCCCCAAATAATGCTCTTACAATCCACTCAGGTAGAAGCGTAGCTGCATCTATCTCTCTTTATCGGAGGGATTGCGTGTTCTATACTCGATGAGAGAAATGCGCGGGGTGGCAAGAAAAACCAGCGGAAAGTCTGACTGACAGGCCTGGCTGGACACGGATGTGGGAAGATTAGCCATTAGTCCGTTTCTGCCAGGGGATTGACGATGCCACAGGATATGACATACCAATAGGAACACTGGACAAGGCAAAATACAGTTAGGTGAGCTGCAAAGTCTGTTAATCAGGACAAGGCGGGCTGTACACTGCTGGGTGCACCGAGATTGCGGCCAGAATCAGGAGGGGAAACCGATTGCCTGAGGCATAAGGGAAGAACAGGAAGCAGAGGACCTTGGGGGTAGCGGATATACGACTGAGGGTGGTCGTGAGGAGAGAACATTGCTTAGCCATTCATGATGTCTAGGTAGGTAGTAGCATGACCAGGACGGAGTAGTTGCATTCTGATGGAGTTTTTGCGGCGACAGAGGGACCTTGGGGACGTGAGTGGGGGAGGACCTTGTGGGTTAGGGGGAGATTCCGCGAATGACCAAAGGTGGATTTCTATCCAGATGATGGGATTATTTAGGGGTTAATATAGTTGCTAGGTAGTTGCTAGGTAGTTACTAGGTAGTTACTAGGTAGTTTACTGGGTAGTTTACTAGGTAGTTTATACATACAGCATTGCAACCTACTAATGTTACTCTGCATGGATGAATTACATGGGAGCGGAGGCTGTTTCTGCCTGCAAAATCAGGCCTATCCCACTCCCTCTAGAAACCAGTAACAACCCATTCAATTCAGATCCAAAAATTTTTCCAAAATACGTGTTAATGAAACTGAATATATATAGCAAATAACTACTAAAACATAAAGGATTTCTTTGAACTACTTGAGCAGTAAGTAAATATATACATATATCGTACTAGCCTTAAATCCTCGCTACGCTCGGCGGCTTGTTGGGGCATATGGCAAACTAATAGTATAGTCTTAATTATAGTATGATAGCTACTATATTAATGTAAGTATGGAAGTTAGAATTAAAATAGGCATTAAAGTAGATATTAAAGGAGGTATTAGCAGGCATCGAAGCAGGCATTCAAGCAGGCATTCAAGTAGTTATTGAAGCAGGCATTCAAGTAGGCATTCAAGTAGGTATTGAAGCAGGCATTCAAGTAGGCATTCAAGTAGGTATTAGCATGGTAATAGCTCATAAAAGTAGATAATATAGGAATCTCTATAACTAACAGGTTAACCAACATCCCCAGGTTCTATAGTATGGAAAAGATGGCCCTGCGGGCCATAGTTCTTCCGAACCGCCAGCGCGCGTAGAACTCAGCACGGTGTACGGGTCATACCACGGGTGTTTGAGGGCGACTTTCATATATTATTTAATAGAAAAATGCCGCCAAGTAAAGCAACCCCAGCCACGTGCCCTCACCGCCAAACCCTCTCTCTCTCTCTATCTCTTATCATCACACTTGTCGCATCTACATAGCTCTACTCCGTATACTTCATACAACGATATATTGAGGACTCTCGAAATTCCCCGATCCCACTACAAGCACTCGATTCAATAGTCAATCCTCGAGACACGTCAAGTCAAGTCAACTCAACTCAACTCCATCATCTCCAACCCCCCACATGGATAACAGTAACTGATCCCTTCCACCCTTCCACCACAAACATACACCCTTCTAACCAACTACGCCTGTCGTCCTCCTTCTCCACCCCCCCCCCCTTCATCCCCTAAATCAAGACAAACGCAGAGAAAAGAAAAAGCGGGAAAAAAAAAAAAGAATGGGAAATATCTGCTCCAAATCTAAAAACCAACCTGAAGCTTTCTCCACCCCTGGGCGCGTTCTAGGTTCCAACGCCGCCGCCGCCGCCGCCGGAACACCTGCCCCGCGCGCTGCTGTCCCCGCAAGTGCAAAGGCAAAGTCAAAATCCAACTGGGAATCCCCGGGGAGGACCTTGGGAGGCGCAGACACAGAGACGCAGACACAGACACAGACACAGACACAGACACCGGCACGGACACAGGCGCAGGCACAGACACAGGCACAGGCACATGGGTCTGGTCAGGCTGATGCACGGGCCAATGCGGCGTTGGCGGCTCAGGTATGTACATGCCCACCCACCACTACGTGCTCTCTCTATAACTATCCGGGATGTACGTTGGGGTTATATGCGTGCAAATCAATGCTAACTGGTCTGGAACCGGGGAGAAACGAGCAGAGGAGGCTACGGGTAAAGGGAAACTAGGGACCAAGCTGGCGGCGCAAAAGGCCAAAACTCACGCGCAGACGCTGAGCGAGGCGAGTGGGGAGCAGAGAGCTGCGAGGGATGCGGACGATGCGTCGGAAGCGAGGAGGTGGGATTAAAGGAAAAGGAGTTGTAAATACGTATACCACCATCGTACATATGCTGATTTTGATTTATTTTGATATCTGGGAGGGTTTGTTTATTGGTATCCAGCATCTACTCGGTTTACGATTGTGGGGGGGGGGAGGCCCAAAAAGATCTACATGTCAATGGAAAGGTGCATTGAATATCATACAGGTACACCACCATCGCACTAATCTATACCACGTTATACCGGCCTGATGCAGGAGCCCTGGCTTCGCTATCAGCTGCAGCGATTGTGCCCTCCTTCAGTAACCGCATCAACTCTCGCATAGCATTGGTCACAGCCAGTTCAGTTTCCCCTTCAACCAGAATATACAACTTGGGATTTTCTCCCGGACCGGGCTCTTTGCCAGTTGCGTAGAAACTACCTTTGGTGGTGATGGATGTTCCGGTAGCCTCGAGAATCTTGGCAACGTTCGTACGATTCGTAACCGCCCAACGAGCTTTTTCTGTTCAGTGGAAGAAACATATTAGCGCAACTGTTCAACACGCAGAAAATTGGAAAAGTAAACTTACGGGGAAAGTCGTTGATCTCCAATGTAGCGTGGAAGGCACCAGCATCGGGCCCGCGATTATCGATAGGCACTCCGGATCTCATCACTCCCGCACGGCTGAGACGAGCGTGAATATCGGCAACTGCCGAGCCCACCTTGTCCAGAGGATTCTTGGTGGCGCCAGATGTATCCTTCTCTGTTTTATGCACGGTGATCTTGCCATCCAGGTCGATGCCCTTGGGAACACCGGGCATCGATGGTGCGGCGGCAGACTGGACAGAAGAAATGGCTTTATTGAACCGATCTTCAGCCTGCTCCTTCTTCTCCTCCCGCTCCTCTTCCTCCTCACCTTCCTCTCCGGTCTTGTACGTACGTCGTTCGCGCATCCTTGCTGCATCACGTTCCTGATCCAGTCGCTCCAAACCTTTGCCGCCAAACCCAGATGTGTTAGCCTTCTCTTTTCCAGCCTTCACCTTTTCCAAGAAGAAATCCACCATCTTTTGAACAGCTTCCGGCACCTTCTGGCCACTCTGTTTTAGAGCCTTGGCGATATCAACCGAATAACGCTCCTGATCTTCCGTCAAGAAAGTCACCGCTGTTCCAGTATTTCCAGCACGCCCGGTACGTCCGGCACGGTGCACATAATCTTCCAGATGGTTTGGCGCATCATAGTTCACAACGAGCTTCAGCTGCTTGACATCAAGACCTCGTGCAGCGACAGATGTTGCAATGAGAACTGGGAAGATGCCCGCTTTGAAGTCCTCAATGGTAGAGTCGCGGTCGATTTGATCCTTCCCACCGTGGATCGACATGCAGGGGTAACCCTTGCGCATCAGTTCTCGAAGGAGAGCGTCAGCGGCTTCCTGGCGATCAACAAAGATCAACGCCCGTGCATCTTCGTTCTCGTCGCTTGAATACAAGTTACCCAGCAGTTCCAGAAGCCGGACAAACTTCTTGTCATCGTTACGAACTTCGACAATCTGGGTAATCTCCGGAGCAACAACACTCTTCCCGCCAACAACTATTTCAATGGGCTTGGTTAAGGTCTTGCGGGCTAGAGCTTCCATATTTCGAGGAAAAGTTGCCGAGAAGAGCACCGTTTGGCGATCGGGTCGCACATTGGCCAAAATTTTCATAACTTGAGGCTCAAAGCCCATGTCAAACATACGATCTGCCTCATCCAGGACGACATACGTAACTCTGCGCAAGTTAGTCACTCTGCCGGCGTTCGCAGTCAGAAGATCAATCATCCGTCCCGGGGTGCAAACGATTATCTCTGCGCCGCGTTTCAAATCGGCAATCTGATCCTTGATTGGGGCACCACCATAAGCGCACACAGCTCGAAGATTCAATGCCTTTAAGAAAGGTTTGCAGTCTTTATGAATCTGTGTTGCTAGTTCACGAGTGGGCGTCATGATTAGCCCTACGGGACCTTCCATGTTTTCCAAGGGCCGTTGATCTTTGATATGGCGGAACATAGGAATCAAAAATGCCATTGTCTTTCCGGATCCTGTCTTCGCCACACCAATCACATCACGACCGGCCATAATAGCCGGAATCGCCTGTGCCTGAATAGACGTCAGACTCTCAAAACCAAGCTTTTCGATAACATCCAGGGTTTGAATTCCTAGTCCGCATTGTGACCATTTCTGCACCGGCTTTGGGACATCCAGCCCTCGGACTTTAATTCCATCGAGTTCCAACCGTAAGCTAGCGGCTTCTTCCTCGGACATCTGCGCAAGATCTGTAGATTCGGTATAGAACTGTTTGCGGAATGGTTCATACTCCACTTTCCCGTGGTCAACAGATGGAATATCTTTCTTCTTCTTCGCCTTATTAGCGATAGCAAGGAAATCCTCCGCATCGCCCTCACCGACAGCAGTGACATCGACATCGTGCTCGTCGCCGAAAATAGCCTCGGGCTGTTGTTCCTTGGTGCGCAAGATTTTTGAACCAAATGTTTTTTTCTTTGGAGGACCCGAATCTGCAAGTTCAGACATAAAAGCGTCGAGAGGGTCAATCTCTTCTTCCTCTTCCTTTGAATCGATTTCCATTTCATCAGATGTGTCTTCTTTCGTTTGTGCGTGGCCATTGGTCTGGCCGTTGATATCTGGCTGTGAGGCTAGAGATTCACTTTGTAAACGCCGTTCCGCAGCCGCACGGGCAGCAGCCAGGTTCTCCTCCTCAGTTCCGCCATCTTGCATGTCAACATCGCCGTCATCGTCATCCTCGACAGTCATTTCCACTGCTTTATTAGCATCTTCTACATCGTCTAACGGGGGAGTGGGCAGCTTTTCTAATTTCCTGCGGGTGGACTCTTCCTCGCCAAACCCAAGTGTTCTCGTAGCAGACGGTTTCTCGGCATCCGCCAGTTGTTTGGAACCCAGGCCGAATCTCCCGACGACGTTACCCTTTGCTTTCAAGGCAGCTAGAAGAAAGATGTCAGTGCTGAGCCTGTTATTGATAAAAAAGACAGAGGATAATACCTGAGGCTGTAGTTGTGCTCGGAAATCTCTTGTCCGTAGGTACCTGAGCAGTCGTACCTGACAGTCCAGGCGATGGCTTGATCGAGGCCGGAACGGCAACATCATTACCCAGAACCGACGGTGTGGCGTGGGTTTGAGCAGCATTCTTGGCAATAACTTTTGGGTCGAACTTTCCAGTATACATAGGAGGAGGAACATCGGCGCCTGGTGTTGCAGGAGACTGGGGAGACCTAACAGCCGGGGATAAACCAGACTTCCTATCAATCTCTTCCAAAATGCTCCTCGCGCCACCAGATGCAGCAGCCTCCCGTTGCTTTCGTTCTTTCTCGGCGGCCTGCTTCTGTTTCCATGCTTCTAATTTCGCCAGTCTCTCGGCTCGCTTTTCGTCTTCTGTAGGAACAGCGGCGGCCGGAGTCGAAGGTTTTGAGGTCTAAATATAAAAAGTTTAGTATCTGGCTTTACGAAATCGATGGGTGTGAGTGGGACATGAAATAGAAGCGTACCTCACGAGACTTAGAGTCCGCCCCTTTTGTCCGATCTCGACTATCATCCCGTCTAGACTTGTGCTTCAAGTCAGCAGAATCGTCTGTCCGTCTGCGCGCCCTGTCGCGGGAGTCATCTCGCCTGGTTCGATAATCCCTTTCGCGACTCCTTCGGCGGTGATCCCGGTCATGGTCTCTATCTCTAGAGCGTCGCCGCTCGCGAGAACGATCTCGTCGTCGATAGTTATCTTCATCACGGTAATCGTCGCGTCTATCTATGGAGCGGTCGCGTCTTCGGTATGAATCTCGGTCGCGGTCACGATATCGCCGCTGAAATGAGAAACGCTATGATTAGCCAAGCTGGTAGAGGTGTGAAGGAGGCATATAGGTACGAACCTCGGGACTGCGAGACCTGCGATAGCTCCGCCCGTCATCTCGTTTGCTTCTTTCATAGCGATCATCGTCTCTGCGATTTCGTCTGGACGAAGAATATGTGCTGCCTACAGGTGATGGTGAGCGAGTATCCCCGTGGCGAGCCATTGTTGCAGACCAGCAATGAGTGAGTTTTACTGAGACTCAAAGAGAACCCGAGGACACGACGAGGATAGTAAAAGCAACTGTGATATTACCCTTCCATTTGACGCTAGATCCCGTCGAATCTTTTTTTCTTTTCTGCAATCGCCAACTTTTAATCAACAGCGTGATGGCGACAAACCAAGGGGTCTTTTTTCTCTCTCCTTAGGCGTAGAAACTGGTTGTAGTTTCCCAATCGCAGGGTCTTTCCATCGGGTTTCCAAACTCAAGCCTCGACGACGCCCTTGGCCACGCCGCTTCACGTGACACTCGGACACCTCCGATTACGTCGATAGTCACGTGACATATCTTTCCCCTTTCGGCATACTACAAACGAACGTCAAACGCGACCCCAGCCTCCCGGTTTCAGTTCAAGCTCCTGCGCCGCCCAAAGCCCCTGCAGCGGATGCCCTGATCGCACTAGGAGTGTCTTAAACCGTTTGGTCACGAAGTCTTGTGTTTTGCTCTTTTTTTAATCCCCCGTGTGCTCTCTCCATCCTGTTGATATCGCCCGCTCTATTGTTGTTTGGAGCTTGCCATGCCTCTCAATCTAGTTCGGCGTGGGGGGTTCTTCCGACACCTCCATGTCAAAGATGCCTTCACTCGCCCCGTTCGTGTGATCGCCTCACAGAGCCACATCAGGCGTGTTTCTTTCGTTGTACACCGTCCCTTTTCCCGTGCGTCGATTATACCCAATGCCCCCCGTTCGAGCTTGATCGTCAGCAACCTTATCCGAACCTATGCGACTGCTGGCCGCCCCAAAGTTAGCACTGGGGCTAAGACCACCAAGACTAAGCAGAAGGCCGCTCCGAAAAAGAAGGTTAAGAAGGAATTGACCGAAGCCCAAAAGGAAAAGAAGAAGGCCAAAGACTTCAACAAACTTGTCCGCGAACTCAAGAAGACAGCTCTGCAGCCACCTAAGAAGCTTCCAAGCACACCATGGACCCTGGCCGTCACAAGCAAGATTCCGGAAGCCCAGCAGACCACTAAAACTCCCGGGGAGGCATTTAAGAAAGCTACTGAGCTTGCACAGACAATCAGCGCTGAAGAGCGGGAGGTATGTCTTGTGTTTACCCTTTCTAAGTTCTTGAACCCGAGAGACTAACGAAAGACTCTAGCGATTTGTTGAGCAAGCGAATGCTAACAAGGCTGCGAACAAAACTGCCTATGACGAATGGATCCAAGAACACACCCCTCTCCAGATCAAGGAGGCCAACATTGCTCGGCGCAGATTGGCCAGGATCAAGGACACCTCCCTCTCTCTCCTCCGCGATGATAGGTTGGTCAAGCGTCCCAACTCTCCGTATATTTACTTCTTCAAAGAGCGGCACGAAGCTGGAGATCTGAAGTATATGGCGGCCGCGGACCTCTCGGCACGGGTGGCAGAGGAGTGGAGGGGTTTGACGGATACTGAGAAACAGGTGAGTTCTGACTATAAGGGCATATATAGTTTTCCACCAGCTGACGATTTGGACACAGAAATACAATGACTTATTTAAAGCCGATCGGGAGCGCTATGACCGAGAGTATCGCGATGTCTACGGCCTGGACCCCCCGGCAGAAAGGAAGAGCTCGTAAAGCGGTGCATTGTTGACCAACGCATCCTCGTCCGTGTCTTCAGTCTGAAAGAGATCTGGCGCAAGCCGATGGTGGTTTTGTGAAGGAGTATCGCTGGAGTAAGGGATTCTTGTATGAATTTAGGTACCGGTCCGATTTTCCTTTGTTTCCCTTCGCTACTCAACCTGTGTTCGTCGGTAGTTTAGGTAGTCTTTTTTTACTGGGTTATCCTTGTACTGTATAATGCTATCAATGTATTGGTTTCAAGTACTCTTGGGTTGATTGAGTCCCCGTAGAATGGTAGCAGTCTCCATATTTCATTCTGTGGGTCAAAAAAAAAACCTGGCAACCATGGAATCAGAACCTACTTTAAAAAATAACGTTATGGTAAAATAAATTCGAACGAGAATTGAACCCTAGGGTAATTTGCGATCTTGGACTCTTCAAATCATCTAATGTACTAGCTAGTAGCTGGTCAGACAGGTATATGTGGATAGAGTTGCACTTACTAGACCTACTGTTAACTATAGTTAGTTATAGTTATGAGGTAGACCCAACCTCGTTTACCGTTTGATCGCCCCAAGTTAGCCAATTAGGTAGACAGCTAGATCAGAATAAGTAAGAATACAACATGTCATATTAAACATCAATCGGCCTCAAAAAAAAAAAAGAAAAGAAAATGCCTCAACATGGCAGCTGATTGATATGCCTGCTGCAGGCATGAATAAATCCCCTCCATGCGGTGCAAGTGTAACGTATGTATGGCTCTGATGTTTCATCAATGCAATCCAAGAACCAGAATACCTGATTCTAGCTGATCTATCAAGCTGTGCTCCGTACATCAGAGATGCAAGATTAATATGATGGGTGCATTGTTCTTTCAGGTAATTCAAGCGGAGGGAAAGGTATGTATGTAGGTGACTTATGGATAATGACAACTCATGCCTTTTGCTAGCATAACCTCGGGGACTCGGCGAATCCAATGGAATCGAATCAGTACCTTGGAAACCTTGAAGGTGTCAGACAATTCCCGTCCAATCCACGCGGACAACGGCTCCATATTGGGCATGAAGGACCGCCGGCTGCGTGCTTACCCTGTATTGTTACTCCGTAGTGTAGGTAGGTATGCAAACATTGGCCCGGAAGGAATCTAGAATTGAGGCTTTGTTCAGAATAGTACCGTGTGGGTTCCGATACAATCTCTATTAGTAAGTCGCATGTCTTTGTGAGCAGTGTATGTGTGCAGCTTGCTGGATTATAGGAAATGGCTTGCGTCGAAATGGTGGATAGTGAGTGGGGGGTGGTGGTAACGGACCCCATTCCCTGCAGACAGCAGGCAGACAGCCGTCCGTCCGTCCATCGGGAGGAGAATCCACAGGCTGAATAAACATGTCGGGTCTGGCGACAAAGAAAACAATACTCCGCAGTACGTACGGAGGATAAATAATCTAAATAATGACCATGATAATGTTAGCAGTGGAGCGGGTTTTGGGTCTGTTTCCCTCTTTGGGGCCCGGAGAATAATAATAGGAAGGCAGTAGGTAGAGAGGAAAATGCGAGGAGCCAATGGGTGACAGGTTCATTGCGCGCCAACGCATCTCATAGGGTCCTGTGGACGATTCGCCTTCGATGCGGTGAAGAAGAGCCGGAGAATCATCAAGACAGTAGGCGTTGATTTTGGTTGCATGTACGGAGTCATGTAGTGTAGGAGTATGTAACTCTCAATGCAAGGAGATCCATCCGGGTTTGAGGGGGAATTGAAGTGCGAATTGTACGATTTCAACTAGTTACTAAGAGGAATGCATTAGGTACTATTAGAAAGTATCCATATAGCTTCAAGTTCTTGAGAGTCCACGCTGGATAGAATTCAGACAATTACTTAGTTCCCTGCATGATTTTCCTGTGGACTGGCCATCTTGCACCAGCCATCCATTTCCTCCCGTCTTTCTTTCCCCCCCACTTGTTTCCCCCTCTTGTAGAACTCGAGTTGACTTGGAAAAAAGTACCTTCCAGAGATCGAGTTCAAGGAGGGGTGCAATCTTTATCGATAGGAATCTTTTCCTCCACCGCCCAATCCTCAGTCTGGCTAAGAGTGCCTGTGATACAGCCCGTCCCCAGTCTGGCGTGTTAGTGGTTTGTCCCTGCGTGATTCTCTTTGACTCGTCCCCTCCTCATCGCCATCTTATTGTCCATCCTTGACTCACATCTTGCTCCTATCACCGCTGTCACTTTGGATGCGCCTATCCCTATCCCGCTTAGCCGTCTTTCTTTTCTAACTACTCCTCTCATCTTGTTGGCTCGCGCCGCCCCAGCCACCGTTTTATACTCGGGCAATCAGATCAGGTCACCTTGACATTCCTCCATCATGCCGATCTAGTAGCACTGCACTGATCCTATGGTAAGCATGGAGAAAAAGAACAAAGAGAAGGAGGGGGGTTTACAGAAAAAATTTTTTTTGTTTTCCTTCCGCTTTCTCAGGTCCTTCGATTGTCGCGCATATCCACTAATATCCTGGGATGTTCCAAACTCCCTGTAGTTTACATTCCTAGCTGTGTCTATCGCATATCAGACCGTCCAATTACTGTCGGCTTGTCGCACGATCTTCGGCAACATCATTCGTTCCTCCTTCATTCCCATCCACCGCCCTTGAGGTCATGAACTTCATGACCATTTTTCTTATCCCTACTTCTCCCTGCTGAAATCTTTGCGATAACCGTCATTTCGCTCCGAGTCTTTCGTCCGGGGCCCAGATGCTCCTTTCATTCACGCTCTCGCGACAAATTTTAGCTCCCAATTGATGAGTTTGAAGCCGTGGGTTTCACGTTGTTTCTGGATTACCAGCAACATTGAGTGCCTGAAATTTCCGAACACGAGAGTCGAAGAGGTTTCGTCCCCTTGTCTGTCCTGTCTTTGAATTTGCAGAATTCGAACATCCTAAACTTATCTCCCCGAATCTAGTTAGGCGGTTCGTTTCCAGAGCCATCCAGGTTAAGCCCGATCGAATTAAATACAAACCGCGCAGCCTCACCTACGGCTGATCAACCGATCTTATGCGCTTGGTATAATTGAGTCCGCTGGTCATCCTCCTGCTCGTCATGGATGCTGCGCGCACTTGGTACGGTGAATCTTTGCTGGAGGGCGACATTGCCTCCTGGGTCCAGAGCCGGGTCGTAGAGAAGGGATGGAGAGAAGAATGCAGTGAAGCAATGAAGACCAGTTTGCGGTTCCCTGGGTCCGGCGGAGCTCAACCAATTACTTTAAATGCGCGAGCCGGGAACATTACGGAAAATGTATGTTTATCTCTCCATGATACCAGATGCAATTTCATGCTGATTAAAATTCCTATTTAAGGATATCCAAGGCCGTTTGCGATCGTTCCAAAAGGCAATGTCAGGTTTCGAAATTGATCTCCGCATTTCAGAGCCACCATCCTACAATATCGTGCCTCCCCCATACGATGATGCTGTTAATGATCTGCCTCCCCAATACTCCGAGAATGCGCCATTGGCTCAAAAGCAAGATCTGACTCAGGGCATTCACCTAGAAGGCGACTCGAAACCTAGATCTGCACCCCAGGCGTTTGACTTTGAAAAACCCACCGGTATACGCGAGTGCAAAGGAAAGAAGAAAAAGTCAAATGCCGCGAAACCCCCCGCACCGCCGCCGCCCGCCAACGACCCACCGCCACCCCAGGACAACGGGGGGGATAAGCCTGATGAAGGCGCGGGAGATAGCGGGGGCGATGCGGGGGGCGGCGGAAGCAATGGTGATGACGGTAATGGCGGTGGGGATGGAGACGGTGGAGATGAGGACTCGAATGCATGGGGCATACCATTGTCCAAAAAGGCACAGAAGAAAAAGAAAAAGCAAGAAGAAGAAGAAGAAGAGAAAAAGAAGTTAGAGGAGGAAGAAAAGTTGAAGAGGGAAGAAGAAGAGCAACGAGCCAAGGAAGAAGAGGAGCGAGTCAAGGAAGAAGAGGAAAGGGCCAAGGAAGAAGAGGAGCGGAAAGCTAAGGAGGAGGAAGAAAGGAAGGCCGCAGAAGAAGCCACAGCAGCCAAAAACAGTCTCAGCTGGGCTGATGACGCTGAAGGAAATGGCGACGATACATGGGTTGGCCTTGGAAAGAAGAAGAAAAAGAAGGGCAAGGTATGTGCTGTCTCGCCTGTACCGCTATTCGCTGCTTACCCCTCGCTAGGCGGAGCTGGTTGACGCTGAACCTCCTGCCAGTTCGTTCCAGGAGGTCAGTTTGGGCGACGGTGTTCCACAGCTAGACCTGGGTCTTGACCCTCCGAAGAACAGCGGCTTTAGTTTCGGAGGCTGGGGCAAAGATTGGGCAACTGGCAACAAATGGGGCGTTGACTCTCTCGCAGGAGGTAACGGGAAAGGTAATGATGACAACAATCCGTGGTCGCCAGGCGGCAAAAATGATCCTCTCAAGACATCCGTCGGTTTCGATTTCGGAAATTTCGATAACCCAGCAACTAACGGTGATGCTACGGAAGCGAAAAACGACGAGGATGATGACTGGGGTATGGCTCCAGTGAGCAAGAAGGACAAGAAGAAGAAGAACAAAGAGGCTGAACTTCTCATCGAGCCCGAACCAGCTCCCATCAAAGAACCTGGGCCATCGGTAGACAACGCCTGGGGCATTGGATTATCCAAGAAAGAGAAGCGGAAAGCAAAGAAGGACGTTGGCAAGGCTGACGAACCCGCACCTGACCCCATTTCCGAGCAGGTAGACGTTGCTTGGGACGCTCCTCAAGAGGAGAAGGTTACGGAGGTAAATGATGACAACGACTGGGGCTGGGATGAACCAACCAAGAAGAAGGACAAGAAGAAGAAACAGGAAGATCTTGTATTTGAAGAACTCCCAGCGGAGCCGCCCAAGGCCCCTGAGCCAGCCCCGATTGAAAACGATTGGTTTAGTGGTGCAACAACCAAGAAGAAGGACAAAAAGGCAAAAAAGAAAGAGGAGGAGGAACGGAAAAAGAGAGAAGAGGAGGAGAAGAAGAGGCAGCAGGAGGAGGAAGCGAGAAAGAAGCAAGAGGAAGAAGAAGAGAGGAAAAGGCAAGAAGAGGAGGAGGAGGAAGAGGAGAGAAAACGACAAGAGGCAGAGGAGGAACGATTGAGAATAGAGGAGGAGGAACGATTGAGAATAGAGGAGGAGGAACGCAAGGCAAAGGAAGAAGAGGAGCGCAAGGCTAAAGAGGAAGCGGAGAAGAAAGATGACGGCTGGGGATGGGGGTTCACTGCTACAGATAAAAAGAAGAAAAAGAAGGGCAAGGCCGCGCTAATTCCAGAGCCAGCTCCAGAACCTCGTCAGCCTACACCTCCTCCAGAGCCCGAGCCGAAACAGGAACCTGAGCCTGAGCTAGAACCTGTTGTTGAACCAGAACCAGAACCCGAACCTGAATTGGAGCCCTGGACACCCGATTTTCCCGACGATCCTCTCTACGATAACTGGCTTCAGCTATCCTCGAAGGAGCGAAAGAGGCGAGAGAGATCACTCTTGAAGAAAGGGCTTCCGATCCCAGGTAAAGATATTGACTTATCCCCCCCCAAGCAGGACACAGCACTGGAACCTGAGCCAGAAGCTGCCCCCGAGCCGGTCCACGAGGATCCTCCAGTCCCAGATCCAGAGCCTGTTCCTAACGAGAACAACCAGCTGGTTGAGATAAGCCATGATGTCCCTGCAGATGACCCAATTGAGGGTAGCTGGGGAATCTGGGGTTCTTCGAAGGACAAGAAAAAGTCTAAGAAGAACCGCATCTCAGAGGAGCCGCCCCCGCCTGCGCCTACCCCCCCATCTTGGGGCCTTGAAAGAGAATACACCAGGGAGTTCGAGAATATCCCCGAAGACCCGATATGGGACGACCTTGACAGTATGCCCTCAAAGCCGAAAAAAGTACCGGTTGAAGAGACGATTGTGAAGGCTGCTAAAGGATTTTGGGCTAGTATAGGCGAGGCTACAATGGGTAAACCAAAGCCAACAAAGAAGAAGTCAGAGGAAAACCCCAGATCAATCGAGCCTGTAGAAGAGGCAGGCGAAGCTGACCTATTAATCGATGTTGGTGATGTGGCTAAGGAGGAGCCCGCGCCTATCGCGCCTATCGTACCTGAGGCACCCGAACCACCAGCCGCGCCAGCCGTGGTGACAACGAAGACGGCTGCTGCCTCCTCCAAGATCAAACCATCAACTAAGCTCTCAGTAGCGGAGCGCATCAGTGCCCTTGAAAAGGCAAAGAAAGAAAAGTTGAAAGAAAAGGCTGCGCTCGAAAAAGCGAAGCTAAAAGAAGTTCCTCCCCCGCCCCCAGAGCCTGTGGAGCCCCCGCAGGTGGATCCAGTGGATATCAACCCGGAGCCAACAAAAACCAAAGCATCTCGAGACTCTGTTCCAGGGAGTTTCCCTGACGCTTTTGATGATGAAATCGATGATTTTCCACCAGTAGAGGTTGTCCCTGAGCCCAAGCCCGTACCGGAACCGGAACCAGAACCACAACCAGAACCACCCAAGAAGGCCAAGGCTGAACCCATACTATCTAAGAAGGAGAAGAAGAAGGAGAAGAAGAAAGGGAAACTTATTGAACCCGAGCCTGAACCTGAACCACTACCGGAACCCGTGCGCGAACCGGAGCCGGAGCCAGAGCCAGTCATTCTCTCCAAGACTGAGAAGAAGAAGAAAAAGAAAGCAAAGGAGCCGGAACCTGAACCTGTGCTGGAGCCCGAGCCCGAGCCCGAGCAGGAAATTATACCAGAACCTGAGCCGGAACAAGGTATTCTAACAAAGACTCAGAAGAAAAAGAAATCAAAAAAAGTCGAGCCCGAACCTGTCCCCGAACCCGATCCAGAGCCAGTCATTCTCACAAAGACAGAGAAGAAGAAGAAAGCAAAAGAGGTTGAACCTGAGCCTTTGCCTGAACCGGAAATAATCCAGGAGTATGAGTCTGCAGCAAATGCAGAGAGGGCTATAGATTTAGAGGACGAACAACCTCCTGCTCCTAAGCCTGAGAAGATGGCTAAGAAGAGCAAGAAAAGCTCGAGCTCGAAGAAGGCCATACCACCACAGGATCCTATCACTGCTGATGACGTTATGGCTACTGGTGCGCTAGAAGTAAACCCTGATAGTCTACCGACGCCTCCCCCAGAGGAACGACCTGCGAAAAAGGAGCGCTCTCGTTCGGAGCGCACGCCAGTAGCTGCTCCTTGGGGCTTCTGGGGTGCCACGCCTCCTAGGAAGCCAACGACTCGGGAAGTCCGGTCGAGCAGGAATGAAGCCTCCCCTGCATTGGCAAGATCAAGATCGACTAAGCAGGCTAAGGTAAGAGAATCAGAAAACGAGGCTGAAAGGTCATCCACATCCGATAAGGGCAGGCAGCGAGAGTCTAGATCCAGCCGTGGGATGACCTTCTCAAACTTCATCTTTGGAGCGCCTCCTCAACCTTCTCGCATGAGCTCAAGTCGAAAGTCTGGAGCCCACCCTTCGAGACGATCATCGAGGCATCGACCAGTAGATATGAATGAAACTGGATTTCCATCTCCTCCTCCAGAAGACAGAGATCTTCCTGACAAGGCGGCTAAGATGATGGGTGTCAATGCCTCGGGATCTAAAAGGGACAGAACTCATGGAGAGCGGAGGAAATCACGTGAGTTTTACCGTGATAGAATCATCGTTGGTTGTCATCCTAACTCGGTTTCCACAGGTGCTCGCGATCCGTACATTGTTGACGATGATGACCTCGTGGTTGTCAACAGAGATGATATTGAAAACCCCTCCAAAGATGGCTCGAGATATTCAAAACATTCCGGACGGGGATCTAGAAGGGTAAGACATCAATCTGGGGTAACCGCGATAGTTATACTAACCTCATCCTCACGATAGTCGAGATCAAACGCAGGAGAACTTAATGGAGGTGAAGTCATGGTTGAGAGGGAGCCTCCCAATCAAGCTCCAGATGTGGCTTCCGGTCCCGATGACATGGCCTTTGTAGAAGCTCCATCAAGAGAACGACGTATGAAGCGATCAAATACTACTCCAAAGCGACCTGAGCCTAGTGGCTTCATGGGATTGATCGGATCTTTGCGGAGATCAACGAGGCCTGAACCTCCAGAACGCCGAAAATCGCGGCCACGCCGTGACGACGATGGCAGATATCCGACAGAAACGGACAGAGATGAATCGCGACATCTTAAACGAGACGAACGTAGACGACGATCTGTACGACCCGATACTGATGGTGACGGAATCCCCCCCGAAGCTGCCATGGCCGGGGCATTCCCAGACACCGAAGCAGAAGATGTGGAGGCTAAAAGAGCGGCACGTCGAGCACGTCGTGCTTCGCGACAGGCTGCCCAAGCCGCTGCTGATGAGCTGCGCGAGACTGAGCTCCGAGCCGCGGAAGAGAGGCGATCTCGACGGAGGGAGGAGCAGGCTCGTGAGCGCGAGCAGTATGAAAGGCAACTTCGAGAGGAAGAAGAGCGAGAGGCTAGGCGCCAGGAGGAGAAGAGAGCACGGAGGGCCGCCCGCGAAGAGCGCCGTGCAAGGGAAGAACAAGAAGCGAGAGAGGCAGAAGTTCGAGCGGAAGCTAAAGCCGCTGAGCGCCGTGAGCGAAAGAGACAGCAGGAGGCAGAGATGTATGAAAACGCACAACGACAGAGACGCCATCAGCCCCGAATTGACGACAGAACCGCCAGAGAATTCTACATGAACGGCTACGATGGCGACCGAGCACGTCGATCCGGAGAAGATGGCAACAGATCCAGACGGCGAAGGTCCAGAGCTCGGGACAACACAAGACCTACGCCAATGCCTCTCGGAGCACGCAAGGACAAGACCTCGTCTTGGATCGATAGACAGGTAGATGAACCGCCTGAGGCACCACAAATCGTTCCGACTGTCTTGGACATGCCCCCTGGTGCTGGCGAGCCACTCAACGGCCACTCAATGTCGTCGGATGAGGAGGCTCGACGCCAGCTCCGTCGACAAGCCCGACGCCGGAGCAAATACCCCGGGCTTGACGACAGAGAGATCGAGGAAATTCGTGAGAGGAGACGCGAAGCGCGAAGAGCGGAGCGTGGTGCCAAAACGAGCTCTGGTAGTGGTGACTACGAGCGAGAACGTGGACCAAGATACGACGGTCGGTATGCTCCTGAGCCACCACCACCGGCTTACGCCAACGCAAAGCGTCCCAGCTGGCTCAAGAAGCTCACCACCTTTTGAGCAGCATCAATTTCACACTTTCCTTTCACGCAGACCACTGATGACGATAATGATATGATGAAATGATAGTTTTATGGCGATTTTGTTGAATTACGAATACTATGTTTGGGCTTTCTTGGACAGATTGGTGATGTTTTTTTGTTTTTTTTTTTTGTTTTTTGGTTAAGCTGGGCTGGCGCCTTGCCCTGCCTTGCTGCTTCAAGCGAATGCTAATACCTGATCTGATGCAATGTAAAATTAACCTATGATAAACTCCAATCTACCATAATAGCAACCTGATATTTATCTGCACGGAGTCCCGGTGGGATACAATTAAATACATACATAATAAACAGTCTTGGAAAGCACACTATACAATTGAACTAGACAGTGGCCTGCCTCACTTACAACTTATCCACACCACTACGGAGTACTACCATCATTCATACTACTTACAACTGATACTCAAGTAGTGACAAGCATCGTCTGCATCCTCCTAACTTCAATCATGTCCTAAGTGTGCCCGTAGGGTGGAATGATATTGAATACCAACTAGGAGGAGGCTTTGCTAATGATGAATTGAAGAGTGTGTTCTGTTCTGTTCTTAGTGATGATGCACGCACTGCTCGTTAGTTATGCTAGGTGGGTAACTAGTAGTTAGTTAGAGGAGATATCCACGTTAGTAAGTGTGTTTTCTATAGTTAGTTAGGTATTCCATTCCATTGGCTTTCTCTCCTCCAAAGCTGAGTCGTGATATGGTTTATAGCTATGATATCTGGCATTTTAAGATGGGTTTAGGACAATTGAAGAACCATGAATTGGTCTTGCATTTCGATCTATCTGATCATCTTATCTAATCAGTGATTAGTTAATAGTTAATCGTCGATGAAGTAACTAAGTCATACAATTCACGTGCTGGACTTGGCCCTAAAGCGCGATTAGGGCTACGAACTGAGAGCGCAATGAGATGAGATCGAAGACTGCAGAAGCTGAGCGTCATGGAACAGATAAATAAGCCATTCAACATCTCTAGTCATATATCCCGTAACTCTATTCGTCACTGGAATCAACACACACACAGGAGACATATTAACAGTCAGATACAAGAATTTTGGCCTCCTTACGCCGTAAGGTCATGCATGCATGAAATTCCCAAATCCCCCAGAGGTTTTGATATACGAAACATCAACTTGCCTCAAGCCACCCCTTCATTTAGCCGTCTCTCCGGGCAGCAGGTTGCCCTTGACTGCGAACATCTTGCCCGTTGTGGATGACACAAAGCTGTCGATCTGGCGGTTGTACTGCTCCACCTGTCGGCTGTTGAGCATGCTGTCCAGACGGCTGGGCTCCTGAGGGAGCTTGAACAGCCGTTGCCACTCATCCTCGGGGAGGAGAGGCTGCTTGAGGGTTGCGCGGCTGGCGTTCTCAGCCTTGCGCTTAGCCTGCCAGGCCGTGATCTTGGCCTGCTCTCGGGCGAGCGAACGCTGGTAGTACTGGAAGTTGCTGGTCTCGGTGTGGTGAGTCTCAATGCTGTCAAGGAGGAGATCGCAGTTCTTCTCAAGGAAGGGGTCGATGCTGAGGGAGAGGTTATCGAAGTTGGGAGCCAGGATGGGCTGCTTGGTGAATGGGGCAGACTCCAGGGCGGCAAGAGAGGCAGGGAGGTCAGAAGAAGCCGACTGGGCGGGGTTCTGAAGTTGGTGGACGAAGGAGGTGATCAGGTGAGAGTTGTGGATTTCAACTGGGAGCTCAACCAAGATATCCTGGTATCTCAAGTTGGACTTTTGGAGCCTGCAACATTTGTCAGTAAGAGTTTTTTTTGTTTAAATGAACCCAACGTTATCAAGTCCAAAGTCAGGTTGTCCAGAAACATACTCTTCAGAGGTGAACTTGTTGTCCTTGAAAGCAGCCATGAACTTAGGAGACAGACGGAACGCCCTCAGGCTCAAGCTGCCCTGGGAGCTACGGTTAACATCGTGAACGAGCGCAACTGTCCTCTCGTTCATCTCTTTCTGGTAGAAGAACTGGTTCTCGATCACGTTCATGTTGACAAAATTGCCCATGTTCGCGCTTGTGTACCAACCGACGTTGTTCGCATCGACGTTGACTTCCCGGAGCATACGAATCATCTCCGCCTGGTAAACGGAGTTCGCCTTCGCACGGGGGGCAGCGGCAGCCGGGTTAGGCGCAGCATTGTCAAAGTGCGACTCCGCGGGCATCTCGACAACGGGGAAAGGGAAGGAGTTGGTGATTTCGAGGGTACCGCCCACATCCATACCAACGATCGAACCAGTCGCAGTCGTGGGGAATGCTTGAGAACAGTGCTTAATGATCTTCATAACGACCTATTTTTTTTTTTTTGCATTTTTATCAGTATCACCGTCACTCATTGTCGACCTTGAAAAATTATATCAGACGGGAGGGGAAGTTTCTGGAGGGAGTTTTCGTACCAAGGCCTCGACCTTGACGGCCGTGAGGGGGACTTCTTTCCTGGTCAGAACATTAGCGGAGAACTTAGAGAATAAAACCAGACAGATCATGAAAGACTTACTCCGCCATATTGGATGCTGCAACCCGGGGAATGCGAGAGACTGACAGCGACAATGATAGTTGACAACTCGGCGACGGTTTGTGTGGATGGAATCAAACATTTTCCCACCGCCAAGTCCGAAAGCGGCTAGCGCGCCAAGACACATACGAGATTTCCTCTTTTGGAAATCCTCCAAGATCGCTTTCAACTTCTATACAGAGTTGTTGATGATGGAATGAGATTCTTTATCTGTTCCCAGCTAGAATTACACTCGAGTGGGTGTATTTGTCTTTTCCTGCTCGTTATTGGTAGAAAAGTAGTGCGCTTGATTGCCCCTACATTTCTCCTCCGCTTGTCTAGATCATCGCCGAAAGAAACTACCCCTCTCAGAAATCCATCTTCATACAATAGCAGTCTCTCTCTACTCATAACTTCTTCCTCTCTCACTAATCCAACCTTTAAATCCAACCCATAGACCCTACCCGCAAATGCTCCTTGAAACCTTCGCTTACGGCGAGATCCATGCGCTCCAAACCGTAACAGTCGCAAAGAACCCTACTACCCCAATCCCCAATGGCAGCTACTGGGTGATGTACTTCCCTTCCCCCCCCCCCCCAAAAAAAACCCATACCATCCTCCTAACTACCCTACTCAATCAATCTTCCCTCACCATAACCAGCCAGCCCCAAACCAACAACTAACAAATAAACCCCACAGTCTCATCCACGGCGGTGCATGGCGCGACCCAACCCAAACCGCCCTCGGATACCTCCAGCCCGCCGCCGCTACAATCCTCTCCCCCTCCTCCCCCAGAAACCCCTCGAAAGCATTACCCATCGCCGGCCTCGCCTCAATCTCCTACCGCCTAAGCCGCCATCCAAACCACCCACAAACCGCATCAACCACTCCCCGCACCGATCTCCGCGCCGCCACCCACCCAGACCATATCCAGGATATCCACGCCGCCCTGCGATTCCTGGACGAGAAGTATGATATCGGAGAGAGGTACATTCTCGTCGGACACAGCTGCGGCGCAACGCTTGCGTTTCAATCCGTGATGGGCCGGTTTCATACGGAGGAGGAGGAGGAGGAGGAGGAGGAGGATGTGTTCGTGGACCACCACCACCACCACCCCTCTCCCACGGCTATTCTTGGAATGGCGGGGATCTATGATCTGAGACTGCTCCGGGATTCTCATCGAGATGTATACGCGTACCAGGAGTTTATTGAGGGGGCGTTCGGGCCGGACGAGAGCGTCTGGGACTTTGTCTCCCCGGCTGTTGTAAAGGGCGCGGAGGGTGTCGAGGGCGCATGGCATTGTGGGAGGTTAGTGGTGTTGACGCACTCGGCTGGAGATGGCCTGGTTGACCCCGAACAAAGAGATGCAATGAGAGATGCGCTAGGTACGTGGCGGAGTCGGAGTCGGAGTCCCTCTGGGTCTGTAAATGGGGAGAGACAGGTACAGTATCTTTCTGTAGAAGGGGAGCATGATGAAGCTTGGGAGAAGGGAGAGGAGCTTGCAAGGGCAATAGCTTTCACGTTTGAAAAGTTAGAGGAGATGGGTATACTTTGACGGCTCTGACCTGAATGAGGAGGGGTTTGAGCGGTGGCTATTCTGTGAAATTATGGATGCAGGATAGTTGCAGGATATATGTATGCATTTATGAGTTACGTTTCACGTCTAGAAGGCAGAGGATATGAAACTAGTACACATTAGAAGAATAGAAAACAGACCTGCCATTTTTCAGAACTTCAACTCCTCCACAATTCATTATCATAATCACACAGAAAATGCGAAACCATACGCCTGATGTTGCAAAAGCCAGCCACTAAAGAAAACGAAAGAAGAGAGAGGGTGAAAAAAAAAAAAGAGAAAAGAAAGAAAAAAACAGGTCTGACAATTAGCTGTTCAGTCTGTAGAACGTGGATCTCATAACATGGAGAAAACCGACATGAGCACGAGAATAAAGAGCCCATGTATAACTTAGTTACCAAGGTCCATACGACCGGAAGCAGCATCGCCTGAAGCCCTAACTTCCTTCGACTCAGTGCCTGGTTCATCTTCTTCATCTTCCAATTCCTCATCTTCGCTATCCTCGATGTATCGAACTTCTACCCCAACATCACGAAGACGGGTGCGAGTCTCTTCGCGATAACGATCCTGCCAGCGGGCAAGTGCGGCACTGGCATGGACACGGAAACCGTAGATGCGTGGCTCATAGCGACGGGTGCTTTTTTCGGGAAGAAGAGCAGGGTAGACCTGGAAAAGCATGCTGGGGAAGGAGGAACCGAAATACGCTCCGTCGATCGAAGCATGTCGTGAAGATTTGGGGTTGTAGATATCCTCGCACTTGGAGCAGTACAAGCGGACGGTACTCATGTTGGCGATATCGTGCTGGCCCATCGGGAGGAGGGTATTGGCATCACACATGACACGGGGGCATTTCCCGAAATCGCCTTTCTTATATTTCTCGACCTGCATACCGAAGCTGTCAGCAACTCTCCCTTTCCGACTCTGCACAACCACCACGTACCATTTTAGCTAGACCGCGCGTTGTGACGATGTACCGAGCATGAACCAAGCCATACAGGTGGCGTGCTGATTTCTCAATTTGTTCGCGAAGTTCATCATCCGCATCGAGATCGAAGACGTCTGTCACCAGATCCAAAGCATACTGATAATAGGGAACCTCGGTGTTCAAGCCGGTAAGATTGAAGCGATCGGTCAAGTATTCTTCATCAATCTCACAGAAATACTCATTCCCACGAGACGAGATGAACTGTGCACGAAAGTTAGGCTTCGCTTTCGGAAGTTGTGGGAGGGAAATGAAATAAGGATATCTGTTCCGGAGGGCACGCCCAGAAGGGCCAGGGTCGGACAGCGAATCCCAGGCAGACCGGGAATAAACGCCCGACTCTGACCAGATGGAGGATACAGAAGGGCCAAAATCAGAGAACGATTCAAAGGCAGAGGTTAAGTCGGGAGATTCCATTTCTCATCGCTTTGAAAGGCCAATGAATTGACTCCTGGATGGACTGCGAAGAGACGAGAGTTTGGTACACGCTGGGAGAGAAAGTTCCTCGAGACAAAAGCAGGCAAGTAACTTTCTCAACCGCGATCCCTAAGTAACCCCCATTCTGCCCACCGCAACGTTTCCAGCTTGGATCCTTGTACCGCGTAGCGGCTTCCTTCCATTCACGACGAGCGTCCCACAAAAGAAGATTCACGAGGGGAAGGTGAACAGATACCACTTACCCAATCTCTCCAGTAGCTGGTGTAATCGCTATCAGTCTCGCTATTAAAATCCTCCATCATTTTGGCTCGTTGAATAGGACAACAGGAATATATCTGGAGGTAAGATTATTTCTTCGCTTTGCCTGTAGCAGTTACTGAGAAGACCGGGCAAAATGACCCAAGCGTAGAAGGTAGCCCCCAGAACTGTACAGCAGGAATAATCTTCCTCAGAGCATCCACTGGTGGCAATCGAAACACAAATATGAAGGGGGGGATTGCACAGAAGATGGAGAAATCTAGAGACTCCAAGTTGGAAGCTGTTAGTTGTGTGTCTTCGCCATTCTTCTGGTGGCTGTTATCGGTGGATCACCTTGTTCAGGTTTAGCGCGGGGTTGGCGGTACGGCAAGCTAATACCGCCACTCCGCAACAATCAAAATTCTCACTAAGACCTTTGACCGCTACAACAACCGCCTGCTAGATTCATATATTTGATGTTGTACAAGATATATTACTATATTATATTATATAATTAACTATGACCTAGTGAGTTCTCTAGTCATACTCCGTACTTTCAACCTACCTCCGAATCGACCTTCTAGTCGACCTCCTAGTTGACCTCCTAATCAACCTCCGAATCGACCTTCTAGTTGACTTGACCTTCTAGTCGACCTCCTAATCAACCTCTGAATCGACCTCCTAGTCAACCTCCTAGTCAACCTTCTAGTTGACTTGACCTTCTAGTTGACTTAACCTTCTAGTTGACTTGACCTTCTAGTTGACCTTCTAGTTGACCTTCTAATCAACCTCCTAATTAACCTCCGAATTGACCTCCGAATCGACCTCCGAATCGACCTCCTAATCGACCTCCTAATCGACCTTCTAGTTGACTTGACCTCCTAGTCGACCTTCTAGTTGACTTGACCTTCTAGTTGACCTTCTAATCGACCTCCTAATTGACCTCCTAATCAACCTCTGAATCGACCTCCTAATTGACCTCCTAATCAACCTCTGAATCGACCTCCTAATCGACCTTTTAAGATATCCCAAGTAATTTTAATATAGATAGGGGTCGAACCCAGAGTATTTAGATTTTAAAATTAAAATTCTTACCTCCTATATGACTTACGGGTAATTAGTTTATCCATGCTAGATAAAATATATTATACTGCTGATGTGATGCAACCAAGGATCTCCACGGAGCGGATTAACTATGATACAGGGTTATGTAATAACATGTGATACCCCTAAATAGAGGTAGAGTAGTAAGATTACCTTAATATAGTAATATAATATTATATAATAATATTATATAGTTCAAGACTAGTCCTAATTAGGAATTCTGCCCGCAAAAAAATCGAAAAATTTATTGTTGCGGAATGGCGGTATTAGCTTGCCGTAGTTGGCGGTGAAAAATAGCTGGGCTTTTTTCACCGCCTGCTTTCTTCATCCATGCACTTTATATCTTGAACTCTTGAAGTTTTCTATAGTTTACACTATAACTATTTCATATTCATGGTAAAACACTGTTCAATTCATTGGTGCTGATGCTGTTTTCATTCAGCAAAATCACATTTACGGAAGAAAATCTGTTATTTACACATCTTCTGAAACAATCACTGAACTCCTTGAATGTTATGCAAGAGATGTGACCTAAGCAAAAGAGAAACGAGAAACAACCCCTTAGCTACCAAGAGGAGGGTTGGCGTTGGCAACCAGCTGCTCGAAGTAGGCCTGCAGATGAAAAAATTAGGACATACATCCCTGAAACCAACCTGTGTTTGGGATAAACTTACCTGGAACCAGGTGCCAGCTTCAGGAGCGGGCTGAAGAGCAGAAGCAAGGCCACAGTGGGCATCATAGCGCTTTGCAGAATTGTCAGAGGTGCCATCACTCTCACCACCAGGCTTGACCCAGACAAATGCGTCGACCAAATTGTCACCGGTATCAGTACTTGGACGGGCACCGAAGCCCGTTCCCTTGGCGTTGCACCAGTCACCCCATTGGTTCTGGCCAGTGGGCTGCTTTCCGTTTCGACCTGGCGGTTGCATATCAGCTCGCAAACTTCAGTAATAGGTATTCCATAGTTCTGGACTCACCGGTATCGACGATAAAGTGGGCGTTGAAACCAGCGGCAGATAGTTCAGGAGCGAAGTTGTTGATGTAGCTCTTCTCGTCACAGACGTTATTCCCTGAGGTGTAAGAGGGGCAGGTGCCGATGCTGAAAGCGTTATAGTTGGCAACGTTGGTCGCGAGGCCACGGACTGATCCAGGAGAAGATGCATTCGTATATACGCCGGCATAGAGCTTGGCTGCGGGACCGATATTGGCCGGCCATCCAAGCCAACCAGCATGACCTTACAGAGTTAAAAATCCGGCTCAAGGTAATAAGAACCCATTAATAGTTTTTACATACCAGCATCGAGATACTGGGAGACGTTGGGTAAATCAAGCCGAGTAATAGCGTAGTTGGTGCACTCGAGGTAGGCATCGTGGGCATTGGCGCACTTGGACACGGCCAGGTTGGTAACCAGATTGGCCAAGCTGTCGGGTTCTGCAGTGTATTAGCGTTCAGCCCTTGATTCATAGATGATGACCAATTTTGCAGGAATTTCACCGATAATCAGAATAATCTTGGTGTCGGAATACTGCACAACAAGCTCGCGAATGGAATCGATATACGCCTTGTACTTTTCAACACCACCATCGGCGATGGAGTACTCTCCGTTACTAGCTAGTGCGGCGCAATCACGGTCAGGAAGATCATAAACGACAAAGATACCAGCAACTGGAGGGGAGGCTCCTGCGTCATTCTTTTTTTTGATATCTGCCAGGAACTCGCCCATCTTGGGGACCTTGTCCGCAGTGTCCCTAGTTAAAAAAAAAAAAAAAAAAAATCAGCTCTTAGTCTCTATAATCTAAGGCTAACAAAAGTTAAGAGGAAACGCATTACAGCCACAAGAATGATGGGACCTCTGCAGCATGGGTTGCCTGCTCTGCTAGGGACCCGGTCATGGATGGTACAACTAAACTCATCACTTCAGAGCTATAGTACGGGTTGACGTAAAGCTGGTGTCCCTCAAAGGGGTTACCAGTTGCAGTCACCGCGGCCCCGGAGGAGATTGTTGTGGTGGCAGAAGTACTAGTAGCCTGGGGCAAAGCGTTAACAGTACCGAGCAGTGGCACTAGGGCCATCAAGGCCCTCATATGTATGGACTGCATAATGAAGATGGATAAGAAAGATTCAGTAGAAGTGAAATTTGTCTTTCTCTGATCCTGCAGGAAAGTTGTTCTTGCCGTAGGATTTCTAAAGACGGTTGAGAGAAGAGCCTTTTATATAACTATTCCCTCCAGCCAGTAACTAAAAAAAAAAAACGAACATAGGCTATCATTCAGAAGACTGAAAGAATTAAGGAGCACGGGTGATGTGACATATTATCTGGCTAAACCGGGCAGCTCCCTCTCCAGATTGGTTCAGAGCGAGGGTAAGAGCAGGGCCGTAAGGCATACTGATGGGTTCGATGCCGGATTCGGCGTGCCTATGAGGTTCTGTCTTGGTTATGCTATGCTCCAGGGTCCTACTAACTCGCAGAGTGGCAGCTTAGGATGGACTTTCTCCTTGACAGAAATGGTTAAAGGGTAGTTGATCGTCATTAATCGGGAGAGAAGATCCATGCACGTTTCACTTCCTAATCATGGACGGAGAGGATCACTAGAGAGACATTGTATTGTTCATTTTGCCTGTACGCAGCACGTCTGAGCAATTTTCTTCAACAAAGTCTTTTGCTTTTCAGATTGTAGAATAAGGCTCCGACGGTACACTGTCATATTCCATCTTCAAACTGTCCTACGATGGATACCTAGGTACTAGACCTAGGCCTAGGTCTGTCCTTACGACTGGAATTTACTATACAAAGAGGGGTTAGGAAACCCTGGCACAAAGGCAATGTATTTCCAAGCTATCGACGGGTGATTACTGGGGGCTTGCGGAGGAAATTGGTGGGAAATGACAATTGACCAGGATACCTTCATCCAGGGCTAAGGAAATAATCCATCCATTCATCATCCATCATGTTTCAGTTACACTAACCGGAACGGTTTCATCTATAGGGCTGTCTAGAATTTTCCCGTCTTTGCTGCAAGTCTATGTCGGACCCCCGACTTGCTCAATCCATCAGCTGGTTTACTTTAAATTAATATTGTCATAATGCCCAGAAACTCACCGGGAAAGTCAGCGAAAGGCTAGCCTATAGTTAGTGCAATGAGGAATAGTGTGCAGATTTCATGGACTTCGGGTTATACTAGGTAGTTGTGTTCAAGTTCTTGCCCCATGGAGAAACCCCCGGTTGCTCAGCCGGTTCGACGGACCGGATTTCCAAGAAGAAAAAGACCTCCGTAGGCCACCCAGTGTTCATCTCAATTCGGACATTGGAAGTTGAATCGGGAGAAAGGGCTCATCAGCGACAAGGTAACAGGATTCAAAGAACCCTAGGATCGTGCATGCCGCCTACAAGCCACCAAAGCCACCCGATTTACTTCCCAGTATTGCAGAGAACAGGTAATAGCCTAAGTCGAAGGGGTATTATAATTAAATAATAGTTAAATTCAAATCCAACTGCCTGACAATATCTGGACTATTGATTTGTACTCGGCTGTTGTTTCTCAGAACACAAAGACTGGGTGAAAATAAACAAGGTTATTGTAGGGAATAAACAAATGGAAATGACTGTCAAAGTCTGTGTAGCAAGAAGGTTAACAATAAACGACTAACAATATTGTGGCGCTTGGTCACATTCGGCTATAAATCTGCGTATACCTTCAGATCCCTCGTATTCGGAAGTACTGCCAGGTATACCGAAACTGGATATGTCAGGGAAGAATGCGCAATCGCCAAGCTCGCTCACATTGATGCTCGAGTATCCCGACGGGGACCTCGCCCATGGATTTGAGCCGAAGAGAGACTTGTCCTCGAAACTAAGCTTATTGGTTGAATCCATTTGGAATTCAGGGGATGCTTCTGTGCCATTATCACATGACATCATCGCCTGCCAATCAACGGCATCAGGGTGCTGTGACTTGGATACTTCATTCCGGAAGAAGAACTCCTCCGTGTCGGAAGTAGTTGCAACACTTGGAGCAAACGGGAACAGAAGTGCAAGTTCAGCCCCTATCCGGAGGTCAAAGTCTGGATCCTGCATGACCTTCCCTCTTCGGATGCCAACTTCATCGCAAAGTCGCTCAACTGTCTCGGCATCACAACCTGGGAATCTTACCCTAATGGTTGACCTATCATGAAGCAATATTGGGAGGTCACCCAATGCTGAAAGTCGCTTGAGATCGTTCAATACAGCAGCCAGATCTTTGAGAGCGCGTGCAAAGTCAGCAGAGAGAAGGTCCAAGAGACCCTCAGAGTTGAGACTTTCGGAGTCACAAGCATCGACTGGTGCAAATTTCTTCAGAAGGCCAAAGGCGGTGATGGTAGGAGAGATTTGGAAATCAATGAAAGAGCCAGGGGCAGTGCGGGGGATAGCAGACATTTTACGTTCAGCTTCATCCTGTAGCACGCTCACAGTCTTGTACTTCTTGTTTCCAGTGGCAGGATCAATGCCATCAAAACGAGCCTTTTGACCAGAGAGGAAAAAGGCTCTCACACCCACTGATACATTGTTTATGACCTGAGCAGGTGCTGCCGGGCCATGTGAGAAATACCGTGCACCTCCAATGCGGCCTGCACCGATAGCATAGCCTCCAGCGGTACGACCAAGGGTGCCGCCAGTAAGATTAGGACGGAGGGCTGATGCAAATGGTGCGCGGTTAGTGACGCGGCTGAGATTTGATCCAATGCGTGATGATTTGTAGGCGACACGCTCTCCCTGTAGAGCTGCTTGTAGGTATGAAGCCCACGAGCTCGCCGCGCCAGTGGAAAAGTGACGGCGAGCTTGACGGATGGCCGCGGCTCGGTGAATCGGCTGTTGTGGAGTAATCCGCGCATATGCTGGTTGAAAACGAAGGGGGATATGCTGAGATGGCTCTGGAAGTTTTGCTTTCAAGGCTTTGTAGGCCTTCGCATAGGCAAACCTCGAGGGATGTCAGCAACTCCAGGGGAAGTAACTATACAATGGGGGCGGTAAATGACTCACTTAGCTGCTCTCCAGAATTTGGGGAGCAGCAGGTGCCCACTGGACGGAGGCATCCTGGTGGTAAGAGAGAACAATCCTAATTGAGGAAAGGAGATGAAACTGCCATCCTCGAGATGAGTTCTCGATGATAAGAATTGGAAGAGAGAGGATGATGGAAGGATGCCTGATGACGGAATAGTCAATCTCACGGGTGGCGGTGCAGCATGTGACCTTGCGCCACAAGCCTCGGGCACGGTAGGAAGGGTTATGTCTTCACCAATAATGGTTGCCAATTATCAGGTTTTTGTAGAGATCTCTATATGCGAAAGAATACTGTAAAAAAAGGCCAAATTTTTGTGGCTAAAAATCGTGTTCTAATATAGCGCAACTACTTGCTAAAAAAGGCCGATGTTAAATTTTTGTGAACCAATACATATAATGCTGTATTGGCTAGAAATGGTTGTCTTGACACCTTTTTAGCTCAGCGGTAAAGTTCGACAATTTTGTATTACCTAGGAATGTGTTCAACTTCAAAGGAGAACAAGACTTGCGAAATGAGTAAAAATAAATTGGTCATGTAGAATTCTAATGCTTTATTTGGCGTGGATATCATCAAAATGATTAAATTACTCGTCATCTCCGAAGAAGACCCTGATGGGAAGCCAAGCATCACCGCAGACTTTGAAACGGTCCTTCAAGTTGTCCAACTGAGTGACCTCCTCAGCAGTCAAATTCCAGCCGTCAAGCTCGAAGTTGGCATCAATGCGGGATTTGCTGACGGACTTGGGGATGACACTCCAGCCCTTTTCCAAGCCCCATACGAGTAGCACCTGTTGGGGAGTCTTGCCCTTCTTCTCAGCCATCTGTAGGAGGGTAGGGTCCTTGTAGAGGGGAGAGTTGGTGGAACCCAGGCAGGAATAACCAGTGGAATGAATGCCCTTGGATGTGTTGTAGGCAACCAACTTGGGTGATGGGTTGTTTGGATGCAATTCAATTTGGTTGACAGCCGGGACAATCTTGCAGCTAGGGTCGTTCAAGAGGATTTCAAGGTTCTTGATTCCAAAGTTGGAGACACCAATGTTACGGACCTTGCCGGTGGCAGGAAGCTTCTGCATTTCTTGCCTTTCCCCAGGTCAGTTTTTTTTTTCCGAAATACGATTATTGCACCCAAGCAACCGGGTATGACATACCATGTCTTGATGAAGTTCCAGTCGGGGAGATGTTTTGATTTGTCGGCAGGATCAGTGGAGCTAGGCCAATGCATGAGGTACAGGTCGACATAATCGACCCCAAGGCTTTTGAGAGAGGAGTCAATGCCCTCGGTAACGCAGTGGTGCCAGGTGTTGTCGAGCTTAGTAGTAATCCAGATTTCGTTACGGGGGACTCCGGAGTCGATGATACCTTGGCCGACCTCGGCTTCGTTGCCGTAGGCAAGGGCACTGCAATCGGGTTGACAATTAATATTCGCCATTTGGCAGTCTCTGAAAGCGACCTACGTATCAATGTGACGATAACCCTTCAGCAAAGCATTCTTCACGGCCTCTCGGACCTCATTTGGCTTGGACTGCCAGGTACCCAGACCAAGGCCAGGGATCTTATCTCCTGTGTTAAGGGTGTAGACCTTCCTGTAAGACGGAGAGTAGACATTAGTGATTGGTCTTTCTTGTTTATTTCCCAGAGGAAAGGATTCGAAACAAATCCGTGCTCGGCTCGTGCTTACTTTGTATTCTCGGGGTTCGACATTTTGCGTGATTGCGAGGGAAATCTTGTGGAATATTTTCTTATAAAAGGAGGACACAAGATAGATTGATGGGGAATGGAAGAGTATGAAGAAGAACAACGGAGATTAAGAGACAGGAGAGAGGAATTTATACGAACAAATTGAGGGGACTTCATGTTAGGCAGGTCCACCCCCATATGGGTGGGAATGATGTCGATAGAGGGGCACTGAATGGCTCCGCAAACTTAAAAGGTGGGGGATGTAGCCAGCTAGTGTTCTTATGTTTGGCCAGTAATGTCTTGCACAATGGTGCAGGTCATTTTTACCCGTCACTCCCTGAGGAGTATGTATAGACTCTATAGAGAGCCAGGAGATGTCATGTAAAAGCGTAGGAAACTACTACGCATACAAAGATGCTTGGTGTTTGTTGGAGCCAAAAACAGTATTGAAAGTCGATTTGTACAATAAATTATGTATATATACCTTCAATGTTACCTAGTAATAGTATTGTATTTCGGTTTCTGGGAGTTGGGGCTCCTGACTGACGGCGAAAGTGGCTGGAATATCGATATGAGTAATTATCCGCACCACGACATTTAACCGGGGAGACGCGGCTCACCGTAGAAGGGTTAATCCGTTCCGGGTTTCTACCCGTGCCGAGCTGTAAGCCCACATTTAGCCGCTGCCTAAGGCCAATTTCTAGGGGTGTAAACTCACCGCCTTTTTCTGCCAATACAATGTGGCCAGAATTGGAGCTTGGTTTCAAACCCCAGAGGGAATTATTTTTTGACACACTCCCACGCAATTGTTCCTGTGGAACGCTTTCAATTTAATTCTATTGCGCGAGTTCGCCTCGGTTTTATTTAGACGCTTATACGTGTGGCAAGTCTCAAATTAAACGGAACACGCTGCATTTTTGCTGCTTCCTGGCCAGTTCCACCCACCAGATAATAGGCGGAGATTGAGACTCATGCCGCGTTTTGTTTCAAAGGAAAAGCAATATAGTATAGGATGTCTTCTGGTTTTGTATCCGCAGGGACGGACCAAGAGCCCGTCGAGCGCGATGACGAATGGCGTCGAGTGCACCAGGAACTCGAGGAGGAACGAAGGCGCAAAGCGGATCTAGGAAAACAAGATGGAGGGAAAAGTCTCTTTGAGATTCTTGAACAAAACAAAAGTGAGTTATGGGTATCTTGAGTTAAGCCAATATCCCAGTGCCTTAATTGACATGCCTTGACGATCCTTTTGGTTGTACGCAGTGGCCAAACAGGAAGCTTTCGAAGAAAAGATGAAATTAAAGAACCAATTCCGCTCCCTCGACGAAGACGAGATTGAATTTCTCGATTCAATTATGGAGTCGACCCGTGCCCAGGAGGCTAATGTAAAAAGGGAGACCGCAGAGCAACTGGAGCTATTTCGGCGACAGCGGGAGGAGGCTGAAAAGACTCTCCTTGAGGATACCTCTGCAGATGTTGCAGAAGTGGCTGAGGGGGAGGACTGGAGGATCCCTGCGCGCAAAAAGCGACGCGAAAAAAATAAGGAGCTGCTTATACCCGGAAAAAAGCGGAAATCTGTGGGTGAAAATTCCACAGATGTCCCTAGGACGGAACAAAGCGCGAATAAAAAATATAAGAAGCTTCCTGAAGAAAGCAACACAGCTGAGGATCCTGGTTTCAAGCCAGTGGATGACAAACCAAAACAACTGGCTCGCCAGAACGCCGCGAAAAGTCCTGTTAAACGGACGGAGACCGGAGGTTCTGCACAGATCTTGCCCAAGCAGGCTGTTAGCCCGCCTTTATCGTCTCTTGGCCTAGCTGGCTACAGTTCTGAATCGGAGTGATCCGCTATCACTCCGCTATCCCAAAACTTCTCTGTTAACACTATGTACCTAGCGAGCGCTAGTCTGTACAGATCGAGTTTGCCTTTGTGGAATAGTGGTTTCACTCCGCTCTGGCAACACCCCAGAGCAGTCCATGGTCCTGGGCAAGGCAATAGTAGCTCCCAAAACACCCATACAGTTGCCATAAAGCGATAATCATTCAGGAAGAGGCCTGCCTGGATGTTTCCCTTCCTGGAGCGGCAGAGCTTGGAAAGTGATCAAATTTCTTGTGCCCCCGCCCAGAAAGCGGAATAAGTTAATAAACGGATCACCCTTCCTTAGCAGGGCACGCAATCCTATGCCAATCTGACTCCGATAGAATAGACACTCAAATTTTGAGACTTAATTCCACCCAAGGATAATCAGTGATCAGCTTGTCCCTGCATTGTAAAATAGTCATGCTCCATCATTCATATCAACTATAACTATCTATCACTAGTCCCCTTTTGGAAGTCATGTACATTAGTCAGACAAGCAAGACTTGCACTAGTCCAGATCCAGAAAAAATGCTGCCTGGCATGCATTCCTTTAACTACCAGAAACGACGTCATCGCCTCCTTCAACCAGGTTATATACTTGCGGATTGCCTGGGAAAATGCAACACCACATCCCTACTCCATCTTCATGAAAAAATCGTGTGCCTTTCAGAAAAATAATTTGCGGCTACTCTCAAGATTTTACCATAACCAGTGTCGAACCAACATGCCTCTTGTTGTCCCTGGAATCACCAATACTGGTGGCGCTAATACCAGTGGGCAAGCCACCAAGGACGAGTGGCTCAACAAGCTTGTTGGAAAGAAGCTTAGTGAGTCCTCTAGCGATGAAACGGTATGTTTATTTTTTTTTTCCCCTATTTTGCTAGGTTGAAGGAAGGGTTGGTACTGACGTTTGGCTATTTGGGGGTAGACGTTTGCGAAGAAAGATCTCCCTAAGATCCATCGGATTGTCAAGCGCGGCGAGATGATGACTATGGACCATAGACCAGACAGGTGCGTACATATATATATATTCAGTCCTAGGTAGTTGGCAGTAGTTGTGCTAATTGGAGGGTTATATTGCAGGTTGAATATTTACCTGGATGAGAATGATAATGTTCGGGATGTCAACTATGCTTAAAGATGTACGGAATATACGGGGTTTATTGGAGATGAAATGACATGCTTTGGATTCTTAGACTGCGTTCTATGCCTCATAAAATGGTAAGATCCGTAAGAAATAAGAAAAAGAAGTAGTTGTAGTCGTAGTAGTAGCAGAAGAAGAAGAAGAAGAAGAAGAAGAAGAGTGGCAACGCTTAAGCCTTCCATCTCAGAAGAGTCAGGGAGTGCTTGGGGAAGACATAAGAGCCCTGGGCACTCCAGGTGCTCTCGGAAATGCCAACCTCCTCCTTACCCTTCATGTTTGTCACTGTAGGATTCTCACCCGTGACTGTGAACACCGTGACCTCACCGGTAGGGCCGTCCAACTTGGTCTCAAAGGCCTTTTCTTCGTGAATATTAATCACGACAACATTGACATATCCATCCTCGCCAAGGGTAGCGCTAACATCCAACCAGGGAGTGTCCTTGACGCCACGAACCCACTTTGGAGAGGTCTCGCCGTCGTAAGTCGCAGCGGAAACATGTGCACTGATTGTCCAGCCACGCATATACTTTGAGAACAGGTAGAGGGGCCACCAAGTAGTCTGCTTGATGATGCCGTCCTTCGTTGTCATGAGAGGGGAGATAACATTGACGGTCTGAGCAATGCATGCCATTCCAACGTCCTTGCTCTTCCGGATGAAGACGTTGAGCCAGACACCCACGGCCAGCGCATCAGACAGCGTATAGGTCTCCTCTGCACCCTTGCTGCCCTCGGCACGGATAGGGTCCCAGACGTTCCATTCGTCGAAGCAGATGGTTGGGCGAACCTGATCGTTGGGAACCCCGTTCTCGATCCGGGCGAGATCGATCAAGGAGGAAGTAATTTCAATAGCGCGTTCAGCCGCGAGGGGGGCAGTGGCATTAGGGAGGTGGGATGAAGAGGCAGTGTATAGATGGATACTGTGCATATCGATAAGGGGAACGCCAGAGGTTGACAGGGGAGAGTTTACAGGAAGCATGCAGTGCTTCAGAGTATAGTAGTCCCAAGATGCGGTGCCGTCCTGTCCGCACAGAATCAATTGGATGCTAGGGTCAAGGAGCTTCAACGCTACGGGAATAGTCAGCAGGCGAAACATTATGAATCAAATTTGGGGGGGGGGGATTACCCTTGGCCCATTGGTATGCTTTGTGTGCATAGGCCTCCTTGGTAGTCTGCTCGACCTGCCACGGCCCCCAGACTTCGTTTCCCAGTGCCCAATATTTGACATTGTATGGCTCCTGGCGGCCATTCTTTCGTCGAAGATTGGCGTAGTAGGTGTCCCGGGTACCATTACAGTACTCAAGCCAGGCCAGAGCTAATTGAGGTTAATTAGGAATGTTGCAAAGCATAGATTGAGAACATCCAAGAGCTACCTTCATCCAGAGTGCCAGTGCCAAAGTTTAGGCAGAAGTAAGGCTCGGTTTCAAGAACCTCACACCACTTCAAGAACTCGTCAGTTCCAAACTGATTGGTCTCTGTTCCTAGCCAGGCAAGTTCAGGTCTGGGAAAGAGCATTGCCAGCGTCAGCACTAATGTCAAGTTTTCGTCGTGAAGGATATCGAAGAAAGACACACCTTGAAGGACGCTGATCCTTTGGTCCAACTCCATCAAGCCAGTGGTAGGTTGCCATAAAGTTACCACCAGGGTAGCGGACCACGGGGATATTTAGCGTCTTTAGGGCTTCGAGGACATCCTTCCGGAAACCATTCTCATCTGACAGTGGGCTACCAGGATCGTAGATACCCCCATAGATGCATCGACCCATGTGCCTAAAACCACGAGTAAGCCTAGCAAAGCAAGGTCATCGATGCAGTCTGAGCTTACTCTGTAAACCCTGCATAGATGTTAGGGTTGATCTTGGAGATGCGACGGTCCGGATGAATGGAAATGCCCGGGGCATCTTGCTCGTTGAGCTGTGTGAAGGTTGTCATAGCGTTAACAAGATTTCCCGATTAAACAAGAGGAAAAAGGCGTAGTTCGAATATTGATTGGTAGGGGACAGAATAATAATAATAATAATAATAATAATAAAGGCACAAACAAGTACTACTGAATATTTGAAAACGTAGGTGGTCGAGGTGACTGGACGGGTAATATTAATGTCTGTTGAACTTGTCAAGACGGCCAGCATGGATCAGGCAAATCCCCTGCGGGGTTGATTGAAGCCTAACATTAAATGAATGGATTCATGAGCTCCGGGGTTGCTGTCTCATGAGGCTTTTGGCGCCGTTGATTCGGTGATGCAGCCAAGGCTATACAATGGGATATTCCATCAATCAGCACCCGACTCTGTCACGCCAGCTCTGCTGGTCCTGCTTAGTCTGCGCCTTCGGTTCTCCGCAAATTCAAGCGGCATTTCGTCTGGTTTCCCTGAAATTGACTCGCTGTTTGATTCGTTCCACAGTGCGGGCTGTTGGTGGCGTGTGGTTTTTTTTTCTTCTTCTCTTCCCTCTCGTGCCGCGACGCTGCTTGTTGGCATTGGGCCGATAGGGTGTGTGATCGTTCTGGTCGTCATGCCAGGAGATTCTCTTGTTATTCTGGGATTAATCCGGCGGGCATTCATTTAGTAGCTATCACGATAATGGCTTTTCCAGGCGTTTGGCTCATCACCCTCCCAGCACCCCGTGCCGGTTCTTTAGTTTCATCCCCAGACTCTTTAAGAACGGCGGATCCTGCTCCTCATTCTCCTCATTTTGCCTCCGCATTTTCTCCCCAGATTCTTGGGTCCATCTAGAATTGAAAGCGTTGGAAGAAGGAGAGAGAGAAAAAAAAAGGGAAGAAAGTGATTAATTGATATCGCCATGCGTCTTTCTCCTGCGTGGTACCAGGTATGACTGTGATGCTTCGGGAAGTTCATATCATAAACTATACTGACGAGAATCCCAGTTCCTGGTCGGCGTGTTCGCCTCCCTGGGATCGTTCCTTTATGGATGTAAGTTTCTGTCTTCTTGAGAAGAACTATGGTTCTCTCAAACTGACATGGATGTTGCGTGCAGACGATCTAGGTGTTATTGCAGAGGTTATTTCCTGCGCATCATTTAAATCCAAGTTCGCAGCAAATGATACACAAACGTAAGCTGTTGCCCCATCATTAAGAAACCTTCAATTGACATTGCCTAGCGGGTTGGTGGTATCAATGTTCACGGCTGGTGCTTTCTTCGGAGCTGGGGGTGCTGGTGCCGTTGGTGATGCTATTGGGCGACGATGGACTATCATTATCGGTTGTATTGCCTTCTGCCTGGGCGGTGGTCTTCAGACAGGAGCGCAAAATGTAGAATATCTGTACAGTGGAAGATTCTTCGCGGGATTTGGGTACGTGAAAAACCACCCACCCTTTGGAAAGTCTCAAGGGCAAGCACTAACTCCCATCTACCTAGAGTTGGTTTCCTTACTATGATCGTTCCCCTGTACCAGGCCGAGATCTGCCATCCTGACATTCGAGGCCGTGTCACTGCCCTGCAGCAATTTATGCTTGGTGTCGGAGCCCTTTGCGCATCCTGGATCTCTTACGGTACTTACATCGGCTTCTCAGAGGACAACGATGCCCAGTGGCAGGTGCCTCTAGGTTTACAGGTTGCTCCCGCTGTTTGTCTTGGTCTACTTATCATGCTCTTCCCTGAGGTAATATCTAACATGATCCCCCCCCCCCTTCATGCCGAGTACCAACTCACCTGCATATAGTCTCCCCGTTGGCTCATTGATCACGGTCATAACGAGGAGGGACTGAAGACTCTTGCAAAGCTGCACGCTTATGGAGACGAGAATGACGCCTGGGTCCGCGCGGAATACAACCAGATTCAAGAAAGCATTGTCCATGAACATGAAAACGAGGCTAAATCTTACGTTGAGCTGTTTACTTCGCGCTCTTCTTTCCGCCGCTTATTCCTTTGCTGCGCCCTGCAAGCTTCTGTGCAAATGACGGGTGTATCTGCTATTCAGTGAGTTACCTTCCTTACTAGAGAGGCTCTGGTTGTCTAGGGCTCTGGTTGCCACGTGAGAGCATTGTTACTGACATCATCTGTATAGATACTACTCGGTGGACATTTACGGCCAGATTGGAATCAAGGGCGATGAGACTCTACGCTACCAGGCGATTAATTCCATCATTGCCTTGGTCGCCCAGTTCCTTTGCATGATGCTCATCGATCGCTTCGGCCGTCGCTGGAGTTTGATTGGTGGAAACTTGGGCAATATGGTCACCTTCATCATCGCCTGCGTCCTCCTAGCCAAGTTCCCTCCTGAAGTCAATAACTCCGGAGCTCACTGGGGTTTCATTATCATGACCTGGCTTTACAACTTCTCGTTCTCCTGCACCTGTGGACCCCTGAGTTGGATCATTCCCGCTGAGGTGTTCGACACACGTACTCGCGCAAAGGGCGTGTCTCTTGCCACAATGACCTCTTACGCCTTCAATACCATGATCGGCCAGGTTACCCCCATTGCGATGTCCAACATCCATTACCGCTATTACTTTGTGTTTATTATTTGCAACTTCACCAACGCGGTATTCTTCTGGCTGCTCCTGCCGGAGACCAAGAAGCTGCCTCTCGAGGAGATGAACTATCTGTTCTCTAACTCTCCATGGATCATCCCCGGCACCCGCAAGGAGAACTATATGGTGAACGACTTGGAGCGCAGAGTAGAAGAGCAAGAAGAGAAACAGCACGCTTATGCTACCCATGAGGAGAAATAGGCTGGTGGTATCTTAGTATCTGCCGTGGTGCACCCGTTATACATTTTGTACTCCAACAAGATGATCAATCGTCAATACAACCACGAATATGAAGATAGACTAGGGATGGCATTAGTTAACGGTATTCAACCCCAGCAGGTGTGGTGGTTGATACGATGTTTGGCTGCAGACGAAACCCTTTCTAGCCTTCTAGCTTTAATTATTATATTATGCCGCATGCATTTCTGTATGTCTTATCGTCACGATGAATATCATGTTACCCTATACCAAACAGTACTTTTTTCGTGTGCAATAATCTCAAAGCAAAATCTATTCGGAGTCTGTCTATCCTCTTCTTAGGCTTTTTTTTTTCTTCTTTCAATTACTTTCACAGAACCAGCTTTACACCCCCCAGTCCAAACATCCGCACACTATTATCCCAAGCCGCAGCTGCCACCTCCGCCACAGAGACTCCCTTCAGTCCCGCCACCACCAAGGCAACCCTTTCCATCGTACAACTTTCATTCCTGGTCTTGACCATCTTCCCTAACACAAATCTGTTGTGCTTACAAGAGGAAGGCAACGGACGCCCCGGAGCCAGATACGGTGCAATCTTCGGATCATTCCCCATAACTTCACACCAGGGGGCGTCAGTTTCAAGCTGGAGTTTGTCCAAGGGAATATGACGGACCATGTCCAGCTGCGATTCCGTCCGGAACGAGATCCCATTCACGCTGATTTCCAGGCCCAGGTCCACGAGACGCAGCATCTGCTCCTTGCTTCCGGCAAACGAGTGCACGAGCCCTCCCCGCTGCAACAGGGGAAGGAAGGGCTCAAGAATAGCGACAAAGTCCTCGTAGGACTCGCGCACATGTAAGAAGAGCGGCAATTGCAGCCTCACGGCGAGCTCTAGTTGGTCGCGGAATGCGCGTTTCTGGGTTTCCTTCTCGGCTCGATCCAGGTATTCGTAGTCGAGGCCGATTTCTCCAAATGCCACCAGGGGAGAATTGGGCTCGGCCAGGAGGGTCTCGGCCAGGTTTTGGAGTCTGTCTAAGTAGCTGCTGGACTTGGGGGTTGGGGATTCCTCGTAGATTTCCCTGGCGTGGTATGGATGCACGCCGAGAGTCATTTTGCACAAGTGCGGGAACTCTCGAACGACCTTGAGGTTGTCGTTTGCTCCGGTTAGTGTCATTGTCGTGAGCATGACTTTCTCGCAGCCGTACTCTCTGGCTCTGTTTAGGACCTCTGCGAAATCGGGCTCGTGGTACTGTTTTCCCCGGTAGATGCCTTGGAATTGGTCAGCAGTGAATGTGACCGCGACCTGATTGAAAGAATTTAGCCTCTTCTTTGGCTTTCTTTTCTTTTCTTTTCTTTTCTTCTTCTTGTGTGATACTTACATCTGCAAACCGCAGCGGCGAGGATCCTGGTGTTGGAGACATGGCGTCTAATGTATGTATGAAGCTGAGCAGCGGAAGGCTCTTTTACTCATACGGCCAGAAATAGGGAAAATCGGCGATGAAGATATATCTCGCCTTTGACCCTGATGATGACAGAGCAGATCGGATATTGTTTCTATAACATATCCCAAGGAAAATGCCAGGGTGCTTGAAAATCCGTATCAGCCGCTTGCTTGCCCTAAGATACCTGGCTCTTTGCCCTGGTAACCACAAATAGGGTAGATTCTGCCCAGTTCTAACCCCAAGCTCTCTGATATTTCCCAGAAAACGCTCCAAGGAAATTAAAAAGAAGGAAAAGATAAAGAAAGAAGACAGACTAAAGTGCGTGGTTGGACTCGGCGTGGTGGGGTTTTGTGGCCCAGCCATTCTTGGAGACTAACTCAGGTACATGTACCCGAGAGCCTCCTGTACGCCATCGGAAATTGGAGATCACTCAGTGATTTTTCTGCATAATAATTCTAACTAGGACTGGTATTGCTTGTGTGATTCTAGACCTCGCTACTAAAAGCATACTGGGTATGTATGTTCTTGGGGGTGGTGAACGAATGAGGAGGATATAAAGCAACAATGTACTAGGTATATCTGTGTCCTGACAGTATCTAGGTATTGCTAAGCGATGTGACTCAAGTAAGTAAGTTTTTGTATGTGTGCAGCTTGTCATAATATTTAATATTATTGAATTTCATATGGCTCATTAGTTTGAGGATTTTGGTTGCAATGAAATGCCTGTACTCAGAGTGACTATTAGTAGTATATGTTGGAGTGCTGCACTCAGTAAATGCAACCAGTACTACCATAAAGCAGTATCACTATAAAGAAGATAGTAACACGTGACTACTTTATATATTTAGACTATTATTTCCTTCTAGATTTCTATATTTCCTTAAAGTATCTTTCCTTCTCTATTTTCTTAATTAAATTTAATTAAATTTATTTTAGTTAATTCTCTATTATTATAGTTTAATAACCTTTATTAAGTTATAAGCCCTTCTTAAGATTTTATTTTATACTTTATAAATCTCTAAAAAACTCTTATTATACTTCTATACTCTTATATAAAGATCTACTACTTAATTAGATAGAGATTTTAATAGAAATATTATCTATTACTATTATATTACTCTACTTAGATAATAGTATATAAAAAATTTCTATAATTTAATTAAAATAATAACTAAACCTACCCCTAGTAAATATTTTAATATCCCTAACTTATTATACTTACCTTTAATAACTACTATTCTATTTACTAATAACTAAAATTAAGTAATAAAATTAAAGAATAATATATTTAATTTAAGCCTAATAATAATATTAAAAAATAATTTAAAATTTAAAATTTAGACTTTATTTATATAAATAGAGTTAAGACTTTATAAAATAAATAAGCTTCTTAAAAGTAATATTTCTAGATTATAATTTAATAATTTTAAGTATAAATTATAGGAACTTTTTTTATAAATAGTAGTTAGTTAGATATTATATTTAATAAGTAAAAAACTAGTAAAAAAATTATTAATAAATATTATTCTATATATCTTTATAGATAATTTTATATAAAAATTATAAAAAATAATTATTAATAATAATTAAAAATATATATACTAGATCTAGAGAGAAGTTATTAAGATTAAATATAAGAATTATATAATTATTAATAAGTTTATATTAAACTTTATCTAAAAAATAAATACTTTTAATAAATTAAAAATAATTATTATACTTTATTAAATAATTACTATAATACTTTAAGAGCTTAAAAGGAATAATATAAGCTTTATAAATTTAATCTTAAATAATTTAAGTAATAATCTTATTAAAATAACTATATAAAAGTATTTTTATACTATATATAATATAGTAAAGAATAAGATTTAAGAGAATCTATTATCTAATATTATATTTAATATTATTATATTTATTATAAATATACTAAATTCTTAATTAATAATAAATAATAAAAAAAAATAATAATAATAGTAGAAATATATATTACTATAAAATATAATAATTATAGATTATATTAATTATTAGTTAAAGTAATTTAAAAAACTAGGAATACTATACTTATTTTATAAGGAAGAAAAATATAATACTAAAAACTATCTATATTTAGTAATTAATAAGTAAAAGGAAGAATAGAAGCTAATTTCTATATTTTAGTACTTTAGGCTACTTAAGTTAAAGAATAAGAATAATTTAACTTAAAGCTAAATTAGTCTAGCTATATAAATTAATACTATTCTAGATACTAATAATTTTATACTATTTAAAGTTAATATACTAATAACTTTAATATTAACTATTTTTAAGAATAGATAGCTATATAACTCTAGAGTAGACTATATAGTATATAATAATTATAATCTCTTTAATAATCTAATTAAAGACTTAAATAGTTTTAAGAATTATAGTTTTATTATCTCTAATAGTAAGGTAGTATATCCCTAAGATTATAGAAAAGTAATAATTTAATTTAAATTAGATAATAGTACTTTAATATTATACTAAATAGAATATTTTTAGAATCTAAATATACTATATAACCTAATACTAGTAAAAAAAATAAAGGTAAAATTAGAAATTTATTTTAACTTAAAAAATTAATATATTTATAAAATAGTAATAAATAAGATAATTAAATATATTATCTTAAATAATAATATCTTATTTTTAGTTCTAAATAAGGTAGTAATCATGCCTACTATACTAATAGACTTATTATATTAATAATTAGATTATTTATCTATTAAATAATTAAAATATAATAAGATAATATTTTATAATAATAACTTAGTTATTAATAACTTACCTACTAATTAAAATATTAAACTATATTATAAAGTATATTAATTATTAAAATTAAAGAAAAAAATATCCTGAAAACTATAACTATATATAATAAAATTATTATAATTTATATATATAGATTTTTAAGAAATTAAACTAATTAAAAGAAATAATATTAAATATATCCTACTAGTTCTAGATAATTATTGTCAGGGGGCAGAGTCAGATTCAGATATTCATTGACTAGGAGCTAACCAGACAGAACAGCAGAATAGTAGGTATCAGGTAATAGACAGGATGTAGCTTGAAGAGTTATAACAGGATCAAGGATAATATAGCTTAAATACAGGGATAAGGATAGATAGTCAAGGTAGAATCTAACTAGATAAGTATTATAACCTTATACTATAATAGTACCCCCCCCCTTAGAGTTAAGCTCTATTAAGATTAGGAAGGAATTAGCTAGGATTTCTTAGGATAATAAAGATAGTAATTATTTACTAATTAATAAATATTCTCTAGATATTTAGTAAGCTCTTTAATTAATTTATTATATTTAATTTATTTAATAATATATTATAATTTAGATTTACTATAATCTTAATAAACTTATTAAGAATTAAGAATTTCTTTAATTTTTTATTCTTTTAATTCTTCTATTTTAATAAGTAGTAGTAGATTAGGATATTAATTAAATAAAAGATTATTAATAGTAAGATAGAATAAAAATATATTAAATATAAAATAAATTCTTATATTTTTAGATAATTTAAATTTATAAATATATAGATTAATAATTTTTTTAATATAGTATAGCTTAAAGTTCTTTTAATCTAATTTCTTTTATAAGTAAAGTATTTAGATATTATAAGTATCTAGCTAGATTTCTTATTCTATAGTATAATAATATATAAGTTATCTTTAATAATTAGTTTATATTTTATAATAAGCTTAAATAAATAAAATCTTAATATAAATAAACTTATAAATTTTATATATAATATTAGTAAACTTCTTAATATCTTTCTTAATAAGATAGATAGTAAAGTAGCTTAATTTAAATCTTAATATTAAGTAAAATCTATAATTAGCTATAAATAGTAATATTCTTATAAATTTAGAGTAAATAAAATTAGTAATAAATTTAATTATTAATAATTATTTAAATTAATTATCTTATAAATATAATATATATATTTATAAGTATTATTCTAAAATAATATTAATATATTTAGTTTAATTATTAGTTTTAGAATAATAAGTAGTAAATAATAAGTTATAAATCTTTAGATAGGATATTAGATATTTCTAGAAAATAGTAATAAACTAGACTCTATAATTTAATATAATTATTTTAGGGATATTATAGAGCTTCTAAATATACTTAAAATATAGATTAATTACTCTTTTAATATTAATTATTCTAGTATAGGGAAGGAAGTACTTTATCTTTATTAAATAATTAACTATAATTAAAATAATATTATAGTTATTATTTAGTAGTAAGTATATAATAAAATCTATATTTATATCTTACTAGGTATATTTAAAAATTAGTAGAAACCTTAATACTTCTTACTTTATTTTTTAAAAAGAAATAATTTAATAGTAAAAGTAATAATTCTAGATCTATTAATTAATATATTTATAAATCCTAAGCTAGAAGTATTTATATAATATTAGTTTATATATCTTAATTCTTCTAGAATATCTAGTAGCAGGATTTTTATAATAAAGTCTTAATATTTTAGCTTTTATCTTATTATAATTAAATATATAAAGTTAGTCTTAATATCTTAAGTATAAATTAGTATATCTATAATTAGCTAGTATAATATTAAGATATTTTAGTAGACTATTTTTCAAGATATTTAAAATAAACTAGAGCTTCTTATCTTATAAATAAGCTTTATTAAATAGTAGTTATAATATTAGTAGCAGGAAAATTAATTTATTAGTAGTAGGTTATTTAGTAAAGTATACTTAGTATTAATTATTAATATTTAGTCTTAAATTAGTAGTAATCTTAGGTAGCAGGTTTTTAGATTTTAAGATAGTCTAGCTCTAGTAAAGAAATTATTTATTCTCCTTCTTAAGTAGGTTCTCTAACCTCCTAATTAATATATTAAGCTTAATACCTAACTTTCTAGAGTAGTAATATATTTAGAAATTAAATCTTAATAGAAATTTAGACTAGCAGGCTTATTAATAATTTAGTAGCTTAATTAATATAAAATATTCTAGATTCTAGTAATTTATAATAACTTTTATAAATAATAGAATTTTTTCTAGTTTAGGGTACTATTTTTTAAAATAATAAATAATAATTAATAATTCTTTATTATAAATCTTATAATTATATTCTATTATAAAATATTTCTTAAAAAAAAATATAATAAAATATAATATACTTTTATTATTATATTATAATAATACTCTAGTAAATATATAATTA